ATATAATGTATATTCTAATTATAAAGTAATTTCATTAAAGCTTCACAAGGAAACCTTTTCCCTTTATAACATATTATTTCTTATTTTATAATGCATTATTAAGTTTTAAAATGCAGCGTCAAATATTATTGATAAAGAAGCAACTAATGAAATACATATATACATTTTGTTTAGAAATTTTAATGAAAAAATATATTTATCCTTTAGTTGGTTAAACTTTGCAACTATGATACCAGCTATCTTTATGTTATTACTTATAACTATTTGCACATGCTAAATAAAATTATTTCAGTCACTAATCAAAAGAAATATACGTTACCAAGAAGATGAGATATTTGATGAATATAATGGTGAAGAGGGTTTTGAATGTTCAATTTGTATGGAGGAATTAAAGTAGATGGAAAAATATGTAGAGCTACCTTGCAATCATATCTTTCATTATTAATGTTTTGGTAAATGGAGAAATTACAAACAATTATGTCCTGTGTGTAGAAGAAAAATTAAAAATAATGAAATTAACAAACAATTTCAACAGTCTAAAAATTCAGATGTTGAAATTTGATTAATTATTAAATAATCTAAACTATTGATATAAAAGAAATTCATCCATTTTTTAATTAATTTTCTGCATGTTCTGTCGATTCTTAATTCATCTATTTAACTAGTTTTTCAAATTATTTCATCGATATTTTTTCTTTTTCCATGAAATAAGCTATTGGCTGATAAATTTCCTTTATAAAATGAATATAATACTTGTTTTTATTATTCATGCACAATATTAAAATGCTTATGAAGAGCATTAACTTCAATAATTTTCAGCTTAACAAGATGATTCATTGTATGTATAAGCTTTTTATTTCTACTTTATTCAAATTCTCTTTTTTTTAAAGTAGCTGATAATGTTATGATTTTTTCATTTAGTTCTTAAGTTACTTCAGTAGTATCATTAATTTAACTGATAACTTAAGATTGAGTAAGAGATCTAGTATTGTATTCTTTGATTTAATTATTCAATTAGGATATTGTTTGATCCCTTATTTAAATTTCAACTTATAAATCCCTAATTTATTAATCTTTCAATTATAGTTCATGTTCATTCCCTTTATGATCTTTAATGTTTGAATCATTTTATTCTAACTAAGATTTATATAGTTCGCTAATTTATTTAGCTTTTAAAACTTCACTTTCTAATTCAGCTACCCTCAATTTTTCTCTCTCATATTCCATTTTAATTCTTTAAATATCTTTTTAAGCAATTTTATTTTAATTAGATAAAGCCTTTTTAGAATCCTCTAATTCTCTAGCCAACTGTCTTCTTTCTTAATTCCATTCATCTTTCAACTTCTCCTCAATTTCTTGATTAGCTTTAACTTCATTTAAATAATCCTAAGTTAAAACTTTATTATTGTGCTCTAATTCTTTGATACACTGTTAGGCATGAGCTAATTAGAGGTTTAAATTTTAAATTTAATCAGAACTCTAAAATATAATATGAATATAGTACAGATTTTTCAATTTTTTTTTTCTCAAATTATAATTATTCTACTTAAACTTCCAACCTTGTCTTTTCTTCTGTTAATTTTTATATAGTAATTATGTCTTCTAATTATCCAAATGCAGAAGGATTTAAAGTTTCTTTACCTGAGGATTCAAATTATTTTAGATCATTTTATAATTTTTCTACCTAATCTTCCAAATCTCTTCTTTTATCTTATTCTAATTTTAATTTTAATTTTGCCTCATCCAGAGCCTTTTTAAACATATCATGTGAAGCGGAATTGCTTACTGGGTCAGGTTTAGTGAATGTTTTGATATTAAAAGATTAAATTGGTTAAGATTAACTAATACTTAAATCATCTTCAACTAATTTTTAAGATATTATGACTGATTTATTAATTTCTCCAGAACTTTCGATCTATAATTCTTTCTCTATTTCTTATTATTATCTCTAAATTTCAGCATCTCTCTATATTAAAAAAGTGGCATAATCATGTAATTTTTAGAAGGCAAACAATTTAACTATTTTCTTTTCAAATTTTTAAATTTTTTAAATAAAGGAGTTGAGTATTTTCTTCATTTTAATTCTTTTTACCAAAAACACAACTTTACATGATCTTTATAATTTATAATACCTTTACAAAAGCATTTTAAGTTTCAAAAGAACAATTTTTTTGTAAATGTATTTTTTACAAAATTTTTAAATTTTAATTATATATTGCATTCTAAATTCTACTAGCTGTTAATCTAAGAAATCTCTTAATCCTTCTTTCATAAAGATTTTAGTTTTTCCAATCTAAAGATTTTTGGCTTCTAATTCTTTCTGTAATTTTTCTTTAACTATTTAATTTTAGTTCAATAATATAATCATTTGATTAATATTTGTAGGTTAACCTTTAATCAGAAATCTATATTTCTTCATAAAATCATTGTGGTAAAGTCGAATTTCATACCCAGCCTTTCTAATTTAGATTGCTTCTAATAAACCAGCACATCTCATTTATCTTCTTACTTCTTAAGCGTCAAATTCAAAGGCAGATTTAGTATTATTAGGCTTAATACATCTAATGTATTTAGGAAGTGAATTATTAAGTATTTCAAGTAATTTTTAAAGTGAGCTTTAAAATCTAGTTATGACATTATTCTATTTAATATTTGTATTTGTAATTTGATGACTTTTCCAGATTTCTCTAAGAATAGGATTTTTGCTCTTTGGCAAGACTTGATGAACTTCTTGATTGATAGTGTCTTTATTTTTATCAATAAATCCAGAGACATTATAAATGACATATCCAGCAAAATGTTTGATTCCAAACCAATCAAATTTAGCATTTTTATGCTTTTTATCTACTTTGATATCTGAATCCTAAGCCAATAAGTCTTAGACATTGAAAACACAATCTCTTGGTAATTTTTTAAATGAATTACTAAATTCTCTATCATTACCTTTAGGGGCAATAGTTTAATCAATAAGTAACTTAAATATGGAAAAAGTTGAATTCTCGATTACATCAATAATTTATTTGTTATCAGGAAATTTAATGTGATTCCATTATATTTCTTCTTTAGTATATTCACCTAAAATTGATAGAATTAAATATGATACTTTATTCAGTTTCTAACATATGTGAATTAAAATGTTATTAGAGTTTTTCATTTGTAAAATTAATATTTAATTATTCAAAACTGTTAGTTTATATTCCTTATTCATCTGTAAATATTTCAAAACCAAAAATATCTAGAATACCAATCATGTACTAAGATGTATTTTATTGAACTTAAACTTAACCTTAACCACAAGCTTTAAGTTATACATTAACTCTTTGGATTAACCAATTAAATAATTTCTCATAAATATGCTTAACGAGTGTATCTCTTGCACTACTGGCTGCCTCTATATTATTTTCTTTCATAATCACTTCCTTTCCCATAACTGTTTGAACTTTGCAAATTATTCTAATCAAATCCTCAGAATCAAGTCCTAATAATTAACAAGAAGCTTTCAAAGAAAAGTCTTCAATTATTAATGACTTATTTGCATCTCCTTAAATAGAGATGTTTCCTAAATGTAAGATTCCAGCAAGAGATTAAAAAATATATTGTTTTTCTTCAGGAGTAAAGTTCATTTTATCCATACAATCACTAGTTTCTTTGAATTCCTCAAGTTCATTTTTATTGTATTTCAGATCTCCTTATTTTAAATAATGGTACTATTTAGCTTATCCAAGTTCTAAAGGTTATATAATTACTTACTTAGTTCAGGTATTTGAGCAGCAATTAATTAATAAAAAATGTGATAATTTCTTTCAACTGAACTTAATTTAACAACTCTGCTTTTTTCCAATAAATAGTTATCAATTTTTGCATTAGAAATTCTTTTGGTGACAGGATTAAAATATAAATGAATGAATTTTCCAAATCTACTAGAATTATCATTTCTTGCTGTTTTTGCATTTCCAAATGCCTCTAAAAGTGGATTAGAAGCAAAAACTTATTATTCTATAGAGGGTGTTTTGGACTTCTAACCTAATGATTCAGCAGCTAAATATTTTAGAATAATTTTAGTTGATTCTGTTTTACCTGATCCACTTTCTCCAGATATAATCATTGAGCATATTCTAAGATTAGTTTTTGTAGACTCTTCAAACAGTTGATCTAAGGACATTTAAGCAACTTTATAGAGATGAGGGTCTATATCTCTTAATTTTTGTTAAAGAATATCTTTGGAAATTCTAATTTATAGAATATGAATACTAATGCATCCTTCCCATTTCTTTCTTAAAGAATGTTACCATTTTTTCATCATAAAATTCAGGAACATATTAATATGGATTAATGGCTACTAAAATTGGAGCACCTATTTATGTATAAATAAATTTGTTAGAATATCTCATTCTTATTCCATGAAGACAATTAAATTCATTTAATTCATTTAAGAGCTAATTTTAATTTTAATCTTACTAGTAAATCACTAACTCCTTTTTTAGCTAATGGATCGACTTTAATGTTTGATTTTTCATCAACAAATTCTTCTCTTATTTCTTTATCAATACTATTTATCCCTTGTTTTGTAATCATTAACTTATTCTACTCATTGTCTTATTTAGCTATAAGACAAACGAATTTAGGGTGATTAACCCATATTTCATCATCACCAAAATTCATTTGGATTATTTTAATATAATAATAATTGATAATAATTATCAAGGCCCCAGCAAAATACAACAAAACCAATAGGCTAAGCCATTGGTTCTTTCAAATGGTTCATTTTAAAAGGATTTTCCATGAATGAATCGCTTTCGGGAAGGTAAANTATATTCACCTAAAATTGATAGAATTAAATATGATACTTTATTCAGTTTCTAACATATGTGAATTAAAATGTTATTAGAGTTTTTCATTTGTAAAATTAATATTTAATTATTCAAAACTGTTAGTCTATATTCCTTATTCATCTGTAAATATTTCAAAACCGAAAATATCTAGAATACCAATCATGTACTAAGATGTATTTTATTGAACTTAAACTTAACCTTAACCACAAGCTTTAAGTTATACATTAACTCTTTGGATTAACCAATTAAATAATTTCTCATAAATATGCTTAACAAGTGTATCTCTTGCACTACTGGCTGCCTCTATATTATTTTCTTTCATAATCACTTCCTTTCCCATAACTGTTTGAACTTTGCAAATTATTCTAATCAAATCCTCAGAATCAAGTCCTAATAATTAACAAGAAGCTTTCAAAGAAAAGTCTTCAATTATGAATGACTTATTTGCATCTCCTTATATAGAGATGTTTCCTAAATGTAAGATTCCAGCAAGAGCTTAAAAAATATATTGTTTTTCTTCGTGAGTAAAGTTCATTTTATCCATACAATCACTAGTTTCTTTGAATTCCTCAAGTTCATTTTTATTGTATTTCAGATCTCCTTATTTTAAATAATGGTACTATTTAGCTTATCCAAGTTCTAAAGGTTATATAATTACTTACTTAGTTCAGGTATTTGAGCAGCAATTAATTAATAAAAAATGTGATAATTTCTTTCAACTGAACTTAATTTAACAACTCTGCTTTTTTCCAATAAATAGTTATCAATTTTTGCATTAGAAATTCTTTTGGTGACAGGATTAAAATATAAATGAATGAATTTTCCAAATCTACTAGAATTATCATTTCTTGCTGTTTTTGCATTTCCAAATGCCTCTAAAAGTGGATTAGAAGCAAAAACTTATTATTCTATAGAGGGTGTTTTGGACTTCTAACCTAATGATTCAGCAGCTAAATATTTTAGAATAATTTTAGTTGATTCTGTTTTACCTGATCCACTTTCTCCAGATATAATCATTGAGCATATTCTAAGATTAGTTTTTGTAGACTCTTCAAACAGTTGATCTAAGGACATTTAAGCAACTTTATAGAGATGAGGGTCTATATCTCTTAATTTTTGTTAAAGAATATCTTTGGAAATTCTAATTTATAGAATATGAATACTAATGCATCCTTCCCATTTCTTTCTTAAAGAATGTTACCATTTTTTCATCATAAAATTCAGGAACATATTAATATGGATTAATGGCTACTAAAATTGGAGCACCTATTTATGTATAAATAAATTTGTTAGAATATCTCATTCTTATTCCATGAAGACAATTAAATTCATTTAATTCATTTAAGAGCTAATTTTAATGTTAATCTTACTAATAAATCACTAACTCCTTTTTTAGCTAATGGATCGACTTTAATATTTGATTTTTCATCAACATATTCTTCTCTTATTTCATTATCAATACTATTTATCCCTTGTTTTGTAATCATTAACTTATTCTACTCATTGTCTTATTTTGCTATAAGACAAACGAATTAGGGGTGATTAACCCATATTTCATCATCACCAAATTTCATCTGAATTGTTTTAATATAATAATAATAATAATTGATAATAATTATCAAGGCCCCAGCATAATACAACAAAACCAATAGGCTAAGCCTTTGGTTCTATCAAATGGTTCATATAAAAAGGATTCTGCATCAATAAATAGCTTTAGAGAAGGTAAAATACAGTGAGTTGCTCCCCAAAAACATAAGTTGACAAGTATTAAGAGAATAGATGAGTCATACATAGCACCTTCCTTTCATGATTATTGAATCAATAATATTACCACACGATATATCTTCTTATTTTATTTGTATTCATGTATTGCTGCTTAACATTCCTCATCTGTTATGGTTATAATAGCGTGAATAGCCATTAATAAGATCCCAACCCAAGATAACAATCTAGTCAAAACGGCAAAGTTTCTTACATAAATACCTAAGCAAGCCCAACACATATCTAATTGAATAAATGACTAATAATTTAATACTTAAATTCCCAAATCTCTCACTAGGCATTTTGCCAAAACAGTAAATACCTAACATTGCTAAGATAATTAAACCAATCACTCCACAATAAAGTAATATAATAATGAAGGGTAATGTTACCTATTATAATATCTATAATACTAATTTGTTTGCAAAAGCTGATGATGAAGTAGCTGCCTCATCAGTTGCAGTTTCATCAGTTGTTGTTTCATCAGTTGTTGTTTCATCTGTTGTTTCATCTTATGCTGCATTTTAAGAGTTTATAAATTCATCAATATTCTCGGTCATCAGATTTAATATTCGATTTCCAGCGGCATTCTCATCCGCTGTTGTTTCATCAGCTGCCGCATCTGTATACTCTATTGGTGGACATACATCATTTTAATATGTCGTATAAAATAGAAGATCATAGATGATCAAGCCAATAAAAACGACCACTAGCAAACAGTAATATGAAATCAAACCCATTTTATTTTATACGAAATTATTACTCTATTAAAATAATTGCAAAACTAACTATACAAATACAATCTTATTCATAAAATGGAATCAAATTCATCATTTCATACCATCTAAAAAAAGATTCAAATTATAAATGTTCAAAATATTAATTATTTATATCAAATGGAAAATGTAAGCGTTTCAAATTAATCAAAATTAGTTTTTAACTACTTATTTTTCATTGAATCTAATCTTGCTTATGTTTGCAATTTTATCGAATGTTGTATCTTAAGACATAAAATTCATAGGTGTATTGTATTAATAACTCTGTCCATGGTACTTCTCTTATTAGTAATGCTAAATGCTATATTTTCTTTCATTTGCTAACCTTTTTGATTCTATTGAAGCTCTACCATTTATTGATGCCACTCTTCGTCTATTTTTTATTGATAACTATTCTTATTAAAAAGTTGTTAATTAATTTTATTGTAATTGCTATTTAGAATATGGATTCTTTAAGACAATCACAACAGGTTTACTAGATTAAGTTGTAAATTAATGCTAAAACATAGAATTTCTATAATAAATCAAATAATTTTACTTATTAGAAACTCTTACATGGAATACTTACATTTTCCCTAAAATTTATTACAATGAGATATCTGTTTATTAAAATTCACATTTCTATCCTTCTTAGAACTCAACGTCATTACCCAAAATTCCAATTGTCTCCAAATTATTATTCTTTCTTAATGCTTTCACTTATTCTTCAATTTTCGATAAGACTTTTTCATCCAACATTAAATTTTAATAATGAGAAATATCAGTTTAAGTACTTTTATCTATTTTTATTATTTTCTTTTTAGTAATTAATTACGCTTTGCTCTATTTTCTAGATTCAATTATTGATAATTATTCTTAATCTTGCAAAACATCTTCCTCTGGATTTGAATCACTTCCTGAATCATCTTAATTTAATTAAAGTTAACTTAAATCATAATTTTTAATAAATAAGTCTAAATCATTATTTTATTATGAATTAATTGTAGTAGGTAATTTAAAATTAATATTTTATTCAAAAGTTGATTAAAACATTTCTTATTAAAATAATTTAAATATTGATAGTATTATATCAACACCTAATTCCTTATAATGAATATCATTAAAATCTTGACTAAATTATCGTTTATATGCATGAAATGATGATTCTAAAGTGTAAATATATCCACTTTTAACCTCCTCTTATAGAGCAGCTCTTGCTGTTTTCTTTTTGCTTTCATGTATACTGAAAGAACAATCTTTTAAATTTACCATTTTAGATATTTTAGAACAAATCAAAGGAAATAACTTTAATTAATCTGCTCCATTATTGGCATAAAAAAAACTATTGAATCTAATTTATACTTAAACAATTTTAATACTTTTTTGAATGTCCATGAAAATCAATTATCATACTTAATTCAGTTGATTAATTAATCTACTTGATCAAATCTCTAATATACCAAACTGAATCATGTAGTTCCTTATGTGGATTCACCCAAATTCTATTTAGATCGGTTCCAGATAAATTACATCGATAATTTCCAAAAATTACTCCATCAGGATTTATCATTGGAATAATATAAAAAGTAAAATGATTTCTTAGCATTTCTGCTTCAATACAATTTCTAATCAAAAATTCCATAGCCCCTTCTATTGCATAAGAACTTGGAGTCTCTCCAGGATGTTATCTTGCCATTAACAATATTGCTTTTTTACCCTTTCCTATTGTAATCAAAGGACATTATGATCTTGCAATTGTCTTACATAAATCTTTTACAGTTGAAAACTTATATGTTATTTAAGGTTACTTAATTAGTTTTTATAACTCTATCAATAAATGAATTCAATTATGAATATGTATATGGATAGCATTAGGCAAAATATACTTTATCATTTGAATATTCAAACTTATATGAGAAACTTAATGTATAATAAGTTTTAATGGTACTATTTTCTCTTTTATATTTATTTTTGAAATATACAACATTAGTACCAGCCTTGATCCATCCAATTCCTCTAGTTTTATTAGATTTAATAGAATAAATGACAGGTCGTTAACCCAAATTAAATAGTGATTCATTTTTTATCTGTGAGGCTTTATAATATAATGTAAATTACAAAGTTTATAATGTTAAATGTAACCAAAGCATTTTTTTATGTATTTTCAACAGAGAAATAAAACCATTAAGTATGTCCTTTAGAATTAGTATCATTTTGCATAATCAAATCATATTCATAAAGACCAATTCTGAATGATGCAAAAAGGTTTGAACTTTCATAATGTGAATCAAATTTCAATCCTGAATAGTTCTTATTATCTTATTCTAATTATAAAGGTTTAAATTCTTTTTATTTCATTGTAGAAGGGAATAGGTTTTTGTATAAAATAGATTAAAATTCAGTTAATTTGATTTCTCTGTTTAAGGAAATCAATTTCCTACAATCAAAGAAACAAGAAGCTGTAAATCGATGATTATTTAAAGGAATCATTGACCAAGGATAATTATCATATCTTTAATAAACAAGGTTTTATTTATTATCTGTAAAATAATCCCAGAGATTCTTACTTGAATCTCTTTCATTATATTCATCTCTTTTTTTAATCTAAGTTCTAATTAACTTATTTTAGATACATTTTAGTATTCATTTCAGGATCAGTAGCTTATATAAGTGGATTGGGAGCAGGGAGAAAATCATAAAATTACATTATTATATATTAATTTATTTTGAATTAAAGTTGAGTGTCAGCAATTTGATTTACACTTCTAATAATAAATTATTAATTTATATAATTTTATTGGTTCACTAAAACTAATATTCCTAATAATTAGAAGGCTTTTTAGTTAAGTTTTTTATTTCAATCACTTCATAAGATAAGTATTAAATATGAGCTCAGATGATTTAGAGATCAACTTGATTTAGTTTCCAATCAAAGATAATCCAAAATAAACAATCTTGAAATCAAAAAAGCTAAAATTCAAGTAAAGCAAATAAACCTCAGCTACATAAGTTAGATAGACAAGATCAAAGAAATAAGATGATAAAGATGATGATGTTATTATAATAGGTAGTTCTAAACCAAATTAAATTCCTATATCTAAGAAGTCAATATCTAAAAGACGTGTTAAGTAGTAAAAAAAGCATAAAATATCATGTAAAACAAAAAGTAAATCAAAAAATACAAAGATTCAAGATTTGATTGTAGATTGGTAAAAGGATATAAGAAAGATGATTGAAAGCACTATTGAATTATCTAATAAGATAAGTTAATTGGATTGAAAATATATTAGATAATTATTAATATGCCATAATTTCATGAAATGTTAAAAGAATACCAAATTCTTTATAAAGAATAATGTTCATCTTTCATTTAAGATAGTCATACATTATGGCCAATCAGTGCCAAAAATGGAGCAGAAGAAGCATAAAATGTGTTCAATTTAGGATGGGATTTAGAGACAATAATTTCAAATTGGTAAAATGAATAAACATTACTTCCTGATGAATATTAATATGAGCTATATTCATAATTGATAGTAATGAATTAAACATTAATTAGATGAGATATTTACAATAATATTAAGTGTGATAGGTGTAATAATATTATTATGTTGCTGTTAAATATTTTGTATTCCAAAATACAAGGTTTTCATGAGATGTTGTTACATTAATGTTGAAACAGATACCAAAAGCACTTTTGAAAAATACTTTCTATTTTTTGGTATAATACTATTGAGTTTAATGTTATGTACAGTTTGTGGATTATCTTATACTGATAAATAAATAGAAAGTAGGTATTAAATCTATTTAAAGTAGTTTATTATAAGTGAAATGTATATCTTTATGGATGATTGAGAATACAATTGAATAATAAAATGAATAAGGATGGCATAATGATTGGTAAGGCATATTGTACATTAATAAACAGATTAAATCACTCACTTAGGAACTATCAGATTAATCTAGATAGAATGCTATTAAATAATTAAGTTAAATTAAAACAAAATAATTATAATAGTAATATAAAATAGAGAATCAATATTTATCTGATTTATACGAATATAATTTTGAACATAAATTAATTAATCCTAATCCTTATAGTAAATAATAATATATTTAAAGTAATTTTATTGAATAAATTGGACCTAGTAATTAATTAGGTACTGTAACAAATCTTTTATTAGAAGAATTATCATCAAGAGATTAAGCAATATATTTAATGAAAATAATTAAATCAAAATCATAATACATAAATATAACTTAAATAATACAATATCTTAATCAAAGTTAATCATAATTAAACGATTTTTCATATAACATTATTAATTTTTTATCTAAACTTGAATAAACTTTAAATACTAAAAGTTGGATATTTGATTCAGGAGTAACTGCATATAAAAGATTTTTAATTATTACTTGTACTACTACTATTATTTTACTATTTTCATTTTCATTAGTTACTTGGTTTAGATTTTAAAAAATGGGATTTCTACTACATATATCTTGGATTGCTCTTGCAGTATTATTAATAATAGGTTTTATTATATTAATATTTGTATATTATGTTTCATTGATAAATAATAATATGGTTTGCAATTTAACTCATGGAGTAATTCATGATAAAAATGTATTAAAAAGAATCATTAAAATTATGAAACCTACTAAACATTTTATTAAAACTAAATCCTTTTTTCAATAAGTTGAGGTTTGTTTGTATTAAAATGGAGATTTTGTATCATATTTTGATTTGAATTAAACTTTCGAAAATATTATTGATCTTGATAAATCAATATAAGAATTTGATAAACTATCATATTCTCATAATGTTATTAATTTCTATTAATCTGTTATATCCTCATACTTTACAAATTATAGTTTAGTGATTGATAATAATAATTAGGATAATCCATAAAATATATTAAGAAATATGAACAATTGGACAGACTATAATATTGACAAATCAATGCAAATACTATTTGGAGGATGTAGAGTTTCATAAGATGAATGGGAATGGAAAGACCAAGATTGCAAATATTATAAAGCCGATCTACTCAAATTAAAGTAATGATAACCAGATCTAATAGGTGAAACAGTTTCTATAGTAATCCTCATCGAGAATTCGGTATGGCCATTTGTTTAATTTTTGATTCTTGTAATTAAGACTTTGCTAAATAAAGGTATCTGGAATAATATAAGAGATGTAAAACTAAAAATTAAGAAAGTATATCATAAATAGTTTTAAAGTACTTTGATCAAATCAAATTATATATTGATTCAGTTAATAGTACTTTTAAACCAATTTTATCTAATCTAACTGAATATGAATAATTATTAACTAATCTAGACAATGAAATTAAATAACAAATAGTTAATTTGACTTATTATGGAAGTCAACTCAACTTAATTTTTCATAAAACATAAAATCTAACAAACACTTTAAATTGCTCATACATTAAACAAGGAACTATTAGATTCAAAAATACCTTTTGTACAACTTTACTAAATGGCTTGTTTTTTATGTATATATACTTAATTTCAATCTGTATTCTCTTGAGTTGTTTGGGAATACTCTCAGTGTGGTCAGCAATGAGATGCATACCTAAATCAGAATAACATTAAGTCTTTTTAGAAGCAGCTATTGGACCTATGTAATAAAGAACCATCCAAAGAAAAAGTTTAGATGTGAATTGATTTTTTTATACCATAAAAATTAGTATTTTCAAAAATCAATTTATTCTAACAACCAAATTGAACTTATAAAGCCAATAGCTATTAAAAATGCTAAAAATTTGAAAAGTTTGTATCTGGCAACATTAAATTCTTCTACAATCACTTCGATAGTAGAAATGTATAAAAATGTTCCAGCTGATATTGCATAAAAGATACTCACTATTATAATTTTATTTTATGATAAAATCCACCCTATTGAAATACCTAATGGATTCATCAAAGCCTGTAGAAATATAAGTTTTTTAGCTTTTGAATAAGTAACTTTTGCTTTTTTAAATGCCAATCCCAAAGTGAGACCTTCAGCCTATTTAAATTTAAATAATATTTACCCATTTGTGACAAAACACTGCCAAAGCTATACCTATGCATCTACTAAGATTTGATTCTATTCCTATTGCTAATCCTTCAAAGATTGCATGTATCCCTACAGCTAATTGCAATAAATATGGAGTTAGATTTGAAGATTTATTAGGTTTTTTAATTTTTGTTTTATTTTTTATTTCATTAAATCCTACTCTTTATGCCATCTTTACTTAAGAGGATATTGCATTTCTTAATAAATCTTCTTATGCTTAACTTTCAACTTAATTACAACATGCTCCAATCTAACTACAACAGATACTCTCATCTGATTTAAGTAATTCAATATTTTATGTAGGTTGTACATCAACATGCTAATTATAATAATATTTTTAATACATCTTAATGTTGATGTTTATGATTTGTCACTATTTTTTCAATAAATAAAATTAATGCAAAACTAAGAATAGTAATTAGAAATGGAAATGGAAATAATTCTTTTTTTTTAATTTATCCAATGTTCTAAGATTATTAATATTTTTCTTATGATTCTGGTAATAAATGCAAAAGAGCAACTGATAAAAATAATCCTCCTGAAAAAGCTTAAGAGATAGATATCAATGGCTAAAATATAATATTTATCTATACTTTATTTTCTCTAAATGTCTTTGATTTATATGGAAGAATAGCTATAAACAAAATGATCAGGAATAAGATTAACATACTTGCAGACTTAACAAATATTATTATAATGTTATTATCATAATTCTGATCCATTTATAAATAATTATCATTTTTTATTAATCATTACTACTCTTTTTGTAATTCGACTAGTGATAATTGAATTCTTTATTTAGCAAAGTCATCTAATTCTACATCCCCAACAACTTTAAATTCAAAATCTTTACAAGTCACAGGCAAAGAAAAACAAATTCCTTTTGGAATTCCATAATGATTTCCATCAGAAATTACCTATACTAATAATTTTGAATACTCCAAAAGATGTCCAATTATCTTAAGATGTTCCTAAAAACCATGTCCTTAAATGATCTTTAACAGCTATTGCTCCAGAAATTGTACTTGCTCCTCTAGAAAGCTATAAAATCTATCCTCCTCTTTATTAAACTTATTAAATAAGAGCATTTCTCAAGAAATCCTTTGAAAATGTTTCTGATGCTTATTTACCATTAATAATTGAATGAGTCATATCTGGGTATTATGTAAGAGAGTGATTTCCCCAAATGATCACTCTTTTGATCTAGTCAATGGTTGTATTGGCTTCTCTTGCAAGCTAAAATTATAAAAATTGCTATACAGTTGAGACACATCTATTATGATCTAGTTACATAAGAGATGTAAAATTTTGTTATGGAATTTTAGTGCACTAATGAGCCAGAGTTGCACAATTAGTGTTGCTTGGATTTGCCACAACTAAAACTTTAACAGTAGTTTTGGCTTATTCATTCAAGATTTAACCCTGAGTTTATAATTTCAATATAGAACCTATTGTATAAATATTTCTCTGTTCATTTATAACAGATCACTTCTTTCCATTCCTGGTTTTCGAGGCATGGCTCCTAAAAATATTGCAACATCTGCATCTTTAAATGCAATAGTAGGATCACTTGACACTATAACATTATTCAGAAGTGGAAATGCACAGTCTTATATTTACATCTTGATTCCTTCTAATTCTTGTAGTTTTTCAGGTAATTCTAATAGTTATAATGAGAATTTTTGAGTTGAGCCAAACACTTAACCAGATCCCAAAAGAGGATAACTAGATTTTCAATATTTTTAGAAATACAATGCAGAAGCTAAATTACCAGCAGCTCCAGTAATGGCTATTTTTAATTCTTCGAATTTTTGCATTTTAATTTTATTTATACAATAATTCAGAGTTCAATAAATTCTGTTGCTAATTCACTACTATATTCTTTTTTCTTTTTATTTACAAAGCACATTTAAAAACAGTTTCCCAAACTCAAATGTGATTACTCCATTTTTAATTATTGATCATGAATTGATTATTATGTTCCACCTTATCCTTATTCTGTAGATTCCATTGATTATTCTTCACTTCTATTTATTGCACTTTTTTCATTTGATTTTTCATTTTTTGAATCAGGTGCTCCTAAACTATGTCTTTCAAAAGTTGTTTAACCTGTCAATAAATTAATTGTTTAAATTTAGATCAGAATACTAAATTATAATATTTAATTACCCCAAAGGTACAAGAAATAGAAAACAATAAATTATGACATAATAAAAAGTAAACTCTTTTCCCTTTAAAAGCCAATCTTCAGTATTAGTAAACCATCTTTAAACAGTATTGGATTTATAATGAGAGAATTGTATAAATAATTGTAAAATGAATTCTGAAAACAAACTAATAATAAAAAAATAAAACACAAAATGATTCCTAATTTAATTAATTTAGTTACTTTGCTCCAACACAATTATTTATCCATGGACAATGATGATCATATACCATAACACATTTTTAACAAACATCACAATGTTTAGATCTCTTAGGTCTAACTAACTAATATTAGTGTTTGTATATATACTCTACAATCTGCACAAATATTTGAACAATCATATCGTTATAATATTTAAAGCATATCTAATTTATGGTCTGTTTACACTATTCCAGCATCTTTGGCACAAGATATAAAGAAAAATATCACAGTAATACTAGTTAAAGTAAAGAATATCCACATCCATATTGTACTAATAACAACTAAAGATTATGAAATTGAATTCATTACATGGGAAAGTGAATACTATAGTACAAATAAAGCAAGTCATATACATAGATAGAAAGGCAATTTAACTATTCCTTTTTTGTTTCACTGGTCTGAATGGCTATCTAACATTACAAAAGATTAGAATATCATTTTTATCTCTCTATTATTAATAAGAATATCTACAATCATAGTTTCAATTGTTTTGAAATCACTTTCTATTGCTAAATCCAAAGGGGTTTTGCCACTGGAATCTTTAATTGAACGATCTGCTCCTTTCATTAAAAGTTTTCTAACAATTCTAGAATTGGCTTGCATAGTAGCTAGATGCAAAGGAGTAACTAAAGTATCTGTATCTTGAAGATTTAAATTAGCATTCCATGAAATCAAGAAATTCACGGCATTATATGATCCTGAATATGCAGCCCAATGAAGTGGAGATGAACCTTTATTATCTATTACATTAATTGGTATTCCTTTCTAGAGATAATAATATATAGTTAATGGACAATCTCCTTATGATGCTGTATGTAAGACCGTTAACTCTTTTATAGGATGTTATAATTTACCATTATAGTTTTTTATTAAGTAATTCGCTCCATATTATTCAAGTAATGTAATGGTTTTCTATTATTATATATAATAATACCAATGATCCTCGATAAGCTGCAAGATGCAATGCAGTGAACCCTTCGTCATTTTATTAATTAACCCATTGTTCAACTTCTTCTTTTGTATACATATTTTTATCTATTTATGCTTAAATGTATTAAAAATACAATTCACTTAATTGTTCATTGTTGTTGTAACAAGAAAGATGAATTACTTTTATTATCAAATCTTATACAGGTATATAGTTTTTGTGTTTTTAGGATTAACAGATTATGATTGTGATTTTCATAAAGGATTGCTTTGACATTATAAGTATCATCAGAGTTGGCATAATTAATGAGAGAACCAATGGCTTAACTATTTCTTCTGGATGATGATCTTGACATAAAATAAATTAATATATGTAATCAGTATACATTACATAAAACTATAATCAAAGTGATTGTCTATCATCAATCTAAGTAAACATATGTGTACTATAACTATCACATTACTATTATGAAGGTCTAGCTGTCATTATTTCTTTTATTTTCAATGGTGATTATTTCTTACTCTTTTATACCTATGTAAGTGTTGTAATATTGAAATTAGAATAACAAACACTTTTCTTATTGTTGAGTCTAAAGTTTTTGACCAAATCTCTCTTAACAGTAAGTGGTAGAATATGAAATTATGGTTTCAGATAATTTTCATGTGGTTTCTTTAAATTTAATTTATTTTCTAACATAAATCTTCTTCTCTTGATAATTTCATTATTTCCATTACCAAAATCAAATTCTTAAAATTCACAACTTTTTATTAATTTATGAAATGTTTTTTCTCTATCTATTATTTTAGCAATGCAATAATTTTGAACACTTGGATTTGAATATTTAGTTAGAAAATGTTGATTCAATTGAATTTCTTATTATTTATTCAAACTTTCAATAAGATGATTTTTGGTTTTATCTTTTATTCCATCATCTATTTCTGTCAATAATCTTACTTATTAATCTGTCATTTATTTATTTGATAAATTCTATGTTTTTCTCTTCTACAACAATAATTATAACAATTTCTATCTATTAGAAGTCTTAGGACCATAATCTTCTATCAATTATAATCTGCATTCTTCAGGAAACTTATGAATAAATTCATTTGCATCTATTACAATCACTGTTGCTAATAATGATGTCACTGTGCAAGTATATTCATATCTACCAGTCTTATTGATAATTATTTCTTCACCCATCAAATGTCCTGAAGATATTATACACAAAGAGACATTTCGATTATCTATTTTTTTCTATAATGTCAAATCTCCATTGATCACTAAATAGAATACATCTCCTTCCTCATCCTCCATTGCTAATTAAGTTCCTCTATCATAAGTAATTGTCTAACAACTATAAATCATGCTTTCCAATCTCTAAGATGAATATTCATTATTCACATCTAAAATATTTAATTATTTCCTTTACTTTTGAATATTTTGAACATCAATTACTATTTCTCCTTCTTTGTTTTTTCAAATGTCATTTAATATGTAATAAAATCATCTTTCTTCAAAACTATTACCAATAACTCAAGACTATAACATGCTACTGTTAATGACCTATGAATATTCTCAACCAAAGCTTTCTCTCCAAATCCTGTACCTACACCCAACAATCTTATACAATCTCCATATTTATGTTCTAATTGTTATTTCTAATCCTTAGAAATAGTTGTCTCTTTATGAAAGTTATGATGCCTTATAATTTTGTTTGTAAACTTCTTGACATTTAGAATTTAAGTCATTTTTAGTTATGGTTGTTGAACTTGTTCTGAATTCTATCTCTATAAAGACATCAACTAATCCATCTTTTTCTACCTCATTAACATAACTTCTCCATATTATATCATATAAAGCTTATCATTTGAGGTATCATTCTCTTAGAACAACACTTCTCCTCCTTTAAAGTATTCCATTCTTAAACGAGAACACAACTATGATTATTACAAATAAAACTACTTCCAAAATATCGTTCCTCTATGTTCCCTTCTACAATTTCTCTAAAACGAATTGTTTAAAGTATGGCAGTTCTTCCATTCTTTATAAAATGTAATGTAATTCTTCTCTTGTATGATTCTCTTTATTCATTGTAAGAAACAATTTGGTTGCCTCATGTAACTATGGATTATCACAAGTTTCATCAAGTGGCTTTAAGTATATTTAATTCATTAATAATTATTTATCAATAATCATTTTAGCGATATAAAATAATAGTTCAGTATGCTATCTTATAAAATATATATTAATTATATCATAATACACTTTATTGCTACTACAGATAATATATGTCTGATAAAATACTCTAATATCATTTAAATTGCATATTAATTGGATTAATAAATAATTAATGTTTAAGAAGATCCACCAACACTACACCATATTGAAGATCTAAATTTCAATTTACCTCAATAGTTTTTTAATACTTTATTAAATGAATTTACTTAATTAGCTTTTTGGATTCTTTTCTATAATCTGCTTTTTATGAATTATATCCTAATTAATATTATCAAATAAATGAGGTAATTTTATGGAAATTTCTTTTAATAAAGCTTCCACTTCTATTTTAAATTAATAAATTGTTTTCTTAGATTATCATCTTACCAAAAATTCTTGTTCTAATTCCATGTTATACCTCATGGCCAACTAAATTATATTATGGTATTAGGGTAGCAATTTTTGATGATCTAATTGTGTTTCATTTAGAATGAATAATCTTAGATTTTAATATTTAAGAGTTAAAACTCAATAATTTTAAATATTTACTTCCATTCATCAAATACTATAAATAATATCAAAGAGTCTTAGATAGAATATGGAAAAGTTATCTATTTAGTGATGAAGATTCATTACTACCTGTTTATTGTTGACCCATAATAAATGCTGATATAAAAATGTAGAATCAAAGATTTTGAATATCCCAACTATTTCTCCATGTTTATATGATAAAATATTATTTAAGAATTATAATTCAAATAATGCAATTCTTAAAGATAAAATATTATATTTCATGGAAAACCTTAATATTTATTTATATTAGTTAGCATTTTTCATAATATAAAACGATGCCTATTTTATTTTAGGAGTGACTTAAAGAATTATACCTTATATTGGCAAAAATGAGATGATATCCATATTAAAGAATATTTTCTGTTCCTGAAATATTTAAATTGTGATATTCCAGGAGCAGAATAGATATAAGCTTTTATTTAATATTTCAACAAGTAAAAGTTAACAACTTAAAGATCTGAATATTAATATTATAATTAAATGTGTCTTCATCTGAAAATAAAAATTAATTGGTTAATATATACTAAACAATGATCATATCATTCATTGTAAACTCTTTAATTGATTCATTAAATCTTCTAGATTGGTATTATCTTTTGTTGTTTCTATAGACTATTATTATTATTATTATTATTATTATTATTATTATTGTTATTAATTCAATAATTATGATTAAATTTCTGCTTAATTTATTGGAGTATCATCAGCTACAACTTCAATTCCCCATTCATTTTCAGTATGAACTATCTCCTATTTCTATTCTGATAATTCTTTTCTCTTTTATAATTTATTCAATCTTATCTTTTCTGAATTCAACTTTTGTCTTTTCAAACAATTAGGATCCTTACATTCAGAATTTGGCATAATAGCATAATTCTAGAAAAAGTCAGCTAAAGCATTATATCCTAAGAGGAATGTAGTTTATCCAAAACCTAATAAATATTTGAGAGTATTCTAAGCTAAGAATCCAGCAGTAATACCCATAGTTGTTGGTAATGAGGCTGCACATACACCTTCTCTTTTAATTTATTATTCGTTATTTTCAACTACAGCTATTGGAACTGCACATGCAAAACATGCTGTTTCTCCTGGAATTATCAATTAGATATGTGCAGACATTGCATCTTCAGATACACCACTCTCCATCCAAACTTAATCAAGTTCATTACATGCACTATTAATTGTCATACGTGCAGCATAATTATCAACACAACTTAAAATAAGATCGACAGGTCCACCTTTAAGAGCACCATTTTGCATTCTCTCCAATAACTAATTAAAACCTGTTCCTGATGTGATATTTTCATTGTAAGCTTCAATCACAACATCTGGATTAATATTCAATAATGTTTATTTTGCTGCCTCAACCTTTGATAATCCTACTTGTTATGGTGTGAAAAATAATCTAAAAATTAGGGTTATTTGATTACCTATTCATATTTGCTAATTCTACTTTATCATAATCATACATAATCAATTTACCAATTCCACAACGTGTTAACATTTCACATAAAACTGATCCTACTCCACCTATACCAACTACTAATACAGTAAACTCTTTTATTTATTGATAATTCTAAACAATTCCCATTCTCTTTAATGCCATTAATCTACTGTAAGGATTGTCATTCCTTACTTCTTCACTCATTTATCTTTCTTGCATTTATTAAATATATATAAATGAATAATTAATTTTTACCTGATGATGATGATCCTTAAATTAAAGAAGAAAGGAAGAGTCTGTACAAGATATTTGGAAAGGAAACTTCATTAGGAAAGGAACTCTTTGGATTATATAATGCTCATGAAAAACCTAAAATTAATTATCCTAAACCTAAATAAAAAACATAAGAGTAGTTAGATGCTGAAAAGATGAAAACCTAAAAGTCTTGTCCATAAAAAACTGTTATTGATTATCCAAAAGAAGAACCTAAACAAAAATAATAATATTATCCTATTGATTTTATTCAAAAAAGAAAACCAGAAGCTGAAATCAGAAAGGAAATTGAAAAATATTATGAAGGCAGAAAATTTTTCAGACCTGCTGTTTAAGGATAAGATAGAAAAAAATTAATAGAACAATTATAAAGAGTATTTAAATATAAAAGAGGAGCATTACCTAAAGGTGCAGAATTACCTGAAATCAATATTAAAAATGATGATGCTTTCTTAAAAGATTCTGAAACTACCTCTAATGCTATCAAGAAAATGCATAAAAAAGACTTATACTTTACAGGTCTAAAATCTGATAATTAATCAGATGCAACTACTTTATAAGGTGATCCATAAATTGAATTAGAAGTGTTATTCTCATCTATTATGAAAGAAATTGAAGAAAGATAGGAATTTCTTTAAGAAATTGAACACTTAAATGAACCAAAATTGAAATAACGAATCAAAGATGAAATTATTGAAAGGGTTGCTGAATTATAGAAAGTTTAGGATTTAAGAAGACACTATTGCAATTGATTAATTATTATAATTCAAATCATTAAAAAGTATTTAGTTTTGAATTTAATAAATTGATAAAATATAGTAGTGTAATATCTTTATAATAATTGGTTATCTTTATATAAACATACTAAAAATTATGATTATAAATGTATTATAAACATAAAATTATTATACATTTAAATTAAAGAAATATAATCAAATTGGTATTGATTAATAATGTATTTAAGTAATTAAATAAATACTAAATCCATTATTGTGTATCAGTTTTATAAATAATAATTTTATATATAAAAATTCTATTGTTAAGGATGTTATTCATAAATTAAAAGTAAATTATACTAAGGTATTTGAATATTATAAATGATTTAATACAATTTTAATTGACTAAAAATATAATATCAATTGATTGCAAATAAAAACTCCTTCATTAATTCTTAACCTATTTTTTTCAAAAAATCCTTAAATAAATTCATAAAATATTGTTAATAGTTTTTCTTAAGTTATGAAATTGTAAATTATTTTCCTGCTTATGAAATCTTAACATTTTATTGAATAAAATTCTCAATGTCAACATCTAAAAAGCTCATATCATCTATTGTACATCTATCAATATTCATATTCTAACCATTTTCCTATTCCCTTTGATCTACTAATCCAACATCCTAAACATACACTGTTATTTTTTCAATTTTTTCTTTTATTTATTTAGTTAATGAAACCCATCTATAAGTTCTAGGACATAGTAATTCACAAGGAGTGTATTCTGCTTTATAAGCCATCTTCTTACTATCCATTATGTAAAATCCCATATAATAGTATTATAATTATGGGCTTGAAATTTATTTTTTCTAAATATACTCTATTTCTGATAGAACTCCATAGACTCCTAAAGAATATTTTTTATAATCAGGATCATAAAAAAAATATACAGATGATACTGATTGAGGTAGGAGATCAACTACTCCAACTGCAATCAATTAGTTTTCTAGATAATATTTCATATGCCAACATCCTAATTCTTAACTATCAAGAGCATCAACACAAACAAAATTAATATAACTCATTTTGCTTACTCTTTCTTTATCATGAACAGACTTTTGATATTTTTTATAAACTTCAAAACTATCATCTTAGAATTAAGCTTTAACCCATTTAATTTAAATTTGATGATGTTTCTTTGTTTGTGTCTCTTATGGATGATTGGATTGAAAATCGAATTTCTACAGATAATACAAAACATTAGATTTTAATATTTTTTCTTTTAAAGTCTAAGGAGTTTTGATTAATAATTAATGATCTTATTCTGATATTTTAAAATCAAAGCCAAGATTTAATAATTAATTTTGAATTAGTTCAATGTATTTATTATTTTCTTCAAGTTTTAAAAATGTTAAATTTAAATTTTTTAAGATTGTAGTAATTTTAGAATAAATGTAAGGTATTAAATTACATCCAAAGACCCAATCACTTTCTACCTTATTTAAATAACCTTTAATTAATAAAATTTCATAAATTTATAGTTCTGAAATTGAATTTATAAAATTTTAATAAAGTAAGTTAGAATGTTCTTCCTTTTCAATTGCAAAAGTTTGATTTAACTACTATTTTGTTATCTTTTGTAAAGTATTTATTATGATGTATTTAAAATATTTAATATGGTCTTCTTCTTTATATTGTATACTTTTAAAAGTATACTGTTGACCAACTTTTGGTAAAATTATCAAATCACTTAAATCAAGGTCAGTTTAAATTTACTATTTTATTAAATCTGTAATTGCATTATTTTGTATTTAATCTTTCTATTCTTATTATAAAGGAACATTGTTATTATCAAGAACAACAGGTTTAATTCTCATAATCCGTTTCAAAACCTTTTCATGAGTTAGTCTCAATTAAAACTTAGAGGCAACTACTCTGAGTGCATAAGCTTAACAACAACTCTAAGCTAGAGCTGGTCTGTAATAATAGACTCCACATCTTCTCCATCCTCTATCCATTAATTATTAATATTCATCAACCTTCATTTTGTAACAATAAAATCCTGATGTTACCCAGAGTTTATTAGACTTACCTCCATTGCAATATCCACAATTAGTTTCATTTTTAATAGAGATTGAGTTTAATTGTATAACACTACTCATTTAATATATTTAGAAATTACTATTATAAATATGTACTTAATATCACTGTAAACATTTATAGTGAATAAAAAATAATAATGTGAATATAAAGATATCATTGTAATTTGAATTAGTTTAATTTTTTATTTTAAGAATTTGATCTATTTTGAGAGCTTAATATATCTAATTCAAATAATTTAGGTTATAAACATGATTTTACTTGTAATTATTATTAAGGTGGTTATTAAACATTTCTCATACTTTGATGTTATTTTGGTAAAGGTGGATCAGATACTTATCTTTTAGATTCTTTTATATTTTTTCCTAAGCTTGATTATGTTTTGCTTTTCATTTCTGCATTTGGTTCAATTGATTAATGAATTCTATTTTATCTTTCACTAATTTTTGGTAACATTTAAGGTGTATTTGGTTTTTTAACAGGAATAGTTGGAGGTTTACTAATTTAAAATTATTAAGTTTCAGATTGTTCTTTCTTCTAATTTCTTCTTATATCTATTAAATTATAATATTATAATTTACTTGCTCCAGTCCAATTATCTTATAATTAAGAAGCAAATTCAATGAATTTATCATATTCATGAGAATCTTCTAAAGGATATATTTTAACATAATCTCCTAAATTATTATTTTCATATTAATCTCTTTATTCTGAAAATTATTTCATAAGTATTTATTTTTCTTCTTATGTTAATTTCTATTTCTTTCCTGTCAATACTCTTTATTATAATTATTCTCTTCTTGATGATATTATTTCTTCTTTAGCTTTAAGACTTACATTCATCAATTTTAAAGTATCTCTAATTAGATTCTTTTTTATTAATGAATCTAATGGTGTATCTGTAGTAAAACTAGGTGTATGATTAACTTCTAATAAAGAAGGTCTTAATTTATCATTAATAAAGATATCAAATCCTAAAATTTCAAAACACATATTATTAGCATAATTATCAGGTTAACATGATTTATAATGATGATTAAGTATAGGTTAAACAGTGCAGAATGTTTTAATGAATAATTTATACATATCTTACCATAACTTAGTAATATTATGTCCTTCTTCTTATAATTTACCAAATACTGATTTAATAGACCTTTTATGACCAACATCCATTTTAGTTGCATCATTATTAAAAACAAAGTTTGGATTCTCCTTATTGATAGCATAATTAGTTAAATGCATACAAACATCTTCTAAATTATTTGTAGTTGGAGTAACGTATTATTCAGTAGCAAATCTTACTAATCCATCTTAATATACATATATTCTCATAGGATCTGTTCCAGCCAATAATACATAAACTCTTAAATCAAATTTTAATCCATCAATCAAAAATGGTCTATGCATATATCTTTATGCCACATAATGATCAGTTGGATTTATATCATTAATATTTCTTGTCAGAAATATTCCTCTTCCTTAACAACTTGCTTCTGGTTTTACAATGAATGTTCTTACTTTTCCTTTTACAAATTAATTTTTAAAATCTCCATATTCTGCTGGCAATAACCAAGTTTAAGGAAAGAATTTATAATCATTTGGAAATTATTTTCTCATTTTCATTAAGTTTCTACCAAGATGATTTTTACGTGCAAGTGAATACATTCCAGGAAAGTGATTAATTTTTTGATGAGCTTTTTAAAATATTATTTAACAAATTTACGTTGCATTTTACCTAATGTTTCTGGTTAAACAGCTGCATCAGTCCAAAACATATCCCAATTGATTCCATCTAATTCATATTATAATATCCATTTAAATATCTTTTTCCCAACAAATTTAACAACATCATATTTTGTATCTCTTTTTATATTTATAAATTACCAGATACATTCATAATCAGAGTTTATTTCTTTCTTTTATCATCATTTTCATCATCACTTTAGTCTTTGAATGATCCATTGAAAATTGGTTCTTCTTCTTTAGATTTTTTAGATTACTTTTATTACATTTTATATTATAATTAGTATTTATAAATGAGATATCACATTTCATATAACAATTATCATCAATTATTATGGGAATACATTATTTCATATTCCCTTTTACAAATAGGACAAGTGCTTTTTGTTTTAAACCATTCCTAAATACATATAAGATGAAATTTATGTTTGCATTATAATTAAGCAACTTTTTAAGATAATAATTATAAACAAATACAACAATCATCCTCTTATTAAGCATTTACATTCTAAAATCTAATAATATATTTATACAATTATATTGTAAATTTAATACTTTTTATATAATCTTATAAACAAGTACAATTTTCTTAGAAAATAGAGTAAATTTAGTATTATAAATGTAATTGCAGTTGCTGCACTGCCATCCTCATAATTACATTTTTAATCAATTATATTATATATCCCATATATTGACAAAGCTAAATAACATAATGCTATTATATTATAGAGCAACTAATATCTATTTGAAATGGCTTCTAACAATGTCATAAAATCAATATAAGCTTCATTATTGTATTACAATAATATTCTTTAATTCTCTATATTTTCCAAGGTTCTATCTATTGATTAATAGTCACAATAATAGAGATTCCCAAGAGCAATTAAATTTACTATTGAACATATAATGTCAGTTATTAGTAACAAAAGAAAATAATAAAATAGTTAGCATTCTGATGTACTTGTTAAGATACTTATTACAGCAATTAGTTTCAAAAAAGCATAGAACAGCTATGAAAATTCAATGAAGAATACTATTTTGATGGAATCTCTTCGTTTTAAGAGTTCCCCTAAAATAGAAATAAGAATACCATCAGTGAGCTCGTTCATTAAATTATATAAATAATTGATATTATCACTTTAAGCGATTGATGGCCTCTTAAATGGTTTCACTTGTTTTACAAAATGCCCATCTAACATAATTCTGACCTAAAGCTTTATTCTCATAATATGGAGAACAAGGAATGCAAACAACTCCAAATTCATTAATCATGTAATAGGCAAAAGCAAAATCTCTAGTTAATCTAAATCCATTGTCATTGAAATATTTCTCAGGTATTTAGATTTCTGAAATATCAGTGACTACGAAATACCCTCCTTATGGAACCCAATAATTCATATTCAATCTACTTTCAACTAATCCTTTTAATAACATATTTGCTTATTCTTCATATAAATTCTTAACAGATTAAAAGTACTTTCCATCTATAGTTTAATCTAAACATCTAGCTGTTGCAGTCTGTATTACAGGATTTAAACAAAAAATATGATAAGTTTATGCTGCCTTTATCCCTTTAATAATCTCTTCATTTCCTACAGCAAATCCAATTCTTAATCCAGTGGCTGAATACATTTTTCCTGCACTTGTAACACAAACAGTTCTATCCTTTAATCTTGGATGAGTAATGCATCTAGGATAATTAAAAGGTTGATATTTTCCAAAGGTAATATGATGATATGCTGCATCTTCACAAACAACTACTTGAGGATGTTTATCAAGAATATCAGCTAATTAATTATATTCTTCTGTACTGAATACTCTACAATAATCTATTTAATTACTTTCCTATTGGATTCATTGGAGAATTCAATAAAAGTAGCTTAGTCTTTTTATTGATTACTTTTTCTAAATAATTGAAATCTAATTCCCAATCATCATCCTATGAGTATTAGAATTTTCCATTTCTGTATCTTTTAATGATTTCCTGTTTGTTATTTAATTTTTTTGGGATAATTGGGACTCCAATATGTTTTGCACCTTAGAATTCTATCATAGGCCTGTATAAATCTATATTAGGATATTATAAATACCAAAGGCAGGATCAAATAATATAACTTCATCTCCTGGATTAAGTACTCCTTACATTACACAACTCAAGACTGCCTAAGCACCTGAACTGACCATAATCTCTTTATCCACATTAACTTTGCATCCAATTTGTTATTCAAAGAATTTAGAAGCTGAATTTAACAATTTTGGATGTCCAGATGTCATTGTATATTAAAGAGATTCTGTTTATGCTTCTTCTGAAAGAGCATCTCTTAACATTTATGGGGATGGGAAATTTGGAAATCCTTGGCCTAAATTTACACATCCCTTTTAATTTGCCAACATGGTAAACTTGGCATACATTTGAGGTTACAAGTAATTTAACATTCTGTTAGCTATTGGTTACATATTTAAGATAGATTATTAAATAATAATATAATATCATATTAAATATACATTGCATTTGATATTATCAATAATAATAATTATTATTATTGATAATATCAATTACTTTTAGTTTTCTTTTCTAATAAGAATGTATTATTATTTATTTAATTCTATTCTACTAAAAATATTTCTATAAAATCAATAATCAATATTTATAAATAATTTTATTATGATTAAGGATATATTTATATCTATATATATATTTATAAAAAATTTAATTAAACTTTTATATATTTAAAATATTGATAATGATTGATTTCAAAACATAAACGAGTTTTGTATTGAATATTATTGTATCAATTGTCTATGATCAGATCTTTAGATATTAGTCACTAATTCATCATGAATGTTTATAGTATTCCTAATAATTCTAATGTTATTTTGTTTCATAAGTCTAAGTTATTATTTGATTCGTTTAAACTTATTAATAATGTTTATTCTAGTTTCAGATCTAAGTTTTAAATGTTTTTTAAAGAACGAGCATTAATTTTTTAAATTAGGATATCTTAAATTAATTTCTAATCTTATTTTATCAAATAAATCTTAGTATTTTTTTAAAAAGACTATTATTATTTTGAGTAATGTGTATAGAAGAATAAATAATACTATTAACAACATTAAAATTTGAGTTAGATATTGTACTTCTATATAAGAATATTTCTAAGATGCCAATGTTAAGATATTTAATGATATAAATATACAACATAAGATTATTCCAGATTTTTCAAGGTGATTTAAGTTTGATTTTGAAAAAGGTTTTAAAGTAGAAATTGATGCATAATATCCTAACAAAATAACAATTGTTATAAGATTTTTCAAGATGATCTTTTCATTATCAAGAAAGAATAGGATAAAGATTAATGTTAATTTCATTTGTAAAGTTACTAATTCCCAATAATATAGATGTGATTTATAATCACTACATAAATACCCATAAATTCCATAAGTTATATCGAAATTTGTTTATTTATTCTATTTAAAAATAAATGTGAAAAATAGAATAGGTATTACCAAAAATATTAGCATCATGGATGGTATTACGAACTACCATATCCAATTCTTGTGTTCCTATGTTTAATATTAATATGCTAAATTAGCTCCAATCCAATCAATATTAGCAATGGTTCTTCTTTAAATAAGAATAGTTAATCTAAATATATATAAATATTAATACTCTTCCATAATATTTGGCATTGAATAAAACAACAAAAACATACAAGATGCCTAAATAAACATTAGTTAAATATGAGAATTGTTAATAATCCTTTTTATGAAAGTGTAAAAGAATAATAGAATAACTATTTAAATTATTGGAATAAGCATTGCCCATACCATTTTTAAGTAAAGAATTTCAATTTCAAATTCATCAGCTACAAAATTAATTAAAAATAATATTGTTTTTGATGACTTTCCTATTGGCCAAGCAATATCAGCAAAATCATCACTAAATTTTAAGGGTTACAATATTGGATATAAAATTTACATGAAATTTATCAACAATTTTAAACTTGTATTCAATTGATCTTCAGAATCATTAAATTTATACCTATTTCACATTGAAATAATATTCTATAATGTATTGTCAACTACTTCATTCGTTTAAACATCATATGCATCTCAGATTTAAGTAAGGATATCACATAGGTAATAACAAAAATACTAATATCAAATGATTAATTACAATAACATTAAAACAAAGGTTATTAAGAGGATTTCTTATTGTTTCTCTTTCTTTTAACATATTCCTGATAAAGATTTGATATAAGAATATTGTCCTCTAATATTATAAATATCACATTCATTGCAAATAGCTCCAATATATCCTATTGAACATGATTCATAATCAACATTCCATCCTCCTAAACAAGAAGCAGAATTCTCACATTACTCAACATAATGAGAATAATAAGAATGTCTCCAAAATCCAGTAAGTAACTCTATTTAATATGAGGTCACTGATTTCATTTTGGTTGGATCTAATCTTTAACATTCCACAGAGTTTTTTCTTACTGAATAATACCCTTTATCATAATCACATTTTAAACACTATTTTTTACTATAGTATTCTCCAATTCCACAAGGTAGTGTTTTTATTTTAAAGATGAAATTGTAATTTTAAGGCATTTGATCACATTTAATTACAATTAACAAAAATATTGATTAATTAGAATAAGGATCTAAATAAAAACTGAAATTATCAAGTTTATATGATTTCCAGATTGTATCAAACTATAATAAAGTCACATTTTCTTTTGGAGATTATGATAAGATTTCATAATTAGTTTAATTTAGTTCAGAATTTACTTAATATTAAATGATTTAACATATATCTCCCTAATCATCAATAATTTTTTCACCTAATTATGTATATTATTCAATTTATAATTATATAGTATAATTAGAATATTACATTAGACTATTATCAAAAACTTAAAATTCATTTAATTTTTAACCACTTGCAACTGAAATAAAGGTTTTGTTAATTCTCATTTAATTATGATTTATTATATAAGATGGAGTATCATAAATTTAATCATTTTATATTTATCTTGTATTTTTTATTGAAAATTCAAACATATTCAATTTTAAAAAATCAGCTTATTCTCGGATATTCTTTAATCCTACAAATCCATAATTTTCTAAAAATAAAATTTATCTTCTTATTTCTTTATTTAATTTAGAATTATCATAATAAATTGCTCCTCCAATATTAGCAGAATTATTAACAATTATTAAATTTTAAGCATCAATTATAGATTCATTTAATAATATTGCTCCTGCTTGATTTTTAATTTAATTATTTTTGAAGATGTCATTCTTTAATAATAATATACTCTTAATTCCTTATAAAATTGCATTATTTTCACCTAAATTATTCATAAACACAGAATTATGTATTCTTAATTAAAGATTATTAAAAATTAAACAGCTATTTAAACCACAATTATTGTCATAAAATATGTAATCAGTCATTATTACTTTAGATTAATTTAGATTATTTATAATTGTAATAAATCCATTTTAACATTAAGGACATACATTATTTATGAAATACATTTAATTAGATATAATTGGATGTTTAACTGAGGTGTAATTAAGTTTCAAGAAATGTCCTAATTAATATAATAAATGTATTTTCTAAAAAAAGAAATTTTGAAAAATAACTAAATCTGCATTCTAAATATCTATATTAATCAAATATTCAATTTGATTTAAAATAGATAATGATACAAATTTTAGATTACTAATTTTGAGACTATGTATTACATTTAATTTACAAATTGGTTGAGTTAAATAACCTTCATATATAAAATTATTAAATGAGACAGAACTAGATTATAATTTATGAAATATACCTAAAAGAAGATGAAAAAAGTCCTTCATAATTATTTCCACTTTGTCCTTACTTTAAAGTTTTAATAAGCTATTATAAAAGAGTGCTATTCTCATTATTATTAATTAAAATTTAATCTATCTAAATTTTATTGTTTTAACTATTAGAAGGAAATTTGAGTTTACAAAACAAATTATCTGCTGATATTAAGTTTTTGAAACTTAAATTCTTCATAAATATTTAATTTGATATTGAAGATGGAATTAAATATAAAAAGGCTGCTTTTTTTTCTGCATATATATTTATTGCTGTTAAATTAATAAAACTTAATTATAACAATGATAATTATCCATCAATTGTAAATATTCCTCCTAATTATGTCTAATATTTATTAGTGTTAGCTAGTTTTGTACTATTGAATACACAATTTTAAACTTAAAGATTTCCTTATTATTTCATTTAAATATATATAAATCCATATTATGCACTATTAATATTGCTCATAATTGTATCCATAATTTTAATTTATTCTGCCATAAAAATAACAAATCCACAAGTTGAATATAATAAATTAATATTATTTAGATTATTGATGTCATCTACTTGTGTGTTCAACATCAAAATAGTTGTGGCATCAACTACTACAATTGAATTAGAAGAATTATATACATTAGCTTTTTCAAAGGTTAAATTATCAAAAATAACTTAAGATTTAGGTGATTTTATTTATAATAATGCTGCTTCCATCATCTCTTTATTGGGATATAGTGACCAAAAGTTACATTGTTTAATATTAAAATTAGTTATACTTATTTTTACTTGATTATCAATTTGAATAAAAATAGCTGGATATATATTATAATTGATTATATTAATTCTAGTATAATATTCAATTTATAATTCTGATATCAAAATGAAATTAGAAATTTATTAGTCACATCTTATTATTAAAAATGAATCACTTGTTTAAATCCAATGTAAAATTTATAATTAAGTTATTATCAAATAATTGAATTCAGAAATATACAAAACATATCTTTAATATTTATATCTACCAATTTTATCTAATTATTATACTTAGTTTTCTATTTAAGAAATTTAGATATTATTTAAAATTACTTCTTGACAATTTTAAAATATAAGTAAAGTATATAATATACTATTTTATATTTTTAGATTTTTTATCTAACTATTCACATTATAGAATATCAGTATAGAATTATCACTAATAATTTCATTAGTCACCATTAAATTGATCCCTTCTAAATTCCAATCTTACATGATAACATTTATTTAAATAAATTACTATAGATTTTCAATTAGAAGAATTGTTGATTTATTAAATAAAAGTCCTTAACATACTAAATGAGTAATCATTATTGTATAGTTACTTGTAGAGTATGAATAAAGGAATAGATTACTATCTATTACTATTAAGTTATTTAATAAAACTTAATCTAGTATAAGATTTTAAAGACCTGATACTAATGAGGAATTTTAAAATGATGAATTTATCACCTGAAAATCTTTAATGGAAAAGGAATTAATGTTTTCACTTATTTAAAATAAAATACTATCTTTAAAAGTACAATTTATGAATTTTATTTTACTCATTTATACAATATTTATAATAACTAATGCTTTTTGACTGAAACATGCACTTGATATAAATGTGCAATTTATAAAAGTTAGGTTATGTATAAAGACACTATCATGTTATTCTGAAAAATGCAAAATCAAGTTGCTATTAAAAAAAGTAGAATTAGTGAATAGAAAATGCTATAATATTATATTAGAATTATTATAATGACTATTGACTATTATGACTTAAGAATTCTAAAAAGTTATATCATATATATTAAAAAGAGTAAAATTGGTTAAAAGTGGTTAATTAATTGTAAATAAAGTTTTTGAAACTAATTTTAATTTTTAAATTGTGCAATCTTCAGCATAAAATTTAACTCCAAAATTTGAGCTAATATCAAAGTTATTTTTATCATTTTTAATATTTAATTAGTAGGCTCTAACCTCAGATGCATTGGAAATATAAGTTAATGAGGCTGCATTATTATCAATTTTTATGTTTAATGTAAAATTTTTTACTGAATAGTAATAATTTAAGAGAGAATATATGTGAAAACCTCCAGGATAAATATTTTAAGAGATTTTACTTACACTTTTAAAAATGATATCTTCAAAATCTGATATATAATAGATTTTTTATTAAACGTAAACTGAAAATGTTTGTCTTTATTTTGTAATGTTGTTAAATGGTTTAATTAAACCACTAATATAATCAATGTATGTTAAGTTTTAATCATAATTAATAAGACATTTCATAGCCTATGTTTTGCTTGATTCAGTAACATAAAAGTAAGGATTATATTACTAATTTTATAATGAAATATTACTTTTATTAAATCTAAATCAATTTATAAACAAAATTTGCATAATTAAGGACATCGATAACATTGACCTTATTTTTGAGAATAAAAGTTAAATTAGTTGGATTATATAGTACATTTGAGACACTATTTTTATCCATGTATAATGGCACATTAATCACAATTAGTACATTAATCAATACATTAATTTTAAATTGTATCTACAAAATAATTTTATTTGCATTCTAGAATATCAATAGAATTAAAATCATTAAAAATAGTTTATATATCATTTAAATTTTAAGTTTAATGTTAAAGAAAGCCAAATAAATGTAATTTTGAAAATGAATGAGATAAGTCAACTAACTAACAATCTAAAGCCTAATCATCAACACATTTATTACATAATCCATTTATTTTATTAATATAAAAACCTTAATAGCATTTTATGCATACTAGTATACTAAATTTTGTATAGATACATTAATCACAATTTGGTAATTATTCTTAACAATTTTGAATTTATTAAAATTAATTAATTAATTAATCAAATTTAGTTGAATAACATTAAAGTTCATCATAATAATTTATGTAACTTTAACAATCAATTGAATTGTATTAAGGAAGACATTATTTAAATCGAAATGAATAAATATATCCTTATTAACATTAAGCACAACCTACTTCAAAATCATCAGATAGTTTTGTTTTTTAGAATGTATTTCTTAAAATTGAATTCTCAATTAGATTTAATGAATTATATTAGAAACAATATTTACAATTATTAATTGAACAAATCTGACACTATCCAATATAATTTATAAAAAATTGAATATTATTTGAACAAATTTAACATTATCCATCACTACATTTTAAACAGTTATTTTAACATTATATATTTATTATATCTTAATTCTTTTTTTGTTTTATGCATTTTCCATTGTTAAATTGATATCCTTATAAACATTGTATGTAAGTTTCTTTATCTAAATGAAAATATGAAGATAAATGACATTTACTATCCTATTTATCTTAACATAATTTGCAACCATAACATGGTTAAAGTTCATCATTTTCAAATATATAATATTGATTTGATATATCTTAATCTGTCATCATTTATACATATTCATAATTAGGATTATTTTCATATTAATAATAGATATCAAAACAAACTGGATTATTTTAGATCCAATCTTTTGGTCTCATTAAACAAGCTGAACATATAATCTAATTATCTTGACTTGCTGATGGACTTTAATTATAAATATTTATATTACCATTAATAACAATTCTAATTATATTCAAATTCTCCAAAATTACAATTCAATATTAAGTCTTATTCCTTTTGTATATTTTCTTCTAATTTAATTTCAATGTCATCATTAGATAATAATTTACAATTTTATTCAAAAAATTCTACATACCATAATTAACATTAACAAGTAGATTCTTTTGGATCATATACTCGATTAGAATCTGATGGACAACTCCAACAATTATTTTTAAAGGGACCAAAACATGTTTGGCATGATGAATGACATTTTATATTAGATCCAGTATAATCTTAAAAGGATATAAGAGAAAATGATCTTGTTAATGAATTTTTATCAATTATAGTACCTCCTAAAAATAAACGATAATAAATTAATTAGTATTAATATACATTATCATATTGTTTATTAATTATATAATTGAATTATGGATTCTCAAAATAAAAAGTCATAATATTTTGTGAATAATCAATAATTACATAATGCCATGTATTAATGTATTAATAATTATCTATTATAATTTCTTTAGTAATTGTTAATAAACTATCATCTGGAATTTAACGAACAAGAACAGGAATAATATAAGAATAAAAATTGATTCTAAATATCCATTACTGTATTTATTTATTATAGACATAATCTAATATAAATGAATTAGAACCAGTGGCCTTAAAGTCTTATGTAAATCGATTAGCAACTATTCTTAATATATGTAAAATCTAATCAAAATTACTATCATATATTGATTATGCTTTTGCCCAAAAGGATACACTATAGTCCTTTTGAGTTTAGGTAGAAATAGTATAAAATTAATTTGAAACTCTTTCTTACAAATCTATACTTTCCTTCTATAATAAAATTACATTTGAACCTTAATAATAAGGAAATCCATTCCATAAATATTAGATATCATCTTTTATTAATATTGCTGCATTCATTTTCCCTGAAAATTATTTTAATATTATTTTGTTTTTTGTTATTGGATTTATATCCTAAATTATTAATATTTATTACAGAATATATTCCTCCAGATATTTATGTTACTTAATAATTAGGGTATTAAGTATATGGAAATGAATAACTTCTTCTATTATTATCACCCCATAATTATTCTAAAAGTACTAAACCTGATTCTGAGTAATTTATTATTGTGCTAATTATGATGCCTTCAACTTCCTATGGTTGAAATGAGAAAGTACTTTCTACCCATCTACCTTCTAGATTAAATTGTATATGAAATACAATTAACCTTTATTCAAATTGAATTTCCATATAAATGAGGTATAATAATTCTTATTTGTCTCCAAAATATCCACTTTATAAAAAGTAATAATAATCTTCATTAGATTGTTCATAAAGATATTTATTTATTCCCAAAGGACAATATTAAGATACAACTCCTGATCCTATATAAGTTGAATCCCATTAAAATATATATGGTTATCTTGTTTGATCATGCACTATTCGAATATCGCATAAGACGATTCTAAATAGGGATAATATTAAAATCATAATATATATTTTTTATTATTATATTTCAATAATAAAATCTGCATTTTATCCTTTTTTAAAAGGTTATATCTAACTCTACATATTCTTCAAAGTCTTGAATTTCAAAGAGCAAATAGATTGGTGTTTATAATAAGTTTTATTCCTCTTCCTTACTGTTGAACATAATTGGAGAATAGAGTAACTTAGCTTTTTATTTGATACAAGTGACTTTTTCTCCAAACACCTACTCTGTATAGGTTATAAACCTTTCTAAATTATTTACTTGAGAACTAAAATGTACATCCCATCTTGACCAGAATGAAAAATTTTTACAGTTTATTTATTCATATTGACATTCTCCAGGTTCTGATTGAAGTGCATATGGAATAGCTAAATTCAAAAACATATTCTTAAAAGTTTCTAATTTTAAGTTCTCATCAATCATTAACTTTTTAATTACTTTTACTAATTCTATAGTTTATAAACCTGCTATGCATGCTGTTGTTGTTGCCATTGCAGGAACAATCTATTATATTAATATATATATTTACTCTTCCTGCTTTTAATTTTGTGGTTAACCAATCCAAAGGTTCTAAACCATAATTTTAAGCTCTACAATTCAAGGCAGCTTGAATAAATTCTACATGATGATTATCATCTTCATCTTTCTCAAATTGTATAGGTTAAGGTAAAAAATCTAAAGATTTCAATAATTTTGGAGTTGAATCTGTCTTTTCATAATAATCTTAAAAATATTCAATTATTTGATTGATTAATTCTTATTAACTTTACTATTAATTATCTTGATTTCCTTCTTCTTGTACTTTAGCTTATGCATCTTTCTAAACTTAATCTTATATCTATTATAATTTTTCTTTGTTTTCTTTATATTCTTTAGGTTTTATATTCTTAAGTGTTTATTCATAATCAATTTATTATGGAATTTCAATACCCAAAGCTGTAGCATATAATTAAGATACAGATTGAATAAATTTCATTTACATTTCTTCACCTTTAAATTCAAATATCTAAGGAGGCCTTTTTGGAGATGACCAAAACAATTTTCCATTAACAACATGATCTAAAGGATATGCCTTCAATAGATCCATAATTCCATATACAAAGTATTTATAGAATTTATTAAGAGCATATTAAATGCAATCGTTAAAATTTTTGGGCATATTTTTACAAAATTTAAGAGTTGTCTCTAATCCTTCAATAGTGAAATCTTTAAATAAAAAGGTTTATCTAATTTATTATAGTTTAGTTGTGAATAGTTTTTCAAATTTATCTCTAGCCCATTCTAAACAATGATTACTATCTTCAGGAAACATTTTGAGAGTACAATAAGGTATTTCATTATTTTCTTCTGGATCTTGTTTACTACCATAACTTTCTGTTAAATTAGGCAATATGACTTAAACATGTCCCTTTGGTCCTAAAGTACCACTTTCAAGTAAAGGTTTCATATGTTCAATACATTATGAATCAACATATAATCTGGCTTAAACATTGTCAAGTGCATTAGTTATAATATCCACATATTAAAATACATTAGTATATAAACGTTCTGTTTATGGAGAGATTTTATCTAATCTAGCAACAATCTTCATTTAAGGATTCATTTTCATACAAGCTCTAGCAGCAGTATATGATTTTGGTTGTCTAAGATGTTTTTCTCTAAATAGAAATTATCTACTTAAATTAGATTTCTCAATTACATCAGGATCAGTAACAATAATATTTCCATTAATTCCTAATCCTATCATTGCATAATTCTTTAATAATTCACATCCAATAGCTCCAGCTCCAATCAAAAGTACTTTACATTTTTCAATAGCCTATTATAAATCTTTTCCTAATATATGATTACCATCTAATAATTCTTCACATGTATGAAAATAACATTATCTAATTGGCATATATTTATGAGTAATTGCTTTAATGATTTCTTAACAAACTATTCCACCTAAATAGGCAGCTTATGGAGGAAATATTTGATTCCCAGTTTTTTAGAATAATTCATTAATTTCTCCACTTTAATTAGAATATCTATTCATTTACTCATTAATAATTGTAAATTTCTATTCATCCAAAATAAAATTTGGATCAAATATTGGATCTATTATAATTGTACTCATTTATTTATTTTATAGAACAATCTTTTATTTAACAGTCTATCCTCTTCCATTTCTTAAATATTTACCAAACTAACTAAGATCTCCAACAAATATAGTTGATTTATTGATTACTTTAACAACATTTAATTATTAATTATTGAGTGATTTTCCATTCTCTTATATAATTTCTTTAAGTTCTATAACATCATTTGGACTTAAATTATGTTTTCCTTTAATTTCAATAATACCTTATTCTTAATCTATATTTTCAATAATAAATTCTTAAACTTATTCTCCATCAGCATCATTAACAATAAATTAATCTCCTAGATCAATCAAAATCCTTCCATAAACAGAAACCAATTATGATACAATCATACCAATTTTATATTCTCTACAGATTTATGATATAATATTGATATCTTTAAGTGAATCCACTTCACATAAACATACTACTTGATAATTCTAACTCTTAATAGATTATATAATATCATTAGAATAGTCAATTTAAACATAAGGATTTAATCCTTATAAATGAAGCAAACTCTATTCTAATCTAGTTGAATCTTCATTTTAAACAAAAAACTATCCCTAATTATTGAGTTTCTTATCTTCTATTATTGTTAATCTTTTCAAACCTGATAAAACTAGATTCTTGGCTGTTTCTATACCTAATGCTCCCAATCCATATATGATTACACTTGCTTATGATTATTTACTAACAGAATCTAAACCCATAACACCTATATATCTAGACATAAGATTTTAAACTTCTGCATTTTGTATATCAAATTATCTATTACTAACATTACTTTCACTTACATCTATCTCTGGCAATTAACTTTTTAAAAATTCACTTATTTCTTCTTTCTTTTTATCATGTTATTTCTTTTTCTCTTATTATATTTAAGTATAAGATTATCTCTAAATTATTGATAATATTTTTTTATCTGATTAATGAGTTATACAAACTTTTAATTTTTCAAGTTCTTTTTTTAATGCTTCAAATTCTGCTGTTAAAATACTTTTAAATTTCTATGGTTATTATTAAAATGGAGCAGAAATATTATGATTTTATGTACAATGATAATTAACTGGCAAATCAGCTTCATCAATCCATTATTAAACTTCTTTAATTATAACATCTTTTCTCAAATAAAAACTCTTTTAAATTACTTCTTCAAAACCAACTGGTGGTTTCTATAATTATTCTATCATTGCATATCTAATATTAGCCAATTTAACAATATTACAATAACCTCTATTATTCTTTTCACCATCTACTGTTCCCATACTACTTTCCCAACCTGGTTCATTGAAATATACATATTCAGACATAACCATTGCTTATATTGAAATTAAGATTTGCCATAAAGTTGATTCATTAGGTTTCCAATTATCTCCCCATGTACCTAATAAACTTAGACATACTTTTCCACAATTATAAAGATTAGGATTGAATCTAACCTTTCCATGACCAGTAGTTTCTAATAAACATTTAGGAGGTCTGGAAGGATAATCATCACAAAATAAAAAATTATATAAAAAGGCTCCATGAGCATAAGGTGTTCCACTTGAACCAAAAATCATAGCTTACATTGCATCCATTCTATCTTTATCATATCTTAAAAATATAGAATTAGTTAATTAAAGTGGCAAATTCTCACCAATATCTGACAATTCCTTTATGATTCTATTCATTTTCTTATTTGGAGGTGATGAAGATAAATGAGAATAAGCTTCTTCCAATTATTTTTTCCATCCTGCTTATTTAATTACTTCACTAGTTCTCAAAACTAAAGGTTTCATAATCATAGGATATAAATATGCAGGATCCTATATTTATTAAGTTTCAGTTTCTTCAAATTTTACATCAATATATTTATTCTACTCTAAAATTATAATTAATTTATTAAAGAAATCTTGAAGTTCTTTTAATACTTCACTTAATTGAGTATCTTAATTTGTAAAATTTTATTTAATTTTTTAATTTAATTCTTAATCTTCTTTGTTTTGAATAAACACTGACTCATTATTAACTTTTTGTATAACTTCGAATAATGAAATATCACCATAATCTTTACAAGTAAATAGATGCATAGCTTCTTCGGTTAAGAACTTATTTAATAATACAAAGACTATCTGAATAACTTCAAATTTATCTGATATAGTTTGACTTTTGCTTAAAGATGATATTATGCTTTTAATAACTGGTATAAGACATGAATCTTCTATCATAAGAATATAATCAAGATTTAAGTGCTTTAATTTCTTAAATATTTCATTTAATATTTTCCATCTATATCCTTCAGCTTATTAATAAATTAAATCAGAATCCAAAACTTATACTTCTTTCTTTTTCTATTATGATTAATAAGTTGATGAATAATTAATATCTCCATATCCAATTCCCTTTGGTTTAGATCCCTTTTATTTATTATTAGAATTTGTTGTTTATTGAGTTGTCTTAGGTGGTTCTTCAACCTTTTTTGGTGGCTATTTTTCCACTTTCTTTTATTTCAAATCTAATGAATTAGCTTCATAATATTAATGTAATCTCAATAGCAATTAATCTACTTATTATTCAGTATAATAATTTAGATCAATTTATAATAGATTATCATAAACTACTTAATGAAATATAGATATATCTTTAGGATCTTCTAAACATAAAGTAATCAGATTATTGAGCCAATCCTAACTTATAATTCTTTAACACCAATCTTAATTCTCAAACAATAAACACTCATATAATAACATATTAACACTTGATTTATTTTCAAATTTCTCCTATGCTAATTATATTAATAATGAATGAATCAATCCTTTTTTTGATAATTTCTTACATAATTTAGTTTTAGTGTTATCAATATTATTGCTTTATTAATATACATAAAACTTTTCTAATTTGCTAAATTATTATCCCATAATTCGAATACCCTTCTATTCAAAATATACAGTTTAATTTTGATATAATTGATTGTTATAATATACTAAATCAACTTAACACTTAAGATCAGTTTTATTGAATGTTTTCTACATTCCCAATATTACATTTGTATAAATTAAAATACATGGTTTTTCTAATCCATATTGAATTTGATCTCCTTTATCAATCCATGCATATTTGTTATTTACTGAATGAGGAAACTCCTATAAAAATACTTCTGGTATATCAGAAGAAGCTACATAAGAACTTTTACTCAATAATTATAAAGGTAAATCATTGAGTGGTGTATCAAGAATATCATCATAAACTTGAATTACTAGTTGCTCATCACAATTTTCAACTAGTGAATTACTCAATTCTTTAATGCAGATATTCTTTAGGTAATCATTTTTCAAAGATTTAATGTGTTGATAAAGACTCTTTTATTAGTAAATCTTCTCAAAAGTTGTCAACTTTTTGTATTCCTCTAATGTTGTAAACTCAATATTATTTTAGATTTCTTCAATAGTTTATTCCTCAAAGATATAAACATCTTATCCATAATCTTCATAAAACATTTAGTATAATTAATTGTATTATTTTATTGATTATTTTTTTGTATTAATTAATTTATGGATCAAAATACAGAATAAGATAGAGATTGGGATGATTTAAAAGGAGTATTAGCTGATGACATCATTAATAAATTTAAAGAAGTAGGTCCAAAAGTTTATGCTCATCAATATGAATTTATGAATTATTGTCTAGGTTAAGAAGTTAATTAATAATCTCCTGTGATTGCTTTAAGAAGTCAAACTGGAAGTGGAAAGACATTATGCTTCCAATCTCTAATATATTAAGAATTCAAAGATAAACATCAAAAAATTAGTGAACAGAAATAAATTAAGTAGAAAGACAATACAATGAAAGAAGTTAGAATGTTATATCCATATACAATTGTCTTGGGATAAACTATTTACTTGAAATAGCATGAAGAATATTTCAGAAAACATTTACCTGAAAGATTGAAGAATTAAAATTTAAAATTTTAAACTTTCTTTGCATTTACAAAAGATAATGTATATCAAAATTCATTATTATTATATAGTAATTTCAATAAGTAAAGGAAAATAGAATAGAAGATGCTGATTGTTAAGTTTACTTATGTCATCCTAGTAAAATGTTAGTTGGATTGAAGAATCGTATAATAAATGTATCGAATTTAAGGTATTTAATAATTGATGAAGCTGATCAATTATTAGAAAAGAATGAATAAAATTAAGCTAGAGTTGAAACAATGCAATTAATCTAATTCATCTTAGGATAAACTAATAATTAAAATTATTAAATCATTTTTGTGAGTGCAAGTTTAAAACCTGAAGAAATATAAAATTTTATTAAAGAATGTGTTTAAAATAATATTGATGCAAATAAAAAAGTAGATACTAGATTCTTACATAAAGATGAAGATGATATCTAAGAAGTTGTTTGTAATTTAAGAGTTATCCCATAAATTCAATAACAAATTTCTCCTTATACAATTGTTCATATGTATAAAGAAGCACCTGAATAACCAGAATAAATCTTAGTAGATTTATTAAAAGATGTTTTTGATAAATTTACAGAGGCTTAAGTTATGATATTCTTTAACAAAAAAACAATTGTTAATGAATTAATAAATTTATTTAAAAAATCATAGAAATTAGAATACATAGTTAAAAATAATTGGATTGGAGAATGTACTGGTGATACTAATTAAGCGGATAGAGAAACTGTTAGGAAAGAATTTAAAGATGGAAAAAAGAAGATTCTACTATGTACAGATGTTTTATAAAGAGGAATGGATTTTAGAAAAGTGAGAGTTATTATTCATTATGGATTACCTATTACTCCAGCAGGAGAATTTAAATCAGAGAGGTATTATTATATTAATAATAATTTAGTTATTATCAACGTTCAGGAAGAACAGGAAGAGCAAAAGATGAAGGAGTTGTTGTATCATTATTATTAGAAGATGACCTAAAATAGAAAAGATAAGAGAAATTAATAGAAAGTTTAGTGATGAACAATTCAAAAATACAAAAATATGATTAGAAACAATTCTGCACTGATTTGGCTAAATTATTGAATTTCAATAAAGAGTGATAAAACAAATAAATATTAAACAATAAAAATGTCAAACTTATCTCGTAGCAGTTAATCATCAAGAAGTTCTTCATAAAAGCGTAATACAAAAAGACCTCAAAGAGACAAAAGAAAGAAGAATAACTCTGATGAATATGACAGTCAAATTGATGATGAAGATGTATCCTAATATGAGGGTATTGTATAATCAATTCATTTTAGGAATGAGATCCAAAAATAAACAACAACCCTTATTAGGTCCTGGTAGATTCAATAGAAGAGAAAATAAACTCAAAAAACCAAATTCTGTCTATACTCCGGCGGCAACAACATTTCTATATAAGCCTGGTGCAGAATTACCTAATCTATCTAATTTCATTAACTAGACTATAGAAATTAGAATTGCCTGTGAATATGTCAACAAAAACAATCAAGCTTTAATACTTCGATAAATTTGGGGATCCAATGGTGTATATGCTAGTCATAGTGATGCAGTTTGTATTGGCATACATGCAGGACTCTTAGCTCTTGGAGATCTTAAATTAACAGGAACCTTTTATTAAGGAATCAGTTTGTCTTGTAAAGTCATTAAAGGCAAAAAGACATTAAATGGTTAATTAAAAGTGCCTTTACTTTCAAGATCTCTTAAGACTCCTTGTGCTCATTGTCTAAAACCTGAAAAAGTAAATTGGTTGTCTTAATTGGGATCTCCTGAATAATTGATAAGTTGGGCAAGAAAGATGTCTTTACCTCCTAATAGGAGACTAACTAAAAAAACTCATCTAAATGTATTCTTACATGAACCTCCTTAAAGCAGTCTTCCAGAAAACTTATTAGTTAATAATTTACCTCCTTTAAATGAAGGTTGGATTGTTTGGGATATGTGTAATGAACCTAGTTAGAAATATAATTTACTAACATTTTTAGACAGGCAAACTGCTTAAGGTATTCCTAGTCGAACTTCATATAGACTAAAAACTAATTGTTTATATATTGAAACAAGCAACAAAAAGTATAAAATCAAATTTATTTATTAGATTTGAGATTTCCATGGATCCTAATAAAATAGCTGAAGAAGTCTTTTTAGACTCTCAAGTATTTATGATCTCAGAAATTATAATACCATAATAATCAGATATTGAGATGTTGTAAAAATATGGAGTAATTAAATTGATTTAATTAGTTAGGTTCCCTTGCCTAAAGAATTAAAAAGTCTAATATTAGACAAATTGAAATGGATTAATTTTGAATGGGGTAATGATAATGTTATTATTGATGGGCAAATCACAATCCAGGGTTTAAAGAGCTTTAAATTTGTGCCAATTACAAAACATTAACATTTATGATTAATCATTTTATAATATAAAAATGTTTAAATTTGCAATTAATTCATTCTCCTATTAATAAGTAGAAAATTGTATAATTTATTATTGTAAAACCTATTTCTCTCAATCACATATGTCTAGCTAAATGTAGATTGGATAAAAATTAGAAATACAAAATTTAGAAACAATGGTAATTCAATTGAATTTCATTAAAATATTATTGTCTAATTTGATATATATAATTTATTGGTAGAAAAAGTTCCTAATCGATAGAATAATTGAATAATAATTGTAATAATAGATTTTCTATATATTTTTGAGTAGTTTAATTAATTTGGATTTTAATTGGAATTAATTAGTTTGGATGAAAAAGGAAGATAATTAATGATATATTATTTAGGAATAAAGTTATATGCACAAAATTAGAGTTGATATTATAAGAGATGAAATATAGTCTAAAGAATTGAATAATGATTATTATGTTAACATAAAATCAAATATAAACATTAAACAATATATTGAATAATAAATTACATGAGTAAATGGATAGATTTCAATAGTTTTATGTTAAGATGATAAATAATATTTCTCTATTTATATTAAATTCATTAAATAAAATGTAATCTATTGGGTCTGAAGGACTGAAGGCAGGTGTTACTAAGTCGAACATCCGCAGCAATGTTACAATGTAGAAGAGGTTTTGATTATCAATTTAGATAGGCCCATTAATTTAGGAGGCGGCAAAACTTAATTAGGACCACCAAAGACTAACATGGATACTCAATAATCAGCTGCAGATAATATTGTTGTGAAGTATAAAGATACTGTAGTGACTCCAAAAGAGTAAAAATTTAAATTTAAGAAAGGCTTGTGACTAAAAAATTTTTATAACTTGCAGAGTAATAAAATAGAGAAGAAGAGCAGCGATTAAAAGTATTATAGAAATAGAATGAAGCTAAAGTCAGTTAAAGTGTTGCTGAGAGTAATGTGAAATCATTTTATTAAAGTGCTGTATAATTATAATTTTATAATTAGGATAAATCATCTAATTCAGATGTAAAGATTTCATCATCAAATAATCCTGAACGTAGTAGTTTTATGGAATCTAAATAATCTGAGGGTACATATTCTGATTCAGATTCAAAAAGAGATCAATCTGAATAATAAGAAAAGAAGACTAAATAAAAGAAAGGATTAAAAGAAGAGGATTTAGAAGAGAATATTCCCATTAATTTATCTGAAACTTGTACAATGTAATTACTTTTTATACCATCATCTTTTATCAACAATGAATAAGGAAAAAAAAGTGGAGTTATTTAAAAAACTTAGGAGTATGAGAAATACATGGTTGAAAAGATTGGAAGTGATAATTATACTAAAAGACATGCTTAAACATTCAATTATAATTAAAAACATAAAATATAATAATCAAATAAAATAGAGAAAAATGAATATGGTGCATTTGCTGCTATTTGGGATCTATATGATGCATCAATTACTGATTAATTGAATGAATTTGAATTATTATAAGAAGACATAAAAAGCTCTATTGAAAAAGAATATAAATAACATCTCAAAAATCCTTATTTTCTACTACCAACTGAATTAGAAGCTATTAAGATTCATACTGAAAGACCTGTATTAGGTAAGGATTATTCTGAAAAATAAACAAATAAAACAAAAACAGGCATAAATACCAATAAGTAGAGTTAACCACTTAATAGTTTATCTGGAGGATATACTAATTAATAATTAGATGAAAAAATGTAAGATTCAAGTTCAAGTCATACAGGTACAAAGAATTTGTAATCTTAATAAGTTAATATTTAATAATAAGTAACAAGAAGTCATGGCAAGACTAGTAATCCAATGCCAGAATAATAATAAAAATAATATGAAATGAAATAAGATGAATAAGATTTAAAAGAAGAAGATTATATGAAAGAATTGGTTAAAAGAAATAATACTTAAATGTCTGAAGCAGAATAAGTGATATTTTAAAGTAATTTGGTTTAGACAAATTTAAAATATGTTGAGAGAATTTTGAATTAAAATCTATTTCATAAACAATACATTTAATATAGAAATTACCCTGAAGTTAAATTTGAAAAAATGACTTTAGATGAGGATCTAAAATAAAGAGGAGGAGCTTTTAAAAGAGCATTTTAAAATAAATAAGAAGATGAAGAAGTTGTAGAAAAGAAAAAACATGAACCTATTGTGTAATTGTTCTAATATAAATGTGCCTTAAGTGATTAATGTAAAGTTACTTAAGCAGATTGGAATTCTGTTAATAAAGATTTATTGGCAGTTTCTTATTCAAATTAATAAACATCTGAAGGTCATATTATGTTTTGGACCCTCAAAAATCCTACATATCCTGAAAGAATAATTACTTATCCTTCAAAAATTAATTGTTGTAAATTTTCAAATAGTCAACCTAATCTTATTGCTGCTGGTACTATTGATGGTATAGTTGCTGTTTGGGATATAAGAAGAAAATCAGATAAACCAGTAACTGAAAATAAAGAATTACCTGGAAAACATAGTGATTCAGTATGGGAAGTATAATGGATAGGTAAAGGAGCAAAAGGAACCGATAAGGTGGAATCATTAGTTAGTATAAGCAGTGATAGTAGAATTGCAGAATGGTCAATGAAAAAAGGATTAGAGTATACTAATTTAATGAATCTGAAAAGAGTTGTTTAATCATCTTAAAAAGAAAATTTATAAGAAGGAGTCAATTTTAGATTATCAGCAGGATTTTCATTTGACTTTTTATAAGGGTAAATTATTTATTATATATAAACAAATAGAGAATCTTCTATGTATTTAGCAGCAACTGAAGATGGAACCATACATAGATGTTCAAAGTCATACACAGAACAATATTTGGATAATTATTTTGGTCATTCTGGTCCAGTTTACAAAGTTAGATGTAATCCATTTATGAGTGATATCTTTTTAACATGTAGTGCAGATTGGTCATGTAAATTATGGAATTGGAGAGAAGAATTACCAAAAGCAAATTTCTAAGTATTATATACATATTAATTTAGTAATAAAACTTATAAGATGAAGTTTTAGATTTTGAATGGTCACCATATACATCCACTTTATTCGCTTCAGTTTGTAAAGATGGAAGATTAGAATTATGGGACTTAACAAAAAATAATATGTTAGATCCCTTTGCCACTTTAATGCCTTAAGATTAATAGATTTGGGCAGCTAAGACAATGGTTCGATTCGCTCAAAATAGTCCAATTATAATTACAGGTGATGCTCATGGAGAAATTAACACTTATAGATTATATGGTAAAATAGTAATATTAATAATTTAGGTTATGAGGATAATGATCCATTAGTCCAATAAGAAAGATTAGAAAAGTTGTTTTATCCAACTGGATATGTTAAAGGATAAAAAGAACAAAGAGATTGATGAGTGTATTAATATATATATTTTTAATATGAATGTTAATTTAATCTGTCCTTAGCACAAATAACAAGTTATCCAAGCCTGCATTGATTTAGATTGCTCTGTGTTCCCTTTTATGTGTAAAGTGTGTATGACAGATTAAAAAACCATTTCTTAACATACAAAACACAATCAATGTTTAATACCCTACCAGTAATATGTAACATTGGTAAGTAAATAAATTGAAGACTAACTTCATGATTCTAACAAATATATTGATCTTTTTAACAAAGAATCTTAAGTTGTTTAATAAATTTTGTTATCAGATGAACATTTGAATAATATGGAAGGATATGTAAGATCATAAAAATAATAAATTGAATCTGATATCAACTAAGCCTTAGAATCCATCGTATTACTATTTGAATTGCATAAAACAGAACTATTAAACAAACTAGATCAATATCTCAAAATATACAAAAACAATTTTTTTATACTTAAAGAATAACTAGAACCAATACATTTCCTTTTGACTAAGTGTAAATATTACTCAAATGAAAATAATTTAAAAGTAAGAATTATCTGTATTATAGTAAAAATTGCATACTAAACCTGATTTAGGATCATAAGTCAAAGTATCAATTAAATAAATGTCTATTATAAAGAAACCAGAATAATTAAAGTAAGTATTGGATAAAGTCAAGAAGGCTTAAGAATTATAATATAATAATGAGAATTTCACAAAATTGCTAACTGATGCAATGAATTCAATCAAAGATTTCTATATTAAGAATGTCAGTATTCCAAATCAAACACCAATTGAAATTTAACAATAACCAAATATATTAACTACTATTCAAGCTATATCCTCTCCTCCAATTAAAAGTAAATCTATGGATGTATCAAATGCTGATAAGGTGACAATGTTAGATGATAACAAAACAGTTATTTCTGCAGTCGATACTAAAATCTCTCTTTAAAGTTAATTATAACCAACAATAATTCCAAATATTAATGTTTAAATATTAGATAATAGAATAATTGAAGATGCTAATCAATCAAAAGTAATATTATTTATTATTATATATTTAGGGACATTCAAATTAAAGATTCAGAATAAAAAAGAAATTAAGTATTGAATTCTAAGTTACTTCATTGGCTTTAGTCAGTAATGCATCTGTTGCCTTAGGATTAGCTGATGGAACTGTCAAATTATTAGACATGAGTACAAGCAAAGTTAGTTTTTATCCTAATACTTATATTTAACATACTAAACCTGTTTGTCAATTATCAATTTTAAAATAAAATAGGGGTACTAGATTGGCATCTTTAAGTGATGAAAATTATGCAATAATATGGACATTAGGAGAAAATTATGTACCTTATCCAGAGAGAAAATTAATTGGATTCAAATCTAAATTAAATAGAATTATGGATATTGCAGATTCATCACATCTTCTTTGTTTGAGTGATACTAATCTATAAGTTATCAATTATCATGATAATAGAATTGCTTATACTTTTGATTTTAAAACTTAACTTATTGAATTCCTTTATGTAAGTAAATATGAAAAATTTGCTACCATTTCTCAAGGGAATATAGTTTCAATTTATAGTTTAAAAATGAATAATAATTTGTAAGGAGCAATGTTATTAGTTAATTGTGAATTAGAATGTATACAACCAGCTCTTCCTNTATCTGTATTATAGTAAAAATTGCATACTAAACCTGATTTAGGATCATAAGTCAAAGTATCAATTAAATAAATGTCTATTATAAAGAAACCAGAATAATTAAAGTAAGTATTGGATAAAGTCAAGAAGGCTTAAGAATTATAATATAATAATGAGAATTTCACAAAATTGCTAACTGATGCAATGAATTCAATCAAAGATTTCTATATTAAGAATGTCAGTATTCCAAATCAAACACCAATTGAAATTTAACAATAACCAAATATATTAACTACTATTCAAGCTATATCCTCTCCTCCAATTAAAAGTAAATCTATGGATGTATCAAATGCTGATAAGGTGACAATGTTAGATGATAACAAAACAGTTATTTCTGCAGTCGATACTAAAATCTCTCTTTAAAGTTAATTATAACCAACAATAATTCCAAATATTAATGTTTAAATATTAGATAATAGAATAATTGAAGATGCTAATCAATCAAAAGTAATATTATTTATTATTATATATTTAGGGACATTCAAATTAAAGATTCAGAATAAAAAAGAAATTAAGTATTGAATTCTAAGTTACTTCATTGGCTTTAGTCAGTAATGCATCTGTTGCCTTAGGATTAGCTGATGGAACTGTCAAATTATTAGACATGAGTACAAGCAAAGTTAGTTTTTATCCTAATACTTATATTTAACATACTAAACCTGTTTGTCAATTATCAATTTTAAAATAAAATAGGGGTACTAGATTGGCATCTTTAAGTGATGAAAATTATGCAATAATATGGACATTAGGAGAAAATTATGTACCTTATCCAGAGAGAAAATTAATTGGATTCAAATCTAAATTAAATAGAATTATGGATATTGCAGATTCATCACATCTTCTTTGTTTGAGTGATACTAATCTATAAGTTATCAATTATCATGATAATAGAATTGCTTATACTTTTGATTTTAAAACTTAACTTATTGAATTCCTTTATGTAAGTAAATATGAAAAATTTGCTACCATTTCTCAAGGGAATATAGTTTCAATTTATAGTTTAAAAATGAATAATAATTTGTAAGGAGCAATGTTATTAGTTAATTGTGAATTAGAATGTATACAACCATCTCTTCCTATCTCAAATATAAGCACATGTATTGCAACAGAATACTTGAATGATATAGTCATCTGTTATGGATGTACTGATGGATCTGTTAAATTATTTAATGTACTTAAAAACATCTTAATAGGTGAATATTAAGTAAGTTATTAATAATTATTTTTAAGTTATTCAATTCAAAGGTATAGGAGATGATTATTGTTAAATAGCATAAGCTTTTTATTTTAGTAGCCTTTGCTGAAAGTTTAAAATAAATTAAAGCAATAATGATATAAGAGAGCAAAATAATTCCAATTGAAATGTTTGGTGAATTGCTTGAATGTCCTGCTAGGAGTGGCAAAAATGTTCTTTAAACATTTTTCAAAAATAGAAGTTCATTTTATTTATTGAGTGACTCATAGAAAGACATTGGATTATATGAATTATGCTGAAAATAACAATTATATATTAATGTACGATTATTAAATTATTATTTTAATATAAAAATTATTATAAGAATGAAACTATTGATTCAATCAGACAAAAGTAGTATTTTAATATTCTTAAGATATTCTTCATATTTTAATATATAAAAAAGATTGATAGATTTACAAGAAATTTAATTTCTAGTTAATTATTTATTTTGTTAGATAATTAAATTCCAAGTGCTTTTGATATGTTCACCTGTAATTTAAAATTTACATTATAAAAAATAATAACATTTTTAGTATTTGTGTTTTTTCAATAATATTTTAATTTCTTACTTTTTATGACGTGTTATATAACCTTTTTTTATTTATATATAATAATCAATTTATTTATATAATTAAATTATAATTTATATTTTGATGATGAATGGATTCTACCTTATACTTCTTTTCTTAATAAATATCTAAATATAAGCCAAAATGTACGATGAGTCTTAATTATATGACTGTAAAAATGATAATGATGATGATTATTAAAAACTTAAATTGTTTCCAATCGATTGTGGAATATTTTTATTACTATGTATTAGTTGAATGAGAAATCAAAGCCCCTGTTACATTTTGCATTTCCATCCGAATTATTTAGAAGTTCCTTAAAGACTTTAAACTGTTTGGTGGACCTGGAGATGTTATCTTTATAATTACAGCAACAAATGGAATCCAATCAATAGTTTAATTTTCTACAGCATTGTATGTGCTAATTACTGGATTAGCTCCAATCGATATATTTTGTGATGTAATTATAAAAATAAATTAGATCACAGGGATAGCAACTTCAATAGTTTTTGTAATTTCGAATCTAAATATTTTTTTATTTGCTGCTTACCCACTTGCTTTAGTATATAATTCATTGGAGTCCACAGTCAAATTTATAAGAATATTTAATTATTCTTTCACAACTATAATAATTATAATCATTTTGTTAGGATTTGCTGTAAATAATGAAATTATTTCATTAACATTAAATGGGTAATATTATTTAATATTTCTTAGAATGTGTGCAATATCAGCTACTAATAGTAATATATGGGATTTTATTATTGCTACAGTTTATTTATTTGTTTTCTTATTATTTGCAACTATGTCAATAATCTACGTCTTTACTTTCAAAAAATTGGTTCCTAAAATGTCATCAATAAGATAATTAAGAGGCTAATACCTTAGATATTATTAAAAGTTCATCACATTTAGTCTAATAATGAAATTCTTTTTAGGAATTTTCAGTGCAATTAATCTACTAAATTGCTATCGCTTTCAAAAGACTTATCTATTACCTTCAGAAACCTTATAAAATTTTACTCAAGCTGTTTGTATACTAGGATAAGTTATCTTTATCACAAGAGATCCCATATTAATACCTAAATTTAAACATACATAAACTTCGAATAGCCAATAAAATTTAGATTCATCTAATGATACTAAACCTGTTGAAATCTCTATGTAGTGTAATATTGTTTTAATTTCTTTTAGAATTTAATATTTTAGAATAATTGTAAAAAGAAATGAAAAAAACTTAAGTAATTTCAATGTTAGCTGGTATTCAATTATTAAAAAGGTAGAAATAAGAATAAATAATATATTACAAAGATCTAGTTATAAATGATGAATAACCTGAAACTGAAGAATCCAGTTAAGGGGATTTAAGTGAATTAATTGAAGTTACTTTATCACCTTTTATTCCTGAAGAAGTTGAAGAGTGTTTGGTTGTTAATATGAATAATGAACTTGTCAAGACTTTACTTCCTGAAAATCAAAATATCTAAGTCTTTTAAATGAAATGCATATTATATGCTCCAAAGATATTTAACTACTTTGTTACTCTTGATAATATAGATATTGAAGATTCCTTTGATGTTTATAAGAATTTATTAAAGATTGAATAATTTACTGGACCTGATGGTGGTAAAAGTGGTGAATTTTTTTTTTTCTCTCACAATAATTAATTGATTCTTAAAACAATGAGATAATCTGAAGTATCCACTTACAAAAAACGATTACTAAATTTTGCTATTTATTAAGCTAATAATCGATCATCTTTATTAAATAAGATATATGGAATGTATACTTTTGAAAGGTCTGAAAATTCTGAATCAAAAGTTCACTTTTTAATAATGAAGAATCTTTCTTTAGGAATTCCAAGGAACTAAATATTAAGAACTTATGATTTAAAAGGTTCTGAATATGATCGTGAAGTTCTTTCCAAAAAAATTGAAAGTGATTTATCAAAATTAACTCTTAAAGATTTAGATTTCTTCAAAATAGAATAATAAATTTGGGTGGAAAAAGACACTATTTAAAGTAATTTTTTATAATTAATCAAGAATTAAACTAAAATTTAATCAAAGATTCAGATTTCTTAGAAAAATAGAAACTTATTGATTATTCTTTATTAATTATGATCATAGATTGGAAAGCTCAATAATAAATATTAATGAAGCATTTGGATGACTAAAAAATCAATATAATTCCTTCAATAAAGGAAGAAGGAGTAAATTTATATAATATTCATTAGATTTACTATCATATTGGTATTATAGATTATTTATAATAATGGAATGTTAATAAATCTCTTGAAAGAAAAACAAAAAAGATTATTAAAATGAATTTACAATTAGATACATCAGCTTAGGAGCCTAACAGATATGGAAAACGATTTAAAGAAAAATTGATAAACAGAATCCTTCCCTTATGACTATTAATATTGTCTAAGATTAAAATATTCATTTAAATAAGCTAATCTTGCATCATTCTTATTAAGAGTATGTATTAAATAAACTAAATTTTTTTATTAATCTTTTATTAATATCTATATTAAGAATTAATTTAATGGAATTTTTGCAAAAATTAATGGTGATACCTCAAAATATCATTAATGCTCTTAAGAATATGAAATCCTAAACAAACAAAGTTGAAAATATTTTTGTTGAGCCCCTTACTTTTTGCTATGAATCAAAAGTAGAAACAGTTCAAGTGAAATAATTTGATCATTTAGTAAAAAGAAAAAAATTAACGATGAATTAAGAAACTCAAACAGAACCATAGACTAAAATAGAATAAATAGAAAATATTGATTAAGTACCTGAGGTTGATTCACAAAAGAATCGTAAACTAAGATTAGTCCCTTCTAAATAAAATAAAAAATAATCTAAATTACTTACAAAATAGATTATATAAGAAGAAAGCTTAAGTAGAGCATCTGAGTAAACAGAACCATCATAATACTCATATTGCTAAAATCACTTTTTGACAATATTAGAATAAAATGAAGAATAATATAAATTAGAACAAAAAAAAATATACCAGTTTAATAAGAAAAATTAAAAGTAATATCGTAATCAAATACTTAAAAATTATATAAACAAATTTAAAGATAATTATATTGATGAGAAATAAATACTAAAATCTACAAGAACACAATCCTCAGATGAAAAATAGATTAGTATTGATTAGAAAGAATTAAATAATAACTAATAGTAACAAACACTGGTTTGATGATTTATTGATTTTTAAAAATATATTATTTTCTTTATTTGATAAATAAATTTAAGTGATATAATTCATTTATAATCACTGAATATCAAAATTTCTGCTATTATATAATAATAAAACAACCCAAAAATGAATTAATTTAAATCATAAAGTAAACAAAAACTTAAATATCTTTTCATAATAAACATATATAATTAAATTATAAAATGTAAACAAAAAAAAATGTAGATGATCTTTTAGCAGAGTATGCATAAGAGTATGGTGAAGATTTGGATAATATTGAACCAAATATTAGTGATGAAAATGCTTTTGATGATGATCCAGAAATGAGAAGACTTTAATAATAATTGTAAGATAATTCATTCTATTTTGAAATGGCGACTTAGGTAAAACAAATAGTAAGTTTCAAAATGCTACTAAATCAATGGGTATCTATAATTAAATGATGGCAAATTTTGAAAATCATTAAAATACATAAGTTCCTTAATCCCAAAATTAAATGTAGAATCAATAAGAAGTAGCAACATTTAAAAATACAAAGGCCACCATAGATCTAATTGCATTAGAAAAATAATTTACTACTCCATCTAAACTTTAATCATTGAGTGTACTAAAATTTGATATAGGATATATAAATCAAAATATAATCCCAAATTAAAAAAAAAACCCTGAAATAACTAACTTCTATAAAAATCTCGTATGCGATATAATTGTAATTTATAGGTATCAGAATTGCAATAATAGCTTTCAACAATAACATAGAATATTAAGGATGAATAAATTGAAGAAATATAATATATGAAAATGGTGAATACTACATTATAAGAGGAATAACTAAAGTTTACAATAGCTACATCAGTTATGAAGAATAGAATTGGTTTGAGATGTAGAACATTACAATAAGAAATACAAGGATTGCAAAATAATAAATTTGATAAAATTTGTTAAGAATTTGGTTGTGGTCCTAGTTTGACATAAAAATTGTTATTTTAAGAATTTTAAGATAAGCCATTTAAATAAAAAGCAAAAGAATTATTTATTAGGCACAAAGAATATTTAAATTTAATATAATATTTAAGTACTCATTTGAAAGAAGAAAAAAGAGAGCTTATTGAATTTTTGATAGGTAAACTAGAAAAAAGCAAAGCCTTTTAAAATGATTTGAAGGAAGGCAAAAATATTGATTATTCTAAATTCTACATTTCTGAATTCAAAGAAATAACTGAAGAGTAATTTCTTGGGATTTCTAAAAAAGAATATTTGGAAAAAATATAAAATATGCAGGATTAAGTGAATTAAGCTTATAAAGAAGAATAACTTTATTATAAGGTGGCATCTCTCGCTAAACCTATTGTTTAAATTATTCCTGGAACAAATTAAATGCAGAGAATCAGTCCAGCAGATATATGCAAGCAATATTTTGCTAGATATGAAGAATTATAGAAATATTTGACAGATTAAAAAGATGTAAGTTGGACTCCTTTGCCTATATTTAAATTGGATACTGAAAATAGAGAAATTTCTACTGTAAATAAAGATGTTCAAAATGGAATACTAAGAATTCAATTTAAAAATTTTATAAATGGAGATAAATTCTTTATTTAATTTGAATTATTAATTGGAAAGTAAGGAATTATTTATTTAATTATAGTTAAGTATATCAAGCAAAAACAGAGTAAGCTGATGGTTAAGGTAGATTGAATTATAATTAAGATATAAATCTAAAAGAATTTAAGAATGGAACAAAAGAGATTCATTTATCTGTAATAGATATTAAGGTATTTAACAAAGGATGGCTATCAAATGATTTAAAAGGATAAGGTAAAATTGAGTTGAATGATTTGCTTGATATGTCTACAATAGAAGGTGATCTTTAATTGAATGAGAAAACTGTTTTACAATATAGTATAATGTTGAGGGAATCAATTAATAGAAAAAAAACTGTAACTACAGCATAAATACTGAAAACTTACCCAAAATTTGATAAAATAAGTGGATTAGATGAATATTTGGAATAAAAACTAAAAGAAATACCAAATGAACCAATTTAATATTCAAAGCTTGAAATTAAAAAACTATAATAATAATAATAAAATTAAATTGAAGAAGAAGAATGTTAAGGTCCATAATTATAACCAGATTAATTAATTGTATTATTATTAATTCAATTAGATTCTTAATCATTAAGAGATTGATGAAGAATTTTTAAATGTTAAAAAATTAGCATAATAAATGCCACAATTAGAAGAAGATTTATTGAATCCAGATAATCCATTAAAAGGAAGTGTTTATTATTTTTTAGTTTAATATTCCTCTTTTTTATTATAGAAATCTGTTGAATTAAAATAAGATCCCTCCCAAAAATTACATTCAAGATTTGTTTAAAAATTAGGGGAAGATTGTTTAAGATAATAAAATAAACTTAAAAAAAAATTAATGGATGATATGGAGGGTTATTTTGATGATTTGTAAAAGATTATAAAAAAAGATTAATTAATTATTAAATTATATAAGTAGGCTTTAGCACCAAATTGGTAGAAATTTGTAGAAGGCAGATTAGAAATTGCATTATAAGAAGAGAAAGCAATTTAAGAATAATTATGATTATATTATATATATATATTTATCATAATTATGTAAATGAAATTATATCTTACATATGTCTTGCTATGCAATGATGTTTAGAGTCTTGATATTTATTAAGAAATTCATTTACTGAACCCCCTTATCTTAATCTATTTAAAGTTTATCTTGTTTCTTCAATTCCAATAGTTTCAACACATTATTCCATTTTTAATTTGATTAAATTATTTATTATTGTTTATGGTTTGATTGGAGCATCTAAATATTAAGGCTTTTACAAGAAATCAATCCATTATGGTTTAGGAATTGGAGAAACTAATTTTCTATGAGTAGATGATACAAAATTTTATCTAGTAAAAGTATTACTTTTCATAATAGTATATGATTAAGTTCCTTTAGTTTATTATGAAATTGGTCTGAGAGTTAATGTATCATCTTATGGTTTCTTTAAATTTAATTTAGGAATAGTTTATTTACTTTTATTTTTAATTCCAAGATTGATTGTTTTATTATTATTTTATTTATCTTCTTAAATAATTTATTAATCTTTTTGTGTTTAATCTTTGATATCAAATTAAAAATTATCAGTACAAACACTCTTCCTTTTTTATTTTTGCTATTTATTATTACACCAAAACTCAAAAGTATCTTATTATTCATAAGTAAAATTGAAATGCTTTTATTTTAATAAGATTTTAAAGTTTTCATTATGTACTAATTGTCGAATATCTAATCTATCTGTTTCTTGGAGATCAAGACAAGTTGTAATTATGAATCGAAGCTACTTGGAATATATCTATGGAATCTTAACAATTCTTAAATGATAATTTCAATTACGCTCCTCCATTAAGGATGACTGCTTTGATTTGGTCGATAAATTCTAACTTAAATAATTGTCTCTGTGTAGTCAATTCGTATAATACAAGACCAAATTAATACATCATCGATTTGTATGAAAATTTATTATGAAATAACAATTCTGGAGGTCTATAACTAGGTTTTTGCTGTTAAATTAAGTTATCAATTCCAAAATCACAAATCCTCACTTATTCCTAATGTATCAATATATTTTCAGGATTTAAACCTTTATAACATATCTTATTTTCTCTCAAATAGATTAAAACAAACACGATTTGTATAAGTATTTTACAAATCACTCTCTCAGAAATGAAACTTCCAAGATGCTCATTTATAAACTATTTTAAATTTCCTTAATCTGCATATTCCATTATTATTATAACATTATCATCTAATCTAAATACTTCCTTTAGTTTAATAACAAAAGGTATTTAACATTACTTCATAATTTATATTTCACTTAAAGCTAGATATACAATAAATTTTATACCTTAATTATAAAATCCAATAAACTCCTTCATGGCATATATGTTATTATCTCTTATATTTCTTACTTTATGAATGATTGTAGATTTTGATTCATAAATCTTATCTAAAATTTCATAATTCTGCATTTATTATCAATTAATAAATATTTTTTATTTGGAAAATAGAATTTTATCAATAAAATCATTCTAATACTTAAGATACTTAAGGGCTTTAAGTGACCTTTATACACCTAATCCCAGATAGTGGATCTTTTTAGTAAAATTAATGAATATCAAGTAATAATTTTGAAGGAGATTAAGATAATTAAGAGAAATCCCCCATTAAAGAGCATCTCTTACTCTTTGGTAATTAAATAAAATTTGATTCTTCTACTTATTTTTCATTACTTATCTTATCCTCTTAATAACTATCCATATCAGATTATTACTCTTCTTGTTTGACATTTAAAAATGTTTTGCTTGATCTTTTAGGAGAAAACATTAGGACTTATTAAAAGATATTTTAATCAAAATTTTAATCAAAGAAAGGATGAGATAAAGCATCTTTGGCACTTATCCTATATTTAGGATTTTTCATCAACATTTATTATAATAAATTCTAATTATAAATTAATAATATTACAATAGATTGTTCTGTTATATATTGTTAATCAACAGGAATATTAAATTCTATTTAACACATTCTATTTTATTTGAGTGCCTCATCGAAAGAGATTCCTCCAAATAAATTTTTCCCAGTAAGTAATTTATAAAAAATACATCCACAACTAAATATATCAACTTTTGTTGTATATTTACTATAAGGTTTCAAAGCTAAAATTTCAGGTGCAACATAACCAGGAGTACCACATTTTGGAAATAAAAACCTTTTAATTAATTATATTTATTTAAAATTACTTTTCCATTGATTCAGAAGTTGCTAGTCCAAAATCTACCAAGACTAATGTCGAATAGTCATTTTTTTTGGAGAACATTAAATTATCAGGCTTCAAATCCCTATGTATTATCTGATATAAAAAAAAGAAATATACTTTATTTTAATGCAATACTGCTAAATTAGTTAGCAATTTTTTCATTATAATTTTTGCTTAATGAATAGGAAATCTATACATATCTGCTGCCTATTTTTAGATTTTTGCTATTACTTTTAAACGATCGAATTCTTAAGTTAAACTTGATCCTTCTAAATAAGAAGTGACTAAGCAATGGACTTAATCACCTTCATAAATTTCTTTCAGTGTTAAAAAATTTTCTGGGTATTTAGCTAACGTTTTTAAAACTGAAACCTCCATTTTGAAGGCTGCCTAATAAAAGTATAGTTTTTTTAAATCATACTTAGCCAGACTCATTTTATTATTTCAAAAAAGCTTTTTCGATTGCTTTAATTGCATAAATTTTTTAGTCAAGTTTATATGTAGCACTATAAACTTTGGCTGAAATTCCTTTTCCAATTTAGGAAAGAGGTTAATACAAATCATTAATGTTATCAAAAGTCACTTTTAAACTTATCATTTCTTTGAATCTAAGTCATTTTTGAATTACTATATACTTAATCAAATTATCATGATTTGCATTTAGTGCTTTCATTTCTTACTTATAAGGAAAACTAAACGAATCTATTATGAGACCTTATTTAGTTTTTTTAATGTTCCATCTAATTTTTGTAGCGAAACCAAACTTAATTGTGTACTTTGGCTGTTATGTATTGGATGTCTAAGGTTTAATATTATAGAATTACTGCTCCCATTATAAAGCAATCATCAAAAACAGAAACATAATATTATTTATCTGAGAAAAAATGCTTTCGTACTCCAATAAATGAAAATCTTATCTCTGTATAATCTATATAATCCATGAAGTTTAAGTTAGCAAATAATGAATTTTATATATATGATCAATAATATTTAATTTTAAAGAGATTAGTTTTGATTTGAATTTCAATTTTGCATAAAAAGAAATAAAATATTCGATTTTGTAAAATTATTCAATCTTTATCATTTTATCTACTTATAATAAGCTATCAAATTTATATATATATATATATTATTAATATGTAATCAAGGTTTATAAAATTTATTCTTTATTGAATCTTTATTTTCAATCATTATTTAAATCTGAGCAAGATCTTCACTTCGAAGTCCCTTTGTATATTCTTAATACTTTTATTAATCAAGACATAATAAATCCCTGTAAATAATTAATCATAATACTTACTTTTTAAACCAATCTGCTAAAGCATTCCAAGAAGATAATATTGATATTTATTTCTTTAATTATTTTAAACCATCTTGTCTTAATTTAAACATCATATATAATACAAGAAAAACTTATTTAATTTAATCAGGATTCTCTTTAAAATAGGAGAGAAAATTGATTTTAAGTAAAACTCTATTATAAATTACAAGATTCCCATAGATAAAAGTAGTAATCAATATTCTTCTAAAGTAATTTAAGAAAATTTAATTGGAATTATGTAAAGTATAAGATTCAATCAATAAATGCCAAAAAGATATTGGAATATGAGTTAGTAATTATTATTTTGTGTTTTCTAATATCAATGTAACACTTTCCAATAATGTAATTGCTCTAATTGATAATCTTGATGTTAGAAGTTAGGTTAAAAGAATTTTAGTAATTAAGATTAAATGTTCATGAATATTAATATTAAATATCTTAGTATTATACTAAGATAATATCAAATTATATATTCTGCCAGCAATAATAAAAGTACAAAGTAAGTCTTCTTCTGCTTTCTATTTCAATAAATAATTTTTGGCTATTATATTTATAAATTATTATTTATTTTCCCCCATTAATATATTTAAATAGTAATCAGGGCTTTCAAAATGGTAGTTGTTTTATAATATAAACTTTTTTTAAGTGAAAATCATATGCAAGATATCATAAATACATTATAAGACTCCTTTTGTATAATTCTCATTTTTTTATGTAAGTTTTTGAAATTCATCATCAAAAGCCAATTTTTCAAAATCATCTATCTATTAATCTTTTAATTCTGGAGGATAAATACAAAACTCTTTTTCTATATCATAAGTTTTTATAGATCCAACTAAATGAGTGAATTTATTTAAGATAATAGAGTTTCTGATTTTTGATTTATTGAAAGATTCAGTTATGTTCATTTATGAAGATTATTAACTTACTCTTTTTTAATTAGACATTGATCTGCTATGAAGCATTATCATTTAAGTTGGTCTTTTTACTAACATTCTTTAAAACATAGGTTTTTAAACAACTTCAGAAGTATTTTTATTATTGATTAAATGAATTTATTCAGATAATACTCCAAATAAATTACTTGGATTAGTAAGAGCTTATAATTGACTTCTTGTAGTACTATTTGTAGTAGTTTAAGGCATACAATCAAATTCGACAGGATTGACAACTAATGATTTTTTAAGACTTCCATCAAGTATAGATGCAAGTCTTGGTGCTAAAATAGTTCTCCTTCTAGTAGGACTAAATGTTATAGGGGTTTATTCTTCAGTTTTAAGATTTTTAGTTTATAAAAATTAAGGTGGAGTGGCTGTTAAAGACATTCTTTATTTTGCTTTACTTTCTTTCTTTTTTGTTGCTTAATCTAACATTCTTTCAAAGATTTTAAGAGTCTTTTAACATTTATTAGAAAGATAAGGGAAGATTTGATCAAAATCTTAATCTAATTCATCTATTTCTTCAGCAACTTTCTTTTATTCTGGTTAAGGGAATTGTTTTTCAACTTATAAAGGAGTAAAATCTGGTCTTTTTAATATTTCTTCTAAATTTTTAGGTCTATAAAATTCATTTGATTTTTATGTAATTACTTCATCTATAGTTTTTGAGTCAAATATAGTCATATTAAGTAAATCAGCAAAAAAATTAGATACCTCAAAATATTTCCAAATCAATTTTGTAGATTCAATATGTATTTTATTATATGGAGTTTATAGAAAATTCATTAGTTATGTAAAAAATTATGAAATTTCTGGAATATCTAAAAATAGCATTAATCTATAAGGAATATTATAGAAAATTAGAAAGAATATTGAAATTTCAGGTTCTTGATATAAAAGGAAGGATAGATATTATACAATAATTTCTGGACAAATAGTTATTGCTACTAAATCTTATTTTAGACATTCATAAAGCATTGAATATACTCTTTGATAATATTCCTTATTAGCTCTAGTCAATAAGAAATTATTTCTGTTATCAGTTATTACTTACATAGTTCTAAAGGCTCTAAATTAAATTAAAGGTCTTTTTTCTTATGAAACATTAACATTAAGTTATCTAAATGAAGGAGGTTCTGGAGGATTTAGATCTACATAAATATTATATAATTTCTAAAATTAAGAATTTTATATTTACATTTGGAACAACCTAAGGGTTTCTTGTGGGAAACAATAAAAAAGATAAAAACAAATCTAAAAGCATATTAGATTTAAAAACTTCACTACTCAATTAATCAACAGAAGCATGATTAGCTACTAATAATGGTACTTCACTTGGTTGAAATAACCATTCTTCTAACATTTATTATTTCAATTCTTTTTTTGTTAATCCATAATTTGAAGCTTCTTCTCTTTTTTATTCTACTTTTTCACTTATAAAATCTAAGTTCTTTGTACTCATTACTTAACTTAAGGCAACCAAGGCTTAAATATTTAATATATGATACAATCTTCAACATCTATTTCAAACTGTAAATCTAATTCTCTTAATAAATTCCAAACATTTCTCTTTTCTAAAGCAAATTAGAAACAAGAATTTAACATATCAAAATTAGAGTTATATTTAATAAAACTCTTAAAAAAGTTATTAACCTTTTAACAAACAATCTCATTATCGAAAAAGGGAAATTAGATTTTATTTATAAAAATTTTGGAGTTTTCTAATAAAAACCATCTAAGCTTGGTTTCATTATTAATCACAGTTTTACAATACACTAAAAATGTTAATAATTAGTACATTACTCTCCTAATTTATTAGACATTTGATCACACAATCAAAATAAAGTTTAACATAATCCTAATCTTCCCAGTATCTCTCTTATAAAGCATAAAATAATAATAAGGCCTAAAATTAAATTATTAATACACTATTTTCAAATAATTAACTGGCAATCAATAAATATTTTAAAATATTAGGTTTCTATTAGAACACTGAGATAACAGAAGGAAATGGCAATATTCTACTCAATTTTCTACATACACTAAACAACATTGTTTATCTTTTATTGTCATCTTCTTCTTGAAGCTATATTAATTGTACATTTTTTACAGTCTCTTTAAATTATTCACATATTTCCATTTTATAAATTATTTAATATAAATAGTATCATGAAAAAATTAATACTTGTACTTGGTGGTTCTACTTTTATGGGTAAAGAATTATTACAAGATCTTTCTTAAAATGAGTCTTATGAAGTTCATTATATAAATAGAGGAAAGAATTATTGGAATAATGCAGTTAATTAGATTAAAAATATTTATTATACTTATGGTAATCGAGAAGATACAAATGATTTTACAACATTATTAAGGTATCTTTAGAAGAAACTTAATGTTGGAATTGATGGTAGAAAATGGGAAGCAGTTATTGATTTTTCTGCATTTTATAGTAATTAAGTTAAATCTGTATATGCTGCTTTAAGAGGATTATGCAATTTATACATATTTATATCTACAGATTCAATTTATGATGTTTGTAAGATCAAAGAAATTCCAATAACAGAGGATTAAGATTAAAGAAAAGATTTATAAGAATCATAAAAGAAAAGAGAAAGTTATGGCCATGTAATAATTAATTTGAATAAATTAAGAATAAATTAAAATGTGAGGAGTTTCTTAAAAATTATGTAATCGAAGGTTCATTTCGATATGTTATATTGAGATTACCTGATGTTATTGGACCTTTTGATGATTCTGGAAGATTTTTTGCTTTGGTGAAATGGCTTAAATAAAATGATAAGTATCCAATTTAAGTGGTAAGTGTGATAAATAATAAATTAGGATTAAGTTGTGTAATCAGAATAAATTAGTCTTGTATATAGCACAGATGTTGTGAATTGCATTAAATATTTCATTTAAAATATTCCATAATAAAATTAAATTTATAATGTTTGTTTTGATGAGACAATTTCATATATTGAATTAGCTTAGGTGATAGTAATACTTTAATAATAAATTTAGCTTAATAAAATATCAGATAAATAATTAAATATTAAACATGTAACAGAGGCTAGTAAATTCTATCCTTCAGTTGATTGTGGTGTTATTAATAATAAGAAAATTAAAGAATTGGGTATTCAATTTACTCCTTTAATGACAGCATTAGATAAAACTATTGACTTTTTTTTAAAGGAAGCTCATAATTATGAAGCAGAAAATAAGGCTGCTATTGATAAGCTTAATAGAAAATTAAATGCTTGATTATGTAATGGATTATGAAATGATTTAAATATTAATTCCAATGATATAAAATTGAAAATAAATATTTACTATTAATGCAAAAAAAATAATTAAAACTGATTAATTTTTAAATAAATCTAATTCAAGGAATTAAGTTCTTTGATTAATGTTTCTACTTGATTTTATTTACAATTTAGTAATTTTTTATTTTGTTTTAACTCCTATTGATTAAGTGTTTACAATATTCATAAATTTGTGTTTGGATATCATCAAAATTGAGTATGATTTTATTAATTATAATTTATTAATGAAACACTCTTTATATTTCGTATCCTCTAAATAGTAATCCTTTTGGAATAGAAACTTAAGTGCCTTAGTCAATTACGATTTTCATTAATTGTCTGAAGATTAAAAGACTATCGTATTGTTTAAATAAGGTCAAATACTTAAGATAATAACTCCTCGGAGATATAAGATTTATAGACAACACTTATTCTATTTTCGAAAGGTAAGGAATTTATTTTATAAGTGATTCTATAAAGAGTGGTGAAATTGGAGGTTTTCTCCTTCTTAAAAATGTATATTGTTCTTTTCGAAGCAAAGACAATACTATTCTTATTACTCTATCACATGATTTTTAATCAATAGTGTTACAATCAGGAAATAAAACTGAGGAAGTTGACAATTTTATTCTTGAGTTAAAACAGAATTGTATTTAAGAATCAATCCCTGCAACTTTCTAATGTTCAAGATAAAAAATAGGAGAAGGTATAACTTCAGAAGTATTTTTATTTACATTATTCTTATTAGGTATTTGTAATAAATCATCAAAATAATTAAAAATTTGCAATTAAAAAAGTAATAAAGGCCCCTTTAGGACATAAAATGAGAGAAAAACAAGCTAAGAGTTTGGCTGAAGAAATATTTATAATGCGTAGTCTAGATAATCCAAACATACCAAAATTATATGAAGTATATGAAAATGATGGTATCTTTTTTAATATTTAAAACTTAGATTCTGTTGAATTAATAATGACTTATTATGAAGGTGGTCATTTATATGAAAAACTATAGAATTTTTCACTTTAATAGAAATAACAATTAGTAAGAGATATTCTAGAAACTATGAATTATGTCCATTCATAATAAATAATGCATCGAGATTTAAAACCATAAAATATTATGTATAAAGACAAAGATCCTTTCAGTAATGATATAGCTATCATTGATTTTGGATTTTCAACTAATTATAAATATTAAGAACATGTATTATATAATTGTGGAACTCCTGGTTATGCAGCACCTGAAGTTTAAGAATATAAAGAAAAATAAAAAATGTATACTACATAATGTGATGTTTACAGTTTAGGTATCATAATTTATGAAATGTAATTTAATTAATTAAATTTAGATTTTATGGAGTTCATCCCTTTAAATCAGCTAATACAGGTAGTCTTAGTTTTAATGATAAGATAAAGTTACCTTAATCATTAAAAAATCTTTTAATCTAAATGACTCGAACTTAACCTAAATATAGATTTACATTAAAGGAATGTTTAGAATAAGACTTTTTTAAAGAAAATTTAGATTCTAATTATTTAGATGATTTATTGAAATTCAGTTTGGTTGATTCAATATATTAGAAATCTAATAATGTTTCAAGAAAGAACTCTATTGATCCTTCAATAAAATTAGAAAGATTAAATAAACCTGAATCTGTTAAAAATAAAACTATAAATTCTACTATTGCTGAATCAAAAAATCTACTAATAAAAAGTTTTGGACCAATTGAATAATAATTATAAGATGATTTACAATTTAGTGAGAATCATAATTGTCCTAATGATTTTAATAATTTTCTTTAAAAAAGAATATGAAAAATTAAAGAGTAATTCATAATGCTGATTATCTTTATTTTTTATATTTTGTTTATTATTTACTTGTTAAGCAATTTATATTTTAGCACTTTTTTTAAAGATATTTATAAAAATGAACATTTAAAAATATATAAATTATATTAATATATTTGATCTATCTTTTAATGTACTAAGATATAGATTTTAATGATTAAAACAATAATAATGTACCTAAAACTTCAACAGAACATAGTAATACAAAATCATCTGATTCATAAAGAGTAAGTTATTTTTATTATTAGAAATTATCGCAAATGAAATATAATAATAAAGAAAATCCCGTGATTATTGATAATAAATACGTATTACTTAATGTAATCTATTAAGGAAAGACTTCAACAATCTTTGAAGGTAATAAAACTACTATTTTCCAAGCCATCAATTTATAATTACAATAGGCATGTGTTGTTAGGATGACTCTTATATCAAAAAGTGATAATAGCACTAAAATACTTTAGTATTTTAAAACTTAATTTGAGAATCAATTTGAGGAGAAATATTAAAGTGGAAAAATAGTATAGAACCCATAAGATTGTTTAGTTAGATTGATCGATCATGGTGTTTTCATGAATCAATATAATTATCAAGTTCTTAATAAAACTGGTCCTAGCTTAAAATTTTGGTTTAATTTTTGGAAATCAAGGTTTTCTTTCGAATGTATAATTTTAATCATTCTAAAAACTGTAATATTATTCACATTTTTAGATTGATGCTCTTTAGTTATTACATTCTGGTAACTTTATTCATGCAAATTTAAATATGCAAAGTTTATTAACTAGTTTAGAAAATTAAAAGACTCTATCCTTAGGTAATCTCTAATAAGCAATATTATTCAAACCTAATTCAAAAATAGGATAAAAATGTTAACATTTAAATAAATATTCAAGTTTGGGATAGCATCTAGGAATATGTAACAAATTACATATAAAATGATTAGAAATTTCTCCTAAAGATGATTTAGAAAGTTTACTTTATATAGTAATATAACTATTGACAGATGGAGAATTCTTTGATTAATAAAAACATTTTAAAACTCGTTCAGAAAAATTATAATGGTATTTTTCAGTTAAGCATTCATTTTTACCAGAAAAGGTTCTTAAAAATTATCCTCCTTGTTTTACAGATTTTGCAAATAAGATAAAATTTTTAAATCCAATGGAATTACCAATTAATTATGATATTTTAAAATCTGTATTTAAGGGATGTAAAAATTTAGAATTTGATTGGGTAATAATATATTTGATAATAAATATAGAATCCTTTAATTAATGGATTAAAAAAGAATAGTGGAAATACAAGTTAATAAGTATCAATGTAAAATGTAGATTTGAAATCTGGATAATTATCACTTGATACAATTAATGAATCATTAAATGAATAAGTCATTGATATACATCATAGTTTAGTGTAAACACAAAAACATATAGGAGATTATTGTGATTTCAATCCAGAAACATAAGAATCTGATGGAGAAATCTCTTTTGAAGAAGAATCAACTGATAAAAGTTATGTTTACTGCTTCAAATGACAACTTACTTAAAAAATTTATATATTTTCTATTAATAATTCAATTTTTAATAAATATACATATATCAAAATTTCTTAATAGAAATATACCTAATAGAAAAAAAGAATAAAAAAGAATAAAATATTTGATTTTAATTATTAATTTTATTATTTAAAATTAATATTATTATATATATAATATTATCATTTACATATATTATTTAAGACAATGTAATGATTCATATATATAAATTTATTCTGATTGAATATTTATTTAATGTCTTTTTTTATAAATATTAATAATGTTTTTTTATTAGAAAACATATGGTTAATCAGCATTTAAATTAATATTAATCTATAATTTAATAATTTTTATTAAATAGATTAGAATCAAAGACAAAGTTTGAAGTGATATTTTGACATGTTTATCATTTGATAAATTAAAGATTCTTAAATGAATTGTAAAGTTATTTCAATAATTTATAAATTAATCTGATTATATTAATCAATAGAGTTAATTAGATATAGATATATTATGTTTCAAACTAACTAGGATCTACAAACTGGACAAGTTATATTGGTTTTTATCCAAATTTTAATACATGAAGTGTGAAATATGTGATTTTTATTACATTTTAATCTTGAATAGTATTCATCCTTTTTAAAAGAATCCCAACAAATTATACAAATATTTTCATCAGTTAATTATTATCCTTCAACGTATTTCTCTATTTTTAAAGATCTAAGAAGTTTCTAAGTATGTAAAGGATACTTACATTATTTTTAGATGTTATTTTCTTAATTGCATCATAACATTTAAAGCAAAACCATCCTATAAAATGAAATACATATGGAAATATAAAAAAGACTGAGTCTAATGATATGATAATTAACATAAAACTCACTATGACATTTTACTCACCTAAAATATTAAGATCAAATACTTGTATAATATTGAGCATTAGTAAAAAAGAAGGCAACATAAATTATGTAATAGATAACCCAAATTCTTAAAAATATATTATGTAAATACATGTTTATAGTGATTCTAAAATAGAATGCCTTTTTGTGAAGCTTATCAAGAGCATATCTTAAAGCAAATATTGTTTAAAAGTCATTCAGTGAAAATGGAATGACTTATTAAGCATCATATAAAGTAAAGAGATTCAAATAAAATGAAACCTTCCTTAATTAATATATGGTTTCAACTATCTTTAATCTATTCATAAATATATTATTTACAATTCTAATCCAATACAGATAAGTAATAAAATATTTAAAAGTGTATTATTACATTCAAATGGACACTTATAAAATGGAATGAAACAAAGGAGAACATAAAGAATTCTATAAATTAGAATAGCTTATGTTAATCTTTTTAAAGTCAGAAATTAAAGTCTTCCTTTTTTTAATAAATAAGATTATCGAGCATCTTGCATCACTGCATTAAGAGCAAGTTATGAACTTTAGACTTATTCATTCCCTTAATTCTAATCAGATATTTAAGGCGCCATGTTAAGTTCTATTTATTCTACATCCATTTATCTTTTTATATTATATTATATATATATATATATAAAATTTAAAGGTTATCAGTTCACTTCTTAATAAATATATACATATAAAATTTAAGTTCTTTTAAACCAGGATACAATTGATGAGATTATTCACGATCTAATAAACAAGGCTAATAATATTTTTCATCTTCTAACAATTCCTTTCTAATTTCAAATAATCCTTCAGAATTCATAATATCTATAAATTCAGATGTACACATTCTATTACTTGGTATTATCAAATAAAATATCCCATCTTATTCTAAAATACAATTATAACTTACTTAATAATTTAACTATTGTTTAATATAAGTCATACAAGGGTGCACCTGAATAAACTAAATCACTTCCAACAATTAAATCTACTTAGAAACTTATTTTATTATGATTTCTCCAATCCAATTACATTAGAATACATGGTGATTAATTTAATTTTACATTCATCCATGCATTATCCAAAACATCTTAATTATAATCTGTCATAATGACTCTAGTGTATTTAGATATAAGAATCCCTGTAATTCCTACTCCAGTTCCTAAATCCATAAATATTTATTTTGAGGGCATAATATTATAATACACGTATCTCGTCAATACAATGCCTGCCTTATATAATGTAAAATCTTTTAAATTACTTCCCATAAATGGAATCCATCCTATCCATGTTTAAATTATATAGTATTCCTTATTTTGATTGATAAACCAGGAGCAAGAATAATGTCATCAATTTAGAATTATTAATTCATTTTATTTTTAATGACAAGGAAAATTAGGATAGTTCATAATTCATAATATTGATATTAAATTTAAATAATCTTATGCATAATAATAAACAAATTTATAATAATATTTAATAGTAGAAGAAATATATAATCAATTATTTTTAATCAAAATATGTTTCTCAATATTAGAAATGATTTTAATAAATCTAGATTTCATTTTTTCATCCCAATAGGGTTTACAACTTTGTAATTCTTTAATACTTGATTTATCGAAACCATTTTCTATTATAATAGTTTCATCTTAATTAATTTTAGAAGTAATAATGACTTCAGAATTTGCAATACCTGAATTGTCATCAATATCTAACTACAAAATTCTTTAGATAGGTTTTACATTTTTACTACTTACTTTCTCTAATTATTTAAAATAATCTACAAAAAACATTTAAACCATTTCAGTTAAAGCAGTTAAATAACTTAAAGTTTAATTATTATGTTCTACACTCTTTATTTTCATATCTTTAAGAATTTAAAAAATATTAGGAATGACTAATTAGAATATCAAATATTCTGTAGCTATTAATAATTATTATTTTTTAGTTATTTTTTATATTAGAGTTGAATAATAACAAGCTCTATTTAAAACAAATAAACATGATTAAGTATTATTAGTTTTAAAGAAATTTAAATTAAGTTGATGTACGATTACTGGTGGTAAAACATTTTAATTTGTTGCAATTTCTAAAGATTATAAAAATAAAGAAATGAATTAACAAAATCTTTACTTTTTTATATCTTTTTATATAAAATCTTGTAATCTTGAAATTTATTCACATTCTTTAATGTATTTTTTATCTAGAAGGATTGAATTCAATTTTTTAAATATTCCATCTGCAAAGTCTTTTTAATGATATTAAAGGTTTTTTGTTCTAAATTAATCAAGATATTTTTAATGCACACTCTTTTATTAATCTAAATTTTATGTTTTTTAAGCTCTTTCTTTTAATATTACTCTAGTATTATAAGATTTATTAATACCTATATTTTTTAGAAATCCTTATAACTGCTAATACAACAATAATTCTTTTTCTTAACATACTCTTTTTTTATTATGTTTTCCTCTTACGAAACAATAATTATTATTGCTCAGTTATATTATCTATAGAATCATCTTTATCCAACATTTATTGAAGTTGCAAATCATTTAAAACACTATAAATTCTGTTTTATCGATTGAGATTTGGCAGTATGTTATTTTTTTTATTTTTATCAGGTAATTAAATCTCTAATTTAATACAATTAAATATACTTGGTAGAATTCTATTAGTTGTTTTCGCTATGGAGATTATATATTAATTTAATTATTATTGATTTGTTTATGCATATTGAGGACCTAAATTTTCCATTTAAATTGATTCCATATCATCTAACTAAACTTCTAATTGAACTTGTTTAGGTATAAATTATGATTTAGGTGCTTATTTTTAAGTTTTACATTTATCTATATAAATCTCATGTTCTTTCTAATTTATATCTATAAATTTTGGATTTTGATTTCTTAAATATTCTGTTTTAGGTTTTAAATCATTGTAATGTTTAGAGGTGTATTACTATTGATTTAAATGCATTTTTTCCCAATTCATTAGTTTTGAAAGTATATCCACTTCATTTTTTGATTAATTATTACTCAAAGTTGTAAAGGTGTCATCATTTAGATGAGGTGAATCAAATAACTTTATTTTTTTTCTTTAATTTGATGTTGTTTTCTTTGAAATTTAGGTTATAGGCATATTTAATTATTTAGAAAGTGAAATATATCCTTTAGAATCTTTTGAAGGGGTTTAACATTCAGATATAAAGTTTCTTTTTGTATATATAGATGAAGATCTCTCTGAAAAAATGTTCATTAGTTAAAAATTGAAATAAATTTTTAAATAACTTAATTAAACATTTCTACTTAAGTCTATATATAATAATAGAAAATGCTCTATTAATTAGAAATATTCAACCTAATAAGGAGATCAAATTATAAGATTCAAATAAATTTATAGATTTGATTAATAATATTGAATGAAATAATATAAATATTGCAATGAACATATACTATTATCATATGATTTATTTTTCTAAATGTTTTACAGCAATTTTAAAATATTCTTAAATTTTCCCTTATTAAGATCTATTGAAATTCAATAAACTTGTAATTTATTCATCATTATAAACACCATCAATTAAATTAAAAGATCCAGAATGCTAAGTCTTAAATGTAAGTTATAATTTATTATTTGTAATCTTAATATCACCTTAGATACAATCATAATTACAAATGGAACAATTCATTTCATCAAAATATTATTTAAATAGTAATTAAAGAACACTAATTAAAATTCGCTTGCTGAAATTGCAAGACAACTAATCTTAAATTATTGCTTCTGCAAGATTAAATATTATTATTTCCATACCAATTATAGCTGCTTCTTTCTCTTACAATTCATCTAATATTGCTATTTTGTATCGTGTTCTTTCTGAAACATATTGAGTGAAGTATAATTTATAATCTTGATACAATTAAGAACATAAGAAACCTTTTAAATCATAATGTATATAATGAGGATGTGTATAATAAGCAAGACTTTCAACTATAAATTTAATTGCATTAATCAGCTACATTTTAGATATATCTGCTTTAGTATTGATATTAGGATTTTTTAAATAATCAAAGACAGGCATTTTTATTGAAGATAACGATTTTTTGCATATTCCTCTACACCAATTGAACACTGTTTCATTCAAAACTGTGTCTCTTAATGATTCTTTTCCATTCAAAGGGTTTCTCAAAACTGTAATTGGTTTCTTTTGTTTTTTTTGTTATAATAATTGTAATCTTATGCATGCTCTAACAACTATTACACACCTTTTGAATATTTTCTTTAGAGAATTAAAATTTTATAATTATAACAAGTTAGGAGTCATAATTAAATGCAGACTTTCAGTAGCTGTAGAGACTTTGATCCATTATTTTTTGGGAGATAATGATTTACCTGATTTTTTTGATCGACTTGTCTCAAAATTAAAATCAGATATGAAGAGATTTCTATTTTATCTGTTCGAGAACTGTAATTGAGACTGTTAATTATCAGTCAAAAAGATAGATGCTGTTTTCATTAATCGATTTATTATAATTAATATGATACCTATAATTTTATTAAATCCTTTATAATGATTAGATTAAGTCCTCTATAAAAAGAGTATCTTATCTATTTATAGAAATTAAATGTCTTTATTAATCAAATCTCTTATTATTAATATATTTGATATAAGATAATTAATGCTAAGTTTTAATTATATATTTGTAAAATTAATTATTATAATTATTAATCAAATGAATATAATTTTATATTATATATTATATATATATATAAATGCTATTTAAAGTACAGTATATAAAATATAAATCATTAATAGAAATCTATGAGAAATAATTATAAATGCTCTATGGTTTTATTAAAATATTATGATATTTTTTCATCAAAATTTGGTCTTAAATTTAATAATTTTTCTATCTCTTCTGATGGATATGTTCCATAAATTATTTAATTATATGAAAATAGAGTTTATTATGGTTCTACTTTTAATATATATTTTTAATTCTTTGTTTCTTCTATTGTTAATTGAATCAAATTTTGTTGAGGTTGATATTAACATTTTAAATTAGTGTATTTTTTCAAATATAAATGTTAAAGTGTACTAATTAACATAATAATGGCAAATTAATTTGTATTTGTGAATTCAAAGAGAATAAATGCAAATCTAAAAAAGAGTAAAACTTCCATTATAATCATAGATTATTAATCTAAAGTTATTTCATTATTTAAATGAGATATATAAGGTGTTCTTACAGATACAAATGCTGTAAACTATGTTTTCTCATTTAAAAACAATTATGAAAATAAATAATGTTTTATTTCAACACTCACAATATCTGGATGAGTGAAATAAGCCATATTTTCAAAGAAAAATTTAATAGCATTAATTAAAATAAATTGAGAATTGTCTTCTTTTATTTTATTACTAGGTTATTTTAAATAATTAAAGAGATCTAGAGGAATTGTTGAAAATGATTTTTAAAATATACCTAAACACCAAGTCTTAAATTTCTCATTTATTGTTTAAGGAAGTTTCAATGTTGTTTTTTTAACCTTTTTTAAATTAGCTAAACTATGTTAGTATGGGGATTCATGAGTTACTTTTTATAATCTTCTGATAAATTTTAGAACAATCAAAAATATTCTTAATCTTTTCTTTATTCCCATTATATTAGATTACTTTAACAAATAGCTAGCATTATAAAAAAGAGCTTATTGTTCTTTTGGATAATTTAATACAGCCTTTTTAGGTGATTCTCTTAATGTAGAGAGACTTTCGTATTTAGAATAGTTTGATCTACTAGAATTAAGCTAAATTGGTTGCTTAATTAAATCTTTGAATTCATCCGAAAAAATCATAAAAATATTATTTTAGATTTTATACACACAATATTATCAAAAATAATCAAAATTTATAAAGAAATAAATTATTAAGTATTCTTCTAAAACATTTTTTAATTGATGAATGCCATGAAACTTTGGAGAATAAAGGACTAAGTTCATCCATTCTATAAGTACCAATTATTAATTCTTCTTTCTCTACTTAAATACATTCTTATAAAGCGAAATCTTTTTTATTTATTTATGTTAATTTAAATTAAATTAATTTATAATTACCACTTAAATCATTGATTATTGGTAATTCTGTAAAAGTTTTCATAAATAAATATTGTAATAAAGTAATTAATACTCTAATAAGAAATATACTATTTGGTTTATTCATATTAATCACTTTTGGATTATTAACAGATAACATTAAACCTTATAATAAATTGTGTATTATAGATTCTGAATAAATCATTACTTTTTATTCATCTGTGATAATTTTATTCCTTTTTGATAAATAGTATGTACGTTTAGTTACAAATTTACTAAAGAATTTTCTTTAATCTTCAAAAAGATCTTTATACATAATTAAACCAAATTCTCTAATAAATAATTTCTGATTAGTAAATAATTCAAATGAAGTCATAAAATACCAGAATACTTAAGTTGTCATATTAATTGCATGATCTAATTGTAATGGTGATAATTAATTTTCCTATTTTTATTAAATAGATATACTATAAAATTTAATTTGTGATCATCAAGAGCTTCAGATTAAATAATAGAAAAAGCCTTTGTAAATACCATTTAACACCATTATTTAATTTTTATTGCATTAACTGTAGTATTAAAAGATAATTCCTATTTACAATCAATTTCTTTTGATATTGCCATATCCCATTATTCTCTTTTAGGTCTAACTAAAATCTATATTCTACATAAAGCTCTAGCTGCTTAGAAAATAGATTTTAATTTTTTCAACCATTTATTTTAAAAGTAAAAGTTAGTTAATAAATTCTCAGCTTTACCAGCAAATTATCTAATTCCTTTCAAATTTCTTCCTGGTTTAATTGATTTATCTTTATTTTATTATAAAGAGGCTTATCTTTTAACTTAATCTTATTGATTTCTTTCAGTTTAAGTATCTAAAGTTTAATATTTTTTATTTTGTTAAATATCTATAGTATCTTACACTACTTCATCTAAATTTTAATATTATTTGTTTTAGTGATTATTTTTTTGATGTTAGTATTCATTTATTACTGGATATAATTTAAATTTATGAGAACTAATGTCTGTTTTCTACCTTAAATAATGAGAATTCATTTCATCTTAAATTTAAATGTTTTTATTTTAAGTTCTTGAAGAAGAATTATACTTTTATTCTATTCTTTCTACTTTTATAATATTAAAATACAATTAGCCTAGCTATTGTTTTCAGTGCTTTTAACATTTCTTTCAGAACTTTAAGAAGTTTCTTTTCTCACTACTTATCTATTTGTAGGTAAATCTAAAGAATCAGATCTTTATTCCTTGTTAGTGTTCTTAATTGTTGGTAATCTATTTTGATGATGCATTTTAAGGATTAATTTATTATTGTTTAAATAATGTAAATTAAGCGAAGTTCAATTGAATAAGGAGGTTTGGATTAATTATTAGAAAGCAATATGTCTCCAATTGCTAGTTAATTAGATTTGGATTAAGATACACAATCATTTATGAGTAAAGATGATCAAAAAAATAACTTCAAACCTTTTTAAAATGAAAGAAACTCTATTGGTAAATTAATTCAAAGAGCAAAAAGTAATGACACTACTTCTAAATTTCATTTTCTAAAAAGTTAATAAGTTGTTTTGCATGCTAAAGGCAAAGAGACTATTACATAAGCTAATCATGCTTTCAAATGGAGTACCACTCATTTATTAGGACTTAAAAAAAGAGATATAACTCCAATTGACTAAGCAGTCTCTCTTAGATAGAGATTAAGGAATTTTAAAATTAATCTTTAAGCTGATTAAGGTTTCATTAAACAATTTAGAGAATACAAAAAGTAGTATGTTCCAAAGACTCAATTAAGCAGAGCTTTCTTAACACCTAGAAGAGAACATTTCTATAGGGATGTATAAAGTATTTAAGTCAATTTAGACTGCTACTCCTGGACCTGGAGTATATTCAGATTAATTATTAATCACTGAACCTGGTTAATCAATTGAGTTTAATAAAAGTCCATAAATGACAAAATCACCATCACCAATATGTTAGAGAGACTTTTATGATTTCCAATTTTAGAAAAGGAATGATAATACACCTGATTTCTAGAGAACCATTAGTAGAGATAAAGCATATTAAAGAAGTATTTTTGCTTAGATTGAAATTCAGAAAAAGGAGAACATGGTATTTGAAATAGGTTTATAGTGAAGAAACTTCAAAAAGAGGAACCTTATGATGAATAAAAAATAGACAGAGAGATTGAGTACTTATTATATCAATAATAAAAATATGGAAAATTAAGTATAATAATTAAATTAATAGATTAGATTATTAGAGAATAATAGATAGCAATAATGAAATAAAGAAGTTAGTATAGCCTGATGCTCTTGATAATAATTGGAGTAAAATGCTGTAAATCTATATATTATTTAATATATAGAGAGCGTTATGGATTTAAGAAATTAAAGGGAGGTAAAATAAAAAAGTAAAGAGTATAAACAGCTGCAAATGGGTGATAATTAATTTATTGATTCTTTTTTTTAATCCTTTTAAAATAATTGATATTATTATGATTTCAAATTAATAATATATTATTTTAACAGAAAATAAATTAACAATTAAAAATGTATTATGCTGAAGAATATTCACCACCAAGGATTCCTTAACTTAAACCATTAGCTATAATAGAATAGGATGAACTTATAACATTAAAATAAAAAAAATTAGAATTAGAACTTAAATTAAAATAAAAAGAATTAGAAATCAAATAAAATTCAAAATAAGATTAAAATGAAGAATAGGAGAACACTATTTTAAAAATATAATAACCTCAAGAATTTAAAAAAGGAAAAGGTGGAGGTTAGAAAACTAAGTAAACAGGATAATAATAATAATCATCTTCTACATTGGCATAAATGAAAGAAGCTGAAAGAGTTGAGAATGAAAAAAAAGAAATGTTATCTAAAATAGCATTTTTAGAAAAAGAAAAAAAAGTACTTTAAAATTAATTTGATTAAATGAAAGAATCTATAAGAGCTGATAATGTTTAACTTAAAGAATAAGCTATTAAAAGTAAGAGTGAAGCTAACACATTTTAAAAATAAAAAGATGATATTGAAAATGAAAAAAATGCTATAGTAAAAGAAAATAGAAAAGTCAAATAAGAAATGAAAATTTGGTAGGATAAATATAATGATTTAGTTAAATCTGCTGCAGAAGCTGAAGCTAAAATAAAAGCTAATAAAGATGTTGTTAATGAAAGAGAGGAAAAAATTAAATGGATTGAAGATAGATTAAAAAAAGAAGAAGAATAACATAAAAAAACATAAGAAAGATGTATGGTCTTAGTTAATGAAATTAATTCATTAAAAAGAGATTGTGATAATTTTAGAAAAGATAAAGAAAGATTATTAGATGAAATCTAATAAATTAATCAAAAACATACTCTAAAGTATAGTGATTTAAATGAATAAGTGCTTCTTTATTAAAGAGAATTAAATGAATAAAAATTAGGATAATCAGAATTCAAAAGATTATTAGATCAAAAGAGCAATAGAATTAAAGATTTAGAATTTGAGAGAGAAAGATTATTAGTTAGAGTTCAAGATTTGGATAGATTAGAACATAAATTGGGTGCTAGAGATAGAGAAATAATTGAATTAGAAGTTGAATTAGATAGAGTTAAAAGAATGAGAGGAACTCATATTGTTGAAAAAATAGTACATCCAATTGGTTATGAGATACCTAGAGAAGTTCCAGTCTATCCTCCTTAGTAAGATAATGATGTTGTAAAGTTGAGGGAAGATCTTTTATATTTGAAATAAGAGAAAGAGAGAGCATTGGATGAAGCTGAATATTGGAAGAATAGATATTAAGATTTAGAATTAGCAGAAGATAGAGCTATTAATTTAATGGCACATCAGAATAAGAATGAATCTGATCTAAATGTGAAATTATAAGAAGCTAGAAGTATTATGTTTACAAAAGTTATGGGTTTAATTAATGATTTAAGTAAATTAAGAAGAACATCTTTGTCTAATGATGTAAAAGAAGCAATAGAACAAGTACTTAATAATCACAATGATATTTTAAAATACATAATGACTTAATGATGATATATTTTGAAAGAAACTCTTTATTCTAAATAATTGAATATTTATTCTTTTTTTAAATTAGTAGTTTTTAAAATTCTTTTCTTAATTTTCAATATATTCCATTAATTAAGAAAAGGTAAAGGGAGCTATAGTAATACTGGCTTATAGAGAATTTCCATTATAAAACATAATCCTAAGGTCGATGAAGTAATATAGATCAATTAAAGCATTTTCTTCAATTTCATTACAACATAATTCATAAAAAATGCTTTAGACGGAAATTTTTGTTCAAAAAAATGAGAAAATTCCTTATTATATAATTAAAATGATTAAGAATTTATTTTAAGATGAAATTTATAGCCAGAGCTTATTTAAAATTGAAAAAAATTTTGAATCCCTCATATATATAGTATTACCTTTTCTTTTCAATCATATATAAGATAATATTATTTAAGAGAATTTCACTCTGTATTTATTTTTCGTAATTCATCTCATATTTTAAGATCTTATAATGTTTTGAATGTTTTGAGCATAATCTTTTTTGAATGTATTTTAATTAAGCATCCTAATCAATATTTGGCTTAGTTTCATAGTATTTAATTTATTTTAATATTTATTTCCTCTGGCAACCTCCAGACTAAATTATTATTTACTTTTGTTACATTCTCTAAAATTTTCTTTAACTATATTCATTTAAACTTCATATTCTATCCTTCATTTTTATAATATTTCTTTTTCTTCTCCAAATAATGTTAATTCTTTAATTTTCTTAACCTCTCTGTATTTTCTTTATTTTTCTTCTTCCTTTTTTTCTTAATCTTTCTTATTCCTCTCATTCTGTTTTTTCCTTGTGTTGCAGTTTCTTTTAATTTATTTTCCATTTGCTCCTTAGGAAAAGAACAATATTAAAATATTATTTGTTTATCTGAATAACATTTTATCTCATAGATCATAGAGATTTAAGGAATAATAGCTAATCAACAATAACAATCTGAAATAATGCAAAATTTAAATTTATAAAGTCTTACTCTACCATAATGTTAATTATTAAATCTTCATCCTTATAGAATATGTTTAACTTTTTCTTTAAGGAATATTTTAATAATCTAAAATGATTAAATGCCTTATTGTTATAAAAATACAGAAAAATCTTTTTATGCTTTAGCTACTATTACATACTTTATGTATAAGCATTATAATCAAATTGATTGGTCATTAATTGACATACTTTAAATATATATTAACTTAATTGCGTCAATCACATAATATATTTTCAATATTTCTTTCTAATGTAATTAATGAGCATAAATTTATAAAACGGGTAATCTGCAGAACAATTATAATTAATATTATTTCAAATCATATTTTCTTAAATACACTTTTTATAACTTTCCTAATGCAGATTAATAAGGAATAATCGAAAGACAAAATCCCTTAGGATTCAAACAATGAANTTTATTTTAAGATGAAATTTATAGCCAGAGCTTATTTAAAATTGAAAAAAATTTTGAATCCCTCATATATATAGTATTACCTTTTCTTTTCAATCATATATAAGATAATATTATTTAAGAGAATTTCACTCTGTATTTATTTTTCGTAATTCATCTCATATTTTAAGATCTTATAATGTTTTGAATGTTTTGAGCATAATCTTTTTTGAATGTATTTTAATTAAGCATCCTAATCAATATTTGGCTTAGTTTCATAGTATTTAATTTATTTTAATATTTATTTCCTCTGGCAACCTCCAGACTAAATTATTATTTACTTTTGTTACATTCTCTAAAATTTTCTTTAACTATATTCATTTAAACTTCATATTCTATCCTTCATTTTTATAATATTTCTTTTTCTTCTCCAAATAATGTTAATTCTTTAATTTTCTTAACCTCTCTGTATTTTCTTTATTTTTCTTCTTCCTTTTTTTCTTAATCTTTCTTATTCCTCTCATTCTGTTTTTTCCTTGTGTTGCAGTTTCTTTTAATTTATTTTCCATTTGCTCCTTAGGAAAAGAACAATATTAAAATATTATTTGTTTATCTGAATAACATTTTATCTCATAGATCATAGAGATTTAAGGAATAATAGCTAATCAACAATAACAATCTGAAATAATGCAAAATTTAAATTTATAAAGTCTTACTCTACCATAATGTTAATTATTAAATCTTCATCCTTATAGAATATGTTTAACTTTTTCTTTAAGGAATATTTTAATAATCTAAAATGATTAAATGCCTTATTGTTATAAAAATACAGAAAAATCTTTTTATGCTTTAGCTACTATTACATACTTTATGTATAAGCATTATAATCAAATTGATTGGTCATTAATTGACATACTTTAAATATATATTAACTTAATTGCGTCAATCACATAATATATTTTCAATATTTCTTTCTAATGTAATTAATGAGCATAAATTTATAAAACGGGTAATCTGCAGAACAATTATAATTAATATTATTTCAAATCATATTTTCTTAAATACACTTTTTATAACTTTCCTAATGCAGATTAATAAGGAATAATCGAAAGACAAAATCCCTTAGGATTCAAACAATGAAAATTCTCATCCTTTAATCAATATTATTTGTAAAAACTTACAAAACATTTGTACTCTTACTTCGTAGATAAAAGCTAAGTAAATTAAAAAGAAGAGTTTAAACTTAAAGAAAAAGAAGAATAGTAAGACAAAAATATCAAAAAGGGATAAAAAAACAAATTAATGTTATTGTCAGACCTGTCTAGATTTCAAGCTTTTAGAATATCTCTCATAGTTGAGTGCTGTTGAAAATTTACAGCATCAGTTAGATAAAGTTAAGGAGTTGATTTATCTTTTTGAATGAATTAACTTGTAAATTATTTCTTTAAAATAAATTTAATCAACAATTAATTTACTTGTTTTAGATTATAAACAATTAAATTATCTTACAACTTGATATGATATCATTATTTAACCATCTTTTGATATTCTAGACTATTTATTATTAAAATAAACTAATAATACTGATTTCAAAAGAATCCAACCTGTAATAAATATTATATCTCTGCATATTAAAATAATATATCAAATATGCTTTGAAATTATCTAAGTTTAGTTTCTATTAAAATATTAGGAGTTTCTAATAGTTAAATAATTTTAATAATTTTCTTTTCAATATAACTAGAATTTTAGAAAGATTGCTAGAATTTATCAAATAACAATAATATAAATTTATCTATCTCATACCGATGGACCTTTGGCTGACACTTCATCAACCATTTTCTTTAATTGTGGATTTCCTAATATAAAAATAAATATTGTACTTAGATATCTGCCAATAATAGGTAATTTGGTTGCACTATCATATAGGAATGGAAGGAAAGACTTAAACATTTGGAAAAGACCATAAATTTATAATGGAAATCCAACTATTGATAATCTAAAAATAACGATGATGAAAAATCCCAAAAAAAAGAAAATACTTCCCTTAATTTTGCCTATGATTTTAATACACATTATATACCTTTCTTAAGAAAGAATGACAATGTACTTTTAACCCCTATTAATAAGCATAGTCCAATCAAAAATGATAAATTTCCCATCACTAATAAGGCTCTGTCAAGGAAAAACATTACACCTAAAATAAAAAGCAAAAGACTGACAGTGAGAAAACCCATTCCAATTCCTGTGTTCCTAATATCACAATTGATGATTTACTTTTAGAGTCATCTAGAAAATACATTTAAGAATTATTTATTATTAATATTAATACACGTCAATCATGTATTATTTTTTCAACTTAATCAAATAAAATCTATTTTATATAAAAACTTAGAATTCTCTCTTAATAACTCATAATAACCAAAACATTACTAATATTCATTTCTCAAAATTACTAAAATAATTTAATTATTCATTTTTGTATCATATTTATAATTAATTTATTAATCATCAGACAAATAATTATTATATGATTATTTTAAGAATGATTGGAATAATTAAAAATCTAAAATATCTTTTTAAACTATTATTTTATTTATTTATTTGGATTGAAAACTTATTAATATTAAGATATAAATTTCTAAAAATAAATTTTACTTGAATAATAATTATAATTATCACTTTTATTGTCCAAGGTAAGTTCTATCAAAGAAATGAGGTGCTGAAGTCCATTTAGTTCTATAGTCAGACATTTATTATGGATTCTTTTCAAAAACTCCTTTTTTAATAATAAATTTCTTTATTTCAGAGGTTCTAAATTGATCTCTAGGGTTCTTAAATTCTTATCTATAAAATGTATAACTGTTTTATTTACTAATTTGTTGTTTAGAAATGATTTTATTAATTTTTTTAGAAGTTCAACCAATTTTATGAACACTTCATAAATGATTCCTAATTCTAATGAACTACAATACTTATGTAAGTTTGCTAACATTATATTAATTTTTCTCAAATTTCTATTCTTTATAAAAAGTTGAGTATTTTGATTTTGGTTCACATCTCTCTTCATACCAATTACCTATTAATGTTTTAGAATTGAATTTCTTTTCTGGGTGTGATGTTTATTATAGAATGAATTCGTTTGGCATATAAATTATTATATTAATTAAAATTATTGATTATTTTATCAATCAGCCCTTGTATGAAATCCATCATCTTTACGATGATGATTATGATGAACATGATGTTTTTCATCTTTATGATGATATTTGTATGCATCTTAATGTCTTTAATGTCTAAATTTCAAAGATTCAATGTCAGTAATACTTTGTTTACATAAACCTTAAAATTCAATTTTACGACCATATAAACAATCTTAACCAGGAATACCATATTTATATACTTCTCCATTTAAATTTGATTACTATTATTGAAAATAAGAACTACTTTATTGTAAACACATACAAATATTTCTTGGCTCTTACCATTCCTTCTACTAATTTATGTTCTTCCACAACCAAAAAATTAAACTGTTGCCAATTCTATTTATCTTGCAAAATCTTCTTATGAAATCAATTTCTTAAAAATTCTTGTTGCACTCCAATCTGATCCTCCATTATCAACTTCACCTTTATATGTCAAATAACCATAATGTCTAGGAAAAGAACAATCAAGTTTAAAATTAGAAGGACATTTATCAGCACAATCTTAAGCATTTTTTGCCAAATGATCATCCCACTTAATACAATTCATATTTGTAGCTGTGGAAAATTCACCATAATAATTTCTTACTTTTCCAATTGCTACTAGATTTCTATGTTCATTATGCAATTCTAATAATTCATCTTCTTTTTATTTAGACATTCCACTCAACTTTACTCTATCTTTATTATCTACTTCACATTCATTTATTGCAAGTCCTATTGTAAATAATATTATTAAAAAGAATTTCATATTTTTATATTAATTTTTGGTTTAATTCTAATAATATTAGATATAGATAAATCAATACATTTTAAGCAATAATCATTAAATTAATTTTCATGAAGTTTTTGGTTTAATTATATAATAAAAACTTTTCAACTTAATTTAAATCATAGAATATATTATAATGAAATATTTTAATTATAAAATTCATAATTTTATGAAATATTAAAATTAATAATTAAGTATTTATTCTTATAATAAAATTGGATAAATTAATATTCATGCTTTATTTTTGAGATTTCTTTGGAGCATTTCTTATTCTTTTAATTTATTAATTTTTCTTCTTAATTCTTCTTACTTTTAATCTATAATTTTCTCCTTAAAAAGATCAGGATACACTAAAAATATTATTATTTGGTCTAACATAATTTTGCAACAGTTTTATCTTCAGGCATGAAATCTTTGGCTGTTTTTAATTGTCCTGGAAATCTACCTTTAGTATTCACTAATTGTGGCTTTTATTCAGGTAACTTAATATAATAAGTAATAATTACTTTGAACATTTCTAATTATTATCTTTCTTCTTTTAAAGATTATTCAAAATCTTTTATTGATCTGCAATTTAAATTCATTTTAGGAGGTAGATTAAAGCTTTTATAATCATAGGATTTTGATTCAAATAAATGACTCATTTCTTTAAAGTGATCTTAATCATTAAGATCATAATGTTAAATAGTTGATATTGATCTTGCTTACTAAGGATCTAATAAACTTTAATATTAGGATGCAATTGTAGATTGTTGAATATTTGGTAAAGTTTAATAGCTTTAAGATTGTAATAAGGATTTCTATTCTTATGTTTTATGATTTTATTTTTATTTCTTTTCAGTTTTAAAATATTCTAAATTAGGTAATTTTGTAGGTCTAGGTAGTTGAGAATACCAAACTAATTTATTAATTGATGGTGTATATGAAACAAAATTTTTTTAAAGAGATTTAGCTTTTAAAGGCATATAACTTGGTTTTTTAGCTAATTTAATTCTATCCTTATAACCAACTGACCCAGTTAGGGATGCATCAAATTCTTTGATATAATCTGCAGTTTTATAAACTTTTTATTTATCTCCAGTTTCATTATTGATTAAGTAATAGTTATTGGTCTCTAAATCATTCCACAGAGATATCATGCTATTATGATTAATTTTATTATAATATTAATATTATAATAAAATTCAGATATTAAAGAAATAATTATGAAATCTAAAGTAAATTAAGCATAAATGATTAACTTCTCCATTTATATATTATTTTATTAAATACCAATCAAATAATATGTTATTGTTTATAGATTATATTTAAGATTATAATTAATTAAATACTCTATGAGATTCTGAAGAGGATATAAAAAGTATATTATTATATTTTAATATTATTATAATAACATTCACATTTGAAAAATAAAATGAGATTATATATCATTTTTCTTGATAAAAGAATACATATATAATAATTTTTTTATTTTTTCATATAATAATTTGAATAAAAGTAGCTTAATTTATTACATCATTTATCGATTGAATAATGTTTTAAAATTCATCATAAATATTAAATGTTTATATTTTTATTACCACTTTTAGGATATGGCTTCATTTCCTTATAACTTAATAACCTTTTGATGGAAACAAAAGGTAAAAGATTGGGATTGATAACAAATCCAACAGGAGTGGATGATGATCTTGTAATGGTTACTGATAAAATATCAAAATACTCTGATATCAAGAAGTTTTTCTCACCTGAACATGGATTAAGAGGAGAATAATAGGCAGGTGTTTAAATAAAGGATTATATTGATCCAGTTACTGGAATGTAAAAAATTGTTCATTATTTTAGATAAGTGATTTCTTTATATGGTAGTAAAAGGGCTCCAACATTAACAGATTTAGAAGATATTGATGTTTTAGTTTATTATATAAGAGATGTTGGGACTAGATTTTATACTTACATTTGGACGATGACGTATTGTATGGAAGCAGCTCAAAAAGCAGGAATTCAATTTATTGTTGTAGATGTTCCAAATCCTCTTGGAAGAAAGATTGAAGGATGTAGAAATGAAATGGATGCAGGATTAGTTGGACGCAAGTTTGGATCAAATTTAGGATTACCTTAAAGATATGGATTAACAGTTGGAGAATTAGCAACTTTCATAAATAAAGAATGGATTATAAATCCTGTTAATTTGAAGGTTATACCATACATTACAAATCAATTTTAATGGGTAATATTTTGTAAATAAAATAGATTTTACCATCACCTAATATGCCTACTATTGAAACAGCAACTGTTTACCCTGGATTTGGTATTTTTGAAGGAACTGATTTAAGTGAAGGAAGAGGAACCACGTAAATTTAATTATAGATTAATATTTAGACATCCATTTGAAATTATTGGATCTCCATTAATAACTAAACCTGAAGAATTAGCAAAAACATTGAATGCTAGGAAATTACCTTCAGTAATATTTAGACCTGTTTATTTCTCTCCAACTTTTTCAAAACATAAAGATGCAATTTGTGGAGGAATTCAAATTCATGTATTAGATAAAAATTCATTCAATCCAGTATTGACAGCATTTATTACATTGGATGAAATATATAAACTGATACCAATTAAATTCAATTTAATGATTGACTATGAAACTGGTATTTCAGGATTTGCAGAGTTATTAAAAACTACAACAGCTGAAAAAATCTATTAGTAATGCTAAAATAATACAAAATCTTTTTATGATTAAGTGCAACGTTATTATATATATTGATATCAATATTATTTTATTCAATATCTAGTTAAGGCTCTCTGTATAGATAAAATAAAGGATATTTTTAACAAATTAGAACTAACTTTTGAAAAAGAAGCTATTTATTATTCTGATAAATTAGATGATATATTATCTATATCAGAAGATTTCATAGATCCAACCCTAGAATAATTAGAATCTATATATTTTTTGTTGGTTTAGGAGCATTTAAAATCATGTAATAGATGAATTTATATCAGAAGGAATATTTTGATCTTCAATATTTGAATCAACACCATATATCTATTATTTCTTATTAAATTAAGAAATGTCTGAGCTTAACATCATTCTGTTTAATTAGTTTAGATATATTTGAGCTTACATCTGAAAAAGATTATTTTATTTCTTTTACAATACTCTTTATTATAAAACTTAGATAACTTGAACATATTAATATTATTTTAGAGCTTATTTTAAAACTTTTATATCATCAGAAATATTTTATTATTTTAATCAACCTATTATATGCTCCTGCTCTCTATAATTTAGCCTATAATTATTCAAATATCTTATTCCAATTTTGTGATATTGGCTTTCAATTATTCTTAGTCTAATAAATATTCCCAATTCTTTTTAAGTTATCTATTATTTTAATTAAATAATTTAAGTCTAATAATCAGCTTCTTTTTTTGCAAATTCTTCAATTCTTTCTCATAATTCTTTTCTAATCATTTATAGGATAATTACGATTAAGCATTCAATTCTTTTTCTTATTTTATTAATCTCTTCTCTAATTATTAACTTTTCTTAATTGCTTTTCTTAATCGAGTAGATTTATTTTCTAAATCTCATTAAACTCCTCACTTTTCTAATTTTAATAAATCAATCTCTACTTTTAACTGTCTTTCTTCACTTTCTAATTTAGACTCTTAAACCTTATTAAGCATCTTTTATTCTTCGCATATAGTAGAAAAAGAAAATAATTAAAACTCTTATAAGATAATCTTAATAATTCATTAAAATCATAAAATACCAAAAGTAATATTAATACATATTCCTTAATGATTATATCAACTTCCTTTGCGTATCATGAAATTCTTATTAATTTTCTTTTCTCTTATAATTCTCCATCAATTTTTAAAATTATTCATATTTTTTTGTTAAAATTACTAATCAACCTTTTTATTCATTTAAAACTGTAATCTTGCTAATTTTTTTCATCTAATGTTTTTTCCAATTTAAAATTCTTATGTTATAAAGCAACTATTTCAGTTAATTAAGCTATTTCCTTGGTGTATATTTTCAAATTAAGCATCCTGATAGAATTGATTAGATTACAAACTTTATCTTGATGTATTTAATTTAAAGCATTGATCTTCTCTAAATATTTAATTTTCTGAATAAGTAGGATAATCTTCAATTGATCTTAAGTAATAATAAAATTGCAAAAAATAGTTTTAATTTAATTTACATGGGACTGAGACTCAAAAAACTTACATAAACACTCGAAAGCAAACATCCATAATAATATAATTTCCCTAGAGGAATTGATCAATTCGAATATTCTCCAGATAGATCATATAGTTCCTTATAAGGAGATGTTTATGATCTGAACAGTCAATTAAGGCGCATTCATCGTAGAGTTCTATCTTAAGTTGCTTTTCCAAAAGGAAAAATTAAAGAAAATAAAATAAGCACTCTATCTCCTATAAAAGTCGATTAATTGGCAGTCACAAAAGCAAAACTTAATTCATAAAGATTCTTTCTAATGAATTAAGTACGTAATATTAGACCTAAGTAAAATAAATTGTAGTCTTCATAACTGGTCATATAGAAGTCTTCGTAAAAGAAAGGTTAGCGAATGCATACAGATACGATTGAAAGTATAACCAAATATCGTTTAGGATGACTTAAATTATTATTTTAATATAAATGTCAATTAGACAATTTGTAGGGATTCAAGAAATAGCTAAAAAGGCTTTTAATTCTTTGATTGTGATTCGTAAGGAGATCGAGACTAAAAACCAAGAAGTTTTGGCACATGGAATATCAGTTTACAATTAAGTTGTTCCTGTTGATGCAAGCAGAAGCAAATTTGGATTTTTTAGATGTAATTAAACATTATATTAATTTTTAGCATCTCGTTTAGACAATAGATCTGATCATAGATATTATGATATGAACCCATTACCTGCTCCAGAGTCTAAAATTGCTCGTGTTTACATTATGGATGATAATCGTATGCATTAAAGTAATTAGTTTTTATGAATATACTTAGATCCAACTATGAAATAAGGATATCATTGGAATGTCTAAATAGAGAGAGGACCTATTCATAGAATGCCTTGGAGTGGTTGGACTTTTTCAAAAGATTAGAAGAGCAGAAAAGTTTATAAGTTCGTCAGTTTGGAAGCTGCACTAGAATTTTGCTAATAAGATGGGTATGGATATATTGTTTAATATCCACACTTTCGTTACACTTCTAAGAGAAAGTATGCTGACAATTTTAAGTGGAAGGGATTTCCAAAGGATGAATAAGACTCTTGAAAAGATATAATCAATAATTACAAGAAATATCAATAATTGGGATTCTAAGAGTTTATTATTCTTTCTATATTCTTTTATTATTATGTTAATATTCTTAATGAAAATATGTTCATTATAATATATATATTATTTCATACTGAGATTTTGTTTAAATTATAGAACTAAGTTATTAATGATTAATTAATTATGATTGAATTACAAGAGACTAATCCAAAAGAGGAAATTGATTTTGGGTAAAGAGTGCATTTCTATTTGTTAGATAATCCACCTTGGAATATCAAGGTGAATATGATGATCAATATAAATTAACAGCAATCTATTTTAGGATTAATAAATGCAAATAGATCATTTATTATGTTTTGCTAATTCTAACTCTTGGATTATTGTACTTATTTCAAAGATGGTTTATAAATTTGAGATTGTTTCTATTGTAAGCTTAAATCATGTAAAAAGATTTGAAAAATGTGAATTTGGTACAATGACACATGTTTTAGTGATCAAGACCAAAAACATAATTCCAATTGCAGATGATCAATTATGTGAAGTTACCATTGTAAAGGATCATCCTTTCTCTAAAAATGCTAGAGTCTTTAATTATGAACTTAGTGATTACTATATAGAAACATATACAAAAGCATTAGTTTAAATGAGAAATTCATTCTCTTAGTACACACAAGAGAGAATTTGTGATATGAAAGGACTTACAGAATTGACAACAGTTTATGGAGAGAATATAATGGAAATACCAATAAAACCAATACCACTCCTTTTACTTGATGAAATATTAACACCTTTTAATATATTTTAATTTAGTGCTCTAGCATTGTGGGCTTATGATGATTATTTAAATTATTCTCTCTTTATTTTAGCAATCACAATCATTTAAATTGGGATTGAATTAAGAGATGTAAGATAAAATTTATTAAAAATCTAAAGAATGATTAGATTTAATGTAAATGTTAAAGTAATTAGAAATAATAATTAAATTACTATTTAATCAAAAGAATTGATACCAGGAGATCTATTAATAATTGAAGGACATACTAAAATAAGTTGTGATTGTATTTTAATTGAAGGAAATTGTGTAATGAATGAAGCTGTATTAACAGGTGAAAGTGTACCAATTAATAAATCTAGTTTAGAAAAGAATGAACAATTATTTTAATAAAAGGGAAACGAAAATAAAATGTTATTTTGTGGTACTACTTGTTTAAGAAGTTATTCATAAAATGGAGAATAAGCTAAAGCTATTGTATATTAAACTGGATTTCAAACATTAAAAGGCAGTCTAGCTAGATCAATAATGTTCAATAGAACTCAAACATTCAGTTTTTATAGAGATTCATTAAAATATCTATTTGTATTAGCAACATTAGGTTTAATATAAGCAAATATTACAATTTTAATAAGTGGTGCATAAGGAGTTGCTCTTGGAGAAAGCATAATAAATGCCTTAGAAATAGTAACTATCATAGTTCCTGCCACATTACCTACTGCTTTAGGTGCTGGTATTAGTCTTGCTTTAAAACGTTTGGAGGATAAATCTATTTAGTGCGTTAAACCTGATAAGATAAATGTAGCAAGCAAAGTTAATTTAATAGCTTTTGATAAAACAGGTACACTTACTGAATTAGGACTTGATGTTTTAGGATGTAGAGAAATAAAGGATATAGGTTTTAATAAATTATAGATGATTAAAGATGTTTCAGAATAGTTTAATGAGTGTATGGGTATATGTCATTCATTATCAATAATAAATAATGAAATTATGGGAGATCCTATTGATTTATGTATGTTTTAAGAGACTGGATGGGAATTAGTAGAAGAGAGTAAAATAAGAAAAGGAGTTAAAGAAGTATCTGTATTAAAGAGATTTGATTTCTAAGCAGAATTGTAAAGAATGTCAGTTATAACAAATCAATATATATTATATTGTAAAGGATCACCTGAATAGATAAAGAGCATTTGTGTGAATGTGCCTACTAATTATAATAATATGTTATAAAGGTATAGTAGTTAAGGATTCAGAATAATTTCTTGTTGTTATAGAGATGTTGCACATTTGAATATGCAATAATTACATAAAAGAGAAATATATGAATAAAATATGATATTCTTAGGATTTCTAATTTTTGAAAACAAATTAAAAGCAGAAACTCAGTCTACAATATTAAGTTTAAAGTAGAGTAATATAAAATCTATTATGGTGACAGGTGATAATCCATACACTGCAATTAACATAGGATTATAATGCAATATTTTAGATCAAAATAGTAGAATATTTCTAGGATTCCTAAATAATGGAGAATTATATTGGAATGAGATTATGTAACAGAAAACAGATAAAGCTGATGAAAATAGAAGTTGTTATAGTTTAGATTCAAATTAAGTACAGAATCTAGAAACTAATGAAATAATGAAATTAAGTTGTCACTTTTAATTAGCTATTACTGGATAGGTTTTTGAACATTTACAGTATTAATATGCTGCTTTATTGGATAATTAATAATTGATTTTAAATCTATTATAAAAAACCTACATTTATTCAAGAATGAAACCTAACAACAAAGGAGATCTTATGTTACTTTTGAGATAAGACATATTGAATTTTATTGCCTTTTGTGGTGATGGTACTAATGATACTTGTGCATTGAGATAGGCAGATGTTGGTTTAGCTTTGTCTTTAGAGGATGCTTCTTTGGCATCTCCATTTACAAGTACCATATTCAATATTTCAAATATTATTAATTTAATTAAAGAAGGAAGAGCCTGTTTAGTAACTTGTGTGGAATGTTTCAAATTTATGACTTTGTATTCATGCATTTAATCTGTTGCTGTATTATAATGCTATTTTTATGATACAGATTTCACTTAAGTTCAATATCTTTATTAAGATCTTTGGTTGATAATCCCATTAGCATTTACTATGGATTTAACAAAATCATATCATAAATTAGCCAATTATAGACCAATAAGCAATTTGATCTCATTGCCAGTTCTATCATCTGTTTGTGTCATTGTTTTCATGTCCTTTCTTGCTTAAATTATTATGAATCAAATATTGAAACATTAAGAATTCTATTAATAGATTAAAATAGAATTAGTTAATAATGATTATTACATGCAGCCTAATTATACAAATTCTATTTTACTTATTACATCCAGCACTGAAATTTTGGCTGTGGCCATAGCATATACTTAAGGACCTCCATTTAGATAAGCCATTTATAAGAATATTTATTATATGATAGTAATATGTTTGGGGATTATAGGATAAATAATATTAATATTCTACCCAAATTTAATTGAATTTTTAAATTTAGAAGTCGAATTTCCATATGATTTCAAAATTTATATACTAATTGTTAACATCATAGTTGGAATCATAATTATATTTTATGAAAAATTTGTAACTGCCAAAATGAACTAGAAATACGCAGAAGTAGAAATTAATTTAGGAAATCAAAATTGATAGATATAAATATATTCACTCTATATAATCATTATCTTGCTGTGTCTAGCTTATATTCTGCACTCTGCACTAACTAATTAATCACTGATGTATCTAGAATCTGTATATCTTGATTCAATTATAGTTTCATTAAGTCTATAATAGGTTCATCCATACTATTTATAAGTTTCTGATTTATTGGATCCTAATAGTTTGTTATAATCTCTTTAAATGCTTGTTAAGCCTCTAGTGCTTTCTGATAAGGAGTCTTTGCAGGTTTCAAAAGTGAGCAGAAATTATCATCCGAAATGTCTTAAGGATCTGCTCCTATAAATGGTTTTGGTAAATAATCAAACATCTTGATCTAAGCATTATTAAGAAGTATGAATTTCAATTTGTCAACTTCATGTAATTTATTGATAATATACAGAATGTCAAGTGATTTTTAAATTCGATTAACAGCAAATTCGAATTGCTAATACTTTACATTATTATTATTCTTCCCTCTTGGAAATTAAAAGGTTACATATTCTAAGACATTCAAATTCAACTTCTTAGTCACTACTCTAAAGAATCTTTTAATAGATGCTGAGATCTCATTTGTTATGTGTGCCTTTTAATTTTCACTATCAGCTTCTGTGATCATTTAACTCTTTCTTTGTATACTATATAATCTTTTTTTAATATTCAATTAATTGAGTTGACTGAATGATTTCTACTTCTTGAATATTGGTCCTATTGGAAGATTGACTTCACTCTAACATAATGGGATTTTTTTATCTATTTATTAAGGACTTATTGCTTTTTCCAAAAGTTTATCATTAGCAATTTAAATTCTATCATTTTCAGATGTTGCATCATCATCATTAGAAAAATTAAATAGGGAATTTACAATTTACAATCGATAGGATAGATTGCTAAATGGTAATTATAAAAACATGGCTAATGTAAAAATAACATTCCATAACCCACCAGCTTCTCCAAGAATTTATTACAATTTTGGATAAGATCTATATTAAACAAATTCGGTTTTGTTTAAGCGTATTCTGAACTGAAGTAGTTTTTAGCCATTCCCAATTTCATAAGTTTCTTGATGATATTGATATGCTAATACACTTTCTTTTTTCTCATCTTTAAATACCATACCATCATCTGAAATGACTGTAAATGGACTCATGTATATATCAATTCTTTTTTAAATTTAATGACTTAAAGTTGTTTCTATTTTTTCTACTCTCGTTTTTACTGGATCCTAAACATCATTTAAATCATAATAAAAAGTTGGTATTGACAACTAAAAATTAAGACTTTCCACTTATTTTTGTATTTGACTAGTATTCTTGAGATATATCTCAACGATAACATACTAAATATTATGGTCTGCTTCATATAGACTGACTTATTTATTAAATTGATAGAGATTCTCACTCAACTAAAGTGGCCCATCTTATGTAATAACATTTAGGTTTTGTTCATCTTATCCTGTTATTTAAAATGTAAAATTCATGGATTGAGTACGACTTAAAGCTTAATGGTAGATCTAATATTGATAAGAACGAGGATTTTTATCTAAATTAATGAAATTCATGCATAACAGGACACTCATCATAGATATTATAATCAAAGTGAGAAAGGCACCACAATAGGTTTTGTGACGCTCTTAATCTTTGATTAGTAGGGAAACTGGTTTAGTGAAAAGATCAAGGGATCGAAATGGTTTAAGTAGTTTTTTATATTTTTTCATTAAATGAAGGATCAAATAATTTGATGATTAAATGGTTAATTGATGCCTCTTAAAATCATAATTTAATTTAATGAGTATTTCAAGTGAAGATGAAAATGAAGTGATATAAGTTGAAGTTGGAAGTGATGAGGATTAAAAAATACAAGAAGAAGAGGAAAGAATAAAGAAATTAGAATAAGATAAGAAAACTTTTATGAGTTCAATCAAGCAAACAAGCAAATTGAATGCAAATGTATTAAATGAAGTTATTAATTAATCATAGATCAAATTTGATAATATTGAGTCAAAGATAAATACATTACTTGAAAATGCAGAGAAGTATGCCATGTTCTTATTACATCGTCATAAGCGTACTTAAGAGTCAAAATAAAAGGTTCTAACATAATAAAGAGGTAAACATAGACAAGTGATTGATGATGCAAGTGAAGAAGAAGATCTTGATGATGCACCAACTGTACTTGATAAATAACCTACTATATTGAGAGGAGGATAATTAAAGCAATATTAAATGACAGGTGTTAATTGGATGATTTCATTATTTGAGGAAGGAATCAATGGTATTTTGGCGGATGAAATGGGTTTAGGCAAAACAATATAAACAATAGGATTCATAGCATTTCTAAAAGAATATACTAAGATTAGTGGACCACATTTAATTGTGGCTCCAAAATCTACTCTAGGTAATTGGATGAGAGAATTCAAGAAATGGTTACCATGTGCTAGAATAGTAAAGTTAATAGCTGTCAAAGAAGAAAGAGAGGATATTATCAATAAGTTTTTCCAACCTGGCAAATTTGATGTTTGTTTAACAAGTTATGAAGGAGTCAACATATGTTTGAAACATATACGAAGATTTTAATACAAATATATTATTATTGATGAAGCTCATAAAATTAAAAATGAAGATGCCATCATTAGTTAAAATCTTCGTAAAATTAGAACCAATTATAAATTGTTGTTGACTGGTACTCCATTATAAAATACACCTCATGAATTATGGAGTTTATTAAACTATCTCTTACCAGATTTATTTGATTCTTCTGAAGTATTTGATAAATGGTTTGAAGTTAATACTGAAGCCAAATTAAAAGAAGGAAATGAAACATTCAAATAAGAAGACTTGGATCAAAGAAATCTTGAAATGGTTTAAAAGTTTCAAAAAATCTTAAGACCCTTCATGTTGAGAAGAACAAAGGCAGAGGTTGAAAGAATACTTCCTCCTAAATAAGAAATCCATCTTTTCATAAAAATGACAAATCTATAAAAATAAATGTATTAGAATATTCTTTTACATAACAATCCACATGAAGGTGATGATAAAGGGTTTTATATGAATAAACTAATGTAATTACGTAAAATATGTCTACATCCTTACTTATTTCCTGAAGTTGAAGATAAATCTTTACCACCCTTGGGTGAACATTTAATCGAAGTTGCTGGTAAAATGAGAGTGTTAGATAAATTTCTAAAGAAATTAAGTGATGGAACACATTAAGTATTAATATTTTCATAATTTACAATGATGCTCAACATTCTTGAAGATTATTGTAATTACAGAAAATATGAATATTGTAGAATAGATGGAGAAACAGAAATTTAATAAAGAGATGATCAAATTGCTGAATTCACAAAACCTGATAGTAAAAAATTCATTTTCCTTCTTTCTACTAGAGCAGGTGGTTTAGGAATCAATTTAGCTACTGCAGATACTGTTATTATATATGATTCTGATTTCAATCCTTAAATGGATATGTAAGCTATGGATAGAGCACATAGAATAGGATAAAAGAATAGAGTGATGGTTTATAGAATGGCATGTGAACATACAATTGAAGAGAAAATTATAGAAAGATAATAGATTAAATTACGTTGGGATTCTCTTATGATTTAATAAGGTCGTTTATCATAAAAGCAAAGTGGAAAATTATTATCAAAAGAAGATTTAAAAGAATTAACTACTCATGGTGCCTCTTAGATTTTTAAATTTGATGGAGATGATATTAAAGATGAAGATATTGATATATTTTTAAAAAGAGGTGAATAATTAACATAATAAATGAATGAAAGAATTGAAAAGAAATTTGAAAGTTTGAAAGATAAAATGTAATCACTTGATTTAGGATTGGGATAAATTAATATTTTTGCATATTTTAATGAAGAAAAATAAAATAAAACTGATGAAGATGCTCTTGAAGATGCATTAGCTAATAATCTTTTTAATGAGAATAAAACAAGAAATAGAGACAAAAGAGCTATGATGCTTGGAGGTAATTCTAAAAAAATATAAGGAAAATAAATCAAATTATAAGAACATCATTTATATGAGAATAAAGATAGATTATAATATTTATTATAAAAAGAAGAAGATTATCTAGCATAATAGAAGACTCAAAAGAAAGGTATTGATAATGAAGAAAATTTGGATTTAGGAGGACTTACATTAGAAGAAAGACAAGAATAAAAATAATTACTTGAAACTGGATTTAAAAATTGGAATAAACAAGAATTTACAGACTTCATTACAGCTAATGAAAAGTATGGAAAGGATGCTTATGAGAAAATTTAAGAATTTATTAAATCAAAATCTCTTGATGAAGTAAAAGCTTATTCTTAAGCATTTTGGGAAAGAATAGATGGTTTAAGTGAAAAAGAAAAAATTGTTAAATAGATTGAAAGAGGATAAAAATTAATTGAATAAAAAACTAATGGTTAAAAATTAATTGAAGAAAAATGTAAACATTTTCATTAACCAAAATATGAACTTGTATTTACTCCATAATTATATAATAAATTCAAAAGTAAGTACTTTAGTCTAGAGAATGATAAATATCTTATTTATATGACCAATGAGGTTGGTTATGGAAATTGGACCTTACTTAAATAATCTATTCGAAAAGAACCAATGTTTAGATTTGATCATGCATTCAAATGCAAAAGTGAAAATGAACTCAAAAATAGAGTTATTTCTCTAGTTAAAGTACTCGATAAAGAAAAAGAAAATAATTCTATGGGACGTTCTGCTGCAAAAAGCACATATGTTGATAAACCTAAAGTTTAATAAGACTCATAAAAAAAGAAAATGAAAAATGAAGAAGATGAAATTCAAGATGGTTCAGAATCTGTGAAAAAAGTTAAATTGTGATATAAATATATATAAATAATTATAAATTGTTAAATTGAAATTTTAATATTCCAACCATATTAATAAATTGAAGTTGGAATTCAATATTTGTAAATTTATAAAGAGATTTCAGAAATAATAGAAAAATTACTTAATTATAAGTTTTATACTATTAAAATATTAATATTACTTAATGATAATGATTTTTCTATATTCTTAAATTTCATTAAATTTTATTATTTGAAAAATACTTTATTATCTATCTATTAAAATATATCTCTGAATGATGATGTCTAAAAATAATCTTTGCTTAATTTAGATTAAAGATTAAATTAATATTTTAATAAAACATTATTACAATTATAATTTTTAATGCCAATGCATTCAGTTAATATTTTATTATCTTTTAGTTTAATGTAAAATATTGATAAATGAAAGAAATAATGTTGTTAGTTAAATTTTAAATAATTTACATGACTATTCTATAAATATGATAAGTTTATGAAAAAGATGAGCGAATCAAACATTGTATATGATATATAAAATAAATTTAAAATTTTCCAGATGAAACAAAATAAATTAAAGCAAATTCAGCGTTAAATTAAAAAAATAGATATTTTTGCATCACCTGTTGAACTAATGATATAAAAGAAGCGTTTACATCAATCGATGTTTGGAGCATTAATGACGGTATTGATGTTTGGATGCATAATAACATATATTGTTAACAAATTTGTATAATTAGGAAGGAGAAAAGAATTCCAAACTCTGTATTCAGAGGTTTATTATGAAGAGATACCTATTTATCCATTAGTTTCTGATAACTTCACTTTATAATTTGCTTTCCAAAATGATAATTAGAAAAACTACATAGATGAGTCAGTTTATCAAGTCAATGCCTTTATGGTTAATAGAGTTTAAAGAATGTAAGATTTTATTTTGATAGCAGAGTCGATAATAAAACAATTTAAAATTTAACAAAAACATAGATTCCACTTAACAAATGTGCTAAGATTGGAATAACTTTCGAGGAAATTGAAGAGTAGTTAGACAATGTGGATTTTAATAATACTTATTGTATAGATTGGGAAAAAATTTCAGAGTTAAGTTTGACAGGTACTCCTGATTAAAATAACTATACTTATTTATACGTAAATTTTAAATTATGTGTTAATGATACAAACAATAGTAGTTATTATTATGTAAATAGGTGAGAGTATAATATGTAAGTCAAAAGAATAAATTTAAGAAAAATTAAGGAGGAATTATATATAATTTTAGATATCCTCATATAATATTGATCTAAGGAATTATCAATAACCAAATGTTCCAAAGGTTGAAGAAGTATAAACCACAATTTCAAGTTAAGTAATGAAAGACATTACTTTGTTTATGTAACCAATTACAACATTGACTGAGGAAGGTTTATTAGATGAATTGGTTCGAAAAGATTCTACTATAAGGTATTAAAAAAGTCAAGAGATTATTGATTTTAATAGTGATGAATCTCTTGCAACAGTTATGATTAGATTATCAAATACTGAGAATATTAGTTATAGAATTTATCCTAAATTATAAGATATCTTGGCTTAAGCAGGAGGTTTATGGGAATTATTAATGCTTGCATTTTCAATTATTGTAAGACCATTTTCCTAAATGGCATTCAAAATGGAAATAATAAATAGTTTATTCAATTTTGAAGGTCAAAAATAAACAGATTAAGAAGAAAATCAAAACAAAAATAAGTCTTTTGAGAAATTTAATGGTGGTTAAGAAAATATTTAAACTAATGAAAATGATGTTTCAATAATGTTAAACTAAATGAAATCAAAAACAAGTACACGATTTCCAAGAGGAAGAATCAAGGCAAAAACATAAAAAGCAGATACAATTAATTGTGTTCAGACTGAAAAATCTTCTTAAAATTTTACAAATTCTCCAGAAAATGATAAAATGTTATAAAAAGGAATTAATTCTGCTTTTAGAAAATTCTTTAATGTTGCAACATTAAAATTACAATTTGGTCCATTTGATTATTTGAAGTATTTGAAGTGTGGGTAATATTATATTCTTATTATATAAGAAAAAAAGAAGGGAAGTACAAATAATTAAATTATTCAGTCTCAAAATTAGATAAGTGTCTTGATATACTATTTATTATTGACAAGTTACAAGAAATAGACAAATTAAAAATGATCTTACTTTCAAAAGAATAAGTTTAATTGTTTGAGTTTCTTCCTAAACCTTTAATCAGTCTTGATCCTACAAATCATTAATAAGGTGAAAATTAACAGTATTCTTCTTTACTAAAACCTTTTAAAGGATTAAAAGAAAAATCAGTAGAAGCCCAATAAGTATTGGATTAATTGCTTGAGAATTTGGATGATCCTATTACTAATAAACTTATTTCTTTGATGGATCCAAACCTAATAAAACTTTTATAAATATAACATGAGTTTAAAAAAAAATAATCACCATAAATATTGGTTAGTGATTTTGTTGAATAATGATGGATTTATATAATTTTAAGTCACTATTTTAAATCAATTTTAATTATAATTAATTATGTAGATAAATATAATCATAATAAATACATTACTCTCAAATGTGATTCATCATAACTGTGGTATAGCAAACCATGAATTCCTCAATATTCAAACCTTTTTCTTAAGCACTAACCATATCAAGCAGCATCAATAATCTTTTGATTGGAATATCTTTGATTTAAGAAGCAATCATGTTAACTTACTATTCTTACTATTATGATAATTAAATTTTATTTTAAGATTAAGGTGAAGTTGTCAAGTAATCTGTTAAGACTAATTTAATTTCATCTGACTTAACTAAATTTGGTACTTTGAATGAAACATTGAAACATGATACCACTTCTAATTATTTCATAATTTAATATTAAGATGTTGTACCGATAATAAGAATTCTGCATTAAGACTAAAATGGTTAATATAATGTAAGATACTTTATCTGGCAATCTCTTGATCAGAACTAATAGGGCTTATAAGATTGCATTTGAGAATCTTGGACCAATATCTACGTATTCAATAAGTCTTTCAATATTATCAATCAGAATACAAGATAAAGATGATTTGTAAGCATCATTGAAGATTCTAACCATTTAATTTATTATGGCACCTTCAGTTAAACCAATGAAGGTTTCAGGAGATATTAATTTAACATAAGGGAATCCACATTCTACTGCAAGCCATGCTGCAACACTTGTTTTACCTGAACCTTATTCTCCTTCCAATAAAACAGAATTTAACTATGAGTTTTTACCAAATCTAGTTTAATCAATAGTATTCTTTAATATTTTCTGTAATTTTTTGAATTCGTCTCCAAAATCAATTAATCTATTTTTGAGTAACAAATCAAATTTATTTGAATCAATACCAAATTAAGGTTTAACTTCATCTAAAGCATTCATGAAATCACTTCTTTTGACTTTGAGTTCATCTTATTTATTTAATTTCTTTTAAAAATCAAAAATATTCTACATTCTTTAGAATGCAAATGAAGATGCAGATTTTACAACTGCTTCGATTTCAGCTCCTGTATAATTTTTGGTAATTGAAGCTAATTCTTCTAAATTTACATCTTTATCAAGTGCATCATTCTTTTTAAGATTTTCAGTATGAATGTTTAAAATCTATTATCTGCCTTATTCATCTGGTAATCCTACTTCTATATGAACTTCAAATCTTCCTGGTCTGAGTACAGCTTCATCAATCAAATCTTTTCTATTAGTCATACCAATAACCAATATATTATTAAGAGAATTGACTCCATCTATCATTGATAACAATTAATTGACAACATTATCATATGCTCCTGATCCTGAATTAATTGACCCTCTCTATTTACAGATAGCATCCATCTCATCAAAAACAATTATATGTAAATCACTTTAATCACCCTTTGTTTCTTAATCAGCAATCGCTTCAGCAAATAATTTTCTAACATTTTCTTCAGCTTCTCCAACAAATTTACTGAAAATCTCTGGTCCATTCACAATTTTAGGAGGTACAGCCTTCAATACTTTAGCCAATTATCTTGCAATCAAAGTTTTACCAGTACCTGGAGGACCATATAATAAGAGACCCTTAACATGTTTTATTCCATATTTTTCAAGGAATGCTTATGGAAATCTTCTAGATGAAAATGCTCTTCTAAATATATTTGCTAATTCTTTATCTAAACCTCCAACTCCTAATTTATCAAATGAAAAGTCTTCTCTAAATATACTAGCTGTATGTGTTGAAGCATTCTTCATTTTTAATTGATTCACTCCTTATCTAATACTAAATTCAATTTCAGTCTCATCAACCAACATACCTCCTCCCATAAATTTGACTTATTATGATTCTACTCCTACACTCAAAACATCTGTGCGAGTTACCTATGATTTATAATGGATTTACTTACTTTAAATAAATAAGTGTTTCCTTCATATAAAAATAACTGAATTTAACCTGATCTAAAAAATTATCCATTATATGCTCTTTTCAAAAATGGTGCTAAATCTTCTGAATTCAATTCAACTCTATCTAAACTTCCTTATTATTAAACAATATCTAATTCAATATCAAAAACTCCTAATCTGTATTCCTTATCTTTTGGAACTGTAAACAATGCCACGTCAATCTTATCTGTGAATGACATTCTCAACAATTATCTTACATATTTGCTTCCTGCTATTGAATCATCTTTGTATCCATTTTCCTAAATTATCTAATCATTCACTTACTCCTTGCAATTAAAATACATAGCCATTAATCAATATAAATAAATCTCCTTAGACATTATATTTTTATTTTAATTAAGTATATGTATTCTTTGATGTATATAGAAATCCTGTAAATGCCTCCTCAGTTTTATTAAGAGCAACTGGTAATAATTAGAATGTTTTTGCTTAAATCATTAATATAATTATTTTTAATCATACAAGTTTTAATTGTAAAAATAACTAAACTTACCAGGGATTATCAGAAATATATTTATTAAATTATTAATAATTATTTTTATTTATTAAACTATTAATAATTATGTTGATGATATAATTAATCATTTCTTTTTTATCTATGATAATTTACCCCATCTCTATGCTAGCTTAACAAAGTTACCCATTTTCTAATTAAAATAATAAGATTTAATTATACTTTCATGGTGGCGCTTCCATAAAATTCCTTCATCTTATTTTAAATATTTGGAATTGATTTTGCTGTATTGTTTACTAACCAAGGATGTTTCATAATTTTTTCAGTTCCAAATCTCTTAGATGGATCAACTGTTAATAGACCTTTAATAAGATCTTTAGCTTTAAGAATATGTCTTAATCATTCTTACCTTCATTGCTAATACTATCCCAATATGGAGATGGGAAGGAGAACTATCCAGTTTTTATGATTTTAAATAGTTTATCATTATCCTCATCATAAAATGGTGGAAATCCACATAACCTATTCAATTTAATTATTAAATATATACATGATATAGAGAATAACACCAACTGACCAAAAATCAATTGCTTCTGAATATCCATGTCCAGAAAGGATTTCAGGTGCCACATATCCAGGAGTACCACATTAAGTCATCATAACTTCATCATTAGTAACAAATCGAGCCAATCCAAAATCACTTACTTTTAATAAAGCTCCAGGTTCTCTACTTGAAAATAGAAGATTTTCAGGTTTGAGATCTCTATGAGCAATTCCCATTTTATGACAATAAGATAATGCATCAATAATTGGTCTTAATGTAGCAGCAGCCTCTTTTTCACTAAAATGATCTTTTTCAACTATTCTTTCAAAAAGCTGAAAATTTAAGCATAAATTTATTACTTCACCTCCAGTCATCAATTCCATAACCATATAAAAATTAGTATCATCCTCATAAATTTCATAAAGTTTCACTACATTTGGATGATCAATCTAGAAAAATAAGTATAATATTATACTTAAGTTAGAATTTCAACTTCAGTCTATAAAGCTTACAAATCTTCATTTGATAAATTGTCTCTAATTGTTAATCACATCAACAATTACTTATTGATGATTTTAACAGCATACATATCTCCATTTGATTTCTTTTTTGCTCTCTTTACAACTCCAAAGGCACCTCTAATTAATTAAATATAGTGTTTTACTCTCCTAAAGTCTTTTCAAATGTATAAACTTTTGTAATATCTTCGTGTCCTTACATTTTAAAAAATATTTATGTTTATTTAAAGCAAAAGATGTCATAATATTTATATTTTTGATTCCTTCAACAATTATTGATTTACTTGATAATATTATTTTATCTAAGTAATACTAATTACAATTTGAATTGATCATATAATTGAAGTATATAAGTTACAAAATAATATTATAAATATATATATATATATAAATGGATCAAAATGACAAGTAGATTGATGAAGAATAGTTTAAAAAAGAATTTGAAGAAAGGGTCGAAAAGCGTAAGTAATGGTTGTTAGAGGAATTGAAGAGCTGTGGAAAGTTTTTAGATGTAAGTGCAAAGAAATTAGATGATCTAGATGCTTTGACTGTAATGATCTATTCAAATATTCAAAGATAGCACTCTATCTTCATGAATGTTAAGCAGAATTAACAGTGTTTCACATTGGAGCAAATTCAATAACTGATAGAGGATTTATTGACATGTTGACAGGATTGTAATGGCATGACAAATTAAAGGAAATATATATTGGGAATAATGAAATAACAGAAGTATTAATAATAATCTATATTATTAGATTGGTATTTAAGGTTTAATTGAGATTTCAAGTTGCTTCAAATAATTGAAAATCTTAAGTATGAGTTCTTGTTCAATTGATGATTCTACTTTCATATAACTTTGTTATGCATTACCAGAATTAAAGAATCTATAATAATTACAAGTGCCAGCAAATAATATATCAGATTATGGTAATATTATATATAACTATTTTATAGGATTGATTTGTTTCTCCACATTATTAGCTACCAATAGTTTACCTAATCTTACAGTAGTTCATTTTGGCAATAATCCATTAACATCAAAATCTTTAGTTCCATTCTTTTAAGCTATGAAGAAAAATAAAACTATAAAAATTCTATATTTAAATGATATAGGAATGGAATTGGCTACAATCAAATAGTTGGCAGTTTGTTTGAAGAAAAACAAAACACTTGAAGATTTAAATTTAGGAAACACAGGATTCTCAGATAGTGCTGCAATAATTTTATGGCCTAGTCTAAAATATCTAAAGAAATTGTAATTGTGGAATAATCATTTAACTAATAAGGCCATATATGAATTTATTAATGTTCTTGAAAGAGAAGACATTGGATTAACTTATGTTGGATTATAAGATAATGAAATTGAAGAATTTGATTTGGTTGAAGATTTGAATGCTTTACTTAAATAAAATGAAATCATAGATAAATTAACAGAATAGATAGAACATAAGGAAGAACCAGAAGAGGTAGATGAAGACAAACAAGTTAAATAAATGATTGAACTTGCTAAATTAGAAGAAATTGAAGAAAAATTAGGGGAACTAGAAAAACTTAATGAACCTTAAGAAGAGATATAGGATGTTGTTAATGAATTATAAGGGAAATTAAAAACTAAGAAATGGGCTGGAGAGATTGAAGATCCTGAAGATAAAACATTGAAACACTCGGTAATGGAATGAAAATTAAGATTTAAATATTTTTTAAATAATGGTTATCAAAACAGATTTGTGCTCCTTTAGTGAATGGAGAATCTATCCCGGACATGGAAGAAGATTCGTTGCCAAAGATGGCAGACTCTTCTACTACTTGAATTAAAAGAGTAGAGCATTTAGTGCAAGAAAAGTATTTGAATCATCATAATATTAAGATTAAATCATAAGAAATTCAATGGACTGTTGCTTGGAGAAGATTGAATAAGAAAATTAAGACAGATGAAGGAGCTAAGAAAAGAAGAATTAGAAATCTTAAAGTATAAAGAGCCATTGTTGGTATTTCATTAGAAGAAATCAGAAGAAGAAGAAAGGAAGATGATAGTATTACATTTTTCTAATGACATCTAGAAACTAGAAAGGCATAAGCTGAATAAGCAGCCAGAGAAATTAAGGACAGAAAGCAAAAGTAAATTGAAGCTTCAAAGAAGAAACCTGCTGCAGCTTAAAAAGTAGCATAAAAAGCAGAAGTTAAAGCTTAATAAAAAGCTCAAAAAGGTGCTGCTAAAACCAATAAAGGCAAAAAATGATTTTACAATATAACACGTATACAATATTTGGATTATTCAGTTATTTTCTATGTCCAACCAATAATTTAATTTTTTATTTATTTATATATATATATATATTATTATTATTATTATGGACCCTATATTTTACACTTTTCTAGGTATGGGATTAGGATTCATTGGATCTTAAGTTGTTATGAATAACTTCTTCAAAAATAAGTAGAATACGAATCCATAATAGAATTAAGCTACCAAGAAATACTTGCCCTCTACTCCAGATATGAAAAAGGCTTTTCAATAAAATCAAATCCCTTTATAAATAAAAAGAACAATAGAATTGGATGATTAAATCAGAAAAAAAGTGAAAATTTAATCATCTCCAGCCTAATTTGATAAAGATGATGAATTATTAATGGCATAAGATTAAGAATCAAACAAATCACATTAGATCAATAATTCTGATCATAATACATTACCTCAGACTCCAAACTTTCAAAACAAAACACAAATATAATCAAATATTAAATTGTTTGTTACAGCTGACTAAATACAATAAATTGTCACATCCCCTTTAATTTTAAAATCAAATAAATTTAGCGCCTCTTGTAAGTTAATATAATAACTTAAGAAAATAATCATCCTGAGATTACCTAATCAATTAGCCAATCTGAATAATAAGTAGAAAATAATGAAAAAGATGAATGAGATAAATTTATATAATTTTATTATTGATTATTTTTGCAGTCTGATACTTAAATATTTATTGATGTTTATTATTTAATTGATTTAACTTCAATATAAAATTAAATGATTCATCAAAATCTAGCCTTTGGTAATTTAATAACTTCTAATCAATTGGAAAGGCTTGTAAAATAATAGAAAATATTACTCAAATCTCCACAAGAGAAGAATGATAAAAAAATTAAATCTAAGAGATTATTTAGATCAACTAGTTTCAAGACTGAACAACATGCATTATTATTGTTAACACCTAAAAATAGATCAACTAAGAGTCCAATGCTATTGAAACCACCCATCGAAAAGAATGCTCTTAAGAGACTCCCTTCTAAACCTAATCCATATGATGCATTGGGTAAGAGTGAAAAATCATTTACCAGTACTCAAAGAAGAAGCAGTGCTCCATTACTAAAAATTACAAGGAGATGGAGTTATCATGAAACCTTAACTGAAAAATAAAGACGTCTTAATAATAAGGCACCGAAAACTACCATAAAATATCACTATATAACAGCAGAAAAAACTAAAAAGAAAAAGCTTAATCGATTAAGATGGCAATATAGTATATATTTCTTTATATATAAAGAATTCATAAGTAGACTACAAAAAAATAAAATTAAGAAGCTACGAAGTAAAACATTACCTTTAGCTCCGTTCATTCGAATGAGGCATACAAGAGCTAAAACAGTAGCTGAAGAATAACATCATGGTCCTATCTTAAATTTGGAAGAATCATTAATAAGAAAGATAGATATTCTTGTAATGTAAAGAAAGAGTGCAATGCGAAGACATACATGTTTTTAAATACCAAAAAAAAGTGTATTAGTTTCAAAAGAAAAATTAATAAATTACTAAAAATAGATTTCTGAATATTTAGTCAAAACATAATAAGAACCTGAAAATCAAGTTGAATTTTCTCCTGCTTTAGATTAAATTCGAGCATATCAAAAAAGAGTGAACTTTAGTGATAGGAAACAATCGTTAAAAATATCACATCCAAAAAAGAAGAGTTTTGTATCAGAAATGATTAAAAAACAATCACATAGTATCATCACATCGTATATATCAAATAAGGCTGTAACTTTGAATTCAGAACATTAATCGATTTCATATACACCATTAAATTAATTAATTCAAAAAAAGACACATACTATTCATGAAAAAATTGTAAATAATTAATCTTGGTCAGATAAAACTTTGATAAAAAGAAGACCAAATTTATTAATCAAATTATAACCTTATTTATCAAAATAAGTAGTTGTTAAATGATGATATATTGATATTATAATTAATTAAAAATTTTGATAATATTCATATGAAACTTAGATCTTAGAATTATTTAAACTTATTTAAAACTTTGATTACTAATGAATAAACATAAGATTGATTAATCAAATATTTATTTATTTGTAATTGTTTCATTCAGAATTTAATAAATTATAATTATTGAAAAACGAATAATTATTGTAAATCAATTTTTGGAAAACTAAATTCAAAATGAAAAATTTATTGATGAGAAATGGAAGTTAGAAATTAATAAATTTATAAAATTGTGTATTAATACGACAATTATTAAAAACATAATATTTCATATAAATTGTCATAAAAGATGATATCAAATTAAATATTACTTGATATTATACAACTCAAATGCATAATTCAATAAGTTAGCACTTAATTATTATTTATAAATAATATATATGGGATCTTTTTTATCCCAACCAATTACCCAGAAATCACATGAATATTAATTTAGTGGTAATTTATCATGCTATACTACTGCTATGCAAGGTATATCACTAATATTAAACAATAGGTTGGCGATTGTAAATGGAAGATGATCATTTGATGAAACCAAATTTTATAGAAAATATTTCATTATTTGCTGTATTTGATGGACATGGTGGTTCTGGGATTTCAAAATTTCTAGCTGAAAATTTTATTAATGTGTTGATCTCATAACCTGCATTTGAAAAAATGGATTTTATGCAATCACTTCATGACACATTTTTATAGCTGGACGATATGATTAAAAATAATGAAACCAAAAGTATATATTTAAAATAAAACCAAAAGATACTTTTATAGGTTCTACTGCTGTTGTAGCTTTGATAGCAGATAAAATGCTTTATGTAGCCAATTTGGGAGACTCTAGATGTCTATTAATGAGAGATGACGAAACCATTGAACTTACTAAAGATCACCTTCCAAGCAATGAATTGGCGCGAATTAGATATGCTGGAGGCTTTGTTGATGAATAAGGTCGTCTAAATGGTACCTTATCAGTTTCGAGAGCTTTTGGTGATTTTGAATTCAAATAGGAACCTTTACCTGCTAATTAGTAAATGGTTATAGCAGAACCTGAAATCAGGAAAATTAAGTTAAATAAAGATGATCGGTAATATACAATATTCTATTTCATATAGTTTTCTCTTTTTGGGATGCGATGGTGTATTCGAAACCTAAAACAGTTTTAAAGTGATGGAGTTTATCTCCGCACGTGTGGCTGAGAAACAAGAACCGTCCATTATTTTGGAACAATTACTTGACACTTCCTTAGCTGCTGACACTTCTACTGGATATGGTTGTGACAACATGACTGCTATGCTAATATTATTAAATTAATGATATAATCATTACCTTTAATCACTTATTAATCTATCATCTATACTCTAAAAACATTACAAACCTATTCAATAGTCAATTTATTATTTCTACTAAATAATATTATTAATATATATAAGAAAATTATCAATTTCAAGTTTGACAAAATAATTCAAGACCTATTTCATTTTATAATACTTGAATCATTAAAGAATTTTATTAAAAAATATGGTAAAGTGTTTGTGGTGTCTAAAAGAGCTAGGCATTTTTGGAATGCTTTTTCATAAAGCAGTATGTCTTGAATATTTATACAGCAAATCATTAGATAAATTAAAATAAGCTAAGCAAAGTTAACTAATTACTAAAGAATAATATTTAAATGAGAAGCGTCATCTAAGAGAATATTTTATGTCAAGATTCAAACCTAAAGTATATGAAGCTTTTATTAAGAGATAAAAAGAACAATAATATATTCTAATTAATCCAAATGAATTATCTGTTGGTTTAGAATCTGATATAGATGTGATTTCAAAAAAAGTATGTTTTGAAAGTTAAGAAATTTCATAGAAATCCTAGTTCTTAGAATCATTTCAAAATCAAATTGAACCTGATTATAATTATGTTGTTAATAATTATTCAGGCAATTTAGAAGTTTATATAACTAATTAATTAGTCAATGATGATCCTAACAATAATAATGATAAATAAATAGATACTAATAAACATGATGAAATGAACATACATCACTTAGAAATACAAAATCTTGGAAATATTCATAAATACAATGATTAACATGATAAATCATAGGATTAATCTGTCTAATTCTAATAAAATATTATTTAACACTAGAATAGAGATGATATAAAAGAAAAACCATTGAATATCATAACTTAAAGTAATGAAGAATAAAAAGAAAATATCTTATTTAAACTACTTCAAAAAAGAGCAAATCCAAAATCACAAAAAGAATTGAATAAAAGTATTACTTAGAACTAAAATGTAAAATAAACACATACTAGATCAAAAAGTAGAAAAATAAAAGATGACTTAAATATTTATGAGACTAAGGCAGAAATACATATATCTCCAATATAGCAAGAAGAATTAGCTACAGAAATTAAATCAATTGGCATAACTGATGTTAAAACTAATAAAAAAAAGCCTCCTAAATTTTCATAAAGTTTAGATAAAATAAACTCAAAAATCAACTAAAAAGTTAATTTATAGATTGAAAATTAATCTAAAATAGAATTAAAAAAACTATAAAGAATGAACATAGATTAAATTTAAAAATCTTCTAAATTTTAAGTATCAACAAAAAATAAATTAAATAATTCATAAAATGATTGTTAAGAAAAATCTATATAAAGAGGAATAATCAAGACTAGATTTTAGGCTTCTTTAGATAATTAAAAAAATTAGGCTAAGACTAAGAATCTTAAAATAAGAGATAAACAAAAAATAAAAAAGAAGTGAAACATTATATTTATATTTCATTATTAAAATTTATCTAATACAATAAGTTCAAATTAATGAGAATTTCTTTTTTAATTTAATTTTTATATAAATTGATTAATCATATAATAAACTTTTCATCACTCACTTAAAATAAATTATCAAATTCTGTGCTTCTTTTACTAGCTTATTATTGATCAAAAGAATAATCTATATCAAGCAAATTGGCTTCACCTCTATAATAAAATTAACTGCTATGAATTGAATGATAATCAGTATGTTTTGAATTTTTACTTCTTTTTTAAGCTGCTAATTAATAATGTTACATCATATCTGCAACTTCCTGATCATAATCTAATAATCTAAGAAGTTCCAATTCTAAATATGGATGCTACAATTTTAAGGACATTAGTCTTTTAAGTTAAAATTAAAATTTATGTAATGAATCTAAATCTTCTTTAATTTCATGAGTTTGAGTTTCATCATCTATTGTTTAAGGAACTTATGAAACTAGAACTTCCTCACAAATCTTATGATTATCTTTTTCTAATACTTTAGATATAGTTTAAAATTCTTCTTAAATGAATGAGTTTTTAATTGGTGTTTTATCTAGAATTGATTTGAGAAATTTTAAGAAATTTAAAATTGTAGTTGCTTCTTTATTTGCTATTTTAAGTACATCTAATTTGAATGAGGCATCCAATTTTTAACAATAAAAGGCCACAAGATTTAAGGATTCCATTCTTTATAAAATTGAAGAACTTTTTTTAAATTAAGGAACTTCTATGTCTGGAAAGTATTTTCTTAATAAACATAAGAAATGTCTCCCATCTGAAAGACTTTCAATATTACTAGCTTTCATTGATGGACATTTTTCATTAACCCATTTTAACAGTTCTAATCTTAGACTCATGTACTTCAAAATTTTAAGAAAATAAATAATTACAAATGAAAACTATTTTTGAGTTCAATAGAAATATTAGTATTACAAATATAAAGCACTTTTTGAGTAATTCATCAAGCATCAATAGATAGATTTAACTAAATACCTCTTATATAATAAGTAGTTATAAAATCAATAATAATAAATGTTGAAATAATTAAAAAAAAAACATAAATTATAATACCAAAAAATATTCATTTACGTCTTCTTATTGGTATTTTAATTGATATATTAACTAAACAACAGACCAATTTAATTACATGATCAGAATTATTAGCAAGAATTAATTATTATTTATGGAATGTTTTTCCATCAATTTAATTTATAGGAAGAGTTTCCTATAATGTACTATCACAAAATACTTATCCTGAATATCCTTTTTTAAATCTTATATGCTAATATAAATCTTATTATATTTACTAATTTAACTTAATTATTCATTTTAATTGGACCAATTAATACTTATGGATTTATCCACATTTCAAAAGATTAAAAATATTTCCCTTTAATATTTTACATAGGTCTAATTTTATCTATTCTCAAATCTCCTTCACATTTATGAATATAACATCCTGGTAAAGAATGTAATAAATCTTAAAATTCTTAAGTTTAATATTTCTCGTACTTTTTTGCTTCCTTGCGAAATTACATTCTAGCCCAACATTATTTTGTATTGAATATAGGTTGATCTAATGTTTATGATGGTCTAATATATTTAGTTTTTTCTTAATATAATTCAGTTTAACTTGATTAAAATAATGGTTATATTCTATCTTATTATTTTGTTTATCTTGATTTTCTTTTAGGTATTTTCATAAACGATTTCTTTTTTCTACCAACCTTCTTTGGTTTTTTTTGTTTTAATTAAGTTTGTTTAGTAGGATTAATCTCATTAGTAGATATATTTTATTATTCTTAATTTAAAATATCATCACCATTCTAATAGATATCAGGATCATTAATTTATTCCTTTTTATTACTTTAAAATAAATATTGCTTCTCTTTTTCAAATTAATCATCTTATTCATTTCTTTATTAATATCTTGAAATGATAGCTTCCATAAATGACTTTTAACAATTTGGTGTTTTAGGTTAATCAGATATTGATTACCTTGAAATTTTTTAAATTGGAAATTCACAAATAATAGAACTCATATTTATTTTGAGTTTACTGTTTTTAGGTTAATCTTCATGTTATTTTTCAACATACCAAGTATTTCTCTTTTATTTTCCTATTTTATTATCAATTTCTTCTCTAATATCATTTGCACTAGCTCTTCTATTATTCTAAGGTTTAAGTGGTTAAGGAACAGCTATCTATAGAATTTTATCTATGTCCTATTCTAATGAATGAGACAACCATGAAATATCATTATTTTGTAGCCATTTATTTGGATCGCTAATAATTTCAAAATATAAATTTTTTACTATGAAGAACAAGGGGATGGATACATAGAGCGATAGATTTTCTCTTTAAATTTATTATCAGAATCATCTTATTTCACTTTTTTTCCAAAAGATGGTCTCATTTATGAATTTAAATTTAATTATTTTAACTTATTTCTTATAATAACAAAAAAAGTCTTAGTTAAGTGCACATATAGATGATCATTTTTGATATTTTTCAAAATCTAATACTTATCTATTATATATTATATTTTATTTGTGCAATTTATGTTCTAATTCTTTAATTATGTATTATTTTCTCATTAATAATTGATCTAGTTTGTCTTATAATTTTTCAATAGGACCTATCAATTATTTGCATAAGTTTTATTCTTTAATAGTATTTATTAATAATTATTTAGATTCTTATTTATCATTATTTAACTCTGATGTTAGTTTAGTTATATTTTCAAATTATAATTTAACAGATATTAATTCATTTTATTTTTCTATTAATTCTTTTTCTTTTATTCTTGTTAATAATTCTTATTCAACTTTGGTCTTATCTAATCTTTAATGAAGTGTAAAGAGCTCTTATTCTTTTTCTTTCTTTTTTTCATTTAGTTCTTACATTTTTCTAGAAATCATGATACGTTCTTATTCAAATTACCCCAATTTAGATAATTCTTATTTGAATTTTGGGATTATTTGAGTTTGTTAATATTTAATATTCAAATTAAAGATTTTTTAAATTTCTTAATGTTGTTTGTAGTTAATCATATTTAATCCATAACAAATCTTTTCAATTTCCTTATTTTTCATTAACAATGTCTTTAATTCTTTTAAGTCTTCAATTCTATTTTGATTGACTTCTAAATGTTTAAGATTTGAATAATGTAATCTCTTCAAGATATCATTTATATTCTATCTTAGATCACAATCATTAAGTTTTATGTGAGTCAATCTTTACATATACAACCCTAATATAACAGCATGTTCACCTACTTTATTACCACTTAGATCTATCTATCTCAAACCTTTATTTTCTTTTAAACCTTCACTTATTTATGAGAATTCAGCAATTTAACAATAACTTAAATTCAACTTTTATAACCAATTATTTTATGATAATAATTTGAATAAACAACTAACTGATCCTCCAAAATTATTCTTTGATAAAATTAAAGATTCTAAATATTTATGATTCACTATTCTATCCACTAATCTACTCAAACCATGTGATGTAATTTGACAATCACTTAAATTAAGTACTTATATATTCCAATGACTTATTTTATCATTTATTCCTTCAATACCAGAATCTCTAAGTTCATTTTCTTATAAATTTAGACATAAGGATGAACATATAGCATTAGTATTTTTTAATGAATTAAATCCTTAATTGTAACTTACAAAATCTCCTGATATAATATCTGAAAATGTAGAATAGAGATTCAGAAATTAAATATTACCATGCTAATCCACTAATTATTACAGAGCTTTGCTTCCAACACTGCTTAATCGATTTCCAGACAAATTCAAGGAGACAAGAGTATAGATCGGTTTCAAGTAGGGTAGGGCATCACGAAATCCTTTGGGAGTTATACACTATATGGTTTGTGAGTTTTAGTTACTGATTTGCTAATATCCAAATGGATGATGCATCTATTGTAGAAAAGATTAGTAGTGAGAATCTTGAAACCCTCATCTCCAAATTAATTGTTCCCTAAAATAACACTTAAGTATTTCTCGTCATTTTTTAATTATGATCCTATTACCTTAGCTGCATTCAGTTTCAAATGCATGGATTCTAATTTCAAGAAATCAACTCCAAAGTGACGTTCTATATTTTCAATAGTGATTTTGTCAAGTTCATTATCTTAACCTCTAGCCTCTAAAAGCAGATCAACAAATCTATCTCTTTTATTCATAGGGCAGACGAATCTGATTCTTGTGGCAGTTAATGACAACAATTCACTTTTTGAAGATTTGTATTTATTTGGAGTATTTCTCCTTTGATAAGAAGCATAATAAGAAGAGAAAGAGGAATCACCTAAGGCCTAATCTAAATTAGACCAGATTGATTTAAAAGTATCTCTTTGCATAATTAAATTATTTTAATGGATCAAAATTCTAATTACCTAAAAATTTGGGGATTACCAGAAGGAATTACTGAGCATGATGTTCTATAGAAGATTAAAGTAATTGGAAAAGTCATCAAAAATAAGTAATTAAATAATGTATGGTACATTGTGTTTGAGGATGAGGTGGATAATGATAGTGTATAATAATATATTTATTTTATAGGTTGAGTTTTTATAAAGCAGTTATCCATAATTGTAATATATAATTGGTACAGAAATGACACCTTAAGACATTTAGAAATTTGCATCTATATTTCCTAAAATTGATGATGAAGAAGTATAAAGAAAGAAACTTGAATAAGAAAAGCTTTAAGAAATTGCAAAAAAGTAGTAAGAAGATTAAAGATAGAAAATGCTACAATAACAATAAGAATTTTTAAAATAATAATAAGAGGAATAAAGAAAAAAATAAATAAAGGAAAAAGAGGAAGCTTTAAAAAGAGAGGAGGAGTTGAAGTAAAAATTATTATCTGAAGCTAAATAATAAATGGATTATTAATAAAGATTTGTAAATATTATATATATAATTCTTAGTAATAGTAAAAAGAATAAGAAGATAGACAATAAATATAATAATAATAAGAATAAGTCTAATATTAATTGGAAGAATAAAAAAGATTAGAACTATTAAGAATTTAATAATCTTAATCTAATTCATAATTGTACAATTAATAAACATTAGATTTATAAAAAGAAAAAATTAAAGAAGAATTAGCTTTAGATTTCGCTAAATCTTAATTTTAATAAAAATAATTAGCTGAATAAAAAGATTAGGAATTTAATTAGAAAATCTAAAATTTGAAGAATAAACTTACAGAAACTGAATATCAATTATAATAATTAAAAGATAAGTATAATAATTAATAAGATAATTTATAAAAGCAATAAAAAGAAATTTATGATTTATAAACATCATTAAACCATGTAACATAATAAAGAGACAATATAATTGCAAAATTCAAAGAATAACAATCAAATTAAGGTAGCAGCAATATTACTCAAGAAGATGTGGCTTTCTTAGAATAATAACAATAATAATAGGAGCCATCATCAATCTAGAATATGTTGTTTAAATTTGAATTTTGGGTCTTTTTAATAGGGGTTTGGATCTTAAGTTAAGTAATTAATTTCTTTACCTGATCCTGAAATGATATATGATTTATCAAATATTAAGTATTTATTAATTATGAAACAGTAAGGAGATAGTCTGTTTTTCCAATCCTAATTATATGTTGCAGAATTGAGTGATCCTTTGACAATCTTACAGTTTTTAGGAAATGATGAATTTGAAAGTTAGAAGCAATCAAGTCATGAGGATAAATTAGAAATCTCAAATAAAAGTGAATAGAAAGTGAATTCAAACAAAAGTAGGCTTTAGCTGTAATAATCTAGTTTATAGTACTCAGAGAAACAAAGAAAAATCCTTATGGATCCAGTTGGGCAAACAAGGTATTGGAAAAACAATTCGGTGTTCATTTATAGTAAATTGCATAAAGAACAGGCCCAAAATGGATTATAAAAAAATTAAAACCTGTAGAAACAAATGATTAAAAAGAATTTGAGCATCTACGTTTAGTGAAAGTACATCAGGCATTAACATGACTTTAGGATTTCAGATCCCAGGAGAAGAAAATTCGATAAACAGCCTCAAAATCTTATAGAAAGAGAATAGATAAAAATTTTAAAGATTAGAAGTAATCATTTAATGGAATACCTATATATGATCCAAATTTCTAAATCAAATTGCAATAGTACAATTTATGATTATATTTAATAATTAATAGAGAACAAAGCAAAAATATCTAAAGTTTTCTGTCTAAATTTATTATAAATATATATATATATATTAGTTTTCAGTATGGAATTTAACTTAAGAGTTGTTTTGGAGAATGAATATCCTCCTCCTAATTTTGCATTGTATTTTCATCCTATAAGAATTATTCTTACCGTGATGCTAATATTTGCATTTTCTAAATTGCTTTTAGATGATTTTTTGGCATCCTCAATTATTCTATCATATGAGTTAAATCTTGTAGATTGAGATTTGGATTTTGTACAAATTCTATGACTTACTTTGGACAATAAGCAAGATTATGAAATGGCAGATAAGTAAAAGACATGTATTCGTTAAATATATATTTATAATATTATAAAAAATTGATCAAGGGTCAAATGAGCTATTGGGTATGTTTATTTTCAATTATTTTTTAACCATTCTCTAATAACTTTTTTAAGGTTTTTATTCCATTTAAGTAATTTCTATATTAGTTGAATTATCAAGTTGTGTCTTAAGTACTTATTATTGATTTTTTCTTACTATAAAGTATAATATCGTAAGTAGAATTATGGTAACTAAAACAATTAATATGAGTATTATATAATCTTAGTCCATAAACAAATTTAATAAATAAAAAAAATGAAACTACATTAATGTTAAACCAACCAACCCAATAATGATATGATTTTTGGTCATAGAATTGGTACTAAGAAGATAATAGCAGAGAAACAATAGAAAGTATAATTTTTATATATAATCTAGGTCATCAAACATATTAGATAATTACCTAGAAGCAAAGAAGATAATTACTTTCAAGAAGCAATTAAAGCTAATGAATAATATGATCTATTTCTTGAAAAGTATATCTTCTACTTATTATATTTTTAGAATGAATACTTTTAAGATTCAATAAGCATTAATATTAACTAAATAACGATTTTAAGATGATAATAAATTTGCCAATCTTTTAGAATATGTTCCAGAAGAAAAAGACAATGATAAAAAAATCAAAAAAGAACTTGAATCTTATATAGATAGATATGCTACTATGAAAAAAGGACCTGCTCCAAGACATCCATAATTTTATTATTTTATTTGATTTATTAACATTACTTTTAAAATATGTTTAATCCAAATTGTATCAAGACATTAAGGACTATGAGTGCATCCTCATAACGATCTACTTAAAATAAACTTTTGATGGAAGAAATTGATTCTGCAATTTAGGATTTGAGAGAATGGAAAAAAAATGAAAATCTTGAATTGAAAAAATAACTTATGGAAAATCAATAGACTTAAAAAATCATCTATAAAAGTGGATATGAAATTGATGAAGAAGAAGAGGATACTAGATAAGAAGAATTATTATAATAATAAACAGATCTAAATAATAAATTATAAAAGATTAGACAAGAATATATGAAAGAATATCTAAAAATTCCTAAATATATGGCTAGTGAATAAAAAACATAAGAAGTAACACAAAAATTATAAGAAAGTTCTTAAAGATTAGAAAATTTAGAAAATTATCCAATTAATTAACTTAATCTTAATAAAATGGATGATGATATCTTATTAAAGCTAACTTAATGGAAAGCTTAACTTGCAGAACTTGATTAAGTTTCTGAAGAAAAAGAATCAATATAATAAGATTAATAAAGTGATTAAAGTGGCTAAGTAACAGCTAATATGAAATAAAAAATATAATAAGAATTAGATTAATTTTAAAAATTTGAATAGACAATTTCAAAAGAATAATAAGAAAAATAAGAATTTAATTAACATATTCAATAAGAATTGAATGATCTTGACAAAGATTTTGATGAAATAGATTCATTATTAAATTAATGTGGAATCAAATGAATCATTTTTTTAAATCAATTGAATATTTTAAATCCATCAATCTCAAAAGGAACAACTTAATATATTAGTTATTATTCCTTAAATATAAACTTTGTAATCTATGTTGATTTCTATTATATTTGTATAATAAAGTTGTAATTATCTAGAAATTAAATAAATTAATTTCAAATAAAGATCATAAAAATTAATTTATTATACAGTAATGAGAATCTTTGATATATTAAAAATATTCATATATGTTAAATAGATCTAGACATTTTAAAATTGATTGATATTTACAAAAACATAGGTTAACCAAAAAAAAATAGTTGATTAATTAAATTTTAATTTATAATTAATATTTAAATGGATAATAAAAAATATGTGACAAAATAATATGGTAGAGAAATCAAAGCATAAAAAAAAGAGGAAATAAAAACAATTATTGAATAATTACATAAAAAGTTTGAATCATAAGTAGATCTTTTTTCTATATGATGAAGGATAATGTTTTATTAGAATCAAAAGAAATTTTAAAGATTTGTGAAGAATTCAATGATATATTTCTAGTGAAAAGAGAAATGCATAATATCTAAAATTAAATGATTGAGATTATTGATATAAAATTAAATGTTGATCCTGAAATTGAAGATAAAATATTAACATCAAGTTTTATCATACATCAAACATTTAGGAGAGGATTAAGTTTAATTGGATTTTAAAATTAATATGTATTACTTCGTAAAGGAATGATGAAATTTTTTGATATGTAAATGGTTTATAGAAATTAGAAAAATAATTGATCAAGAAAAAGCAAAATCATAAGAAAAAAATGATTTAAATAATCTAATATCATTTTACACTTTTGAGAGAATATACAAAGAATTAGAAAATGGAAAGTCTGTTAAAGTAAGGAAGTATTTAATATTATTTAGATATAAGTTTAAGAAAAAGCTAATGGAGAAAATGCATAAATAAGTTATTATCAACCTTTGAATATGTGGGTTATTTGTTCCAAAAATACTGCTATTTTATGTAATGGAATAGATGATTTGAAAATGTATTCAGAATAAAAATATCATCTTGCTATATAAATTGCAAAATAGTGGTTTAATATGATTGATTAAAATCCTAAATTAATAGAGATTAAATAAGAATTAGCAAATTCTACTCTTATTGGTGAATATTGTGGACATCCAAAATTTTAACACTTAGTAAAATATGATAATATTTATTTAAAATTTTTCTCAAGAGTCAAACATAATAGTTTACTTACTTGTGAATTTTAAAATGAATCTAGATAGTTATTTTAAAAATATTAACTTCCAACTGTTGCTTGTAGATTGGAAGTTCAAGTGGATTCAAAAGAGAATCTGTTTAATGAATTAAAAAAATTAAAAGAAATAATTAAAATGAAGAGTATAGAGGAAGAGGGAGAAGGAGCAGTTTTATATTTTTTAAATGATTAAGATGAATGTCTTTCACTTGGTAAATTAAAAACTATTGAATGTAATTTACATTTAAATTCTAAATAGACAAAATTCATAGGTAAATTAGAGAGTCATTGAAAGATTGTATACACTAAAAGGGAAATCCAGTAAAAACATATTAAGCATTATAATAAAGTGTATAAAAGTTTACATCAATTGAATAAGGCAAACGAAAACAATACTTATAATTTGCTGCTAATTTACTATAAGAAGCTTCAAAGTAAATATTTTAAATAATTTGAAAAGTTTTCTTAAAGGTCAGTAAGATACAAATATAAAATAAATTTAATAAAGACTATTCAATTTAATTGATAAAAGTTATTTAGATATAAAAGATAGAATGTAAAATAAAGGAAAATAAGAAATTAATGTGTTTAAATAAATGTTAGAATAAGATGAAAATATATAATGAAAGAATTTATTTTTATTTTTAAAGAAATTAAAATTATGATTCAGATATAATTAATATTATTTATTTGATGTAAAAGGTATAACAATAGAAAAAAAAGAAATTAAGAGTAACCAAAAATTTAGAGCCTATCATGAAAGAATTACAATAATTTAGAGCAGACGTATAATTTAATTTTTTAATTAGTAACCAGAAACATAATTAACATATGAAGAATTAGACAATTTTTTATAATTATATAATAAAGTGACAAGTTCATAAATTATTGAATGCAAACTCTAAAATTTAGATCTTTAAATTAGAGATGTTAAATTTAAGATTCATTATGAGGAAGATACTTTATTTTCATTAAATAAATAAATACATTAAAATTTTAGAAGGGGATTGGCATTTGTAAATTATGGATAAGGTTGGAAAATATTAAGAAAAGGATAAAAAAAGTTCTTTGATTTATATTTTGATGATATTTAAGGAAAAGGTGATTAATTTTGTCAAAGAATTAATTATTACAATATTGGAAGAGCTGAAGAATTAGCTTCATAAAATAAATAAATAAAAATCTATATATCAGAAAAAGCAAATGGTGAAAATTGTTAGATTTCATATTGTAAAGATATTGACAGTTGGAGTATTTCATCTAAAAATAAAACTCTTGTACTAAGAGATGAAAATGATATGTAAGCATAATGTTATTAAAATGATTCATATAAAGTTGCATTAATGATTGCAAAATAATGGTTTAGAGAATTATAATAAATAAATTAACCATTAAATGGTTTAAAAAATATATTATAAGATCATACATTTGTTGGTGAATTTTGTGGTCATGTTTAACTTTAACATTTAATTAGATATGATGATGTATAAATAAGATTTTTCTCAATTGTAAAGAAAAATGGAATTGAAACATGTTTATCACCTAAATTTTCTCAATAAATCTTTGAAAATTTATAATTGAAAACAGTTAAATTTAGAGAAATTATAGCAAATGGAATTGAGGATTTAAAAATGAAATTATTAGAATTATAAAAAGAAATATCTCAAATGACTTTAAAAGAGATGGGAGAAGGATCAGTATTATATTTTTGTAATTCAGAGAATGATGAATGTTTATCATTAGCAAAATTAAAAACAATTGAATGTATTTATAATATAAATATATAGATCGAATTATTAGAAAAATAAGAGAAAAAATGAAATCATTAGTTTATAAAAAAATAGATAATAAAATATGTTTGAATAAATTTATCAATGAATGTTAACAATTTCCATACTTTAATGATCCAGAATTTTAAAAAGCTTATTACATTGAATTATGCACTAAATTATTGAGTTTTGGTTCATAGTAATTAATAAATTATATTTTAGTCTAATAAAAGAATTGAAGGAAGAAAAAATTTATAAGAGTGTTTTCAATGTAATAAAATAAAGTTTTTTGGATTTTCTTGATTTAATTAAATAAAATGCTCCATTTGATTTTATTGTCAATCATTTTGTCAAGATGAAATAATAAAATGTAGAATAAATTCAAGATATTGATGATAATGAGGATGAATTAGAATGATATTTATACATTTGTACAATATAAAATTTAAATCTATCTCAAAAATAGAATGTAAATTTCCTTTATGAAAGTTCCTTTAAAATAAATGAAATAGTAATTCAAGAATTTAAAGTTATTTCACAATTTTCATCCTAAAATTTGAATAAAAAGAATTATATATATAAAATAATAATTGATTTAATTATTGTTAAATGCATTAGACTACAGATTTAGACTTTTAGAAGTTGAAAGCAAAATAGGATTTATAATCTGTAAAATATTTGGCTTGAATAAGATATTTTTATTAGTTTCTTTATTTAATGGATTTTGCTTTTTATTTAATACCAATATTTGTTTTGGATGGGATTACAAAATTATAATAATATATGCTTGTACAGCACAATTTGCCTTTTTGATTTCAAGACTTCTCTCTAGTTAAGGGTATGTATCAAAATATATATTAAATTAGGATTAATTCTTATTGTTGTTTTGCCATAATGGAAAGTACATTATTAATTACTTATCTTTTGGGTTTTATATACAATAAAGAAGTTTCACCAATTAATATCAATTTAATTAGCTACACTCTTCTAATAATATAATTTGTTATATTAGCAATTACTATTCTTATGGGTAGATAAAACTTAGAAGGTTAAGGACATGATTAATCTAAGTAAATACAAGAAATAGTATTTATAATATGAGTTTAGTTAGTATCAGCTTTAAAGTGTATAGGATCCTTATAAATTGTATTTTTAAGTTTGAAATTGAGTAATCAAATAAATTGGTGTTGGATGCAAACATTTATTATAATCTGGTTCAGTATTGGTACAATGATATTGATTGAAATATGTTTATTTATTGATTTGTTAATGAAATGTTATAATAACAAATTAGAAAATAAAAAACAAATAAGTAAGAGTATAAATATATAAGTTTATGGTAGTATATGGTTTAACATAGTATTAATTGGTTTTATTTCGATATCTTTACTAACATTTTTGGGTTTGGGATTATTATTAGATTATCAGATATCTTCAATGAATTTAGGTGGTTTCATATTAACAATTATATATTATATCTTAGAAATTGGGTATTATATAAAGAATAAGAAAGATTTAATGTAAAATTGTTAATTAAAATTAGTTCATTTCTAAATATTTAAGAAAATTTAACATAAATATAGAATTAAGAATAGAATAATGATTAAACAAGTTTAAAGGAAAGGATAAAATAAATTCACAGATTAAGTGTAAGTAGAATGCCTTAATTTATGATAAAATTATCTGCTACTTATTTTAAGAAGAAAGAATTAATAAGTATAAAAAATTCACCAATTGGATCAATATCTAATTAAGATAAGAAATTTAGATCAATAAGTTTCTCAGAGATCAAATAGAATAAAGATAATAAAAAGTAATCTTCATAGATATATGATGAGGAACTTACAAAGAGGTTTGATCATTTATTATCATCTCCTCGATTAAAATTAGAAGTTAGTGAAAGTATAGGTGCAGAACTATCTAGTAGAGTATAACCAAAATAGATATAATTATGTTTAATTTGTTATGAGAAGGAAAGCAATATGATTAATTAGCCATGTGGTCATGGAGGATTTTGTTAGGAATGTTCATAATAATTATTGGCCAAGAGTGATTTATGTTTATTGTGTAGGAAACCTGTGACTCATGCATTAATAATTTAAGGAGTTGAAAATAGGGAAAGTTTAGTTGAAGTTGTAGGTTTCTTTTAAGATGCAAAGAAGTAATGACAATTAAATTGGTTTTAAAATATTTTTTATAATATATGAACAATAATAGTAATATTTTTAGACCACCTTCTTCTCATAAAGTGTAAACTCCTTAATTTGCAAAAGAATAATAACAACCTAAAAATGCGAAAGGAAATAATAGATAAGTTTTTAGAAGTATTCAATTTATATAAAAAATAATAGTCTAGACATTTAAATTAAGTCCTAATTTCAAGAATAATCTAAGTTAAATGCCTTCAACTTAAGATAGTAAATGATAAGTTTATTATAGCATTGGAATAGAAACTAGCAGATCAAACTTCAGAAATAAAATTACTTTAAAATCAAATAGCAGAGTTAAAGAAGTAAAATGAGTTATTAGAGTAAAGATTGAGAAAGGCGAATTCGGTAATTCTTAAAATAATTTTAGACTGTTTCTGATTATTGGATTAAAGTTAAAGATACATAAACTAAACTCCAACAGGTTTCAAACAAATTTAAAAGTAGTAGAGATAAGAAAAAAATGTATAAGAGAAGAATAATAGATGCTTTAAATTATTTTTATGGTCGATACACAGATGCTTAATGTATATGAAATTATGAAAATAGAATAGAATACTCCATTTTTATAATTAGAAGAACTAAGATAAATATTATTACAATTAGGAATGCATGAATCAATTGTCTAAGAAATGCAATATTTAAATTAATAAGCTCAAAATTAATTGAATGTTAATATTGACAATATGACATATGAATAAATCTTAAATCTATAAGAAAGAATTGGGTAATCATATAATCAATATTATAAGTAATCAAAATGTAGGATTAACAAAATTATAAATAAAAGAAATTCCAAAAAAAACTAAAGAAGCTAATGATAATGTTGAAGAAATGTAAATTATTAATTATATTTATATGAATAGTTGCACTATTTGTTATGATCAAATATTAACTGGAAATGTATATAGATAACTTTCATGCAATCATATATATCATTCAAAGTGTATAAAAGCATGGCTATTAAATCACAAAAAATGTCCAGTCTGTAATATAGAAGTGATTCTTGGTTCAGATTAGCATAATGACCATAATCACTAACAAACATAATGAATTAATTATATGAATTATATTATTAAGACTTTTCAATAATCTTTATATTCAATTGTTTTCATCTTCTTCATCTACTTTTTTTGCAAATTCCAATTTAAGATCTTTATAAAATTGAGTTAAATGAACATTAGTTATAGCAACACTATTTGCAATTGATTTAGGTTGATTATTTTAGATTGGCATCACTTAAAGTATTTTGTTTTTTAATGCATTTATATACTGTATTATAGGAGTTGTAATTATGTCTGTGTTATCCGAACAATCAGTAGCAGTAAGAGCTAAATGTTAAATTCGATCACTAAAGTAATTGTTTCCCCACCATAATTCAATTTCATCATCAAAGTTCTTATCCATTAGACAATTCAATATGATTGTTGTTTCTACTAGTAACTATTAGATAAAATCACAATAAATTTACCTAAATTGTTTCTTTTTATATAAATTCTATATTTGTAATTGTATCAAGATTGGAATTTATATAATTCAAGTATTCATTTCGATAATAATCTAGTACTTTCGACTTTATTTTCAAAGCTTTCTCTGTAAAATGATTATAGCTTCGAATTATTAATTAAGATTTAGCCTCTATCCTATCTGCCAAGATTTCACATGAATCCATCTGAATTTATTATTTCTCAATCTATTCAGCTAAATAAGATTTTATAGGTTTAGTTCTCATCACATTAGCTAAACAGTTGCTTTCTATAAAGTTAATTGCCTCTTTAGTAGTACTTAAACTTTGTCTAATGTCCTCATTCTTTTTTATTTCAACTCTCTTATCTGTATGATTTTACTTTTGTTTAGAGCATGAAAATCCCATTTTATATAGTATTGATATTATTTAATGACTTATAAATCAAATTTATCCCATGTAATCCCATAAGATATCTTTATCACTATATCCAGGAATAGCATATTCATGTAAATTTGAAAGAAAGTTCTCTTGTGTAGTTTTGAAAGGAGGAAATATTTTATCTATTGTTAATCTAAATGCATCATCTACTACTCATTCAATTAGTTACTTAACATTCTCGGTATTAACTTTTATAAAAGTGGACTGCTTTCTTCAATGCAAGGATTAGTATTAATCTCGATCAACCAAATATGCCCATTTTTATCCACCATAAAATCGTAACCAAATATTTCAAACTAGAAATCCTTGCGATCTAAAAATTAAGATACATATATCAACTGTCACGCAATTTAGATCCAGCACAATATATCGTTTAATGAATTAATTCTTTCATTTTTAGAATAATCCCTGCTGAAGATACTTTAGTATTTCTCTGTTAATTTAAATAATGTTGTAAATCTTAAAGACTCAATTGATTCCCTAATTCATACTTTCCGTAACTTGGATGATTCTTTTACACTGCATTATTTGTTAAATGTATGTATAGAGATTTCAGATTATTTACATCAAATTACTCACTAGCTAAACGTAGATATCTATAATAATAAATATATTATACCCTTCCTTAAAGAAATAGTATTTTGATGTATGATCAATAAGTACCCAAACTCGAAAATCAAATTTTCTACCATTATACAAAAGAGGCGTTTCTAAGTACTTTTATAAAACTATAATACGATCATTACTAGTAGATTGATCTATTGTAAAACTAATTTGAGCTTAACCGGATTCTTTGTAATGAATAAAATAATTTACTTTCATTAGAGTCTGGATATGTAATTGTAACTCCTCTAGCTCCTTTTGATGAACTTTTAGTTTTTGAATTCAAACTTCTAATTTTACAGAATTCCTCTACTTAATTTATAAACACCCTAAGATCAGAAAATAATTAAATTCCTCTTCCTCTATTAAGATCTGGTGGTTTCAATAACCAAAGATTCTTCTAATTTCCTTCTTTCTTTATTGAAATGAAAAAATCCACAAATTTCTTGAGATCCCATTAAAGTGTCATTGAATCCAAGTTAATTGAGAATGTAATAGGTACAAAATCATCCATATTCTTATTAATTCTTTAACAATGCATTTTGAGATTATCATGTAATTTATTTTTATTTGAAATCTCATGATGATGTTCAAGATGATTAATGCAAACTTTCTTCTAAGTAAGAGTAGAATAATTAAATCCCTTATTTGATTGTTTCCATATAAAGTTTACACTAAAATTATTAATCTATAACTTACTTAAAACTTGTTTACTATTCAGCAAACCAACCTCTTCCTTATAAAATTCTCCTAACCAAAGCACCATTATTTCCATTTTCACAAAAGAACTACCTGTTTTTATAATCATCATTACAACATATTATGCTGTAAATGTATTTTTCAAAAACGCAGTTCTAGGTATTCTTTGTACAGATGATTAAGGTCTTTTTCCTTCTGCTTAACTGCTAAGTTTACGTTTTTCAACTGATTGTTTCCTCTGAAATTGAGTACTGTTGAACATACCAATCTTAGTCAAACCTTCTGGAGTATGTTATCTAGGTTCTTTTGGACTATACTTTAATTGAATAGGCTCCAATCTTTATTATAGTAAACCATACCTATTGTCTTTCAATTTCATTGCTTGTAAGAACATATGATTATTATTTATATAAAATTATCACAAAAATATTTTCACTAAACTACTTGTCTAGATTACAAATATTCCTGTAAGTATTTCTACTCATACATAGGATCCAAAACTATATTTGGAATTTCAACATTTTATCCAGGTGCCACAGTTTATGGATTGTAATTCCCATTAAAATATTCCAATTATCTGAACATCTTTTCATGCTAAATATACGTTCTCAATCTTATATTTTCTGAATGTAAAAATGCATTTTCTTATTCCAATTAATCTTATCTATTTCTCAACAATTGATTCTCGGCAGTTTTCTATTAGCATAATTGATATAATGCTTGATTTTATGTTTCAGGTACATCATTTCTTTATTAAACCAATAAAGAAGTTATGTGTTATCTCTCTTCACTAATTTACTATAAATGATCTTTAACATTTAATCCTATATTAATCTAATTATATTACTAAATTGTTAATTCAGTTTATTCTACAATTCAGAACATTCGAGTTCCTTTTATCGATAAAGCTCCATTAAATTTTAATATTTTTAATTCATCTCTTATTATTCTAAAGCATTGCTATCGACTAAAGCAGTCAAAGTTTCCACTTCATCAACAAGAATTTATATTCTTTACAACAATTTCTATACTATGTCTTCTTATGGCATGAATCTGTTAATTTATTTATTAAATAAATATAAATAATCATTATTGTATAATCTTATATTATATTTTGATTAGTTGGAATTCTTATATTTTTATTTAAATGTTTTTAAAATTTACAAAAATAAATTAGCTACTATAATTCAATGGTCTTTTTTATTAATAAATTTTATTTAATTTTATATGTTAATTAAATATATTATTATTAATTTCTAAGTTAGTTTTATATTATTTCAAACATTTAGTTTATATAACATTTAATTAATAATTATGCCATTTGCATTAATGCTGATGAATATAATAATATAAGAATAAATAATATTATGTTTTTTAATAGATTTAAATACATAAATTAAATTATTAATCTTATTTTTAAATAACCTATTATCAAAATACTAAAATATAATATTCACAAATCATTTTAAGTTTCATGGTTATCCAAATTTTCATTATTAAGTACATTTTGAGAATCCTCTTCTGCTTATTTTATCAATTCACTTAAATCTGGTATTGCTCTTCTATGCAAAGGTTCCTAATTTCAATATTATAATTTTACTTATTTTCCTTCCATTTTTTCTTTTCCCCATAAAAATACATCATCTAATGTTTATCCAGTTGCATCTGTAATATTAGTTAGATGATGAGGTTCTTATATTATGAAATAAATCAACAAAAAAAATGCAACCAATCCTATAAATCTAAGTACTATTTCCAATTTTCCATCTGTATATTTTGTTAATGAATAAATAGGTAAAAATGATCCTAATATACCATAAGACTAAATAATATAAATTTCATTTACATCATCGTTCATATTTGGTAAAATCCAGAATTCATATCCAAATAATCTTATTATTGAATATAACAATATTCTAATGACTTAAAGTCCAATTAAAAATATTAGCAAATATATTGTAAATTTAAATATACCATATTTAAATGAAAAAGGCCATATTGGAAAAAGACAGATCAAAAATACACCAATCAAAATGGCTGCCAACTTTATTGAATTCATTTTGTTTTTAACATCTATACTCCATGTGTAGAAGCCATCTTCTATAAAACTTTAATCCTATCACATATTGAAATATTAAAACTCTAACTAAAGTCAACAATTTTGGCCATTTTTTCTTTGGGTCATCTCTATGCCTATCGACTCTCCATATAATTTTGCATTCTATCAAGTATTTAGCAATTTATGCGGCATCCTTCTTTTTATCAGTTAATGGAACTAAACCCTTAATTTCTTCAAAATTTGTTGTTGTGAATTTAATGAAATCTTCTCCTTTAAAGTATTATATCTTTCTTTGATAATTGAAATTTGCTTCTCTTAGTTTAAAGCCACTATGTTATTAATGATAATGTTAGTAAAGTGGATAAAACTATTTTTCGAACTCTTTTCTTTCTTAACTCATTTACGCGTGTAATTATAATTTTATATAAATAATAATAAAATTTAAATATATAAAATATATTATTTCACCATAATATTTATTTAATAGGTAGATATTTATGATTTAATAAAAGAAATATATTAAATCATATCTAAAATTATTAGCTTTTTATTTGATTGATTAATTAAAACATTAATAAAAAAAAGAATAAATGAATAACACTCAAAAAAAGAATGGAATAAAAATAATAAAACATTTATAGTCATATAATTACAATCTTTTGAAATTTTAAGTCCAAATTGTTTATAAATAATTAACTAATATGGTTTAATATAATAATAATATTAATTAATAGCCATGATGTGTATTCAAGATTGGATTTATAAATATTCAAGAATAATACAGTTTATAAATAATTTATTAAATATTAATAATAATACTTTGTTTATTGTATGATTTTAGGTTCTCAAGAATATTCAGTAGAAAATTATTGGAAATATATTTATGTATCGTTACTCTTTTTCTCGTTATGCTCAGCTTCAGTAATACCAATAATTTATACATACTCACCTAAATGTAGACATCATCCAGCATAGATTGTTCTGATATTATGTAAGATAATATATATTTTAGGTATATTGGAAATGATAACTTGCTATTAATTATTTCTAGATAGTGTTAATTTTTAAGAATTGATTTATTTTTTAGACATTGTTATTGGTTACAATAAAATTAGAGAATATTATTTATTTGGCTATGGTTAGATATCAGATGAAACATTATGTTAAATAAATCAAACTCTTGTATTTTTAGGATTCTTAGCACAATTAAATTATTATGCAATTCTGACATTAGATTTTATACTCACATTAACTAAACCATTCTTGAATACAAAAATGAAGTAACTATCATATAATTTGGGGGCATGTTTTGTGACAATGTTGATGTTTTATATAGAGAGACATTCACTTGATGGAAGTTGTTAAGGAATAAGTGCAAGACAAGTTTCTTAAGTTTTTACATTTTAAATGCTTGCAATAACTGTATTATTAGTAATTTCAATATATGTGGGACTTAAGGACTTAAAAAAGATGAAGAAAATTAATATTGTGGTGAGAGAAAATAGGAAAAAATTGTTTTACAATCATTTAGTATACTATTATTAAACCTAAATTAGTATTTATTTTTAACTTTGGCTTTAATGTGGAGTCTACCTTTCATAATGAAAACTTTAAGTGATTCAAGTAAAGCCCACAAATTAATAAATAAAATTTATTTTGCTATTATGCTTTTACATCGTAAAATTGTATTATTTATTATTAGCATCTATTTTGTTATGGATACGACTTCGTGAACCTTATTTTAAGAGTAGAACATTTCTATTAATGGCCACTATTTTTTGTAAAAGAAGATGGAAAGAAAATAAAGAGTAAAAAATATTCATTTATGTCATTTAGTAAAAATGTTGATGATAGTATTATGGAACAATGTTAATTGCCTCTAAGTAAATTAGTCTAAGATTAAACTAATTAAGAGACAGTGTCAAATATACTTAGTTCAATACTTAAAATTGTTAGTTATGATGAAAGAATTACTGATTTACATAAATAATGTAAATACAAGAAGTAATTCAGATTTTCATCCAATAAAAGTGATTAATCTGAAATTGATTAAGAATCACCTTTATTGCATTCAATTAATTATTCATTAGAATTAACATTACCATTCTAAATTTAAGAATATGCTCCAGCAGTATTTTAAGATATTAGAGAAAAAAATGGGATTTGTCATAAATAATTTCAAAATTCCTTAAGATTAGATCATAATTAGAATTAAATTAAAAAGACTCAAGAATCATTAGGAAAAAGTGGATCATTCTTTTTTTATACTTATGATAATGTTTTTGTCTTGAAGACCATTACATAGTCAGAAATTAAACTAATTTATGATTGTATTTTATTTATTTAATTTTATAGTTTTGGAAGACTATTATAAATATATAAATAGAGATTAAACATTTTTAGCTAAATTTTATGGATTGTATTCAATAAGTATAGAAGGATTCTCTTAAATTCATTTATTACTTATGGAGAACATTTTTGAAAAAATACCTAAAGAAAGAGTAGTTTATGATTTAAAAGGAAGTCTTGTAAACAGAAAGTAACATGTTAAACAAAGCTAAGTTGTTGATCTCACTAGTTCTTTTGCTTAATATTTACCTTAAGAAGGAGTTTTAAAAGACCAAAATTTCATCAAATCTACAGATATATTTATTCAATTAAAATAATAACATAGAGATCATTTATTTAATATTCTTAAAGATGATATTGATTTCCTTCTTAGAAATAATATTATGGATTATTCATTGCTCATTGCTGTATGTAATAATAAATTTGAAAAGGGGAAACGTATATATTGTAATAGTAGCAAATGTTTTTGTTTTGGTTTGATTGATTATACCTAAAAATTCACATTCAAAAAGAAATTGGAGTACTTTTATAAGTTTCATGTAAAAAGAAAAGGCTAACAAATCTCATGTGTTGATCCTTAATTTTATAGTTAAAGATTTATTTCATTCGTTAATAGTATAATTGCTATTAATGAATGGGCATGAATTATAAATTTGTTTATACATAAATTTTAAGATTATTAATTTTCTTAAAATGACTACCATTAACAAATCTATTCTTTTTATACAATGTTTTTTTACATAGAAATAAAATTAGAAACTAAAATACTAAAAATCATAAAGATTTATAGGATTTGCAGAAATTCTCTAAATCATTTTATATAAATCAATAGTTTTATGTTAGGATATGTAAACTGTATTTATACTTTCTAATAATGCAATTATTTAAAATCAATAAGAAAGGCAATGATTAAGAATATTAATGAGATCACTGATATCTTTTAATTTTGATCAAAATAATAGCTAAATCTTAAGATTATATTGAACTATTATATAATTATCTCTGAATTTTAATACGCTAACTATATCATCTATTAAATTGTATAATTGATTTTGAAATCCATCTTTTTTTAGAATTTATGTATTAGGATATAAACTGTTTTTAATTATATTGGATTCTCATTCTTTGATAACTCACATATTTAATCAACAGCTGTCTTCTTAATTTCAAAAAATGTGTTTAAAAATCTCATTACTTAATCTAACTCATAAACTACATAATTTAATTGTGTTATTAATTTAGAAATAAATTGAGAAAAGATTCAAATATAATTTGTTTAATATATTGGTCAATTTTGTTAATCCATAATTTAAAGAGATTTATCACTTGTTAGATGCATTTACTTGAATGATCCATCTGAAACACCATTTAAGTTAAAATTACTATCAATTTCATTATTCTAACTCCTTTGACTCACTTAATAATACTCCTCTATTTCGTATTGTTCGTTTTTATTAATAACTTCCAGTTATTTGAACAATTAAACGAAATCATTTTCATTTTTTGGGTAAATAATATAAAAGACCTTTAAATTTTCATCTTAAAAAGGGACACCAAGTTTATTTTTTAATATCATTTATTCTTATTATCTTTTATTTTTTGATGCAAATGTGAGTTCATTTTAGCAAGATTAAAGATCAAAAGCTTGACATTTGCAGATTGAACCCATAATTTTTAACAACTTATAATTAATAAGCAAGATCAAAAATTCAAATTTTTATAAATTATACAAGATAAATGATTTATAGAATTTAATAATAATGTGTATAGAACAAGATAGTAATTTCATTAAAACATAAATGTCTAAACTATTATGACCTTTTAGATTGGTAAATATAATACTATTAATTTAATTATAATAGTTGTATTTCCTTAATGTTTTATAAACATATTGAGTATAATTAATATTAATTAGATTGATTTATTCTTTTCCTATTTAGATATCTAGTTAATTCTATTTATAGTTTTGAAATTATAATTATAAAATATAAATGTATACTTTCGAAATAAAAAATATCAATTTACCATTATAGTANTGAACTATTATATAATTATCTCTGAATTTTAATACGCTAACTATATCATCTATTAAATTGTATAATTGATTTTGAAATCCATCTTTTTTTAGAATTTATGTATTAGGATATAAACTGTTTTTAATTATATTGGATTCTCATTCTTTGATAACTCACATATTTAATCAACAGCTGTCTTCTTAATTTCAAAAAATGTGTTTAAAAATCTCATTACTTAATCTAACTCATAAACTACATAATTTAATTGTGTTATTAATTTAGAAATAAATTGAGAAAAGATTCAAATATAATTTGTTTAATATATTGGTCAATTTTGTTAATCCATAATTTAAAGAGATTTATCACTTGTTAGATGCATTTACTTGAATGATCCATCTGAAACACCATTTAAGTTAAAATTACTATCAATTTCATTATTCTAACTCCTTTGACTCACTTAATAATACTCCTCTATTTCGTATTGTTCGTTTTTATTAATAACTTCCAGTTATTTGAACAATTAAACGAAATCATTTTCATTTTTTGGGTAAATAATATAAAAGACCTTTAAATTTTCATCTTAAAAAGGGACACCAAGTTTATTTTTTAATATCATTTATTCTTATTATCTTTTATTTTTTGATGCAAATGTGAGTTCATTTTAGCAAGATTAAAGATCAAAAGCTTGACATTTGCAGATTGAACCCATAATTTTTAACAACTTATAATTAATAAGCAAGATCAAAAATTCAAATTTTTATAAATTATACAAGATAAATGATTTATAGAATTTAATAATAATGTGTATAGAACAAGATAGTAATTTCATTAAAACATAAATGTCTAAACTATTATGACCTTTTAGATTGGTAAATATAATACTATTAATTTAATTATAATAGTTGTATTTCCTTAATGTTTTATAAACATATTGAGTATAATTAATATTAATTAGATTGATTTATTCTTTTCCTATTTAGATATCTAGTTAATTCTATTTATAGTTTTGAAATTATAATTATAAAATATAAATGTATACTTTCGAAATAAAAAATATCAATTTACCATTATAGTATTGTATGAGAAAATACTTAAATGAATTTTTAAAATTTTCAAAATATAAGGAATATTTTAAATCATAGTAGTATGATTATTCAAATAATTTATTCATTTTATAAATTTAGCTCATTACTTTTTATCTTGTGTGTTAAATTAAAATAAAATGAATATAAAAAAACCTTAATGTTGATCTTCTTAATTGCAAATGTAAATTTCTTTCATTAATATCATATGTAATTTTCTTTAGAAATTGTATGCCTCTAGTTTTGCTTAATATTTTTATATAACTACTCTTCAGTTAAAATAGATTTTTAATATACTTTCAAAATTGATAATATTTAACATGAATAGTCCTTTTCAATGTTATAAAGAGTAGAACTTTCAAATGAAATTAATTTAAATTCTCCTTTGATAAGATTCCTCATGATTTGAATTATTTGAAATGCATAAGAATGCAAGCTTTGAAAGCAATAATAATAAAGTTCTTACTCTGAAAAAAGATAAATTCAATAGAAAATAAATGAAAATTATAGTAATTTACTTATGATTTCTAATTGATGATCAAAACTTAATACATAACTACTTAATGATGAATTACGTAATTTAATAAAGCTTGGACCAAATCTTATTTCAACAATCTTAATGCTTATATATTATATTTTAATTCATAAGTATTAAAGTGTGTACCTTTTAATTTATGAAAGCTTTTGAAAAGGATATTTGGATAGAAGACTATAATTTATCATAGGAATCCACTAAAAAATAATCATTAAAGAAGTAATTTTTTAAAGTATATGATCTAAAAATAGATTTATCCAATCAAGACATATATAGATGATTTTTGTAAATTTGATAAAAATTAAATTAATCATTTAATAGAAAAGAAATGTTAAATATTCAACTATTTAATATAAATTTAGCAGTTCATTATTTTTTTTATTGCAGCCAATTTCCTTTAAATTATTTATTATCATCTAGCTCTTCTTCTTTTATATTTGGTCGATTTTAATTTATATTTTACTAAGGTTATTGTGGTGTTCTTTACTATTAATTAATCTATGGATGCAATTAAGGTTATTAAATATGAGGGTAATATGGACCCATATTGATCTATTATAAAATTATAAGTTACTATAAATGTATTTGGTATTTAAGTTGGAACAATTATTGGGTAGAGTAGTTGAGGACAATATTAATTTATTAAGTCATTTCCATTTTGTATTCTCTAATTCTAAATATCTAATAATTCTTAAAATGCCTAAGATTTAAATATTCTATAAATACTTCAAGAAATTATTATTAAGGATCTCCATCTTCATGGAATTGATTAGAATTCATAATCAAATATATTAATAATTATGAATAAATATTGAATTAAGTATCTTAATTTCATAGTTTCATTAAAGTGTTGAAGTTATTGATACTTAAAATTTAATTAACATCATATGTATATATACATATTATATTCTTTTTATTTTTTGTTTAAATTTCTTATTTACTTAGATTAATTATATTTATTTGAATGAAAAATAAAAAATATTGACAACAATTTTTAGGTAGAAATCAAAGTTAAAGATTTCATTTTTAATATTTAATATAAAATTAGCAATAAAAATATAGTTTAAATTCATTTCCAATAAGATTAGATATCTACAACAATTAAAGTCATATTGTCTTTTTTATAATTAGTATTTTTAGATGCTGCTTTATCAAGAAGATATTATGCTAATTAATCTATTTCTTTTCTATTCCAATTTTCAATTAATTTTTTTAATTCATCATTTTTAATAATCTAAATATTAATATTATATTACATCCCAAAAACCATCAGATGCCAAAATTAAATATTTATCCTTTTAATCAACTTAATGTATTTTAATTTCAGGAATTGCTATCAAACCTGATTGTCTATGTTTCTTATCACCAAATGCTCTAGTTACTGCCAATTCTCCATTAATTCTTGGTATAGAACTAAAATAGTATATTAAAATACTGTCTATCTAAAATGGTTGCCATTTGTTCAACTCTTTTAAATTCATCTTCTCTATTTAATTTATGTTCAAGATTCAATTTCTAAATTTCACATTCCTCATTAATTAAAACACAAGCAGAATCACCTAAATTGACAATATATAGATCTTTATGTCTATTTATAACACAAATAGCAGTAGAACCACCAAGTAATTAATTTTCTTCTTAACAATCAAGTATATATTAATTCATTTTCTCAAAACTATTTATTATTGCTTTCTCTAAATCATCACAAAAATTGTTTTCTTCTTATAAATATTTATGTAAATTATTTTCGAGAATTACTGATACAGAATGACCTGCATGACCATCATAAATTGCATAAAAGAATTAGGCCTCTTTATTTTGATTTAGATTTGGAATAGCAACAAACTTAAATTAAGAGGATTTAGTACTCTATCTTCTTAATACTTTCTACCACACTTAAGTTGAGCAACATCAGCAACTGTCTTTCCATTATGACAAAATTATAAAGACTAATCACTTACTATTAATAAATTGTATAATACATAGGTTCATGGAAAAATATGTCTGTTTATTATTTCCATCCATCAGAAGAATGAGTACTCTCAGGTTAGACATCAGTAATATTGACATTTAACTACAATTTAGGTTTAGTTTTCTTTTGATTATTAGTTGATGTCTAATTCATAATAATAAAAATTATTGTATTATATTATTATATAACATTGTTATTGGAAATGATATTATTTAAATTTATATATCAATTTTAACTTAATCTAAGTTTTCTTTCATGATTCTCATCTTCTACTTAATTAAATCTATCTTCAACCATATCTTCCAATTAACTGACCAATTAAAGTTCGTTTCTTCTAGCTTAAGTGGCAAAGTTATATTCATTTTAAAATGTAGCACATAATGCAGTTGCTTAATCCCAAAGTTATTGATTTCTTTATAGTTTTCCTGAAGCAGTCTAAGCAATAGCAGAATTAGTTCCAATACATTAAACTAAATGATCTAATTTATTTGATAATCTTTCAGCTTAAGCAGTAAGTCTTTCAAGAGTTTATCCAATTCTTTCCTTCTATTCATTGAAGGCAGCAATAGATTAAGCATTTGATTCAGCATAATCATTGTAGGCCTCATGAATATTTTATTTCAAAGTATCTAATAATTAAGCAACTCTCTCAAGGGAAGTCTCATCAAAATCTTTTGATGAAGCTAATTAAGAAAAAGCATAAAGGATTGGAGCAAATCTAGCAGTTTCCTTAATACTGAAGGATGTTTAAAGCATAACTTTTGAAACTCTACTGATTTAAGCAAAACTTCCTGATCCACTATAGATAGCAGCCAAAATATCTGATGCTTCATCAATAGCATGAAGAGCATCTTCATAATCTCTTCCTCTCTTCTTAAAATAGCTTGCTTCTTATTCAGCAGCTGTCAATACCATATTCAAATGTTTCTCTGCTGTGAATGTTTAATGTTAATTGACTTCTTATTAATTGGTGGCTCTGATTTTTGATGTTTAACATACATTTAATTAAGCACTAGAATCTCTAAGGATGTTTTTAGCATCTTAAACTTCCTTACTTCTGAATTCATCTTCAGATTCACATTCTCTAACTTAAATTTAATATATCTCATCATGATTCACTTATTCGAAATTTACTGAATCCCTAAAATCTCTCAAAACATTCAAAATGGCATCTAATGGAGCTTTTGTTGAAATCTTAGCTTCCACTTCAGCCATTACTGATGTTATGGATCTCTTTTTAGAGTAATCTAATTTATTCTTGAATGTAGCAGCAGAGGCAACACTTAAGAGTAAAACCACCAATAAAACTGTTCTCATTAATAATAATAATGCTCTTAGACTTTAAACTATATCGTTTTTAAATCTGTTAAATCACTTATTCAAAATGTTCAACTTCTGTTAGTTTACTAAAATAGAATTGAACATAATTTAAAATAAAATGTTTGGTTTTAATTTTGTTTTAATGAAATATTTTAATTTTAAGAAAATTAATTAAAAATTCTAAAATCCAAGAATTATTCATTAATAACTTCTAATCATTAATTAAAAAATGTTAGTATTTTTATCCCCATAAACTATTTTATTTATACAAATTCTAAATTTTAAGAAATCACTCTCTCCTCAAAATTAATTAGATATAATGGTATAAATATTGAATCCATACTAAAATTATTATAATTATGTGTGATTACTAAAATTTATATATTGTAATATTTATATTTATCATCTTGTAAAAAGTTTTCCTTATTGACTACAATTAAATTAACAAAATACTGTTTTCTATATAGCTGATATAATCCAGTTTGAGCCATGCAAAAATTGCAAATGACTAAACTATAAACTCTAGGTGTAATAATGAAACACCATCTACTTATTAATAATATAGTATTTACCTAGTGAATAATAATCCTGTCCAAGCTATTACGCATTATTAAAGTGTGTTAACTTATTCAACAGGTTTTCGCATATCACCTATGTTAGCAATTGAGATTCCCCACTTAGCTAATGGAGTCCAGAAAAAGATTGTGAAAGGACCTTTCTCACTCATTATGAATTTCTTCATAAAGGCTGGCCAAAAATTCCAAGCACAAACATATTGCTATAACTTAGGCACTATTCCAAACATGTGATTCAAAAATAAAAATATAAAATCTCTAAATGAAAATATGATAAATCATAATATAAATAAATGAATAATAAATAAAGTACTCAATATTTTACACATTTTTTATCAATATATCCAAATGAAGATATGTCTTTTATTTATGATAAATTATATTACTAATATTATTGGTTTTATATTCAAAATTATTAGATAGTATTTTTATTCAAGCTTTTATATTTTCTCTGATTAAAAAAATAAATAAATTCTTTACAATTCAATAATATTTTTCATTTTAATCACATATATATAAATTAAATAATAATATTATCTAATTTTATTTATTTTTTTTATAAAGATCTTTTATTAATCATACTTATAATAGAAATAAAATTAATAAAATTTATGGATAATGATAAAATTATAACATTTAATCAAATAATTCCATGACTACTGAAGGATTTCTCTTAAACTTACTTTTCATGAATTAAGTAAATTAACCATAATTGATATTAGTTCTATTATTTAATTAAATGTATATTGAAACAAGCAAACTAATTTAGAGTATTTCCTCTGTAGCATTGAAGGGCAAAGTTGTAAAAATTATTTTTTAATTAGAATAAAGTATTGGATTAATCATTAATGGAGTTCAAAAAAAAAATAATTAAAATTATGCTAACAGGATATTATTTAGAATTCTCCTTTTAGTGAGATATTACAACCTTTTTATCAGATTTTGAAATATTATTCATACTAAAAGAACAATTAAAAAAGGATAATGAAAATATATATTAGGATTGATAAGGTAATTATTTGATTTAGTATCGCAAACTCTATGTAATAAACTTGGTTGTAATTGGACTTCTATAAAGAAAAGAGGGTTAAATTAATAAATGAATTCAAATCATCAAGAGAGTAAGAATAAGCTTCTAATGGAAAGTTAATTGATGCAATTAAGATTCTTTAATAACGATAAAATTTGTATTGTAATGAAAAATTTGAAAATGGCTCGTGTATTCATTAATGCTAAATGATAATTTGATATTAAATTAGAGAACATTTAGTTAATAAGAATTTATTGTAATAATTTTGGAAAGTTAATTATATGTAAATTTGAATAGAGTTTAATTTAAAAGGAATATTTGAAAGGTAGTGTTGTCGAATTAATATTTATTAAATCAAAAATCTATTTTAGAGTTAACTCAGAGTTAATTTTGACAGTCATTTTCTTATGAAATATTTGACCAAGGTCAACGTAAAATCAATTTTTTTAATTTTCTTTAAAAAACATATGAGGTAAAATATGAAACAAGGCTATGCAATATTTTTATTTAGTTATAACGAAAACTAAGATTTTAATTAATTCAATATATTAGAAGAAAATAAATCATTATCTTTAATTTTAAATCAAAATATCCATAAAAATTATGAAATATGTTATTCTTGCAACTATATTGATTCATTTTCAATAAAATTATCCAAGATTAAATTATGGGGGTACATTTTGTTACGTGAGTTTATAAGATTCGTAATGTATGGTTCAATGGAAAATATTTTTTTAAAGTTTTCTTTCTGCTCTTCAAATTTAGATGCATCAATACTCTTGCTAAGCAATTTATGTTGACATAAATGGGGAACAATAATAGGTGACTATTATCTCAAATTGTGGTTCATTGTTAATAAAAGTACTTATTGCATTAAGAATTTAAAAAGACATTCCTAAACGACTAATAGATGGTATACTTGCCAGTTGGCTCTATGGACACTATACTACACTTTGGTAAAGAAATCAATGAAAGTATATAACTCTATAATTAAAGATGAAGAAATGTATACACTGAACCTAGAGAATCCTGAAACACAAATAAAAGTGTCTTTTCTTTTGAGTTAAAAGGATAATTAAGAACTTTAAAATCAATTAAGAGGAAAGTAAGTTTTCTTTCGCTCTTAAAATCCTCGAATATTGGCTTAGATAGCACCTGGGATCTGTAAAAAAAGATACTTATATATTAGAACTGATTCAAACATAAAACAATGTCATGATTGAAAAAATAGCTCCTTTTCCTAAGACATTGAATGATATAGCTTCGATTAACAGACTAGTAAGAGATTTAGTTTAATTATTAGGGATAATTGAAACAAGAAGCAGATATTCTGTCTTTTTTGAAAGAACATGAACATTAAAATATAATTAAATTGGAAGAAATTGTGACTGACAATGAATTTGTATCAATAACACTGGAAAATTGTTAAGGAGGAGATCTCCTTAAATTACTGAATAAGAAAACCAATAAAATAAATGAATCTCTCATTATGATAAACTTACTTTCAGGTACTTGATCTTCTTAATAATTAAATAGGTTTAAAACATCTTCATGAATTAAACATAGTACATCGAGATATCAAACTATAAAACATATTATTCCTAGATAATTAAAATGGCAATACTTTAAAAATTGCCGATTTTGGTCTTTCCTGTTTCAAATAACAAATTCCATACTATAACCCAAGGTAATATTTAAAAAATAAATTCAATAGATGTGGAACTCCTGGATATACTGCTCCAGAAGTATTTGCTTAATAATGTATTTATGATGAGAAAGTGGATATTTATAGTGCTGGAATAATCCTATATAATATGTATAAAAAATTGACTTATATCTATTTAGGTTAACTAGGAAAAATCCATTTGGTAATTCAAAGAATGTCCAAGATATTATAAAAAGAAACATTAGTGGTTAATATGATGAAAGTCATTTAACAAATGTTAAAATAAATAACCCTCTAGGATATGATTTACTTATTAAGATGCTTTAAAAAGATCCTCTTAATCGTCCTAGTGCAAATGAATGCTTATAACACCCTTATTTAAATTTAGAAAATAGAATAATTGAGGATGATGAAAATTAGAATAACAATGAAAGTCAGAAAAGAAATTAAGTATCAAAACGTGTAAAGATTTGAATTTTATGAATACTATCATTTATTCTCTAAAAATTTCTTAGGATCTGATTCATCATCATCATCTGATTCATCATCTTCAAACAATCTTCTACATCCAAAGATGCGAGAAAATTGATTTTTACACCACTCATACAATTAATCTAATTTGGAGAGTTTAGTTTATTATTCATCATCAGATTATGAATTTTATTAAAACATTCTTTAATATAATTCTTTATCCTTTTTTAGTGCTTCATTCAATTTCTATTTGAGATCATAATAATCTTCCTGAAGATCTGGATACTCATTTATATTTGTTACAAGACTTAAATCAGATTATACTTTGTCATATTCTTGAATATCGAAATGAAAATATCCTCTCCTTAAAATATACCTAGGACTAGGATACATTTTGATTCCCTATATACATATTTGAATTTATTTACCATATCATAAAATTTAGATGCTCTTGCATAATCTTTTTTTTTCTTATAACAAAGTGCTAGATTAAAAATGATAGGGTATTAGAAATCCTATTTCATAATTTCGTTTCTTTCTGCTGTGTTCTATAAATCCAACGCTAAAGCCATTTCATCATACACTTAAATTGCTCGATCATATTATTGCTGATAAAACAACTTATTTCCTTTATTCTTTTAGTACAGCAGCCACTCATAACGATCATCCCAACTGAGATCCTATTTTTCACTTTTAAAAGCTGTGGTTTTACCTTCAGCATATTTGACAATTCCTTCTTTCTAATTTTCCTTAAGGCTGATTCTTATATACTCTCCTAGTCACTAAATATAAATGAATATCTATATACATTTATTTTTAATCAATAGTTTATAATTCAACTTCATTATTCTAAAAGAGTTTAATAAATTCTTCTTCAATCATACTTATATATAAAAATAAATATTAAATTTGATTTTTAAGATTAATTACAATTAGAACATAATCAATCCAAATACGAATAAAATCTTAATAATACTGTCTATTGTAGTAGTATTTGTCTTTTTAGTATCATCAGGTTCAATTACAATAGAATTAATATTATTTCATTTAGATTTAGGCACTATTCCTAATATATTTATTCACACTATAATCGAAATAATATAATGATTTAAAAATTGATCCATTTGCGCATGAATATTTATACAAAATGTGATTTTCATTTCACTTTATGTTGAATAACTAATTTAAAGAAAATTAGTTTCATTTTTTTGTACATTTGGTGGAATAGTTTAGAAAGTATTACATTTTGAATTATTTTTGATATCGATTGTAGTTTATACCAAAGCATCTGCACATTACTTCAATCTAAATTTAAATTTAACCATTAAACATATTTTATCAGTACTAACAGAAGTACAACTAATTTTTGTAATAAATCTAATTCCATTGGTACACAAATAACCAGAAATTAATTTTAACCTTCATCAATTGTATAAGTATTATCTTATGAATACAATTTGTTACATATACTTTAACCACCATTCCAATAACTTGATTTATTATTTTCATTGAATCTTTAATATTATGATATACTATTTTCTGAGTATGACGTATAAAGTTAATTTGGATTAATAAATCCTATTCCTTTATTTATACAAGTACTCTAAAATTGATTATATTGAATGTCATTAATTGCTGTAATATTGTCATCAATATATTACAGATTAATAAAATTAGAAGTTATTCAAATCAATTGGCTATCCAAATTACATTTATAATCTCTTTCTTTGTGCATCATTACAAACTCTTACTTTTTATATACTTAATCCTAATGTACACTCTCCATCACTATCACTATAATCATAATAAATCCCTGTATAAATATTAGATAGCTTCTTTTGAGTTACACATCCTCTCCTATTTGTAATACAAGCATATAGAGATTACTTACCTAAATCATCTATATTATTTGTTTTACTAGCATTCTTAAATTTTTCTTTCCTAACATTAATTATATACACTCCCATCATATCTACATTCTGATCCAATCATCAATTCACAACAACTAATCAATAGATATTTTGAACATCCTCCTGTATTGACATTTTCAAATTGGAATTTTACTCATTGTCATTTGTAGTTAACTCTACTGATACTGCTGAACAATGCATTTGACAACAATCGCTCCTTGTTTTCTCAATATAATTATCATTTCCTATTATACCTATATAAGAATCACCATTATTTCAATATTCCCAACTTATCTCCACACAACCTTTTACATTTTTTACCTATCCAGAATAAAACATGTTGCATTAATAATCTCTACTTAGAGTTGTACTAGCTTCGATGCATTATAAATCTCGAAATTTTCCATCTTCTAATCTACATCAATCAATGACCTTATGTATTAATATTAGAATTGTATAGAGATTAATCATTATAATAATTGCAATCTAAAGGCTCTATGCAATAAATTCTACCAGATGTGCAATGTTAAGATATTTATTAACAGAGATCATTTTAGTTTTTACTTTATGCAGAACATCATATAAATTATTCACAAAATCTCATATTGAATGCACAATCTATTGTAAGAATTAAAATTAATCATATCCAAAGTTTTAAAATAAATATTTACAGTTTCTTCACTTTTTTAATCTTAATTTTTAATCTATTTATAGACAACTATTAAAACACACAGTCCGATTTAGATTTCATTTATACACATTTAGATTACTTATTAATAGTTTTGTAACAGCTAAATTTGGATTAATCAACAAAAATTATAAAGTCAATCTTACCATACTTTAGTTTTATAGTTTTATTATTTCAAATTTTATTTCTATTTTGTGAATCTATTATGATAATTTTTGTTTATGTTATTTTAATCATCAATCTAAATCATCTTTGATTTTTTAATCTAAATTAATTTACACAATTTAATGATTATTATCATCAATTAAGTGATTTGAACTTCTGTTATCTTAATATTATTCAATTTTAAGTAGAAATAGCAATTTTAATTAATTAATATTTTTTTAATATATTTCTTGAATATTACATAATAACCTGTCATTCGTAGAGAAATAAACTGTTTAACCGATTATTTATGTAATTTAATTAATGTGATTTCATTAAAATATATTAATATAAATAATATGAACAAATTAATTGAAAAAAAAGAAAGCAAGTCTCTTGACTTATATGTTGTGTTAAGAAACCTAGAATATTTAAAAGATCACTTAGTTATATCAGAAAAGAAAATAAACAGAAAAAAAATTAAGATTGATGATGACTTAGAAAAAACGATACTTATTTGCAATTCAGATTAAGAAGACTGAACTCTAACCAAATATACATCTCTCTCTCTTGATTATAAACTCATTTTTCCATTTAAATAAAAAAAAATAAATTATATTTCATATTCATCAACTTCTATTAAATGGTTAATGCTATCAAATTAAAATAATAATAAGTTAGCCTTTGCATCCTTTTTACTTCCAAAATTCTAATTTAGAACTTTTTCCATAATTTTTCCAAATTTTTTATGATTAATCTTCTAAATATATCACAAAATAAAATATAACCTTTACTTTAGGAGAATTGTTTCATTCATAGTTTTGAAGGACTTCGTTTTATAATTTTGTTTATTCTTTTTTATATCATTATTGTTATTTATAATGCTTAGATGATAAAAAATGAGTAATCTAACAAACTTTATAATCAGCTATTAGAATAAAGAGAATACATAGCCATTATATAACTTAAGAAGATCATGAATTATTATATAATTTCTTACTATAAATCATAATAATTTATGAGATGTATCTTTGGATTGATTTATTTTTTTTTTAAATATATAGGAATTGATAACGGATAATTCAATATTCAATAACTTAAATTAGGCATACTAAAATCATAAACAGATGTCGCCTTAAAAAAGATTATTATGTATTCTTTAAAAAATAAATTGTTAAGGTATAGATATATGAATTATATATATAGAAAATATTTTAGTTTATTTTTTCAAATTAAATAATTCTGGAATATTTAAATTAACTTGTTTTAAATATTAGATTATTTTATAATTCATAACATTTTTTGTATATTTTTTATTTTATTATAAAGATGTTCTAATGTCAAAATTAAAAATTAGAAGAAGTTTATCAAGAGCATTGTGAATAAAATCTAAATAGTACTGATAAAATAGTTACCTTTATATTAAGGATAATAATATTGATCATTTCTATTCTATCAAGTTTACTTGTTCTATTAATTATCAGAAAAAGTAACAAAACCTAATTTTGGCCTTTTAAGTTAATAAAAATGTAGGTTATATCTGAACTGATTGATCTCACATTTGCCTTATTATTTACAATTAATAGTTCATGTTGGCCTAAAGTTTGCAAATTTATTGCATATATTATGCATTCTAATTGGTTAGCTTCTTTAAATTTTATGTTATTCTAGTGCTTTATCTACTTTTGTTTAATTAAGGTAAATTATCAAATTTACTAATAGTCAGAATTGCTATTCAACTATATAATGAATTATCTTTAATACTTTATAATTTTTTTATATATTGTACCATATGGAATTTTATTTTTTGTATTATATGATGATGGATTTGGTCCTTCAGGATGGTATTTATAAAATGGTGAATTCAATTTCATTTTTTGTGGATGTAAATTTCTACTTTAAATTAAGTTATTAATAATCAATTGATAGGATTTTGGATTACCCCTGTTTCAATTATATTTATACTTTCAATCATGCTTTCTGTATTTGTAAAAGAATATATTTATAATAGAATTCATATTATTGGTATCACCTTAAGAACAAAAAGGGGCTTAAATATCCTGCCTTAAGAATCTAATCAATCATTATATTCCCTTTACTCTATTCATTTGCATGGATTATCAATTTTTTGATTCGGTATAGAATATATATATATATATTAGATTATTTGATACTGATGCTAAAAATTAAAATTATTGCCCTATTAAAGAGATGAATTGGGTATTCTACATTTTTTATTTAATTTTAAATTTGGGATTTGAGTTACATTTAACATTAGGAGCAATACTATTTTATTTTATTTATAGGTATATTTTTTGATTAATACTAAAGAGGATTATTTAAAATAGATTCTTTGTGGGATGATATTTGTTTTAGAAAAAGGTAAAAGATAACATCAAATCAACTTTACTTAACAGAAACAAATTCAAATATTTAAATATGATATTTTTCATTGCATTTATGAATCTTAGAGAATATTTGAATTAAATTTTATTCAATCATTTATTTTTTAAATTTACTTAATAATTCTTTGTTTACCTACTCTATACAATTTAATGTAAAATATGAAATTCTTATTTTTTTTTGAGAATTTCAATTGTTAATAAATTATTAAAGTGAATTAAAAGTGTATATTTCCATAATAATATATTGATTAGATTAATGATTTCATTTTCTCTGTTTAAAAATGATATTATATTCATAAATATCAATGCATTATAATATAGTAGAATTTTATTTAATATCTACTATGATAGTTGGATTTATTCATTTAAAAAATACATTGTGGACAGATTTTATCATCTTAATTATATTTTCTAGGTTGAAACTGGGAGTATTTAAATAAAAATTTACTATTATATTCTGATTATAATAATTATCATTTTGAAATATTATGGCCACTTCTATTGCTAATAAGAAGGACAATTTTGATTGGCTTATTAAAATTCTATTGATAGGGGATTCTGGTGTTGGAAAAACTAATGTGCTATTACGATTTTGTGAAAATAATTTCCAACCAACATACTTATCAACAATAGGAATAGATTTTAAAATTAAATCAATTGATGTTGAAGGTAAGAAAATCAAGATGTAAATTTGGGATACTGCAGGATAAGAGAGATTTAAGACTATTACTTAGACATATTATAAAGGAGCAATGGGAATAATTCTTGTATATTCCATAGATGATAAAGACTCATTTAACAATATTTCTAATTGGATGAATTAAATTAAGTAACATGCAAGTGAAAATGTTTGTAAATTGCTTATAGGTTTCTATTTTAAATTTATTCATTTATATTAGGAAATAAAATTGATGTGCCAAATAGACAAGTCTCAAAAGAAGAAGGAGAATAATTAGCAAAATCATTTGGAGTTCCTTTTTTTGAAACATCAGCAAAGGAAGGTACAAATGTAGCAGATGCCTTTTTCGCTATGGCCAAGGCAGTCAAAGCAAATTTATAAAATGAAAAATAACCTAATCCAAGTAGTAGTTCCTAAAATGGAATACAATTAGTACCAAATAATGCTGCTGAAGAAAAAAAGAAGAGTGGATGTTGTTGAATTGAATAACAATAAAAAACAATAAATAATTTCATCATTTTATTACATTATCTCATTTTTTCCTAATTACCATATTTTTTTATTAATATTATTATCTTTATAACAATAACATTATGACAATTTAATATATTATTTTTAAATACTAAATTTAGATCTAAAAAAAAATAAATATCATTAATAATTCTTTTTTAGTAAATCCTCTTTTTACATTATGAAACCAAATTTATAAATAGAATACTAATCTCAAACTGCCTCATCTATCATCCAAGCTTTTTCACGAATATTAGGAGAAGAAAGAGAAAATGAATATAAATATGATCATGATGATCATGAAGATAAAGACGAAGATTCTCCTACTCATAAAGCAATAATTATAATTATAGCTTTGTGTATTGGAATATTAATAATTGGAATACTTGTATATATAATTAGATGTATCTATTTGAGAGAGAAATAAAAAAGAATATCAAAAGTAAGATAATAGTCTGAAGCTGCTTATTAATAATAAGTTGTTTAGATAGAATCTCTTTGTGTTTAAACATAGGAACTAGCTTAATGTCCTATTTGTTTAATGCCGATTCCAAGTTGTTTATTGATTGTTACTCCTTGTCATCACTCTTTCCATAAAGCTTGTCTCAATCTATGGCTTCAGGTTGAAAAAATTTGTCCTTCCTGTAGAGCTTCTCTTAATTAATGAATATTTAATTAGCTTTATATAAAGCATTTAACAAAATTTGTCCTAAACTAAAGAACTTATTATTACTTTGAGTCATTAGTATTATGGGAGCTTTTTGTTCTTTTTTTTAAATTTAATAATATTAATTCCTACAACAGAACTTCCATTTACTTTTATTTAATTATAAATATCTCAATTATTGCAAATATGTGTGTTTTATTTATTGATAAAGAATATATAATTAAATAAAAATTTATTAAATATTTACAATTGTTAATATTTTTATAAAATCTACTAACTAAATCAATAAAAAAGTTATGTTGAATTAACAAATTTATCTAACAAAATTAGACTTTTTTTATTTTATATTTTTTAATAAGTGATAGAACAAAAAATTTGATGAGATTAAAGAGATTTAATTGATTTCAGTTAATTATTATTGAAAATTCGATTGGTTAAAATTGAATATACACCATGTGTGAAATTAAAATGATGTATTTTTAATTTATAAATATAAATATTTAATGAATAATTCTTAAAAAAGTAAGTCTGTTAGATCTGGTTCGGCAAGGGTTAAATCAGCAATTGAAAGAGCTGGATTACTTTAACAAAGAGAATAATTAAGAGAAATGTTAATCAACAAATTTACTAAAGATTATGCTTAAGGAAATAAAAACAAAGAAGTTCTAATATAATAAATAGTTAATGAATACTTTATAAATGAATAAGTAATTACCAATTCCTAAATTAGGTTACAGAAAACTCTTTAAAGTAACTTAAAACAAAAGTTATTGAAGCTGTGTAAAAATAAAAAGGTTTAAGTCAAACATAGCATGTAACTCATAATAATAATAATTCTCAATTTGACAATAAAAGTGAATAGAAATCATAAATTCCTAGACCATAATCTGTTAAAAATTCAGCAAAATCGGAACTTGATTAAGATTAATATTCTGTAACGTCTTCTCAATTTGAAAAACAACCAAAATCTGTATATGTAGTTGATGAAGAAGATGAATGGGCTGCATTAGTTAAATTTGATACAGAACTTCATTCTAAAGAGTAATAGTTAGAGTAACAGAGGTAGATAGAGTTTAAGAAGAAAATGAAAGCTGAATTAGATAGACAGTTAGAAGAAAAGAAAAGAAGAATGGAAATTGAAAAAAGACAAGAAGAAGCTTATGTTAAATTAAGAGATTTTTAAATGAATGTTTATGATCAAAGGGAAGAGCAAAAAAAGAGAGATATAGCAAAAAAGTAATAATTGGAGAAAGAATAAAGAGACAGATAAGTAAGAGAAGAAGAAAAAAGAAAGTTTTTAGAATAAAAGAAATAATAAGAATTGGATGCAATTTTAGTTTAAAGGATTTAAGAAGAATTAAAATAAGAATAAAGAGAAGCCTTATAAAAGAAAGAGATAGAGAAGAGAAAGTTTGTAGAAATGATGGAAGAGAATGAAAAAAATAGATAAAAATAAATCTAAGATGAAATAACAGACAAACAATTAGAAATTGATATGTAAAGAAAATACATCTAGTTACAATAAAAGTTAGAGGAAGAGAGAGAATTGGAGAAAAAAGAAAGAGAAGACAAAATTAAAAAGATAATGAGTGATTTTTCATAGACTGTTGTGAAAAATTAAAAAGATTAAATTAAGTATGAATATCTATTAATAATAGGGTTGAAGATGATAAAATGATGAAGGCTATATTAATGTAAAATGAAATAGAATAATAAGATGAAGAGATGAAAAAAAGACAAATTAAATAGTAATAGTAAGAAATGAGAAAATATTTAATTAAGTAGATGGAAGATAAGAAGTATTTATTTAATTATGAGTATAGGTAGAGATTAAAAGAAGAAGAAGAATTGAATAAGAAATAAGCCTAAGTTTGGTAACAAGATTTATAGACATTTTAATAACATGAAAAATCAAAATATGATTATATAAAGGATGTCAATGTTAAACATTAAGAGATCTTAAAATAATAAATGGATGAGAGAAAATCTTAGTAGAGACCAAGAAATAAAATGAATAATGAAGAATTAATGCATAATAAACCTTTGTTAAAAGAATTGGCAGACAAACAAGATACTATTAAAGTGAGGAAAATTAATATAGGATGATAATATTATTGATATAGATTATATATATTAAGTATTTAAATGTGATTACAAATCTATAAATTAAATTATCAATAAATGACACATAGTTATGGTTTGAAAAAGGGTACAAGAAGCAAATTTGCAAAACCTTTTAGAGGACATGGAAATATCTCAATTCGTAAGACACTTCAAACATTCAAAAGAGGTAAGATTATTTAAAAGAAATTAACTTAAAGGTGATTTTGTCGATATTTTGGTTGATGGTGCTTAACATAAAGGAGTTCCATTTTAATATTATCATGGTAGAACTGCAAGAGTATTCAATGTTAATCCAAGAGGAATTGGTGTTTCATTATAAAGAAGAGTAAGAGGAAGATATGTAGAGAAAAGATTCCATGTTAGAGCTGATCATTTGAGACCATCAAAATGCAGATAAGAATTTGTTAAAAGAGTTTAAGAGAATGATAAAAAGAAAACAGAAGCAAAGAAAAATAAATAAGTCATTTCAACTAAAAGATAACCAGTTTAACCAAGAGGAGCAACAGTTGTTATTCCAAAATAAACAACATTCTAACATCCAAAAGCTTTTGTAGAAATTATTTGATAAATAAATCAGTATATTAAATAAACAAAATAGAACAATTCTATAATTTGGTATTATATGATTAATGTTTATTTTACTTGATAAATCACAATCATTTTTCTTATTATTATTAAGGTCCATCAAAATCATCTTCATCTTCCTTTCTTCTATAATAATATGTTTCAAGATTTTTTTTGTTAATCTATATGAAAATTATTATTAACTCTATACCTTCTTTAATTTTTCAGGTGGGAAGATTCTCAATAATCTCCAAGCCAAATCCAATGATTTGAAAATAGATCTGACTTCATAAGCTCCTTAACTGATGAAATTATTCTCAAATTTCTTCAAAAACTCTAAATACAATAAATCTTCAGCAGACAAGGCTTCTTCTCCTACGACTGCCTTCATTGATGCAGTATCCTTACCAATGGCATAATTTGCATATAACTAAACACATTGATATAAAAATTACTTGATTTGAAACTTCAGGATGATCTTCTCTAGTCATACCCTTACCAATAGCTGACTTCATCAATCTTGATAAAGATGGTAACACATTAATAGGTGGGTAAACTTATTTATTATTCAATTATCTATCAATAAAAATTTATCCTTCTGTAATATAACCTGTTAGATCTGGGATAGGATGTGTAATATCATCATTAGGCATTGTCAATATTGGAATTTGAGTAATTGATCCATTTTTACCTTAAACTCTACCTGCTCTCTCATAAATAGTTGAAAGATCTGTATATAAATAACCAGGGAAAGAACGTCTTCCTGGAACTTCTTCTCTAGCTGCAGATACTTCTCTTAATGAATCTGCATAAGCTGACATATCTGTTAAAATAACTAACACATGTAATTCCTTTTCGTAAGCCAAATATTCTGCAGTTGTTAATGCTAATCTTGGAGTAATAATTCTTTCAATTGTTGGATCATTAGCCAAGTTCATGAACAATACGACTCTTTCCATTGAACCATTTTATTCAAAATCTGTTTAGAAAAATCTAGCTGTTTCCATATTAACACCCATAGCACCAAATACGACTGCAAAATTTTCATCAGAATGATCAAGAACATCTTTACCTTTTACTAATGAAGCTTAACGCACAATTTAACTAAAATTATGGTTATTAAATCATACGCTCCTATCTCATTATGTGGTAAACCATTAGCAGAAAACAAAGGAATCTTTTATCCTCTAGCAATTGAGTTCATGCAATCAATAGCTGAAATACCTGTTTGAATCATTTCTTATGGATATACTCTTGAATATGGATTGATAGGTTGACCCTAAATGTCTAAAAATTCTTCTGCCAATACAGGGGGTCCTTTATCAATTGGAACTCCTGATCCATTAAATGCTCTTCCAAGCATCTCTTCAGAGATAGCCATCTAAAGTGTTGAACCTGTGAATTCACAATGAGTGTATAAATTATCAATTCCTGATGTTCCTTCAAAGATTTAGACAACTGCTTTCTTTCCTGCAATTTCTAAAACTTACCTAAAATAATTAGATTTATGATTACCCTTTTCTCACTGATCCATCTCCTAAACAAACATTAACAATTTCTGCATATCTTGGGAATTTCACATTGTCCAAAATAACTAATGGACCATCCACCTTCACAACTGTTCTATAATCTACTCTGGGTGTCACATTATAATTCCTTGTAGCTGCAGCTGCATTCAATCTAGCCGCTGCAACTTTTGCTATGTCATGGGCCTTATGATGATGACTCATAATATAAAATAAAGATATTTATGGTTTTAAGAATTTATAAACACATTTTAATATTCCCATTTATTTATTTTCTATTTGTCTTCATATATTAAATCATTTCCTTCTATCCTTAATAGACTCACTCAATATTCTAATAAGGAAATCTTATGTTTATGCATTCAAATAAAAATTATTTCCTATAAAACGCTGAATAATCTATATAAAATTTATTAAGTATTTTACAAACTAAATGAATAATTATAAGTATTTATATTCTTAAGAGGATTATAATAAAATTAAAATTTTGATAAATTCAAAGTAGAAATTGATACTAAATACTAAAATTCTTATTTTATATATATGTAAATCACTTATATTGTCAATATTTCGATTTCATATAATATTAAGAATCTTTTCTCTATCTTAATTTTATAGAGTTAATCAAAACTCAAAGAATTAAACTGAATTTATTTTGATATAACTAGATCTAGTTTGGAATTGCTTATAAATTAAGCTTTATTTTAAATTTATAAATGAATAAGTAGAATATATTAATATTGAGATTTGTTTATTTAATTAATAAGTTGTTTAACATTTTCATGCAAACATAAATGATTATTCAAATATTTATGAATTTATATAAATTTATTCAGTTTAAAAGTGACTCTATTTTAATTTTATCAACCTCAGTTAATGCAGATATATATTCTGATATTCTGGCATGTGTTGGAGATCCTTCAATCCTTTTTTCAAGTGAATCAATTTTTGTTTTCATATGAGTGTTTTCTTTTTTCAATACAGAATTTTCATTAATGAGTTTTTTCTATGATTAATTTAGTTATTACATTTTAATCTTTAAGAATTTTAATAGTTCTTTATAATTGAAGTAATTCTAAATCTCTATCAAGTAATTGCTTTTACATTTATAGATATGATTATTTGGCAAAATTTTCTTNATTACCCTTTTCTCACTGATCCATCTCCTAAACAAACATTAACAATTTCTGCATATCTTGGGAATTTCACATTGTCCAAAATAACTAATGGACCATCCACCTTCACAACTGTTCTATAATCTACTCTGGGTGTCACATTATAATTCCTTGTAGCTGCAGCTGCATTCAATCTAGCCGCTGCAACTTTTGCTATGTCATGGGCCTTATGATGATGACTCATAATATAAAATAAAGATATTTATGGTTTTAAGAATTTATAAACACATTTTAATATTCCCATTTATTTATTTTCTATTTGTCTTCATATATTAAATCATTTCCTTCTATCCTTAATAGACTCACTCAATATTCTAATAAGGAAATCTTATGTTTATGCATTCAAATAAAAATTATTTCCTATAAAACGCTGAATAATCTATATAAAATTTATTAAGTATTTTACAAACTAAATGAATAATTATAAGTATTTATATTCTTAAGAGGATTATAATAAAATTAAAATTTTGATAAATTCAAAGTAGAAATTGATACTAAATACTAAAATTCTTATTTTATATATATGTAAATCACTTATATTGTCAATATTTCGATTTCATATAATATTAAGAATCTTTTCTCTATCTTAATTTTATAGAGTTAATCAAAACTCAAAGAATTAAACTGAATTTATTTTGATATAACTAGATCTAGTTTGGAATTGCTTATAAATTAAGCTTTATTTTAAATTTATAAATGAATAAGTAGAATATATTAATATTGAGATTTGTTTATTTAATTAATAAGTTGTTTAACATTTTCATGCAAACATAAATGATTATTCAAATATTTATGAATTTATATAAATTTATTCAGTTTAAAAGTGACTCTATTTTAATTTTATCAACCTCAGTTAATGCAGATATATATTCTGATATTCTGGCATGTGTTGGAGATCCTTCAATCCTTTTTTCAAGTGAATCAATTTTTGTTTTCATATGAGTGTTTTCTTTTTTCAATACAGAATTTTCATTAATGAGTTTTTTCTATGATTAATTTAGTTATTACATTTTAATCTTTAAGAATTTTAATAGTTCTTTATAATTGAAGTAATTCTAAATCTCTATCAAGTAATTGCTTTTACATTTATAGATATGATTATTTGGCAAAATTTTCTTTGAGCTAATTAAAAAGAAAAACTACTTTTGACTTATTATTTTTCCTCCTCCACACTCTCAGCTGCAGTTGTTTTTGTACAACTTAATTTATCTATCTTTATATCTATAAAAGAACTCAATTGTTAATTTTATGAATCATCTTGTTTCATTGTAGAATCAAACTTCGATTCTTCAGTTTACTTAAAATAAAGACATCAAATACCTATGTAAACATTCTTAATTTAACATCAGAGTAGGGAGTTCTTAAACACAAAGAAGAACCACTCAAGGGTTGCCTCTTAGGTAGAGCTGGAGCTCTGATTATAGTAACAGGAGAATTTTTCCTTGTTTCAAAATGCTTTTGCAATAAGGAAGTTGACTATCTATGGTATATATTCTAAGTTGAAATAGACTTCTGTTTACTTAAGAGAGTGGTAACATTAATTAAGCAAGAAAATTAATTATATTAAATAATTTGTATTTATCTCATTTGAATTTAAGATAGAAAATTAAATCCTCGTTAGGTGTATTATTTGAGTGGGCATTTTAAAAAAATTGATTATATATAATAAAATTAGATTGAGTTTATAATATTTAATCAAATTTTCTCTTCTAAATTTTTGGATGATAGATGATTGATTTTATTTTAAGATTTATTCATTCTTAATGATCTCAATTTTTCTTATAAACCTTATCTTTTGTTGTTTTTGAGTAGTCCTAATCTTTATTTTCTTAAAATTTCAACTACATTAGTTATATTGAAAGTAGGGAAATAAAATTCATAATCTTTCATTTTATCAATATCAATTAATAAATTATATCCAGATTAATATAATTAATTGGTTTCATATTCAGTAGCATTTCTAGATTTACTATCAAGTTATTAAGAACCTAAAGATACACTTTTTTATATTATTGTATCCATTTTAACTTTATTTTACCTTATTGGATTTTGAGAATAAATATTCTAAATGAATTTTTAGGAATTTCCTGTTATTAACTATTCTTGTTAATATTTGGTTTCAATTTTTCTGTTTTATTATTATTATTAAGCTTATTATGAATCATCATTCATAACATGTTTTTAATAATTTTAATTCAATCCAAAATTTGTTTTTAATTTTTGAGACAGAAAAGTAGTTTTCATTTTTTCAAATGATTAAACCCTTTTTCTTTAATCTTATGATATATTATCAACTTCTTATGATTCTGATGATAAATGACTATCAGATAATTTATAACTCTTTTCATCTTCTCCTATTCCATAACCTAGTTTTGCTAAATATTGATCATTTATTTAACTAAGTTAAAATTAAATAATTACTCTTCATTTAAAAATCCAAAATTTAGAATAACATCTAATCCCTACGATACAATTATATTACGAAAAGAACCTTACTTATTTCTTTTTACATCTCTTGATCTTTCATACTTTTTTCTATATTAATAACAATTTATATTTGCATTCCTTGCAATTTTATCAAGATTTGATTAATAAAATACAAATGGACAATCCTAATATTTGTGAGTCCATTTACAAATATCACAAGTTTTACCATATGTTTTTTAATATGTTAATTTTTCTCTTAATTAATGAAACTTTTATCTACACTCTTCATTTTCTTATATAACAAAAAGAAAATCATTTCTATCAATAAATGCAACTGATAATAAAGTAGATGATCTAAAATTATATTGATATGGAGAATTTAAAATAAATTCTAATTCTCCAATAATATCTCCTCTTTAGTAGATTTTTTATATTTTACCATTTACGTTATCTTTTTCACCTTTGCAAAGTGTTTCCAATCCTTTGGATACAAAATAACTATCAACTTTACCTTCTAAAATAAAAATTAATTTTGTGGCTGTATCATTAACACTAGCAATATCATATCCTGGTGCATAAGTTGCCTATTTAGTCTTCTAACATAAATTATTAATCAAATCATCAGGAATATTATTCTTTAAAAAATTAGAATTTAATAAAACTCGTTTGTAAATATCAACTAAAACCTCTTATTTTAATTATCCACTTAATTTATTTAAAATAGAATCATCTTATTCCTATAATTACTCATCTATTTAATGTTTGAATTCAAAATACTTTCTAACCTTTAAAGATAATTATAGATTCAATTATTTTTGTTTAATATATTAATTTACTTTTTTCATAGATCTCTTTAAAAGAGCTTTTCTTTCTTCTAATGTTTTGATAATTTCACCAATGGTTGAAATGATATATCCAAAAACTCCACATAATACCATAGCCACTATAATAACAAACAATCTTTCTATTGTAGTCTAAGGAACTATATCTCCATATCCAACAGTCAAGGTTGTTATCACACTCCAGTATAATGAAACTATATATCTATCATACCACTCTTAATCATAATAGTCATAATAGATTAACCAACTCTTTTCATCATTATATGTTTCATATTCAATACGGCCTAGTAAATGCCAACCACAACTACACATATGAGCAACTAAAATCAAAAAATATACTAATTTAATCATTTCCAAAACAGCTTATACTTCTTCCTTGGCATTTAATAGATCTTAAACATTTTAAATCATAGATCTCACTCTGGCTATTCGTAATAATAGAATAAACTATATATATGGAATATCAAACTAAGCCAATACAAAAGGAATAGTTATTAATAAATCCCAACAGAAATTATTTTAAACGTAATGAAAAAAAATCTCACTACGATTTGTGTGTATTATACCTTAACTGTAATAGGCAGTATTAAAGTTTAACATTATTTCTACTATGAAAATGTAACTTGGGATAGTTTCAAAGAATAATATTGATATTTGATTAGATTTGTCTAGTTCAAAACTCAAACTCATTGGGATGTAAAATATATTGATTACTATGAAACAAACTACAATAGAATCCCAAAATATCTTGAAACTGCTCTCAGGATATATGATAGCTAATCTATTTAGAAATTTGCAGATGACATTCCAAATAGCAACTATAAAAGATACAATCTTAATAGTTATTAAACAAATAAAATTCTCTTCTTCTTTCTATTATCCTCTCTTAAAATTCTTAAAATCCCCACTTTTATCTCCTAAATTCTTAAATATTTCAAAATTCATTAACTTAATTTTCAATTTGTCAGCCTTTGTTTTCAATTAATAAATGAATCTTGCGACATATTTTATTATTTTTAATCCTCCCTTTTTCCAAGTAGGATTTAAACTCTTGTTTAAGGAAAATAAATACTTTTCATAATTTTGTATACTTGAATTAAAAAAAAGACTTTCTCTTGGCTATTTAATTGTTCCGTAATCTTCTGGGGATATAATTTTAACTGTTGGGATAATTGAACTTCTTGATTGTATCAATTCAATAAAATGCAGGTTTCTACTATTTCATTATAATAAACATATATTCATACTTTTCTTAACTAGAAATGTCATCTTGTTCAGCCAAAGAGCTTTATTTATTTGTTAAATGAATGTGAGATTCATTTTCAGAGCTAAAGATTTGTCTTTTTGTATTAATAAGAGTGTTTGGATCAATATCGAAGCGTTTATCTGTAATCATTTTATTTAGAGCAGATTAATATTTATTTAAATGAAAAAAATCAAATCACTATTGATTAAGAATATTCTAAAATTCATAAAGAATAAATTTATATTTTTGGATTCATATTTTTTTTTATTTCTCACTCTGGCTTTTATTTTAAAAATAGAGGATAAAAATAATAAAACTGAAAATAGATGGAATATTCAATAACAAAAATTTTAATATTCATTACCATAAACAAACAGAATTATTTGGTTTCTTAATGTAAATTAGGTTTACAAGAAAAATTAAATAATATGCTGTTTACGAAATTTGAGTAATTCTTAATCTCTATTTTACTTTATTTTTTATATGCAAGAAATAGATTTGTTTAATTTAGATAATATTATTAAGTAACATGAGTTAAAAATAGTGTCTATTGTAAACAAACTGATTGAAAATGGAAATTTAAATTATAATGGAAGAAATTAATTTAGATATTTTGTAATCAGATATAAAAATCATAATGATTGAGTATTTAGAGAAAATATTTCTCTAAGTATTTGAGAGTTTAAGAAATTAAAAATTTAGAATAAGTATTAAATTTATAATTAAAATTCTAATTGTGAATAAACAAATAAATGTAAAAAGTTATTAGAATTACTTAAAGAAGATAAACTCATATGATGAGTTTGGTAGGAATATTTTGGGTAGGATAAAGAAAAATGAATTTTCTTAAAACAACATTCAATTAAAAATTAGTAAAGTTTTTTTAACTAAAATATTTATAAATTAATTATGAAATTTAGAAGATAGAAGATCATGAAAATTTGAGGATAATGATTTCATTTATTATTTGTAGTAATAAAAAGAATAGGTAATTGAAGATTATTATATTATATTGTTATTTTAATATAAATATTTGTTAAATGAATAAAAAAAAAGAAAAATGAATTAAAAACTCACAAAAATCATTTAAGTAATTTTTTGATTTCCTCTCTTAAGATTTCTGGACTTAATAATAATTGTTGTTATTGCAAATTTTAGTTTTTATTGATTTAATCAATCAAGGATTTTGATAATTGTAATGATTTAGTTTATACATTGTAAAGTATGATTTAATTATAATTAAGCAATAAAAGTAACATAACAGATAGTTATGTTACAAAATTATCTTAGGGATTATTATTTAAATAATCTACAAGGCAATTAATAATAGTTTTCAATTCTTTAATATCTTATGGAGTATAAAGTTATTCTCTCACATTATTAATTGTAATCTTATGTTAATTTAGTAAAGATTCAATATCTTTTTTTATTGTTATATGATTAGGAATGAGATCAAATTAAATTTGAATAATTTTCATTAATTATAAGATACTATTTTTTTATTGACTTATAGGAGATAAGGCATTATCTTAGAAATGATTGCTAAATGTTCTTTTTAATCTTAAATTTGAACTTGTATTAAAATAACCATTTGCTATGATATAATTAAGTGGTTCTCTAGATTTTTCTTCAATTTGAAATTCATTGACTTTAGCTATTTTTGATGAATTTTCTTATTCATGAACATTTCTATTTGATGCATTAGTTGAATTAGATTACAAATTACTAGGAGTTCTAAATGAATCATTATTATTTGTAGAATATTTTTTATTTGGTAGAGGTGGAGTTTGAGCATTTTCTAAGAATTTGATAAGTTCAATTCTTTGTGTTGTAAATTTAACAAAGGAACTATTTCTATCTCTTTCTGATTCTTATGTATAAGCAGTAATATTTCTTTAAGGAGTAATTTTTCGATTATCAGGTTGTAAATAAGAGATTTTAGTTTTGGTATAAAATTTAGGTTTTTATCTTTCATTTGATTTATCTGCATCATTAGTAGGAGTTGCATTACTCATACTTCTATTATGTCTATTTGGAAAATGATAAGTGCCCATACTTTCAGTTCTTTACTTGACTCTTTAGTGAGGTTTGATTTCCAAGAAGCTTAGATTTTATTTAATTTAAGTAGATTCTTATTATTGACTTTGATATTATGATTATGTATTTTTTTGGATTAATGGTAAAACTGGAGTAATTTCAGGTAGTATGGTATTTTCTTGCATTCCTGATAATGAAAAGAGTTAATCCCAAGAGATTCTTTTTTCTTCATTGATTTGTAAACAACCTTTTATAATTTTGATAGTTTATTCTGTAACTTTGGGATAAGGGGGAAATTCTAAAGGCTATTGGAATAAAATATAATATATACTTTGGTATCTAATTTGGCCATTAATTCAACAAGATTTTGAGAATGCCAAGGAGTGATTCCATAAATCAATTCATAAAATATGAGACCTAAAGACCAGATATCGCATTTAGATGTATAAGATTATCTTTTTAAGATTTATGGACTCATATAAAGTGGTGTACCTACTAATGAATTCATAATGGTATCAATATGAGAATCAACTTATTTGGCAAATCCAAAATCTGTAATTTTGAATAGACCATCATGGATCATTATATTAGCAGGTTTAATATCTCTATGTATGATTCCTATTTTTAGTAATGCTTTAATGCCATGTAGTAAATCCTTTAAAACATTAATTGCATCATTTTCTGGGATTGACCTAATATAGTGGATTATCTTATACTTTCTCTTTTTAAGATATTCTCTTAGATCACCACCATTACAAAACTCAGTAATGATGTAAGTGTTATTGACACTTTATAAAACATCAATTAATCGAACAATATTCTTATCTTCAATCAATTTCATTATTTCAATTTCTGAAGCAATGAGTTAATTTGCATAGTCTGTTTGTAATATTTTCTTATCTACAATCTTTAATGCTACAATCCTATCTGTAATTGATAACAATTATAAATTACTATCTACAATGTTTCTGCCAGCATAAACAGTACCATAGGCACCTTTTCCTAATTTGGCTTTGAAACTAAATTGATAATTCTAAATTTTCTTATCTGGAGGGTATTATAGAAATTACATTTTGAATTTGAAAAATAATTAAATAACAACGAATGTAATTTGCGCAATTCATTATTAACATTTAAAAGAATAATAATATTTCATACATAAATAATCATATTCACACATATGAATATTGTAAGTATTATTGAATAGAATTCCTCTATATAAATTTCAGAACTCAAATCAGGAATTTCTTTCTTTCCTTTTATACATAATCCATTTTAGTTATCAAAATAACATTCATTTATTCTACTATTACAATCATCTTCATTTAAGATTTTACCACATTCTTTTACACAAATACCTTATTATACATTATTTGAATCTTTTTAAATACTCCAATAACATCGATCTGTAGCTTGATTACAATTTTCTTTAGTTAAAAATGAAGAACATAAAATAGATCTACATTTTCCATTCTTATAAATGCAAACATTCTTTTATTAATTGCATATACATTATTCTGTTATTTATTCACATTATCTACAAATTAAATCATCAAAATATACACAAGAATATCCATTAATTTCATTTCCTAAACAAATAGTTTAAGAAGCACCATAAATTCTAATTATAAATATATAAATAAATACTAGCAAACTTTATTAGTACATATTTCAGTATCATCCGTTAATTGTTATTTCTACCAATTACATTTAAAACCTCCAACAGAAGATTTATTACAAATATTAATTACTTAATCACCATAAATATCTTAACTAATTTAACTACATCTTAATAATTCTTGACAATTATTTTCTTAATCTAAATAACAACCTTCATTTTCATTACAATCAATAGAATTATGATCTTCACATGTTCTCATTTTACAAGTTCCATAATAGAATATACAATTTGAATTAGAACAATTAGAATATGGACAATATAATTTATAATTTGTAGATGTTATACACAAATCACCTGCTTATACACAAGGTTATGAATTAATAAATATTGATTAACAATTATTTTTTGGATCAATTATATCTTCACATTTAGTAGCTGGTTAACAACCTTTTTTAAGACTTCTATAACATATTTTATTATCTAAAATTTAATCACATTCATCTTCCTTAAAATGATAACATTATTTCTTCACACATCTATATTATTCTAAATCAAAATAACATTTATTTTAAGCTCTACATTTTGATATATCAGATTATTAACAAGAATCAATTTCTTATATAGATTTGCATTTACAATCTAAATTATCTTGATTCCACATACAAATTTCATTTTCAATACAAACATTTTTATTTATTCCTTCTATATTACAATAATCTTAAGTAATTAATGGTGTTTAACATTTGTAATAAATTGGATCATATGCACAATATTAATCTATAATAGATGCACATGCTTTTGAATTTACTAAACTTAAGAGCATACAACTACTTTAAACTTCACGAAATAATTAACATTAATTATTTTTAAATATACATGGTTCTTGTTAAATTGATACACAACCCAAAAAATTTAAACCTAAGGTATTACATTTTAATGACCAAATATTAAAAAAACTAGTGCATTAATTATTATCAACATCATAAATACATTTAGTATTTTAAACTTGACTACGACATGAATATTCATTAACAATTAATTAAGAATCACATTCAATAGTATCAGTTAATTCTTAACAAACAGTTCCATTCCAATATATTGGAATACTTTTATTTTAAATACATGCTAATTTTGATACTCCTAATCCTACAACATCATTTTTAAAATCCATACAACTATTATTTTCATTATCATATACACAAGATAAATTAGGAATCATTTAACAAACATATGATGATACATCTTTGAAATCTGAACATTATCTTTATTATGTTAGAGTGAATTCAATACATGAATTTAACCATTAACATTTTTAATTTGGAATTGATAAACATGTTATTTTGCTAATTCCTTCTGATGTACATAATATAGTTTAAATATCTTTCTTTATACAAGAATTACTTTCATAAACACAATTAATACTATAATAGATGCATACATTTTTATTAACATTTTCCATTTATGTAATAGTTGGGTTCCATATTAGACATTTTTAATCTCTCCAAAAACATAATTAATCATCCTTCTTTACATTTAAACATCCCTAAAGATTAAGATAATCTGTACATTTAATATTTTCCAAATCTGTAACTTCTTAACAAGATGAATTCTTCCAAACACATGCCATATCTTTAATACGTGATTTCATACAATAGTCTTTTGTAAGAAGTTATTCACACTTACCACTTAATAATGGAGATTTATAATCAGGAGTTTGCATTAATATTAAACTTGAAATTGTCTTCAAAAAATACGTCGAAAAATCTTAATCTGGTTAACAAGATGCTGACTTTTTATCAAATTTACAAGGATCTTTTGCATTATTTGAGCATGCTGCAATATTGATATTATTAGGGAGATCTTTACAAAATATTTTACTATATAATTGATTAAAATCAGTGCATTAATTATTTAACCATTAACAATTAATTTGATTACTTTCAAGGCATTTAGATTTTGTTGTGTATTATTAGCAATTCTTATAAGGAGAAGTAATACATCGATTTGACTCCCAAATACAATTATCAGATGCCATTTCACAAGTTGGCTTATTGAAATTGATTGAACAAGATTTAGGTATAAAGACAATTTTATTGCATAATTTTGACATAGGATCATATATACAAGGTTCATCTACCACAGCATTACAAGCATAAAGAGAATTAAGATTAGATGCAGATTCACATGTACTTATTTCTTGATCTTAACATACTTAATTTAATTGATCCCATTTACATACTTATCCATATGTTTAAACATTAAGACAAGCTTATTGATTTAATTAATCTATGCAGTGTACTGAATATAGATTTGCATCATCACAATAGCCTCCATCATTAATTTAAACCCATTGACAAGGAACACTTGTCAATTAAATGCATGCTTATTTATTTAATCCATAAAGATTACAATTATTAACTTTTACATTGATTTCAGTACATTTAGTATTATCATAATATTTAGCACAATATTTATTTGTTTATCCACTACATACACTCATAGATGTAGTAATTGCAAAATTTTAGTTTACACAATCTGTATTTGTGACAGTAAGAGAATCACAACTTTTTAATGTTTCATTCCAAACACAGAAGATATTTGATAGACGAACATTTTAACATGCTCTTTGATTTAAGTTATCACAAGTATTTAGTTATTTGTTTTATTTTTATAAAACATTCTAACATTTATCATCTTTCCATTAACAAATTAATTCTTTAGTTAGATCACTTAGACAAGCATCTTTAGATAAATTGTGACAACTCTTTTATAGTTCATTAATTATTTAATTACATTTAAAATAAGTAAATTTCCAAGTTCCTGATTATTTTATACAACCATATTTATTTAATTAATTTTATTCTCCTGTTTCAGAACAAACAGATCCATCAAAATAACAAGTATTCTAGATTTAAGAACATTATTTAGCTGTTATTCCTTAACAAATTGTAGAATTGAATTCTGAAATTAATTTACATTTTTAATCTATAAATGAATACATACATTATTCTTAATTTAATTATTTACATGCTGCATAACTGGATTTAAATTCAGATAGATCTGTACATAATGTAATTTAGTTATTGTATATATTTTTACATGATTAATCCCAATAACAAAAAAGAGATGAATTTACATGACTTAAATCTTCCAAACATAGATCTTAATTTAATTATTCACATGTTAAAGATTCAAAATTTTTGTCAGAATAACAAAATCCTAATCCTCTTTTAGTAAATCCATAAGTACAATTTTCGAATTATTAACATGCATTAAATGAATAGAATCCATTAAGAGAAGGACAAGATGTACCTGTATATTCAGAACAATATCCTGATGACCAAGAGCAAGCAAATGATTTATTTTAAAGAACACATTTCAATAAGGACAATGTATCACAATACCAATAAACTGATATTTGACTTGTATGCTAACATTTCTAATCAACATAAACACAATTAGGATATTAGAGACAAAATTCATAATTTGTTTTATCAAAGAAATCACAACTATAATTATTATTTGGAAGATTAAAACATTTACCATCTTTGAGTACACATTTCATATTTAAAGAATTATTATCACTACAAGTTTATTATGAATCATCACAGAGTTAATGACTATAAAATTAACACTTATTTTGAATAAACTAACAATATTGATTTGGTATAGATCCACAAGCAAATTGATTTAATTGACTATCACATGAATATAATTCATAATTAGATTATTATTATATTGTTTAACATGTAATTCCATTTGAGACTATAAAAGTACTACTTGTATTAAGACTACAATTGTAATCACTTCCATATTCTGTAGTATCATTAGTAGATAAAACACAAAGTTATCCATTCCAATAACATTTATTAAATGCATAATAAGAGCAAGAAAATTAATTTAAATATTTACAATCAGAAACATTTGAATATTATGCCAAATATTTACATTTATTATTTACAAAGCCACATCTATGATTTTATGTATTTAATATACATCCTAAATAAGATAAACCTTAAGTATTGCATTCTAAATTAGTTTCCACTGGGGATTAACAACCATTAACTGAATCATAATAACAACTATCATTAGCCCTTGAACAATGATTAGGATTTATTAAATTTATAGATATATTAGTATTGATAGTAGAACAAGTTTCAGTAGTAGTATCAATTTATACACATTTCTTATCAATTATAATATTATTGGCAGAGATAAAATCTATTAATTTGCAATACTATCCATTAGTTTCAACTTTTGTACAAGCTTTCAAATTAGCTTATTTACATTATATAGTAGTTAATACAATATAGGTATTCATTGAATTATCAATTAAAGTTTTGCATTTATTATTTAAGAATGCACACATCTAAATATATTCTCCTGTTGGACTCAATCCTGTTAATCCACTACATCTATGTATATTCATTTATTCAGATTCTCCACAATCCAATAAATAATTAGATTTGCTTTGACATATGTTATTTTCATAGGTACAATAATTATCTTTCATAAACTATTTTGACATATCTGATGCAAGTGCTGTGCAAACACGATAATTTTAATTTGCATATTCAGCACAATTAATAAAATATTCTGTATATCTTTTACATTAATTTGATTATGTATCCCAATAACAATTTTAATCATCTTTTATAATTGATAAACATGTTTATTCATTTACAAAATTTTATGTACATTCCAAACTTGATAAAATTGAAACATTTATATCACTAAACTAAATACATTTTTTAAGTTCTAAACTAAAATAAGTATAAGAATCCTTAACCTATTGACAACCATAACAATTTAAATGTTTAGTATAACTTAATCTAGTATAAATGCTTGGAGTGTAACATGAATGAGTAATTTCATCATATAAACATACTTTAGAAGAAGATGAATATAATTGACAAACATACTAATTTACATTTTGAAGGGAAGGACATAAAATTGAATTGATATAAGATTCCGATATGGATTTACATTTTCCAGCTGAAAATTAACATTATTCTCCTAGTTTCTATTTATTTACACAATATTCCTTTGAGAAACCATATCCTTCACATCCATAAAGTTCAAATTCACTCATTTTTATTTCCTTACAAAAATTATAATCTGAATCATAAATACAAATCATATCAGGATTTGAGACTTTTGATTTTTGACATATTCTCTCATTAACAAGTTCTTACTCTAAACAATTTAATTAACTCACTTCAGTTTCTGCTAAGCTTATACAAATCTATTAGTAAGGATCCCATTTACAATATCCAGGTTACACCATTATACAAGAATAACTATTGATTTATTTTAAATCATTAAGATAAAATCTACTATCTAATATACATTTTCCTTATTCTGGCAAATACTCTGCTACTACATTTTATTGATATTTACAAAAATTTCTATTACTAATAACTTTAAGATATCTCTCTGCAAAATAATATTCATAATCCATCAAAGCCTTATGAGTAATTAATATTGGTTAATCTACAATATTGTAACATATCCTTCTCATATAATCCCAAAAACACATCTAATCACTTAATGCAACCCTCATACAAGATCCAGCATTAAATGCTTATTCACATTTTAATAATTTAGATTATTCATCTGTTATTTGATAACATCTTTATAGTTAATTATCCCATCCACATTAATCTACAAGTTATGAACAATATAAATTTTATAGACCTAATTAATCACAACTATTTGAAGGTGCACAAATTTTAGTAAAAAATATGTTATGTGCTCCTAAAAATTTACAACCTTTTATTGCTTCACAAGCTTCTTTAGTTTTAATTGTAAATGAAGAACAACTTTTACTACATTTATTGGTAGTAGTATCCATATAATAATCAGATTATTTTGAACATTATCTAACAGTGCAATCAGCATCATCACAATTAGCAACATATTCACTTTCTTCAGTTACACAAGGATATTCATATTCAATTCCTTTTAATCTACAAATATTTGAATTTGAATAAAAATAAATACATTAATAATAATCTATAGATTTGCAACTTAAATTGAATTCCATAATTTTTTTTTAATTATTCAAATCAACTTTATCAAAAACCTTACAAACACCATCTGAGTATACAAATTGTTTTGTTATAGAAGGATTTTTATTTAAGTATTTACAATAAATATGATTAATACCCCTTACTTATTCTGTTAGCCTTAAAAGAATTAAAAAATCAGCATCATTCTCTATTTCTAATGCAATACATCCATCTCTATATCGATAAGATTTATACACTAAATACTATAGATCTCAATTGTTACAATTGCTTAATTTAATTTCTTTAGACTCTCTAATTGTGTACCATGCATAAGATCCATTTGCAAATTAGTAATTATTTTGCATAGACACTGTATTTGGATTATCAAAATTAATAGTATCATTTACTAATAAGCCCATCTCCTGTTTCAATATTCTATCAGCTTCAGCATATAAATTAGGAGTATATGAAATTAGATCCCATAAAAGAGTATTATGAATTACTAAATAATTTTCAATTAAAAAGCAAGCAGATGCACTATATGGGACTGTATCAAAATCTTTTTGAACTTAATTCCATTGGTTTTGATATAATACTTAACATTTATTATCTTTCCAAAAGCAAATCTATTCTGGATTCTAAATAGCTAAACAACCAGATTTTGATAAATTATTTAAACATCTCTCTGTTTTGATATTTGGAATAACTTCACATATGTTGATGAAACGACCTTTGTTAGATTAGATAAAGTACATTTAGCTGGTTAACCTTAGGCATTACCGATTTGTCTTATGCATGCTTTCTTATTCAAAGTTAAACTGCAGCCTTATAAATAATCATTAGTTTTTTAACAAAGTTTTCTATTGNAATTTTATAGACCTAATTAATCACAACTATTTGAAGGTGCACAAATTTTAGTAAAAAATATGTTATGTGCTCCTAAAAATTTACAACCTTTTATTGCTTCACAAGCTTCTTTAGTTTTAATTGTAAATGAAGAACAACTTTTACTACATTTATTGGTAGTAGTATCCATATAATAATCAGATTATTTTGAACATTATCTAACAGTGCAATCAGCATCATCACAATTAGCAACATATTCACTTTCTTCAGTTACACAAGGATATTCATATTCAATTCCTTTTAATCTACAAATATTTGAATTTGAATAAAAATAAATACATTAATAATAATCTATAGATTTGCAACTTAAATTGAATTCCATAATTTTTTTTTAATTATTCAAATCAACTTTATCAAAAACCTTACAAACACCATCTGAGTATACAAATTGTTTTGTTATAGAAGGATTTTTATTTAAGTATTTACAATAAATATGATTAATACCCCTTACTTATTCTGTTAGCCTTAAAAGAATTAAAAAATCAGCATCATTCTCTATTTCTAATGCAATACATCCATCTCTATATCGATAAGATTTATACACTAAATACTATAGATCTCAATTGTTACAATTGCTTAATTTAATTTCTTTAGACTCTCTAATTGTGTACCATGCATAAGATCCATTTGCAAATTAGTAATTATTTTGCATAGACACTGTATTTGGATTATCAAAATTAATAGTATCATTTACTAATAAGCCCATCTCCTGTTTCAATATTCTATCAGCTTCAGCATATAAATTAGGAGTATATGAAATTAGATCCCATAAAAGAGTATTATGAATTACTAAATAATTTTCAATTAAAAAGCAAGCAGATGCACTATATGGGACTGTATCAAAATCTTTTTGAACTTAATTCCATTGGTTTTGATATAATACTTAACATTTATTATCTTTCCAAAAGCAAATCTATTCTGGATTCTAAATAGCTAAACAACCAGATTTTGATAAATTATTTAAACATCTCTCTGTTTTGATATTTGGAATAACTTCACATATGTTGATGAAACGACCTTTGTTAGATTAGATAAAGTACATTTAGCTGGTTAACCTTAGGCATTACCGATTTGTCTTATGCATGCTTTCTTATTCAAAGTTAAACTGCAGCCTTATAAATAATCATTAGTTTTTTAACAAAGTTTTCTATTGCTGAGCCACATACATTATTCAATATCACTGTTAATGCAAGTTTGATGGGTTTCATATTCTCCACAATAATTGATACTTTAAACACCAACAAAAAGAAGTAAAAGTACTAATTAAATTTAAAAAGAATACATAATAATATATTTTTATAGTATTAAATTATATTTTATAATTATGTTATTTCAATTAAATTAATTAAAGATAAATCCGTCATCATTATAAATGAAATATAGATTATTGCTTCATTTTTAATAATATTACATTAGCATATCCGAAGAATAATCTAGAAAATAAATTTATTGAAGAAAATTGATATTACGCTTTCTATATCATATTATTTCTCCTTCAAATTCCATTATCAGATGTCTCTATCATTAATAATATAATTAAAAAATGCACGCAGTTCCTGAACATGTCACAATTGGACTTCCAAGAGAAGGATTACACACATTCGATGATAAGACAGAATTGGCAAAACATCCAGCACCATACAGAATCAAAGAAATTGAAGGTTTATTTCTTTATTTATTTGTATAGTCTAATACACTGACGAACATATCATCGGAACAGTCTTCAAATATGCTGATGCTAAAGGACATACAATTGAAGGACATGATATTGAAAAATTCAAGCCTTTTGGACATTTGTTCGGTAAAGTGCACAAGAAGCACTTCAAAATTGATGATGGTAATTATTTAATAATCATCATTAGATGATGAAATCCTTGAAATTTCAGGACATGCAGGTGCTAGAATCAACGAATTGAAATTCAAGACATACAGAGGAAAAGAGGAATCATTTGGAGTTAAGAATGGTGTCCACTTTGTTTATTCATTCCCAGGACATACTTTTGGAGCTGTATCTGGTGGATATGAAAAGCATTTGGATTTCATTAGAATCCATGTTAATGAACTCCCCCCTGCCAAACATCATTTGAAGATTATCATTATCAAGAGTTGATTTATTAATTATATAATAAATATGTAATCATAAATAAATAATACAACAATAACATCTAATGGTACATACTATAAATAGAATTGCTCTAGAATCAATGTTATTAATTAAATTATTGCTAAAAAATAAATTACTAATAATAACTAATTTTAGGTCAAATTTTAGCAATTTTATAGAGATAGAATGTAATTGAATAAAATCCAAAAGAAAGATAAACTTGAATTACATGATTAAATACTGCGACTATATAAAACTAATTAAGTTGCTCAATAAATAAATTTAACTCTATCTACTTAAGACAATATATTCATCTAATCATTTTCTAAACCAATTAAAATTTCATCTGAAAGAAGAAGACCTAGATCATAATCTACTCATAGAAGTATTTTTAGTTCACCTAAAACTATAAGACCAATATTAAAAGATGTTTTGAGAATCTCTCCTAAATGTATTAGCAATAGAACAACTATATCATCAAAAAATGATATTAGATCTGTTAGAAAAAACATATTTTTAGATGCATTAATCCTTTAATAAGATAGCTAAGATTTATTCTGATATATATTTGCCATCTGAACTAAGTGATTGTTTATAGTTCTATATGTATATATATATATATATTTAAATTCTCAAAACTATTAAATGTAAACATGTCTCACAATCTGTTCACAAAACTCCTTTTCAGAAATAATTCCATCTTTATTTTTATCTAATATTTTAACCAATTTTATAAGTTCTTCAATTTACTTTGGAGTATGCAATATATTCTCAAAATAATTCATTAAATCATCCAAAGTTATAAAACCTATTTATAGAATATATTATCACCTTTCTTATTCTCATCTATTTAAAGAAATAGTTATTTTAAAAAATGTCCTTTTAATTGATTTTAAATTTTCAATTTATTTAGTAATTATTATAGGATATTTTAATCTTCATATTCATTAATTTTAAATTCACTAACTTCAATATCATCATGATTTTATATTTAATTATGGTGACTTTAAGATTATAGATGTTTATTAAATTTATCACTCTTTAAATTTGTAGATTCATTAGTTCTAAAATTTGTCTTTGGTAATAAATTAGACTTTTTATCTGATATCAATTTTTAATTTTTTTAAGGAGTGAAAAATTTATAATTTACATTATTATCTTCGTGAGCAAAAACCAAATATAAAAAATCAGAATAATTTATTCTATAATCCCTTTCTTTGCTATTCCTATAGATAAAATTTTCAATATCTTTAAAATTATACTATATTTTAGATTCATCAAAGTATTATTATAGTCTTACATAATTAATCTATTTTACCCTTTTTAATCCCATCTTCTACCAGAATTTACTGATTCCCAAGCTGTAATTTTATCCCAATCTGGTTAGGCCTTCAATTATTACATTTATTATAACATTCTTTTGTTTAGTTCAATTTCTGCTAAAAATACTTCTATTAATTATTTCTCAACTAAACTTGGCAACTTATTATCCAATAATTGATATGATTATCTACTATTAGCTAAACTATTTAAATCTTAATCTCTATGAGGTAAAATATATCTCGAAAACCTATTTTTATTTTATAAAATAACTCGCTAAATGAAATATATTGATCCTTATCGATGTCTATCTTTCTAATTATGAATTATAAATCATCCTCACAATCTATTATATTATTATCTAAAAAATAAACTTTTAAATCATTAATATCTATATGAAGTATTCTAATAATCAGTTATTATAATACTTTTTATAATCTAATCTGCAAAAAATTGTGTAAGGTTCAAAATAAAGATTATGGGCTAATTATTCTCGCTTATTCTCGATTTCATTTTCTAGTTTCAAATACCCATCTAGGTATTTTCTTAACAATTAAAGAGTTTTTTATGATAACATTTTAATATGGCAATAAATTTTATTATTTTATAATAACAACTATTTAATTTTTCATATTCATATTTATTGTTTTAGTCATATAATATTTTTCAAAATATCATCTATTTAATTAGATATAAATCTATTATTTTTATTGATATATTTGAATATACCATTTCTTTCTTCAATTTAATTTATATCTTAATATAATTTACTTTCTAAAATTTTTTTTGAAGATTAGCTATAACTATTCACAAACTCCTCTTTTTTCTGGGGATGTAAATTAATTTTGTATTTCTATTTCTTTATCTAAAAATATGTATGTAATTTTATACTTTTTAATTTGATCCTTGAGCTTTTCATTGATTCTTATAAACCTAAAAATTGAAGCTCATTTAATTTTCTATATTATTCCTCCAATTTATGTAAAAAATCATTTAAAATTTAAAGAAAAGATTAATCTAGTTTATTTTTTTTAATTATTATTCTATTATCCTAGATATATGTGAATTCTTTATATATTCTTTTAAACATTGATTCTGATTAAATTAAATCTGTAAGTTTAGCATTCAAAAAAATAAATTATAGTTCTAAAAATCTAGAATTCTAATTTATTTCCTTTTCTATGATAGATATTAAACCTTTTTCACTTTTAAATTATCGTAATTCATTTATAATGAATGCAATTTAATTCAACATTTATATTAAACTACTTTCTTTTGTAAACCATTGATTTTAAAGATAAGGAGATTTAATTATTTATGGGTACATTTTTCTTATTTGAGAAAAAAGTGCAAAAAGAGGTTCTATCATGTCTATAAGATTTTTGACTAGTAGGGACAGGACTAGTATTTGAATCTTATACCAATTTATAGTTGAAGAGTTTTTCTAAGGCAAATTAAGATTTAATTCCTTTTTTATGAATAGATTGTTAAGAGGATTGTTGATCACCATTTAAAAAAAAATGTAAAAGATTTCTTGGAAGATATAAATGGGAGATCTGAACTATATTTTTCTTTAGATCCTGTTTAAGATTTGATATTTGAAATCATGAATAACAATTAAATTATTTTATAATGAACCATCTATCAATGTTATGAATTTTAAGATTAATTTTGGAATCTCAAATCGTAATTTTTGCTTTTTATTTGATGTGATGAATTGTTACGTAAATGTTCACCCCCATAATTCGAAACTTCTGTAGGTTTTTAATTTGATTAAACCTAAATTCCAGATTGATTATAAACTGGAGAGTTAAGTCCTTAATAATTTGCTTATGGAGATTAATAACCCTAGCTTAATTCTGTAAACAATGGTTTTTAATTTCCAATACTTAATTAAGGTTCAGTATTCCATGAATACTACTATTTAAGAGTTTATTAAAAATTTAAATTATGTATCTCATTTTCTAAAGTTCTAATCTTAGAATCTAATTATAATTATTTATCCTAATTTTAAATATAGAATATTATTACTCTTTCTCGTGCCAATTCATGTTCCAAAGCAATATTTCTTTCAGTCAAAGTAGAATTTTAAGCTCTCAAATTTTATATATCTCTATCTCTTAAATTACTTTCCTATTCATGTTTCTAAAGTAATGATTCAAAATCTCTAGTTTTTAAATCATATTAATTTTATATTCTACGTAAATCTTCCATCAATTATTTAATCTCTTAATTTAGTATTTATTTTTCATGTTCTAATCTTTCTTAATTTTATTATTATCCTTTAATTTAAGTTTAAAGAGTTATGATATCTAAAAATATATTAATTGAATACCTCTTTCTAATGTATCACACTTTTTTTCATAAACCAATAGATCAGTATGCATTTCTTTTAATTTTCCTATTTAAATATTTCTTTCGTTCTTTAATTGAGTTTAGATTTCCAAAGCTTATTTTAATTAAGTTTCTGTCTTCATATAATCATTTTCTAAATTTAAAATAGCAGTTTCTCTTTTCTTTACTTCTTATTCTAATTAATTTCCATAACTTTTCCATTTCTCCAATTATCCTTTTAGATCTGATGATAACATTTATGATTTTTATAAACTATCTTCCATACTTCTTTCAAACTATGTACATTTATTTGATATCAAAGTATTTTATTATGTCAAAGTATTTATTTGTTCTTTTAATTTCCAAATTTCTTGATCTTATTATTGACATTTAGTTGTCAATTTAGTATATTCTACTTTTCCATTTGAAATAATCATATTATTCTATTCAATTTATCTTTATTCTAAATAATAAAAATAGTAAAATTACATTCACTTAATTGTTGATTCATTTATCTTATCTTATTTTCTTATTAAACATTAAGATTTTAAGATATTTATAATTCTTTCTCCTTTTATTATAATTGAGTGATTTAATTTTTCAATTATTCATTTTAAAAATTAAGATTAGATAAATTCTTTTACAAATTACTTAATTAATCCTTTGCTCCTGAAGAAATTTAAGTTAATTTTTGATTTAACATTTAATTTTACTCTTATTCTTGTTTTAAGTCTTTATTAATTGAATCTAACGCCATTTTCATTTTTCGATTATCGCTCAACAATTGCTCATTTTTCTACACTTACTATTCAAATCCTAAAGTTTAATCTCTAACTTATGTTTTGTATTTTTCAAGGATTTCTTTTTGATTTTAAAGTTCAGACTCTTAAAAAGCATTCTATCTTTTTTATTCCTATAATTATTTGCTAACATTTGCAAATTATTATTCTAAATCAGTTATCTAATTTTCAAGTCCCCTATTAAAATCTGCTTGTTTCCTTAATTTCTATAAATCTATCAACAAATATTGATCTTCTTAAATGGTATTTGTTAATCTTTTATTTTCATTTTTTAATATCAATATTTGATCTCTAAATATAAATAATATAATATTTTACTATAATTCTTAAATTTCATTCATATTTGATTTGTCTCTTGAATTCAATTGAATACTAAATTATACATTAGATTAAAATACTTGTCGCTCTTCAATTTTTAATTTTCCTATTCAAGTGCTCTCCACTAATATCTAATTAGATTATCTTTATTACTTTAATGTATCATTTTCTTTTGTCAATTTTTATATTTACTCTAATTAATCTTGATCTTTCATTGTTTATTAACCCATTAATGGATAGTTAAATTATGGGTATTAAGACAATTAAGAACTTGTTTATTAATTTCCATAGCTTAAATTAATTACATACATTACTTATTTGGTTGTGTAGATCTTTAAGGAACTGATCTATAATATTAGAAAATATCATCATTACTCGTTTTAGTCCAAAATTTTTTGATTTTAACCATTTAATGTGTTAGATGTCCCTAATTAACGATTCGAATTGAGTTTGCTTCTTTCTTAAAATGGTATCTAAGATTGTGAATTGGTTTCAAACTGACTCATAGATATATATATATTTTAGAGATATTTTATTTATAAAAAGGCCTAAACTTATAAACACAAGCATCATATCAAATTAACATCATGAATACTTTACTTTCTCTTCTTCTAAACTTGAGGTTCAATAATCGTTGATGTTAAGCCAAATAAGTTTTTAATAATTTCTTCTCTAGATATTGTTTCAATTGGAGGTTCAATCCTTGAAGTGAAGTTAATAATTTTTTGATGTGGTTCAAATCTTATTTTTCTATTTTTAGATGCTTTTCTATCAACAACTTTGTTTTCTTTCTCTTATCTTTAAGCTTATCTTTTCAATATAAATTATTCTGTTTCCTTTTTTAAAGCTTCTTCAGAAGGGTTTTAATTATTAAATTATATTGTTTCTTTTAATAAATCTAAGTAAAAATCAGTATCATCAAAAATATGTTTATTATTGGTTTCATTTAAATCTGAACCTTCTTCACCTAAAATTCTGAATATTTATCTTTTCAATTATGTTTTCTATCTTAATTTATCAATATTTTATAAGGCCTTTTTTGATTATCCAATAGGAGTTAAGAGTAAAAATCCCATTTATGATTTGCTATCTTTATTAATTGATGATAATAATGCTGATTTAGAACTCCATCTTATAATATCATCTTCTACAACTTTAATGGAATCTTCAAAATTATTATTAATTTTTTTTTATGTATTAAGATCATATCCATCATCATTTACATTGATTTAATCAATTTAATAAAGAGATGAATATAAATTGAATAAGTTTGTTATATTATTTAAGAGTTGACAATTCAAATCATTTAATTTTGAATCTTTACTTTTTTATATTTCTGTAACAAAAGCATCCTTTTGAATAGGTAATCTTTTAGCTGCATCTAATGTTTTTTACATTTCTAAAAAGAGTAAATTAATAATAATAAATAAATACATTCTCTAATCTCAACTAAATTTCCCCAAATCTATTATTATTCTTTTATTTGTTCTGGTACTTCTTTTAATTCTTTTTTATTTTCTTTTTATTTCTCAATCATTTCCAAATCTTCTTTTTCAATTTATTACAATTCTTTTTAAAATGTACTTAAATTCTATTTCTTTTTAGGTTTTTATTTAACAATCTTTCTTTATTATTCTTAATCATTAGATTCTTCTTATTCACTTTCAATAAATTCTGGAATTTCATCACTATTAATAGATTCATTTTATAAATCATCCTCACTTTAAGAATGTTATTATTAATTGTTTGTTTTTTTACCTTAATACTTCTATCCCAAATTAATATCAACTTTATGGGATTTAGGTACATGACCTTATAATAGATTTAAATATTGTTCATCATCAATTGAATCATAACTTAATTAATCTTCCTGATCATTTTCAGGGTCAATTGAATGTTTAATGATGGCTTTTTTCTTTTGCTTAATTTTAGACATATATTAAATTATTTAATATAAAATAATAATAATGTATTGCATTGAGGAATGCAAATTAAAACTTGAAAAACAAGTAAAAATGATTGATAAGGGTATGTTTAGAGAGATGAAAATAATATATAAATTGGTTATAATTGAATTTAATTTGAGATTAAAGTTATTAGTATGAGCTCTTATATACAATCTCAATTTGCTGTTTCTGACAAACAAATCTTTGACTTTCAAAAACCCTAAGAGTGTTCTGATTCAGAAGAAGAAGAAATACGCTTATAACTATTATTTATGAATAATAAGGATTCGAAAAAATAAAAGAAACTATTTGATATTGAAAGCATCAAAGCTGAACTTAATAGTAGACCAGCACTTGAAATAGAATAATAAACTTAGAAATTTGGTAAAAAAATACAAAAAGCGAGTATGAGATAATTACCAAATTTGTTTATTCCAACTTCTTCATTGTTGATTGAGTAATTGGGAAATATTCGAGCAATTAAAATGATGAAAGAGTAAGTTCCTCCAGAGGTAATGCATAAAGTATACACATAATTAAGGTATATAATGAATTCCATATAGATATTAGTATGTTTCAGCATTCAATGTAATTTATAGATAAGGAGATCAAAACAAACGTTATTATATTATGTTGGATGGTAGATGTGTAGTCATGAAACCCAAAGAAAAAATGGTAGGAATCCAAAAAGTAGAATTAGATATAGAAAATTAAACGACTGATAATAAAGTACCTCAAGATCCATATGGTTTAAAAAATCTATTTCCTGATTACCTAGTTGTGAAGGTAATGTTTTAAGGAGAGTAATTTATATATATATATATATCATTAGTTCATTTGGAGAAGTAGCAATTAAATTAGAGAGTTCACGTGCATCCACAGTCTTTGCAGTTGAAAATACTCATTTATTATATATGAGTGAGGCAGCTTATATTTAGTTACTTGATCCTTATTTAAGTTAAGTACTTGAAGAGAAGATCTAATACTTTAAAAAGAATGTTATCTTTACATCTGTTGAAACTGATATTAATGAAATCATGGGTATTTTACTTGAATGTCATAAAATCACCTATAAAGCAGGAGAAACTATTTATGATGAAGGTAATAGATCTAGTTACATTTATTTTATTATAAGTGGAGAAGTTGAATTATCTAAAAAGGTTGCTGATACTAATTTAGTATTATCATCTTATGGAGAATACTAATAATTTGGGGAAGTTGAAATACTAAATAAAGTTGAAAGATTTACTAAAGCTAGAGTAATTACTCCTAGATTGATTGTCTATAAAATAAGGAAGACAAAATTCTTTAATAATTTGGGTAATTTTCTTGTCTATGAAAATATGAAAAGGAAATCTATTCTCATCTATAAGCATTGGAAACTAATATTCAGTTCTGCTTAATTTTAAATTAATAAAGATTCTGATGTAATCAATTACATATATTATTAAGCCTTATCTAAGTTCACATCGTAAAAAATTATAATCAAAAATATCTAAACATGAAAGTTCAAATTAAAGTTTAAGTCAAGTATAAGTCTTTTAGCATATGACTGATGCAGGTATTATTCCAGATGATTAACATTGTTTTGCATCTGATGATCAAGGTTCCAAACGATGTTATAGCAATGCCTTGTAATAATATTAGGCAAAATTAAAAAAATAAGGAAATCGTGCTTCCTAATAAGAATCAGCTGCAAAATAAATTAGAGATAAGTAATTATATTTCTAATATTATAGAACTTTTACAACAGAAGATTATTAATCTCCAAAGAATGTAGTACATGGGAAATTTTCATTTCATGTTAAATTGCCTAATATTAGTCCAAATAAAGTGTTACCTTAAATGAATTTAGATTAAATACTTGATTCAATTACTAAACTTCCTAAGGTTCCACCTGATAATCTTGTTATATCTTTAATGTATTAATAAGCTTATAAATCTAATAATCCTGATAAAAGAGCAAGATAAATATAATAAGTTATACAAGCCTCTTTCAGGAATGTTAGAAAGCATCTAGAATCAAAAGAAAAATTATAATTAAAACCTAGATTTAAATCATAAGATTCATTATTAAAAAACTTAAGAATGAATGATAATATTGAAGAAAAGAAAGAAAAAATAGATTATCTTAACTTTGTTCATCCAAAATAATTATTTTGACTTCAATTATTTACAATAATATTTATTTTACTTTTATATTAAAGTTTTTATAATTTTTATTATAGTAACAATTATACAAATTATAATTCACTTGAAAAAGTCATAAAAGAAAATTATCATATTAAATATGCCTACAGATAGTATTATTAAATAAATTATGACTCTAAAAGGAAGAGACAAATAATTTATGTTTTTGTGTTTTACACAATTACTATCATGATCTAATAATGCATCTCCAACATTTGTTCTGTTACCATAATAACATTTAAAATGCATATAAACTGGAATTACATACACTAATAGAAATCCACATACAGCTCCATCAAATGATATAACAATCCCAACATTTATATTGAATAATTAAACAATCAAACATGAACATATGAATATTATCTTCAATCCCCATTAAAATTTTTTTGGATATTCTTTATGATAAAAAGTTTCCAATATTTAGTATATACTAATATATGGAAATATTGGGAATGCAGCTACTAAATGTACTAAAAATAATCCTTCAATAAATAAAACAGCATAATCTGTTGATGAAAAGAAATCCAAAATAGTTGAAGGATTGATTGCTGTTTTTCCCATTATACCTATTGCTCCAAATGTACCTATTATTCCATAAATAACTGCTGCAATCCCATAAGATATAAGTAAATCTCTTGAATTATTTGCCTTATTTGCATTATTTTTAATCAATTATCCAACTGAGTTATGTACCATGAAACCAAATGCAAATTATCCTGCTGGTTATATGAAATTCCAAGTAAACCAAGTTATATCTCCTTTAAATTCATTTATGTTTAACATATTGGCTGAGAAGATATAAATAATAAATATGCAATAACATAAGATAGCAACAACACCATAATGTGCAAATTTAATTATTTTTGTGATGTCTTTTAATAATAACATTGATGCCAATGGTAAGAATATAATTATTGATTACCATTATATTGAAAATTTATCAAAAGTGATACCATCTGAAGGCATAGCATAATTAGTGTAATTGCTTTTTTCGAATATTAATACTAAAATAGGATAGAGTGTTAGATTTATTAATTAAAAATATATAATTCCAACAATAAATAATAATGTTCCTGATGTAACTCTGAAAGCTTAGGTCTATAATTATTATATTTAATTATACCCAAGATTTGCCTAATAATCTTTTAATCATGTGTTCACTGTCTAATTCTTCTTCCTTTTAATGTATAATCATTATTTAGCATGTTTTGTATTAAACCAAACACAAAATGGCCATCACTATTAAGCATGTTATTATTCCACATTGTTGAAATACTTAAGGAATTACTAAACAAAGGGAACCTACCATTGAATTAGTAATCCCAAAAATTGTTGAAAGAGAAGATTGCTTTTAACCTTCCTAAGCAAAAGATAGTTTTGACATTGCTCTTGTACTTTCATGTAGTTTATGAGACTTGGTACTCTTTTCTGTGTATTCAGATTAGTTGATCATAATATATAATAAGTATTCCTATTTATTTTTAAGATTTTTTAAATAGTTATTACATGATGTAACCATTTACGTATATATTTAAAAATTAATTAATAATACTTATTTTTATTATATAGAAGTTGAATGTATATATTTTTTAACTTAATTTAATATTTTATTAATTGGAGTAATTTATTCTACTATATAGAAGTCTTATTGTAAATAACTGATAATGAAATAAAATTTATGTTAGCTATATTTTTTTATTAATATAGTAATTAATAATAAATTTTGGTTGTAAATAAATAAATTAATTGTTGTAAAATGCTACTTAATTCAACAGGTTAACGAAAACTCAAACAAAATAGTTTATCTACTTTTAAAAGTCCTATAATAGTTCCATCAAGTTAATAAGTTTCTCCTGTAGCATCAGGACTGAATAGTTTGAAAAATCTACATAGTCCAAAAGGATCTCAAATTGATGTCACTAGTCTCACTCGATTAATAAAATCAACAAAAATTAATGAGGTAAAATAGCTTATATTGTATAGTCAGTAAATAACCAATAGATATAAGCTTTACTTGCAAAAGCTAGAGAAATTGCAAAAGTAACGACAGAGTCTAAATCATAAGTACAAAAAAAGCATGTTAAATTACAGAGTTAATAATTTGTAAACTTTAAAGACTTACTTCATAATTCTACTTCCACTAAGATCCAATAAGAAATGTTATTTTGCAGAAATGCATTTAATTTTGATTTTGTCATTGGAATTGGTGGATTTGGTAAAGTTTGGAAAGTTGAACATAAAAAAACAGGGTAAATATTTGCAATGAAAGAAATGTCAAAAGCATTGTACTAATTCAGTGTTAATTAGAATTGTAACAAAGAAGAGTGTACATTCTGTAATGAATGAAAGAACATTATTAAGTCAATTAAAGCATCCATTATTAGTTAATATGAACTTTGCATATTAGGATAGAGAAAATCTATACTTATTTATGGACTATATGAAAGGAGGAGATCTTAGATATCACATAGGAAGAATGAGAAGATTTGATGAAAACTCAACAAGTATAGATGCAATACTATTAATAAGAGTTTTTTATAGCCTGTATTGTATAAGGATTAGAATACATACATTCAAATAAAATAATTCATAGAGATATCAAACCTGAAAATTTAGTACTTGATGAAAAAGGATATGTTCATATTACTGATTTTGGTATAGCTAGAATAATGAAAGTTGAAAATAGTTGTGATACTAGTGGTACTCCTGGATATATGGGTATAAGATATAGATTTATATTTATAGCTCCTGAAGTTATGTGTAAATAAAATCATACTTATGCCGTTGATTATTTTGCAGTTGGAGTTATTGCTTATGAATTTATGATAGGAAGAGTAATCATTTTCATCTAATATAGAGACCATATGTTGGAAGATCTAGACAAGAAATTAGAGATTAAATTTTAGCTAAATAAGCTTAAATTAAAAGAAATGAAATACCTGATGATTGGTCAATTGAAGCAGTCGATTTTATTAATAAGGTATTCATAAAAATTAAATATATTTAGTTACTTCAAAGAAAACCATAAAATAGATTAGGTTCTAATGGAATTTAAGAAATTAAACAACATCCATGGTTTGCTAACTTTGAATGGGATAAATTGTAAAATTAAACAATAATTCCTCCTTTCATTCCTAATGTATGATTCTGTATAATCTTTAAAGCAAACAGAAGATAATTTTGATTAGAAATAAATTATAATTGAGGATGAGGAAAATAATGAATTAATTTAATAAAATATTTTAGTCTTAAGAGATTAAACCATATAGGGTATTTCTATTTCATAATAAAAATAGATCAATTTTAAGGATATGAATTTCATCAAGGAAATCTTTCTATTTCTACTGAATAATCTTCTGGTTCATCAACTAAACATAGTCGTCACCTAAGTGAAAGATTGCATTTCTTTGAAAAAAAGAAGATTATATGATCAAATTTAGTTTCAAAATTTTTACATCGTTTAATAAATAATAAGATAGTCCAATATAAAGGTTAACTAATATATAGATAAAAAATATCAATTTGTTTCTATTAAAGTACTATTTCAAAAAATTCCTTTTAAAAATTAGTCTTAATTTCCATTCTTTGAGACATTCTTTCGATTTCAAAGAAAACATTAGAACTTCACTCATGTAAATGAAATAGAAAGTATAGATTGTGTCTTTGAATATTTGAATTTAAATTTAACACTTCTTGTAAATTCCTTAGTCAATTAATTAAATCATGACATATTGAATAAAAAGACCTAGAGGTCTTTAACTAAGAATTGTCAAAGGAAGGATTATTGAGGAAACTTTTTCGCTCGTTTTTTATTTATTCAAACAATAACTTTATCTTTAATAAAATGTAAAATACTAAATAAATTCTTTGAAAAATTATTAAACAATCGAATTAAGAAAAATGAATAGTTTCAACAAATCAGAAGGACAATTATAGAAAATTTAATTTCCACAAGAATCAAAATAAATTTTGATCAAAATAATTCAATCTATGATTAGAAATTAATTATTGATACTCAATAGATTGATTATGTGACCTAATTAATGAAAGTTTGATTTTTACACAATCATAAGTACCTCCTTTTACAATTTAATACTAATAATTGTATGAATGGTATTTTTGATTATTAAATCTCATTTTATTATCATTTCTCAATAATTAGGTGTGCTTACTTGATAAAATTAATAGAAAGCATTAACAAAGATATAAATTTACTTGAACTAATTGGATCCTTTTGAAAGTTCTCAAAAGATGTCATCATGATTAATAGAACAACAGATGTTTTATGTTCAGAATTTAATAATATATATTGTAGTTCTCAAACATTCTATGGTAAACTAAATCAAATTAGGGACTTCAATTGGGTTTTTAGCTACAAAACAAAATTTAAAATATAAAGGACACTATAAGGGGAATTTTTTACGCGCCTTAACTTTTTGAATAAAAAGATTTTTTAACATTATAAATACTCTATAAAGAACTTTTATTATTTAATAATTAATAATATGAATTATAGTCACTTAGTTAAAAAAAGAAGGAGTAAAGGTAAAAGTTCTTTCTAAATATCTAATCAAATATTCATCTAAGGAGAAGAACAAAATAAAACAGTTTAAAATGATGAAATGGGTGAAAATGTCTTTGTGTACCTAAACCTTTCAGATTCATCTTAAGAAAGAGAATACTCATATGATTTGGATTAAGATCTACATACAGTGAAAACTAAAAAGAACAACTTCATCATAAAAAAGAAAAAATTTTTATCCTAATAATTCAAATGTGGATAATGTAAAAAGGTTTTCTAAAAATCTTAAAGTCTTGGAGGACATACCCAAAAAAAACACAGAGTAGAGAAGAATTAGTTAGCCAGGCTTTCATCAATCAGAAGGATTATTTTGAGAGAGAGACCTGCTAAAAATAGGTAACAAGGAATTTGAATTCTAATTCCTAATTATATATATTCATCGTATAAAGATATTCAATTATAAAAGATATTTTCATTATTATTAATATTTTCTAATTATAATTAAGAAAAATATATACTTTAAGAATAATTAATGTGAGATAAAAATTAATATCAATTAATCAGTTAATAAAGAGTATTATAAATTAAAAAATTTAAATTCAAACTTGATTCAAAGTTTGAATTCATATTTTTCTATAGAAATAAGATTAATTTTGATACAATTTATATGAATAAATCATTTTTATAATAAAATATTATTTAATACATATAATCTAAATATAATCAAAATAATTAGTTAAAAAGTAATCATTTTAATTTATATTCATAAATTATTATTTATAATTCTATATATCATTTTATTTTCAAATTATTTTTATACAGGAATTCAAAATAAATCATAATTTGTTAATTTTTCAAATAAAAATAATAAAATTGACATACAACTTTTACCATTTAATTATATTTATTTAAAATATTTTAATAAATAATTAGAAGTGAAAAAAAAATATAATGATTGCCTATCTTATATTTTTATAATTACTAAATTATGTTATTTTTTAAAGTGTTTGATAAAAATCATTTTCATTAAGATTACACTTAAAAATTGACATGAAAATAGTGCCATCAATTAGTATAATAATTAAATAAATTTAATAAAATATTATTTATGGATTAATAATTAGAATAAGTAAGTGTGGATATTTAGAAAATTGTATATAAAAAAGCAATGTTACATGCTTGTAAATATTCCACTGAAGATGTTATTGGTAATGATTAATCTAATGATTTAGGAATTCTGATTGGTTAAATTAATGATAAACATGTTAATATTTTAGATGCCTATCCTTTATTCCATTCTAGAGTTAGTCTTAACACTTTAGAAGTATCTTTAGATATTGTAATTGAATGTCCAATTCATAAAATTAGATATCAAGTGAATTACAAAGTGATAGAAAAATTATTGGAGTATATGAAGCAAGAGCTAATACTAGAGGAATTATGAGTGAGATAGTTTAAGAAATGCTGAACACTATTAATTCAAAATAAGCAATTTTGATGAGAATTTCATAAATTGAAGTAGATGATGATCTTGTTTTGAATGCTAAAGTAGGAATTTCTATAAAATAAGATTGTTTCTTTGAATGAAAATGTTAAATATGTGATTAATTCTTCAAGTACCTTAGAATGGAAAATTATTTAGGATTGCTTAAAAGCCGGTCTTCATTGGAAAATTATAGATTTTGATGCTCATTTTGAGAATGTGTAATTAAATTTCCGAAATCAGTATTTAGAATGAATTATATGAAATAGGTTTATAATATTCATCTTTACTTCCTTTATAAAACTTAATGACTGATATCCTTATAGGATTCCCCATACATATTCTCAGCTTTAATACCAGTCATAAATCCAGTATATCCAACAATAGGAGGTTTTTGTTATTCATACTAGTATATAAATATCTAATACAGTTTATCTGAATTTATCATTAGTTTCTAACATAGTCTTAGCCATTTCTTTTTCCATTTAATTTAAAGGATGTACAAAAGGTTAAGGTTTTTCAGGAGGAACAACTTATTTTAATGGATGTCTAAACACTGGTCTGAATCCTTGATATCCAACCACAGGTAATCTATCAATTGGTGGTATATCATTAATTGTTTTAGGCATTGATCTAAAAACTTCAAATTATAGGATTTACTAGTATGTTCGATAATTTCTTTCATTAATAGCTTTTTCTTATCGACGAGCATCTTCTAAAATTCTTTCAGCTGCAGTTTGAAGTTAGGGTTTTCTTAGATTTGGTTCCTAGATAACTGTTAAATTGATACTCCAAACTCAATCTTATAACTTGTTTATAATCTTTCTCTCTCTTCAGAATTTGTACATCTAGCTAATCTTTCTTCCATACACTCAGCTGTTATCTTTGCAAAAGGTTTTCCATATTATGATTCTAAATTATAATTAAATGAGCACCTGCTTTTAATCCTCTTACATGTCCAGCATACCCAGGTACATGTTGCTTTTATAATTCATAAGTAGGACCTCCAATCCAAGTTTATCCTGTCACAACTTATTCTGTCGAAGGAATCAAAGAAATTGTTTTCATTTATTTATTAATATAAATATTATATGAAAATTTAGGTATTAACAATTAATCATTTCAAATTATAAATTTTATTTCTTGTTTAGATTATGCTATTGATAATAAATTATTATTTTTCAAACTTAAAAACTATATAATTGGTTGTTAGTTTAATAATTATTGTAAATTAATTATGTTATTTATTTTTTTTAAACAAAATTATACAAAAGTTACTTCTTATACTCTTTGTTAGATAGATATTGATTTAAATAAGAATAAATAGTTTAATTTTTGTTAACTTTATATTTTTTAATCAAATTGATCATAATATTTTTGAATTCAATGAAATTTAATCAAGAATTGTTTTATGTAACTATACTATTTTAATACATTTTTAATTAAAGCTTCTACAATAATCCATTAGTATTAATATTTTTGAAGATTGTTTTAAATAAATGAGTTGACTATCAAAAGAAGACTTGTGAAATAAAATATTAATATACATTTATTAATAATTAAAATAATTATGAGATCAAATTCATCAGCTTATACACCATAAAATCCTGAAGTCTTTCACAAAGGACACATCCATTTCTTTGATTTATTATCATCATTTCATGGTTTGGAGGATTAACCTGACTATCCAGTTTAATAATAAACAATTTAAGATAAGCTAAGACATCAATATCTCCATGATAATAATTGGGAAGATAGTAAAGCAATTTTATTATGATTAGAATTATGTTATAGAACATGCTTCAAAATTTAAGATAAGGAGTATGTTTAATTCTGTTTAGACAAGAAATGTTAAGGTGCACCTTATTTGAAGGCAGCTCAAGTCTTGGGATATGTTAAATCTGGAAATCCTACACCAAAAGCTCATGGACATCATCATCATTGATATAGCATTTATACATAAATAATAATAATAATCAAAATTGTTATTAGTCTTAAGAGAGTTAAAATCTTTTGCATTTGAATTATGGAACGAATAATTTGATTTTGAAAATTCATTAAATCAATATTAAATGTCTATGTACATTACATTAATAATAAGGAAATAGTACTTTTATTATTATTTACTAAAACTTATTATTAATATTAATATGAAAAATATTTTTAGTTATTTCTATGGATCATCTGTAAATTAATTATTAAGTATAATAGGAAAACAAAAATAGTGAGATTAAAGATCCTAAACTTGATTAACAATTTGAAACATTTATTTTTGAATTTACTTCAAATGAATATTTTCCTGTATATGAGAAATGGACAAAAGGAGAAGAATAAGAATATATAGGTTTTTAGTTATTCCTAATTTAGATTATAAGTTATAAGATATAGAAGACATTTACTTAAATAACTATGACTAGCAATTAAAATTTTAATAAGAAGAGAAAAACTTAGTAGATTATATTGTATAAGAAGATGATACATTATTTGGATTAGAATTGAAATTTAATATAAAGTAATTAGGAAGTTAATAATAAAGTTAGAATAGAATTTTAAAAATTAATGACATTTCTCAAGAGTGCTTTGTTCCTGGAATGAAGATTAAAATTCCAATTGTGTAATAAGAATAAAACTAAGGTTTCTTTTAAGAAAGTGAAACTAATGATTTTTAATTGAATTAATCATCATTTTATGGAAGAAACTTAATGGATGAAATCATGTCTAGAGGATAAACAAAAAAATGTATATTCAATTTTAATTGAAAGTCAATGTTTATTATGTGACAAATTATGGTTGTATAGAAGGAGTTTTAACAGTGAATAGTGATGTCATATTATTTGATCCTAGTTTCGTTGATAGAAATAAAGAATTAGTTTAAAAATGTCATAGTACAAAGCTAACTAATATATTCTAGAATAAAGCATTCTCAATTTTTAAGCATGTCTTATGACTGATGACGTGATATCAGTTGATTTAAATGAATTACCTATGAGAATAGCAAAATCTAGTTCTAAATGCTTTAAAGATTATTTAGTTATGGTACATGTAAGTGCAAATGTATCTTGTAAAAAATTGCTAGAAGTTTTACCTATTCTAACTTTTAGAGTAAAATTATTTAAATTAATATTTAGATTTAAAATGATGATGATTAAAAAGAATTTAAAATTCAAAGCATTGATTTATGTGAGACATTAGCTGATGTTGTCAAAACAAAATCAGAAAGAATGCTTGATGAGTAGAAAAAGAAGGAATAAGATTTAACAATTATTCCTTTTTATGATATTTAAGATTCAACTTTAACAGAGAAGTTTATAGAAAGAACAAATTAATTATGGGGAGGATAAGATTTTATTCCATAAATGGTTTCTGAATCTTAAATTTTAGATAATGATGAAATGATTTAAGTAATAATAAATTATATTATTTTTAGATAATTGCATATGTTCCATCAATTTTTAAAACATCAAATTGGAAATTAATATTTTCAAATGTTATACATGGTTCATCATATTTAACATTACTTAATAATTGTGAAAACCATTCTCCATTAATATTAGCAATCAAAGATTTTAATGAATGTAAATTTGGAGCTTATTTAAATGAATCACCATAATTAACATATGGAAAGTTTTTTGGAAATGGTGAAACATTTTTATGGACTTTTAAAGTATTGTTATTATATATGAATAATATTAGTAAAATGATTTCAAAACCTATAATTGGACAGAAGCAAATAATTATTTTATATTTTGTGAATCAGATGGATTGGCAGTTGGATGTGGAGAAAAATTTGGTTTGTATGTTAATCATTCTTTGATGAATGGAAACACAAATACATGTGAGACATATAAAAATGAAATCTTATCAATTTCTAATGATTTTAGTATATAAATACTTGAAATCTGGGGATTAAGTGAATGATGATGGTTCTTATAATAATTCATTTTACCTATTAAATTATATTAATCTTTATCTATTTATTCTTTAAACTTATAAATCATTGAAGTTTAGAATTTTGCTATTATACAATTTAAGATGTAAAAATACTAATTTATAAAAACATTGAATAATTTTTATTAATTTCCAGTTTAAATGTATAAATCTATAATTTTATATTTTTATAAAATCAAAGTGCGTATATTAATTTTCTATCATTAAAAAATATTGCGAACTGAGGTATAGATTTTGAATAGTACGCATTATTGATATTTTTATATAAATTGAGATAATTCTTTTATGTTCAATCTATAAAAATATAAATTATTTAATGCAAACTTAATCACCTAATTTCAAGATTAAATAAATGATTCCTCTTAGTTTCAATTAGAAATATCTTATAGAAGATGAACCTGATGATGAAATTTTTGAATAAACAAAAACAACAAAAATATAATTTAACGATAGGATGATTGTTTGTAGTTATAAGCCTTGGCAAAATATTAACTAATTTCAAAAAACGATTTAAAAATTAAAAGCTTTCAATGATATACAATGGATCAATCCTTCTTTCAGTGAAAGATCTAATAAACCTTCTCGATCAATTTTAAAAAATTCATTTCAATCTAAACTTGAATTTTCTTATGAAAGTTGATTAAATTATATATATACTTTATATTACTACAATCTATTTTCTTAATTTAAGTTAATATCAAAAGGAATATTAATATTTCATATATAATTCATGATACACTAAGCAGAGTTTTCTTCTAGTCAAAATCTATAGAAATTAATAGATAATGCAAATAGTTTAGATTCAAAGGAAAAGGAAACTTTAAACTTATTTTAATAAAGAATAAAAGAATAAATTATATTTCAGTTGAACATAAAAATATTAAACTTAATTATTAATTTAATTAAAATTCTTCATTTTTCTAATAAAATTTAATAACAACTTTAAAGAATCGTTAATATGCAAATTAATGATTTTTATATAAAATAGTTTTATTCAAAATTCAGGCATATAAAATCCTATCAATAGACTAATGAACGCAATTACAATTAATTAAAACATAGTAAATTTGACTTAATCATCTTTTTCATCTTCAAATGGTATATTTTATTTTGCTTTAAAAAGAACAATCTATTTATTTAATTCTCTTGTCTCATTAATAAGAGCTTATTATTGATCCTACAAATTCATTATAGTTTATTCCATTTAAAAGTTTTAAGATATTTGCAAAGAATCTTTTTATTTTCTTTAACTAATCACTGATTTTAAAATTGCAGAAGCAGGAGTGCTTTCTCCATTTTAAATTTATGAAACATGTGAAGTAAACATAGGGATTCTTCTATCACTTGGTTAAGTAATCTGTAAATCACTATTAGTACTTTTAAGATATTACATATGAGACCGATTCAGATTAAATAATTTCTTATACTTGGAGAATGATAGATGGAAGATCCTTTATCTAATCTTTGAGCAATTTAAATTAATCCATTATTTCATATTAATCCTTTATTTCCTAAGGCTTATCAATATTCATTGAGACTATTCTAACTTTAACAGCCTCTAAAATTACAAAAAGTAGGTACTATCAAAACTAGTTTCCTTGGTTATCAGTTTGATTGTTTTACTTTCTCCTATCTTTAATATTCCTACAAAGGGATAAGATTTAATCTGTTCTGCAGCTGTAGACATAACTTTAAATGCCAAACTTCTAAAGAAGTGTATATTACATAATTACTAATTATTTTCAACTGGATTCTTAATCTTAATATGAGAAATATATATTATTTCTTTATTAGACAATGTTTTTTGTTTGAAAATTAAGACAGGATTTTGTGCATGTGGATGCTCCAAGATTAAATAAGGTTTCTGATCATTCATAATATAAAATAATTTATTTAATTATGTCTAACAACATATTTGATACAGACTTTAGTTTATCAAGAAAGTTCAAAATTAGAATTAAAGCAAATGGTTAAGTTTCTCATACTATCAATTCATCAAAAAAGAATTTTAAATAATCAACTTCATTTTCTATACCGATAATATAAGAAATAATTGAAGGGGAAAAAAAACCATTAACAAAATTAAATTATTCATTCTAAGGCAGATAGGAAGTACTTAATAGAAAAATATAAGAGCTCCACATCTACATTTTATTATAATTATAGCAAAACTTTAGATTTCGAACTTAATTTTAGTAATTATGGAGAAAAATTAAGATTTTATGTTCATAATTCATTTAGAATATTATAGAATGAACTTTCTTTATGTAAATAAAATTATATATTGATAGCATCAAGAATAAATAATTAGAATTTCCATTTTTAATCAAAGATTTCAAGAAAACTTGACAATTAACATTTTGACTTTTCAGGAGATATGGAATTCGATTTTATAAAATAATCATTCAAATTTTCAACATTGCATTTTAATTATAAATTCAATGATAAACAAAAAATAATATAATTTAGAAGTTCATTGTTGAAAGGAAGGAATTGTGAATTAGAATGTTAAAAAATTATTAATAAGAATATGAGTGCTGGTTTTTCAATCTCATTAGATTCTCATAAACATTTTCATAGTCTTATAGGATTATAAAAATAATATAGAAACATATAATTTTACAGTGTTTATAACATAAACAAAAAGAGTCTTTCCGTTAGTTTAATATAGAAATATAGCAAAATGTATTAATTTTGGAGACTTTAGGTTAGAATATCGATTGTCTACTATGATACCCTTTAGTACAAAAGATTATCCTTTTGGATTTGCAGTGAAATTGAACATATGAGATATTTAATGACTTTTATTTAAATATCAAAAAAGATGTAAATTTAATATAAATAATAATTATATATATTATTATCTATTTTATTTTAAATTGTGATGTCAGATAATCTTTAGGTGAAATAAAGAAGAAGAAATTCACCTTAAGAAGGTGAATAGGACATTGCTTAAAGATAAGAAAATAAATATAATAAAATTCAAAGGTATTTAATCATGTATAAAAAGAAATGATTTATAAGCTTATGTTTAATAACCTAAAATCAAACGTAATAGAGATGATTAAATAGAAGATCCTTAAGAAGATGATGATGAGAATTAATCTGATAAATTTGGTGGCTTTGTTTTCACAAAAACAAAAAGTATTATATACTTATTATTTAAATTAGACGAACCCAAAAAGTAATATATCTATGAGCCTAAAAAATAATAGCCACTTTAATAATAAAAGAAAGAATATCAACCAAAAAAAGATTAACAACAAAAAAAGAAGCCTGAAAAGAAAGGTAATAAGTAGTAACAATAATCTTAATAACAGTACAAATTTATTGTTATAAATTAGAAAGGAAATATCTATTTAATAATTAGGTGAATTAGAAAAATTACAATAACATTTGATAAATTGTGGAATTTCTATTACTTAAAATTAAGAGAATTTTGATTCTGAGCTTGTTTTACCTCCTGATTTTAATAAGCCATTATCTATCCCAAGTTAACCAATAGTTGCACCTCCTCCTGGTTTAGTAGATAAAGATAAATCTTCTGATTTTGTGGATATCTTAAATTAATTATAAGATAATGATTCAGATGGCTAAATGAATTATGATTAACATTTTTCATCCTCAGTTCTTACTAGAGGATCTTTTCCTATTTAGACCTAACCATTAAATTAATTTAATAATTAAAAATTAATACCTAACAATAATCAAAATTTTCCAAATAATTCAAATGATTAAAAAAACAAGGAAAAAAAGAAAAAAAATAAGAAAAAAAAACCAAAAAATAATAAAAATTAACAAGATTTGGGAATCATTAATAATTAACCTGATTTTATGAATTAAAATTCTGCTGAAATCTTTGATCCTTTTAAAGTTGTTCCATTTTCATTTCCTTAATAATAAATGGGTAGAAACAATTTACCAGATCCTCTTAATATTTCAGGACCAACTTTCACAACTCCATTAGGATTTGCTCCTCCAGGAATGATGGGTTTAGGTCCTCAAATTACTCCATTCAATTCAAATCTCTTAGGAGCACCATAATCTCTTGGATTTCCTCCTGGACCTAATTTAGGAATGGAACCTTTAGAACCTACTTTCCCTATGGGACCTAATATTGGATCTATGAGAATGAATTAAATGATGCCTCCAAAATTTAATCAAATGCCTAATATGTCTAATATGCCTAATATGCCTTAAATGCCTATGCCTATGTAAATGGCACCTCCTCCATAAATGAAAAAATAATCTAATAAAAATCATATGATGATGCAACCTCCTCAAAATTAATTTGATGGCTAAATGTTTTGTCCTACTATGATGCCCCCACCTATGGGAAATCCTTTTCCAGATTTTCCACCAACAATGCCTATGGGATAGTAGTACCCTCCTAATTTAATGAATTCTGGACCTATTTTAGGAATGCCTCCTATGATGAAATTTGATGATGATTTTGATTAGAATTGGATGCCAAATGATGGAATGATATAAATGCCAACTCCTATTTAAGTGTTCTCCAATCAAAATTTCCCAAATTTATCCTAAGTCTAACATCCAGATTCATATTTACAAGAACCTGAAAAATTCATTCCTTAATAAAAAAAGATTAATGAAATAAAAAATGGAAATGATATTAATAGTGATCAATTTTAATAAGTACCTTAAAATACTGATGGATAACCAAGATAACGAAAGTAATTCTTAATCTATATAATTTTATAGAAAATTAAATTTGAATTCTAAACCATTTTATCCAGTAAATCCTTGACTGTAAGAATCCCTATTGTTTAATAAATATATATAAATTAATATTATTAAACCCAATTATTTACAATATTATAAATATTATAATGAAGGATCCCATTTCAATAAAAGAGACTGTAACTGATTTTCAAAAATGAATAGTCCCATATGTAGATTTAAGAAACAAAGAAAAAGATTAAAGATTTATCAGATTATTTAGCAAAATAATTTGTTGAATATGAAAAGGAATAAGAGAAAAAAAAGATATAAAAAATAAGAAATGAATTAGCTAAGAAACATTATAAAAATAGATTTTCAAGTTTTACTAATTCATTAAATCGCCCTTCATTTATAATTTAGATCAAGGAGAAAGATTTATTTGATAATAAATCTGTTTTTATTAATAAGGATGTTCCACAATTAACAGATCTTTAAAAATCATAATTGGTTTCTCCTGATAGAAATTAAAATCCATCTTATAGTATAAAATTTAATTACAGTAGTAATACATTAATTGGATAGACCAACAAATAAATAAAAAAGTGAATTTCCTCCTGTAAGAAAAAGATTTTTAAGTTAGAGGGAGGCTAATCGTATCGAATTTTGGGAAAAGAATTTTATTCATTTACAAGAAATAGAATAGAAAGAAGTAAAATAATATAGATTAAATAATAGAAAAGCAGTCTCTTAATTGGAAAAATTAAAAAATAGATCTTAGAATAAAGGGAAGTAAAAGTATTTAAACCTACTGATCAATGCTTAAGATATTTTAATAAAAATATATCTATTTTATCTGAGAAACCAAAAACTGAAAGGTAATAAAGTAAAGTTTTAAGTCTACAAAAAATTAAACAAAAAAATGTTTGGATGCCTAATAATAATTATTTTTGAGAAATGATTTTATTTTTTACAATAAAATCAAAATTTTGAATAATTTCATTAATACTTATAATTTTCTCCTCCTTTTTTCAAATTAATATTTCAATTTCTATTGATTAAATTAGGAATAAATTTGTTAATTATTAAAATAATATTCTATTATAATATTAAATACAATTTATACTATTAATATTACTCTTTTTTAATAATTATTTTTAATCTTTAAATATTTTTAACTTCAATTATCTACTCTAATATTTTATACTAATTAGTCTATATTAACTATAAAATTTTATTTAGAATCTCACTTTCTACAACTTGAATGATTAAGTATATTTTAAATAAATATTATCCATAAAATAATTAAAATCATTTTAAATTTTCATTTATTCTTTAATGATTTTTTCTAATTCCTAATAATTTATCTAATTTTTAATAAAGTTCAAAAAATTAGGTATTAACTTAAACTTAGATTCTTTTATCATTACTTTATTCTGGTATAAAGCATAATTGTTTTAAAATACTTACAGAATTTTTATATATGAAATAGAATTTATTTTATTTTTCATCTAAAGAACATTTTTTGATTGACTTTAATTTAATAATTTTCTCTTCTTTTTTGTGACTCTTGAACATATCTACAATATAATTTTTTATATACTAGAACATAGAATAATGAGGGAATAAGTTATTCTAATTATTGACATAAAAGATTCTAATGTCAAAATAATCAATTCCAATTAAAACTTGATATTGTTATTTCTTTTCTAATTGCATCACTTAAAACTCTTAATAAGAATATAGAGAAGTAAAATATTTGATAGAATCAATTTTCATTTGTAAATCTTGTTGATTATAAGATATAAATCCATCTTCATGATAATATGGTTATTAGAAGTTTGAAAATTTCTTACTTAATTCCATTAGATTTGGAGTTTCAATTTCAATTATTTATTTTTTTTCCAATACTAACCAATGAATTGGTAATTAATTAATTGGAGTATCTAAGCATAATGGATCAATACCAATATGGATACATGGATATTTTAATCTTAAAAAGTAATCTTTAGAAGATCTTTTCCTTTTTAATCCATTATTGAATGAATCAAATACATTTTAAAGTTTTGAATTATTGAGACATGTAATTTATTAATTAGATCCGGTTTAAGCATCTTCTATCAATAATATGATATATTAAGGGAATAATTCATATGTTTTTTTAAGAGTCATTAGATCTATACCAAAAGTTGGTTAACAATTTAAATTGACAACAATATCTACTTATTTACAACTCAAAATAACTGGATAATCAATAGTAATTGTTTTATCTTCATAATCTGAGAAAGAATGCTCAACTTAGGATGCAATTGCTCTCTTTATAATTAATATTCTTATCATACTTCATCGCAGCTGGCTCTTCTAACAGCAATATTATCTTCTTCCTTTTCAATAAAGCTTTTTGCACGTTATATAGGTCTTCTGAAGCGATCATCATCAATTTCAAATTGATCTTCTAAAGTTTCTAATTGATAGGCTAGAGAGTAATTCTTGTATTCAAATAAATTTTAATCAAACCTTCTTTCAAGTGAATACTCTTTTAATGCAAGTACAATAAATTCTATAGCAGTCATTTCTTTATCAATAAATAAGACTTTTGAAAGATTAGTTTTAAAATATTTAACTTAAATAGTTCTAAGATGCTATTTTCCAAATTAGCTAATATTATTAGTAATAATTGATTTTTATTTTCTTATTTGTTCAAAATTATTAATTATTGCTTAATTCGCTCGCTTTAAAAATACTTTTGACCCATGTTATTTTGCAAATGTTCCAAAATCTTTTTTAAATGCAGTTTGACTTCTTTTCATAGATCTTTTTATTTGTTAAGCATTTGGCTATTTGTTTTATTAAATTTACTGTTCTTGTTATTTGATTTACGTTTGATCAGGATAAATATCATTTTTTTTAAATGAACTATCTGAAGATTCTTAAATAGAGGTTCTTCTACAAAATAATTATGTTTTAACTTATTTCTGTTTAGTTATGTCTATTTCTTCATCAGATTCTTCTATATTAATAAACTATAGTGTTTCATTTTACATAAATTATAACTATTCCAATAATTCATTTCCAGATTAGTGTGTTGATTATACACTTTAGCTAAGTGTATATTGTATTTAGAATTGATAATTTTCCATAAAATATTGCTTTTTATTATTTAATTAAGACAAATGGATTTATAGTAATAATTAATAAATGAACTTTTCTTATCATTTGTATGTAAATTTTATCTTCTTAATAGAATTTAATAAAACATATTCAACTCATGATAATATAATGCAAATGATTTAAGAGAACAAAATTTCAAGAGTTAAACTAAAATTAATTGAATTATTTTCATAAAATCCAATAAACACTCTCTATTATAAGAGAACATTCAAAAAACCTATAAGTTTTTGAAAAATTATTGATTCAAAATTATTCTTTAATATTATTCAGAAATATGAAATACTAAAACTAAATTAAAACTAAAAATAACTTAACAAAATACTATATTTATATTTCTTATTTTTGATATGATTTAAAAAAGATCAATATCATAATTAAGAATAAAAAATAACATATCTTAAAAGTAATTGAGAATGTTATTTTAAGATGAATAAATAAAGAAATTATAATATCATAACAGAAGTTTGATTAGATTGTTAATATATGTTTTATATTTTACATTTCATAATGTAATTGTTCTTCCATCTGTAATAATACCCCATCCAATTAATCTAAATTTATTACTTAATCTTCTACTAAATGCAACTTTCTCTTATAAACCAGTACATACTGGATTATTGAGAGCAACCCTCATTATTTTCTAATAAGAATGAATATTTATGATACATCTTCTCTAACTTCAATAACTCTTCCTGGTGTTTCATTTGATAAAACATTAAATTTTAACATTTCATCCTATTAAATCTTAGCAATCTTTTGGGTTTTTCCATCTTGTTATTGAGCACCAACAACTGAAACCATCAAATAATAATTAATCTAAAATTTATATTTTGTCATACTTCTAATTCTCTATAGAGTTCAGGTAATTATTTTGGAAATCCCAATACACATCCAACAAGATTGTCATTACGAGTTAAAGATGGATCAATTAATAATCCAACTCCAATAAGTCCTCCTGGAACAGCATAAACTAATTCATTTTATTCAGCAAAGAGAGTAACAACTCTGGTAGTAATAGGATGCCAAGTTGTTTAATTTCCATTTTTACATTATCTACCTGGTCTAATTTCAACTTCATCTCCAACTGAAAGGATTCCTTATAAAATTGAACCTCCTACTACACCACCATGTAAATTTTCAGGTTTTTCACCAGGTTTATTAACATCAAATGATCTATAATAATAATAATAATTGATTACCTAATAATAATCATTTTTGGTGGTACTTATAATTATCTATCTGGAATAGGGAAAAAGTTGCAAATTTATTAGATAACACAATCAATATTGTATTTCAATTAAGCAGATACTGGTATAATTGGTGAATCTTCTGCAATGGTTCCTTTAATAAATCTTGTAATTTCTTCATAATTTCTGAGAGCAGCCTTACTTCACTATTAATGAAATTACTTGTTGATCTCTAAAGATAATATCTACTTTGTTTTGGATAACAATAACATATTTTAATTTTGTGATGACTAAGGCAACCAAATGTTCTTAAGTTTAAGGTTGAGGACAAGGCATATTAGCAGCTACAATAAGTAATGCACAATCCATAACAGCAGCACCAGTTAACATTGTAGACATTAGAATATCATGTCCTGGACAATCAACAAAAGATATATGTCTGACTAAAGTCATCACTTCTTTGCATAAATCACATTAAGCATTGTCTTCTTTCTCACTTGAAAATGATTAATAGCATTGTGGTTCAGGACATTTTGGACATTTAAAGATTTTTGCATTAGCATAACCCAATCTAATTGTAATATTTCTGACTCTCTCTTATCTGAAACGTACAGTGCTTTAATATATTACTATATCAAATACTTTATAGTTGATATAGATCTCACAAGAGTTGATTTTCCATGAGCTACATGTCCAATTGTACCCACATTGATTGTAGCCTATCTACTAATTACTTCTTGTGAATTAGGAGTTAGATTTGGTATTTGATCATAATTTTATTTTAATAGATGTGGTTATCTTTTCATCAATTCATCAACTTCCTAATCTGTCAAACGTTAAGGTCCTCTTTTAAAAGTTTCCATTAATTAATTTTCTTTAATATTAAATAAAAATATTTATACAATATAAATCATTACTAAACTTTCTTAATAGAAACTCATTTACAATATTATATAATTATTAAATTAACTAAAATTTGTTTTTGTAAATTATTTTAAATAAATCATAGATTAAATTGATATTCTTATAATAATTATTCCAATCTATCTAAAAATCAAAAAGAATTAATTATTAAATTTTTAAATTCTTTTCTTCTTTAATTTTATAGCTAAATATCTAGTTAGAAATGAATTCCTAATATTATTGATAAAAGTTTAAATAGAAAATTATTTTAAATTTAATTTTTGAAGTAAAATGTTTTCGTAAGCTTTTAGAAGAGGTCAACAACCTTAATAATAGGTACCATAACCAATGAATATTTCATTCCATAAGTAAGTAGATTGAGTTATTTAGTTAATTGTAAGCCTAACAAACAAAATCCTTTTCTTAAACTCAATATGAAAAGGAGAATATTAGCTAATTTCTAGGTTCAACAAAAAGACAAAATTTAAATGAATCTTTCTATTAAGAACAGCAAGTACCTCAAATATCAGAAGTATATAGAATTTTAGAACAATTACAACAAATGATGGTAGTCAAATTTAATGACTTCTAAAATGTTATAAATGATTAAGAAAAAGCTATAAGACCATTGATTGAATAAAATACTCAACTTAATAACTAATTAATAAATGTTCTTTAATAAAGTGAGAAAATACTCTCATAACTCACTACAAATTTAGAGAAGAGTGAATAAATTAATAAAAGGAATTAAAAAAAGAAAAGCAATGAATGTTCAGAAAGTGATTTAGGTGCAGTTTAATAATTACTTAAAACATTGGATGATAGATTAAATAATTTATCAAATGAAGTAGAAATGATAGCAGAAACTAACAATAGATTTCAAGTTCATGTTATGGAAATTGTCAATATAGATAAATTAGAACATCGTGAAAATATGTAAAGAGTATTATAAGAGATGGATAAAGCAAAAAGATCTATATCTAAAAAAATAAGACGTTGAATTTTTATATTATATATATATATATATCATTATAATTAAGATTTCTATTAAGTAGAATTAATTAAAAAATTAAAAATAGATATATTGTTATATCTTAATATTGTAATTGTAACAATACAATATTTAAATGAAGAAGTAAAAAGTAATAAGGCAATAGTATAAAATTAATTAAAAATTTCATAAACCACATAGTGTGCAATAGAAATTTACTAATTGAATATTTATAATTATTGATTGTCTATAGTAATGTTTGGATGAAATTTATTAGTTAAGATGATTTAGAAAGTAGTAAGTTGTTTGTGTGAATTAATATATATTAAATGTTTGAAGGTCTTATATAGAAAGTATTGTTAGCTATCTTTGGTCGATTTATCGATGGACTTGACAAGAAACAAATTAATTTGTCATTTTTTAAGGGTAATTTGGTTATTGAGAATGTTTCAATAAAGAAGGAAGCTCTTGAAGCTTTGTAATTACCAATTGAATTAGTATACAGTTCAATATAGAGAATTGAAATAAATCTTCCGTGGAATAAATTGACTACTTAAAGAACAGAAATAAAGATTCATAGTGTTTTCTTATTAGTCACTACTATTTCTGAAGAAATGTGGGGATTAGAGGAGATAAATTATTATAAGCCAAAAGCAGCATAAGTTAGAGCATACATTAAGAAAGTGATGGATGAAGAAAATAGGAAATAAGAGACAACAACAGATAATCAGGAGTCTGATCAAAAAGAGGCAGGATTTTTTCAAAAATAAATTACAAGAATAGTTGATAATCTTTACATTTCAATTTCTGATGTGCATTTTCGTTATGAACATTGTATTAGCAAACATTCTTTTTCATGGGGAATAACTATAAATCATATAACTTAATAGACAGTAGATTCAGAATGGAAAATTTCATAGGCATCTAGTCCATATATTCATGAGCGTAAAGATTCTACTTTTGTGAATAAATAAATACAATTATCTAAATTAGCAATTTATTGGAATCCTGATGATCATTATCTCATTTTGAGTAGCATAATTAAACCTTAACAATACAAAAATGTTGATATTCAAAAAGTTGTTAGTAAAATGGACCCTTATAAAATTGATTTAGATCTTCATCAACGTACAGTATACTAAATTGATGAAAAAATGCAAGCTAGAATATAATCCAGATTATAATAGGAATTAGTTTATGAACCAGATAATTTAACTATGGGTATCAAAACATCAAAATCCTCTAAATATATATTTTGTCTAAATGCAGTGGCTAATGTTGTATAAACATATTAACATTTTCGTAAAGTTCCAGAATACAAAATTAAAGTAGAATTACAAGAGATGGATTTCAAAATCAAACATACATAATATAAGGAAATATTAAAACTTGTATCCATATTTAATCTTTATTAATACAATGCAAAATAATAAATGGATTAGTATCTTACATCTGTAATGAGACCATATCAATAAGACTTTTTTAAAATGGAAACTAATTCACTTTATCTCAGATCTTTATTTTAATATCTCGTCAAGACTTAGATACTAGAAATAAGAAGAAAAAGATTTCTTGAATTTGAAATGAATGCATTATAAAGAAAAACAACACCATCTGCTCTTTTAAAATCTTAACATAGAGAATTAAGATAGTACTAATAGATAGTGATAAAGACTTCAATAACTACATTGTAAATGTGGGCAAAATAAGCTTTAGAAATATTTGAGAGAGCAAAAGAACATCATCAAATTGAACAGGCATTCAAGAAAGAGATCGAAAAAGCATACAAACCATCAGCATTTATGGATGAAGAAACTTATGTTTATTTGGAATTTAGATTGTCAATTGTTAAAGGTAGTTTAAAATTATTGAGAAAACATAAGAATTTAGAAGAAGGATTTACATTATTGTGGAAAAATTTTGATTTCTTTTTGTAAAAGAGAAGAAATAATTTTGAATTGGAATAAATTATATAAGATATGGAAGTATAAATGTTTAGTGTTGAGGAGAAGAATGATATAATTGTACCTATTGTAAAGAAAATAAAAAGTTATGATATTTAAGAAAAACCTCTCATTTACTTTAAATTAGAAAAACATCCCTTATCTAAACCTAATTATTTTAGTAGTATCTATTTAGATGTATAAAAAATTGAATTCATGGTATTTGTAGCCTCTTTGTAAAGAGTCATTGCTTATTTTAGAACACCTCCTTAAGATGATAGACAATAGGATAGCAAAGTAAAAGAAGATGCAAATAAGAATAAGAAAGAACAAAAAGATAAAAGAGATGATTCAGATTAAGATAAGAAAATTGAAATTCAAACTAAAAATTATATTAACATTACAATTTAATCACCTATTATTATTATTCCAAATTAATAGATTAATGATTTACATTCAGATTGTTGGGTATTAAAATTAGGAGACTTTGAAATAATTACAGTTGATGATAGATAAGTTCCAGGATTTATTAAATTAGGATCAGATCAATACAGAAAATTAGGTTTAAGTGGAGAAAGTATGGGAAGATAAAAAATAGTAGAATAACCTTTATTGACAGTTCATAATGAAAAAAATTAATTAGTAAGTTAATTTAATTTTTGTAATGTTAATTCAATTAATCCATTAGAAAAATCAGCTTCTTTATAAAATTTGTTATAACCATAATTATAATAAGGAATAAAATAAAAGAAACATCATAAATCTTAGAATTATGATAATTATGTTATGAAATTAAAATCAGTTTAGTTATAATATTTTTCATCAATTCATTACTTTTATAATTATTAGAAATTAAGTTAAACTTAAAGAGGTTTGGATATTTTGAATAATCCATTAAGAATGAGATCTAAAAAAGATGATGTTTTAGAAGACTTTTCTATGGAATTGAATCTTTATTTTAAAAAGAGTACTTAAGTTAATATTCCTAAAACAAAGATAAATTTTGAATTACCTTCTTTAAAAGCTTCAATTAATCCAGAAATGCCTTATATATTTTAAAAATTGATGTAAACTATTAATGATTTAAGTGCTGATCAATCTTTAAGTAGTATATTATAATAGGAAAAATCTAAATTGATTAAATATAGTTCATGTAAAGGAATTTTAAGAAAAAGAGGTAAATTTTTGAGATCTTGGTCATCTTACTTTGCTGTATTGTCTGGTTGGTATATATACTTATATTAGAATGAGAGTGATGTAGATTATAATTAATATGTTGGATTAAGAGATGTAGTTGTATCTGAATCATAATAAGATATTGGAGTATAGAATTCTTTTAAGATTAAATCTAAGAAAGAAATTATATATTTTTAGGCTAAAACAGCTTAGGAAAAGAATAGATGGTTCAAATTCATTCAATAGAAAATTCATGATATCAAAACAAAAACTGGTAATCTTAGAATTGGATCAGAAAATACAGTGCCATTATAAAATGATAAGAGTAAACGAGAATTTGAATAAACAGTTAAATAAGTACCTAAATAGAATGATGAATTGTTGACTAAATATAGATTTCAAATTAAAAGATTTTAAATTGAATTAAAATACAATCTGAAATCTGAAATCTTAATAACATTTGATTAAATAAAATTACTTAGTCTTTCAGGAATAACTGATAATTATTAAGAATTTACAATTGATTCCATTTCAATTGAAGATCATGGATAATCTATTTTAAGATCTATCCATTATTCATAACCTAATACTCCTAATATATTGAAAGTTAAACAAAATATGACTGAAAATAAATTATTAAGAAAAATAAAATAGGTTGTTAATTTTAAGGAAGAAGATACATATCATATTCCAGGTGCAATTAGAGTTAGAATGTGTAACACAGATACTCATTAACCAAATGAACCTTAATCATATATTGTTGCATAGCTTTCCTCTTTAGAAGCTCATTATTTAGAATCTTTTCTTGGTAAAATCAATTTATTTATGGTTTAACCATCTTTATAAAAGACCAAAGATAGTACCACTGATTTAAGTGAATATGCAGATAATACATTATAAACTACAAATATGAAATATACACAAATACCTGTTAGTGAAACTAAATTTATGTAAACTAAGTATGATTAAACAAAAGTAAATATTAAGAGTGTAAGATCATTTACTTTATAAAAGTCATCAGTTTCAGATTCAGACTTACATGATGGATAATAAGCTGAAGGTATTGATAAAGTACCAGAAAGTATCATTAAAGTATCAATTTTAACTTAAGATATTAAATTGATTGTAATTGTATAAGAAAAAGAGAAAGATAAAGAAAAGTCAAATGAATTCTTATAAATATAAGTGAATTAAATAAGTGCAGTATTGACTATTAATGATGATGAATATTTTATTGAAGGAAATATTTAGAAAATTGAAATTATTGATTTAAAATCATTATAAGGAAATAGACATATGTTTTTAGGAAAAAAAGAATAAAAAGATAAGAAGAAAACTAAAGAAGAAAAGAATAAAAAAAATATAGGTTTAACAATATTTTCAAATAAACATTAAGTTGAAAAATAAATGGTTTAATTTAAATATTCTAAATTTAAAATACCAAGTAATAATGATGATATTTCTGATGATCTATATTTAATTGTTAGAGATTGTTTTATAGATTATTTACATGCTACAATTATTAAGGTTTTAAGTTTATTAGAGATTTCTTAAAAAAAGAAATAGGCTAATAAAGAAGAGAATGAATTAGATTTAGAATTAATTAAATAAAAACTTTTAGCTCCTTCTTTAATTAAGATTAAAATTTTACTTGAAAATCCTAAAATACTTATTAAACCTGCTGGAAATATCAGTTAATCATTTGAATTATAAATTAAATAAGTTTGTTTTGAATTGGATGCAAATCAAGAAAAGAATAAAGTAATAGAAATGGCTATAAAAGCAAATAAGAAATAAAATTAAGCAGGCTAATAAATAGATTCATTATGGTGGTAAATTATAGTAGTTTCTGCAGACACAATGAGAATATTGATAAGAAGTACTTCAGATTTATAATACATATCAAACCCTTTTTCTGGTGTATTAAGAATATAAACACCAATGTTTTTAAGTGAATATGAAATTTTATGTCCTAACATAGTTCTTAATAGGAATTAAGAAATCAGAATAAAAGTGACTGATATTTAACTTAACATTTTGAGAAATCATTATTTATTCTTATTATAAGTTATGCAAACATAATATGAAATTTAAAGTTAAAAGACTTAGAGAAAGAGAAAGTAATAACAATAACAATAACAATAGAATAAAAAGTAAAATTAAGCTGCTTTAATTTTTAAATTATCAAAAATTACAATTAGATTAATGGATGAATGTAATTAATATGCTTCATAAGGATCATTTCTAAGACCTTTGATAGATTTAAGTTTATTAGATATTGTATTTCAATTTAAGACAAATTTATCATTGTCAGTATAGGATTTAAAAAGCACATATTATTAATATCCAGAATAGGATGATAATAATTTAATTGTAAGAATATAACATGTTATTAATAATATTTTTTTGGAAAGGAGAAAATTAGAAGAATTTTTGGATGAAGACATTTTGGAAGATAAAGTAAAAGAAGTCAAAGAATTGATTAATGAGATGAAAATGGAATTTAATAATGAATAACCAGTAAGTAGATTTGATGTAGATGATAAATTGAGTATAAAAGCAATATTAGGAGAAGAATCTACAGATGTTAGTATTAATATTGGAGAATCAAAATATTTGATTAATGCATATTATCTTAAAACTATTTCTTTATTTTTTGAAATACATAAATATGAAGAAGATGTTAATAGTTAATAATCTCCAATTTCATAATAGCCAGTTCAAAATTATTATAAATAAAAATAGGCTTTATTAAATGTGAATGTCATTTTATTAAAGACTTTAATTATAACTCATAATGAAAAATTAAAAAATTGTTTAATTTTATAATTAGATTCTTTTATGAAATTGAATGATGAATTAAATAATTAAGCTCATAGTAATTATCATTAAAAGAACAAAGAGAAATATTCAAATGAATAGAATATTAAAAATAGAAGATTTGAATTAAGTTTAACAGTTTCATTATTTAATGCAAATTTTGCAGCATTATAAAAGATATCTAAATAAACTAAGAGAAAAATGATTTTATATCCTATAAAAATAGAATTCATAAGAAATCAATTTATTTGCGATTGTGATATTAATTATTCCAATTATAAGACTGATGGCTAAAATGAATTAATCTCAAATATCATCATATAAGATTAGTTAAGATTTGATAAAATTAGGATTAATATTTCACATAATGATTATGCTCTCATATTATAAACAATAAAATTTCAATAAGATTCAATAAAATAATGTGATTAATTTTTTATTGATGATCAGGAATCATCAGTAAATGAAACCATAGTTCGTTAAATGCCTATAAAACCAACTTTAGGAGTAGAAGAAACAATCCTTAGTAGAAATGAAACTAAAAAGAAAAGTTTTTTGCCAGGAAAATCATCATTAATTAGATTGAAATCAAGTATATTACAAGGATCTTTGTTGAAAGATGAAGTAGTATAAGTGTTTTATGCAGCAGGAGATTAAGAAATGGAAATGGTAAAAGAAGAAGAGATTTTATCTGAATAAGAATAACAATTTGAAACAATTAGACCTTCAATAAAAATTAATAAAATGAAAATAAAATTAGATCTTTTAGAGATAGTTTTGGTAAATGATATTAATAAATCATTTGCTCCATTATTATTATTTAGATTTAATGTTAAGAAATTTATGTTTGATTAAAATTAAATAAGTAAAGCACTTAAATGTTTATTTTAAATTGAATTGATGTATTTCAATCCAGTTGTAAGTAAGATGGAACCAATTATAGAACCATATCTATCAGAATTATTAATTGTATAATAAAATCAATTTATGCAAACAATTCATATTAATGGATTGACACCAATATTGGACATGAATTTATCTACAGATATGATAATAAATTTATATAAAACATTAACTTAATGGTAATAATTAGATTAAGATGATGATGAAGAAGCTTTTAGAAGAAATGAATCCAAAAAAATTACTAGATTGGCTAGTATGAAAGGTATATCTTTTAAAGAGAATTAAGATAATGTTACTCTTTTTTCTCTTCTAAATAAGAGTGGTTATACTCTATAAGTATAAAAGAATGGTAATGATGGATTAATTGAAATAGCAAATAATGATTCTAAAAATTATGAAGTACAATCTCATGATGAAGATTATGCTAAAACATTTGAAAGTGATACTAGACTAATGATTAAATTTATTGATTCTAATATGATTTAAAATTCAATAAGTAATGTTCCTATAAATTATGCTGGAGTTAAAAAATTATAATGGAATGAATAAACATAATATTATGTGCTTAGTACTTAAATTGAAAAATTGTAAAAAACAATTACAATTTATTCACCATATATGTTTGTTAATCAAACTGATTGTGATTTGTCTATCAAATTATCATGTATCAAAATTACTAAAAATTTTATACTCAAACCAGGAGAATAAGCAGCTATGCCATAAGAATTATATAAAGATGATAGTTTTATTGTTATTCACTTTTAAGATTCCAAATATACAAAATTAACTTAACCAAATGAACCCATATTTATTAAGAGAATATTTCATGATATTACTATTTAAATACTTCATTATCCATGTTATACATTAGCTACTCTTAATACAACCTTAGTTTAGAATGTCAAATATATAGAATTTAAACCTATTTTTATTTTATACAATTTATTACCTGTTCCACTTCAATTTTTGTTTCATTCAAATCAAAATTTAGATCTACAAAAACTTATGATTAATCATTATAAGAAACCTAATATTGGTATACAATATGAAAAATAATAATCAGGATATTCTAGAGGAAATTCTTTATCTCATTTATAAAATGAATAACATGAAAATCTTGTAAGATCTGTTACAGTAACAGAATTCAATTATACAACAACAATTAAAGTAGAAGCAGGATTAATTGAAGTAGTTCCTTAAGGTGAATTACAAATGCATTGGTTAAAGAATGGTGATCATTTGGGAATTAATTTACATGTAAGTGGATTTGAAATAAGTTAAAAATAAGATATAATATAAGCTACAGAATTTGAATTAAAGGATACAATTAATAGTTAAAGTTGTCATATCAAAGTAGAAAAAGAATAGGTTAAATAAACTAAATTAATTTATTTTTCTGTCTAAACTTGTATTATTAATACAACTAATCGAAGATTAAAATATTACACTTTAAAAGATTAAAAACCTATAATATTATCTGGATAAAATAAAGAACCGAAACCTGATAAAGAATGTTTTGAAAGTAATTATGAAAAAATATAAATTACTGATACAATCAAATATTTAATGATTGGAATAGATGATTGTATCTCTAATGAAGTTAATGTAGGTCTTTTGGGATCTATAGGATTATAATTAAAAGAAAAGAATGGAAATATGGTTTCATTAAATGAGTTTGGTATTCACATTTCTTTAGCAAATAATGTGATAAGAAAGGGTGTTTATACTAAAGTTATTGAAATAATGCCAAGATTTGTTGTAATAAATAATACAGGAATGTAAATAAATATATGTTAATCTGGATTTGAATCATAACCAAAAAAATTAAATCCAAATAAACGATATCAATTAATTTGGCCTGATTGTAGATTAGAAAAATCAATCAGAATTTAAAAATATGGTAAATATAATTGGAGTGGAGACTTATTTATTAATGAAATAAGAAGTACAAGTTTCTTTTCTTCATCATTTAATGAAAATAGTTAATAATTGAGTAATTTCTCTATAGATTAATAAAAGAGTAGAATATTTGAAAAATCAGGAATCTATAAATAGTTTAATCTAAAGAAATATGATCCTTAAGAATTTTTATAATATAAAGAATCATTACCATTATAAACTTCAATGATGTGTTCATCTAGTTAAGAATTCTTTAAAGATTGCTTATTTCTAACAGCTGAAATTACAAAGATCAAAGCAACTAATTTTATTTTAATAGAATAACAAAATGAAGAAAATCAACTATATAAATTAGTCAATAAATGTCGTCCATTTAAAATACATTATGGATAAGATAGTTACAATAGTTTTTAAGAATGGATTCTTGATTGTGATTAAACAGTACCTTTTTCTTGGGAATAACCAAGTCATTCATTTAAACTAAGAGTTAAATTCGTTTACAATCAAAAAATTGAACATATTGAAATAATAGACTTTTAATAATAAGAAAGTTTATAAGAAATTCAATTTTCTAATTATTTCATTTGGATTAAGTCTGAATTTTAAGGATAAACAAGAGTCATTACATTTCAATAGGTTAATGAATCTATGAGAAATATGACTACATCACATAAAAGAGAAGTTGAAGATATTCACAAATTAATTAAATTGTATATATCTCAATTAGGTATTTCTATTATCACAAAACGATAAAATATACTTCTAGAAGCTAATTATATATTTATGAGTGGTATAGAATTAGGAATCATGCAAACTGAAAATTAGACAACTGCATAATTGAGAGTTAAGTTTTTCCACATTGATAACAATACATCCTTGGATACAACTACACCTGTCTTGATGACTTTGAGAAGATACTATTAAGTTACACATGATAGAAATTACTACTTTTTAGAAGCCAGTAGTTCCTTTGAGCATTAAGTCAAGGCAATTCTATTATATAATTCTATTAAGATATATATTTAACCCTTTTAATTATAGTTTGATGAAGAATATATTCAAGTTGTTCTTGAAACTATCAAAGAAATCAAATCAAATCTATAAAACTAATTTGAATTTGAATATAATGGATCACCACACTCAATTAAATCCTTATGTTTCTAAACTCCACAATAAAGACATTATTATTTAGAATCTATGTTTTAATAAAATTCATCCAATCCTTGTATTGTTTGGAAATCTCTTGAAATTAATAGATCCAAGAAATAAGTTTATATTAAGGAGTTTGTTCTCTCTAAAATTGATTTACGATTCTCATTTCATAAGAGATTTAGAACAACTATATAATATGATGAAAATGTTTTCAATCTTTTTTCTACAGCTATTGGAGCTACAGTCTAAAATTTTAATGAAGCTGAAATCATTCTAGATTGTTTTAGATTAAGATCAGTATATGATTCTAAGGAAATAGTACTTTAATCTATATAAGATCATTATAAGAGTGAGATTATCAGATCTATTTTAAAAATTATTGGTTCTATTGAAATTATTGGTAATCCAGTCAAATTTGTACAATAGATAACAAATGGTGTTGTTGATTTTGTTGAGATGCCAATATAAGGCTTAAGACATGGTCCACTTGAATTTGGAGTTGGATTATGTAAAGGTACAGGATCTCTTTTAAAAAATACAGTTGCTGGTGCTTTTTATTCTGTCAATAAAGTAACTGGATCAATTAGTGCAAGTGTTTCATTACTATCAATGGATGATGATTATTTAGAAAAACGTAGAATATTTATGTTGAAAAGACCTGATCACGTTTTGGATGGATTATCTTAAGCAGGACATTGTCTCTATAATGGTTTTTCAAATGGTATTACTGGAGTAGTCACATAACCATATCAAGAAACTTAGAAAGATGGTATTAAAGGATTTGTTAAGGGAACTCTAAAAGGACTATCTGGATTGGTTGTTAAACCTATAGCTGGAGTATTAGATGCTAGTGCTAAAGCAGCTGAAGGAGTGGTTTCAACTGCAACACATTTTGATGATAAACCAAATGATACTAGAATTAGATTTCCAAGAATTTTCTATGAGAAATCTAAATATTTTTAAAAATATATTGCATTAGATGCTCAAGTAGTTAATTTTTTAATTGGATTTATGAATGGAAAATATAAGGATATTGAACTCATTACTTGCTTTTATTTAAAAGAAACTGAAACATAACTTAATAATATGTAAAGATAAATATTATCAGCTACTAAATCAATTCATGAATGTTTTAAATATACTTCTAAAATTCTTATATTATCATATTAATATATTTTAGTACTAGAGAACATGACACTTATATAAGAAATTATTACTAAAGAAATTTTAGAAATATAAGAACCAATAAATGGATTTTTAAGACTCTTAATTGAAAACAAATAAAATATAGAAATTAACATATTATTAGATGAAATTGAATTAAAAAAAGCAACTACATTATTAGACTATTTACATTAATAAGTCAAAATTTAATATGATTGAAAAATCTTATCTTTATTTTATATTATTTATTATCATTCAATAATTTTTGACTCACTCAAAATTATACTTATCAAAATTGTTATCTTTATAAGCTCTTGAGTTAAAAAAGAAATAAAATATTCTGTAAGTCCAATGATTTTCTCATTTTGATATTTATCAATCCTAAAAAATATGAGTGTATTATATGAAATAATTAAAGTTGATGATAAGATAATGTCAATCTCCATCCATAAAGAATTGGATAAAATAATATCTAAACAAAATATATAAGATTCTTAAATTTAAACTAATACTATAAATATTCGTACAAATAGATTAGTTAAATTAACGTATTTTAACAACCAACAAGTAATTAGATATAAAATAAGGAAACAACTTCCACTAACTGCTACAATGAGATCTAATTTATTATAATAATTTACATGAGCTTTTTGTTGTTCCAAGTTTTATTAAACCATAAAAGATTATCAATAATGTGCTTTATTGAAGAATTTTCTCCAATATAAATAAATTTATCTGGAACAATTAGTAAAAGATGTTAAAAATTATCATAATTATCCAAAGTAAAAAACATTTAATTTCGACTGCATCGACTTCGTTAGCCAAATTTTACATTAAGGATGAATTAAAGGTAAGTGTATAAATAACCAAATAATATTCGACTAACTACCAGAATACTTTACAAGTAATCTCATATTTTAATTTTTTATTTTAATCATCTTAAAAATCAGATTGCTAATCTTCTTACTAACTTGATTCATTGTTTTATAAATTTCTAATATTAAAGGCACTGTTTTATTCAACCCGTCTAATAAATTTTTTGTGAACAGATTCTTCTTCCTCATAAACTCCATTAATTTTTTAAGGTTCATCAGATGTCTTCTTCATTATGAAATCAAACAATTTTTTTTATCAATATTTACATTATCAAAACTTTGTTTAATAAATTATATTTTTTATACCATTTGTCTAACTTTTAATAAAAACTTATTGCTTTCTTAAGATTTTATTTTACACCATACATTTGCTATATGAAATAACTATCTTGACAATTAGCCAATTTATTTTTAATTTATAAATATTTTCTTAAATTATTAAAATAATAGTGAATGGAACATTTTTATGTAGGAAAATAAATAATTACTAAAAATTATCAATTAAAAATGTAATATCAGTTTTTCCTTAATTAAAGTATTAAATAAGTTTACAATTCAATGTGAATCTAACCTACCTGTTTGTCAATTATGTTGTGTTCCTATGATTTATCTAGAATAAAAATTATTTTGAGTTATATATTAAATAATAAATTAATATAATATTGAGATAAAGAGTTAAAAATATAATGCTAATAATAATCAAATGGAAAATAATTTATAATTCTGATTTATTAATTTTTCATAATTACTATATTATTCATATTATTTAATTTATTTTTTATTAATAATGAAAATGACATCATTATTAATTGTAGCTTTATAAATATATACTTCATTGGCAGTCCTAGGAATTGATCTTAGTGCTAAACATGATGATTTCTAATGCTTCAAAAAGAATGGATATCAATTTGCTATTACAAGAGCATACAGAAGTTATGGAGCTGTGGATCCAGATGGTTATTAAAATTTAGAAAAAGCAAAAGCAGCAGGATTAATAGGTGATGTCTACTTCTTTCCTTGCAAAGGAAGTAAGTATATAATTGTATATAATTATTTTAGAAAAAACAGCAAAGTCTTAAGTTTAAGAATTTGTGTAGCTTTTTGGCAATTAATAAACATAAGTTTATGGAACAGTTTGGGTTGATGTTGAATCTAATCCTAGTACTGATTGTGGATGGACAAATGATTATGGAAGCAATTGTAATTTTCTATAGGAACTTGTTAATGAATTGAAAGGTAATAGTCAATCTGTTGGAATTTATGCTTCATAATATATGTGGACATCTATATTTGGTAGTGCATCAGCATGTTCTCACTTTAGTTCCCTTCCATTATGGTACCCTCATTATGATCAAACACCAACTTTTGATGATTTTCCTAAATATAAATTTGGTGGTTGGACTACTCCCAGCATCAAGTAATATTCAGGTACAACTTCAGTTTGCGGTGTAGGTGTTGATTTAAATTATTATAAGTGAAAGAAATAATATATTTATGATTAAATTTTTATCGAATATTGCATGTTTTTAATAAAATATACTGAGACTTTAGATCATGATATTGATGATATTGATACAGTTATTAGTTTATATTAGACTCATGAGAGATTAATTACAGAAAATCTAATAAAAATTGTATTACCTTCTTTTAAAAAAATTGATTTTTTTGAGAAACATAGACCATAAGAAATTTCTTTAGAAGATTTCATTCGTAAGGCAATTCCTTACTTCAGATATGAGGAATATTCCTTTGGTGAAATTCTATATAATATTGGAGATGAAAAATAGAAATTGTTTATTATATTGGAAGGATCTGCAATGGAATTTATTCCTATTAAAAAAGAGCATTTGATTGTTTAATAGTGTAGTACACCAGTTAATTAAAAAAGTAAAAGAGCTGCCCGTTAGATTGAAATATGGGAACTTGTTATGCGTATGTAATATCATAATCCTCTTTATTGGAAAGGTGGATAAGTGTAGTTCCAATAAGTAATTCTATTAATCTTCATCCTAGAATGAAACTTATAAAGTAGGGTAACATTTTGGAGATCTATCAAATGATGAAAATGCTAAAGAGACTGTTATTGCCAGTAGTTAATTATTATGTATTTCAATGAAAAAGTCAGACTATAAATTATTATTTGGAAGAGAATTAGCTTAAACAAGAAAAAATTTAGATTTCTTTAAAAATTTATTTCATAATGTTAGTGAAAATAAATTGTTGTAATTTATTAATTTTACAAAATAAACATCATATGAACCAAAATAATAATTATGGTAAAAAGGAGATGAACCAAAATATATGATTTTTGTAATTGATGGTCTTGTTGAAACATATCATTATGAAAATATAAATATAGGTAAATCATTAATAAGAAGATAAAAAATATCAATAAGAACATAATCAACTGGATGTTTGGTTGGAGCAGAGGAAATAATTTAAAAAGTATCAAATCGTGAATATTGTTGTTAATGTATAAGTAAAACAGAAGCATTTCTTATTAGAAAAGAATAATTAGCAATTTTCACATAGAAATTTTATGATATTTTTCGTTAAATGAACTTAATATTATCCAAAAATATTTAATTAACTACAGAAAGAAAGAAAGAGATCTATAAAAATAATCCCTCAAGAGATTGTAGAAGATTATCTCTATAAAATACTCCTGATCAATAAATATCTACTGAAAATTATTTTACTGAAAATTATTTTTGTACTCCAAGAAAATAAACATAAGATAAAATAAGATCTTCTATTAAAGGTGCATTAAATTTAAAAGAAATTGTTAAAGAAAATTAATAAATGTCAAAATCTTAATCAAATTTTGCTAATACTATATATCCAATAGAAAATTAAGAACATTATGAAATTATGTTAAGGTTCATATCTAATGCACCATCAAATTAAAATACTCAAATTTAAAATTCTGGTTAATTTCAACATTGTTTAGATAAAATTAAAAAAAAAGTTTATTCTAAAAAGTTCAATTCCCAAAAAAAATTTATTCTCTCACCATAAATTTAGGTTTCTAAAATTAATTGTTAAGATGTAAATTCTTAACCTGTTTCTCCTATGCCATTAGATAATGCTATATTAAGAAAAAAACTTTAATCAAGATGTTTTGAAAATAATTCAAACAATAAATCAACAACTACTTAAATATTTAGTGCAAGATAATCTTAAATAGACTTTGAAACTCATTAAATTGAAGATACTAAAAGTTGTGCTTAATTTCAAAATTTCTTTTAAATTACTAAACCTTTATTTTTTGTAAAATCAAGGGATGATCGATTATTATCTTAATAAACAGATAGAAAATGAAATATGATTTATAAAAAATAGAATTTATTTATTCATATTTCTATATTTATAATGTAATTATAGATATTTTTATTAAATTTATTTCTTACTTATTGTAAATTTTAGAATATATATTATAAATAAATAATTTGAACATGAATTCAATATTATAACTATTTAATAGTTTCTTAATAAAAATCATATTATTCTATTTCAATTACAAATTTGTTAATTTATTTTTTATTTTAATATTCTCTAGTACATATAAATTAATAATAAATATTAACAAGAAATATGAAATTATATCAGATAAGCTTTTTTTATTTGAAGAAATTCTTCAATTAACGAGCTTAAACAATATTTGTTAAAGTCATCAAAATCAATGTAACAACACTAAAGATTATAATTTTATATGAAATTTTGCTAACATTTGAAAATCTTGTTGCTTGTCTTTCTTCTATTTCTTTTTATTCTTACTAGAATTAATATCAATTAATAATTTACTTCAACTGAATTTATTAATCCATTCAATTTCTTCAAGTGTATTTCTATTGGTTTTAAGTCTTCCTTTTAAGCTACTAAAGAAAAATCCTAAGCATCCATTCCTGTAGCTAATGTAAAATTAAAACTAATTCCAGCATTTGCTAAGTTATGTATACAAAATTAATAATTTTCTTAAGTGTTATTTGTTGTAAATGAAAATTTATGTAATTCAAGACTATGAGCATACTGTAAAATATTATCATTCTTTTTTTATGGTACCTTATTGTTTATGATTATTCTTCATACATGTATTTTTAATGAAAATTGACTTGAATTTGCTGAAACAGAACCAACAACCAAACTATTTTAACCAATAATTTCTCCAAAGCATTTCAACTCCTTTGATCTTAATGGGAATGTAAATTGTATGCCTAAAACTCCATAAAAAAGAATTGCAAATAAAGAATACATTACGTGTAAAAAATTAATAAATAATAATAATTAATCAAATTAGTTATATAAGTTATTTTGCTATTAGCTCATTTTTTTCATCTTCATTGATTATGAATGGTTTACCATTATCATCTAAGAGTTACATACCCATTTCTGCATCACATAATTACTCTCCAGAATATGTACAAAGAAGAGTCTTTTATTGTTTACCTAAATAGAGCAATCCTATGATAAATATAATATAAATTACTTCGTTTAATTGCTTAATGTAAAGGTGGTATATTTTCTTATTATTTCTTTATAGCACTTTCAATAAATGAACTTTTAGTATTATTCTCATTTAAAAATCTATTAATATTCATTAATTATGATGATTTAAAAGGATTTTTAGGTGATTAAATTAAACTTGATTTTCCATTTTGAGTTAATAATTCAATACTTTAATTAGAATCTAAAATTGAGTTTTCATTAAAATCAGCAAAATCTTCAATACTAATTTCAAAAGGATTTGAATTAGGTTATTTTTTAGATTTTTTGGAAACACTCAAAGGTCTATTTTTAGTGAAATTTAATCCAGCACTTGTTGAATTAGTGTAAAAACTATTTGATTTTATATTTTTTGGAGACAATATTTATTGTACATAAGGAGATTTTAAAAATTTATTATTCGAAGATATTTTATATAGTTCTTATTATTATTTTTAAATAATTAATTAAGAATCTTAAATTTCTTTTTTAAGTTCATCATTTTATTTAGAGATTATTTATAATTTTTCATCTTTTTCTTAAACTTTTAATGTGAATTATTATTGAATTTAAAAAAATTTAGAAACTAGAGAATTATATTATTATTTGATTTATTAAGAATGTTATTTTGCAATTTATTAACTTTAAGAATTATCTTATACCATTTCTAAAATTTCTTATATTTAACTTTATGCTTATTGATTTACCTGAAGTAATGAATTATTAATAATTATTTTAATTTTATTGATTTCCTCACTTTTATCTGAATTGATTTTATCAATTATTTAATGAGCCTATGATAATTAAGTTTAGTATTATTATTATAAATTTGAAATTGATTAGGCAATAATTTGTTCAGCCATATTTTTATCCACTTTTTATTCTAACTTTTTTTATAAAATTGAAAGTTCCTATTGAAAATGTTATTCATCCTAATTTAATCTAATTGTTGTATTTGATAATAAGTTTTTTGAAAAATGTTCATTTTATTTTAATTTATTTTCCATATCTACTTTCATTTCATCAATTTAGGAATTGATATTACTTTATAAATTGAGAACTTTTCTATCTATTTCTTACATAAAATATGAAGTGTATTCATTAAGTTAAATATTTAAATCTATTCCTTTGATTTGTAGTTAAATTTCCTCTTAAAACTTTTTGAATTCTATATCAAATTTTTACTTTAATACAGTGTAATCTTGAATTTTTTCTGATAGCTTATTTTGCAATTCAGATATCTATTCTTACAATTCAATAATAGCTTAATTTTTTTAATTGATTTCTTCAATATATTTTTAATGTTGCTCTTATTAAATAGGAACATATTCAACACTTGTGGCTTTTTTATGTTGAATAGGATCACTATTAATAGGTAAATTTTGAAATTAATTCACATGAATATGTTCTTGATGAGGGATTCTTGTGATAGCAGTTGGACTTTAAGCTCTAAGATAAATAATATTAAATACCTTGGTTATGTAGGAAAGTAGGTATAGGTCATAGGTTGTGTCTCATGATTTGATGATAAACATCTAATAACTTATCTAGTATCAGGTGCATTCTTAGTAGAGTTAGGTCTTGGTAGTCTTTGATCATAAACAATAATTTGGTTTGGAATTGTACAAATTGGTGGTCTTGATGGTTTCATTATTAACGAATTAAACAAAATATATAAAATAGTACAAAAAAATCAGAAATTATCAGTGCCTATTGTTATAAACATTAAAGAATTAATTTATTCAATAAAATATAAATACAATATATTAATGAGAAAAGGAAAGAAAACTCTTTAAGTTGAAGAGAATGGTATTCGTTCTATTGTTAATTAAAATAAATAAAGTATATCAGATACTATCTATGAAAAATTGTCATACTGCATTAACTCAGGTTAAAATATTACTCCTAATTAATTTGCCAGAAAATGGTTAACTTACAATTCAACATTTCGTACAGATAATATTTTGGCTGGTTAAATTGATTAAACTTAGAAAGTAAGTTATGATGTAAGAAATTAAAATTACAATTACCATTTAATGAATGCTAACTTGTTGAAAAGTAATAATTGGAATTACAAGATTATGAGTAACTCTATATAATTAATAATTAGCTAAATTTGCATAAAATGCATTATAAAAGGATGTAGACACTATACATTTGTTAGGTTATATGTAAACAATTTTGTAAGGGTACTTTTCTTAAGTAGATTAATCTATGATTACAAAAGTTATACATTTTGAACATTTAGGGCCTCTTTAAGCTTTTTTCTATACAAAAACAGATAAAAATATAAATCTTTTCTGGGAAGTAGCAATTGATAAAATTCCAAAGATTGGACGATATTCTAATATTTAGTAAGAATTATTAGGTTATGATTATATACATACTATTACATTCATAGATTGTAGATATGATGCCAATATTGATAATAATGCTGGAAAAATTATTACTTCTTATTATTAAGATGTATAACATGCTATCCATAGATAAGATTATTAATCTGTAATTACATCTTCAAATCATTATTAAATTAAGAAAAATAAGACTTCGGAATATCTATTTTCAATTGAAGCTAATGATTTAGGTAGTATGCATGGGGAATTGGTATATAGAACAAGATCAAATGAAATTATTAAATGGTTACCTCACTCATTTCCTACTGTTTATTTGACTAAATAAGAACAAAAATCATTTATTTATGATGAATCACTATAAAGATGGGTTAGTAAAGATTATGAAATTATTTAATAAGCTAAGAAAATGAGAGAATATTAAGCTAAAATTAATAAAGATTTATTAAGAAGATATGCTGATTTTTCATCAGCAGCAAAACTTGTTGAATTATTGCAAAGAGTTCCTAATTTTAAAATAAAATTAACAGAAGAAGAATAATAGGTTGTTGGATCAGATGGAAATGTAATGGTTATTGGTAGAAGTGGAACTGGAAAGACAACATGTTCAATTTTAAGATTATTTGCAATGGAAACATTATTTAAATTAAGATTAGAATTATATAAATAGAAACATGAAAATGTACTTTAAAATTATAATTATGATGATTAAGAAGTAAATAATAATATTGGATTACATTGTGTATTTGCAACTGCTAGTCCTGTATTGACTACAGAAGTAAAAAGATATTATGGAAAATTAACAGCATAAATTAAGGCTGAATTAGAAAAGAAGAAATAGAAAGACAGATTAAAACGTTTATAAGAATAATAAGAAGCTTAAAAATAATCAATTGATAATTAATTTAATTAAAGTACAGTTTAATTTGTAGATGCTAAATAGGATGAAGAAAAATATTTTGAATAATAAATTGGAGGAATCTAATTATAAAAAGAGTAAGAAGGATTTTAAGAAGAATTAAATGAAGAAGATTGGGAATAAGAGGAAGAAAAATTAAAATAAGAATTAAATGCATTTCATTCATTTGCTGATATGAAAGATTAAGATTTTCCAGCTTTTCTTACAATTAAAAAATTAGTATTATTAATTGATGGATCATTAGCAAAACCCTTCTTTTCTCGTACTTAAGATAATAAAATTGTTAGTTCTGATACTCATGCTTAATGGAGTACTGAAAAAACTGGAGTCATATTTATAAACACTTATAAAAAAGATGATGATTAGGATATTGAATATGATGAAGAAGATTATGAAGCCTTATTTGAAGATGATGAATAAAATGTTGATGATTTGGATGAATAATAACTTGAAGAAGAATATTAAAGACAATTATACTTAATGAATAAACCTTAATTATAAGCTAAAGTTGATAGTAGTAAATCTAAACTCTCTTAAGAAGTTGATTTTGACTTTTTTATTGATAACTTTTGGTATAGCAAAAACAATAAATACTAAAATAGTAATTTAAATCCATCATTTGTCTGGACTTAAATATACTCTCATCTTAAAGGGGCTGCAGCTAGTCACACATATCCAGGACATTATTTACCAAAGAGAGTATATTTGAGATTAAATAAAAATGATCAACTTTTTGAAGATATCTTTGAATGTTATATTTTATATGAAAGATGGAAGATTCAACAAGGATATTATGATTTTATGGATGTAGTTAATCATATTCTTGTTTAATTAGTCTATGGAAGATGTAATCTTATACCAATACATTATCTTATGATTGATGAATGTCAAGATTTACCTCATGCTGTTTTACTTTTGTTATGTAAAATAACTGAATAAGGTTTATTTTTTAGTGGAGATACAGCTTAAAATATTGCAAAGGGAGTTGGATTTAGATTCTAAGATTTGAAATCCCTTTTTAAAAAACCTGAAATTTCATACAATGCTAAATAAAATGATTTGACAATCCATTAACTTACAATCAATTTTAGATCTCACAATAATATTTTATAATTAGCAAATAGTTTAGTATCCATATTAGAGATCTTCTTTCCAAATACAATTGATAAATTGAAAAAAGAGAGATCAAATATATCAGGTCCAAAACCAATATTAGTAAATGGTGATAAAGAAGCATTGTTCTACTTATTATCAGGAGAAACTACAGATCAAAAATAATAAGTGGGAGAGAGATTACCTATTGAATTTGGTTGCAATTAAGTTGTTTTAGTAAAAGATCAAGAATCAAAGAAACATATTCCTTCTATCTTATAACATGCTTTAGTATTAACTATTTATGAAGCAAAAGGATTAGAATTTGATGATGTTATTTTATATAATTTCTTTTAAGATCATTTCATAGGAGATAGTCAATGGAAATTGTTATAGACATGTGATGTTGTGGATGAGGAAATTTCTAAAGAGAAATTTAAGGATGGTTGTACTTAGCATTAGACTTTAAATGATGAAGCAACCATTTTTACAGGTTTTGAGGAAAAGAATGGAAATATTATAATGAAAAGAATCATAACATAAAACAAATATTATGATGAATTAACTTATAATTATAGTGCTTTATGTAATGAGATTAAATAATTGTATGTTGCTGTAACAAGGCCTCGATAAAGATTAATAATATATGATGAAAATTTATAGGCTAGATAATAAATATAAAATATTTGGTAAAAACTTAATTTGGTTGATCATTTTGTTGGAACAAAAGAAGAGGATAAAAATGTTGAAAGATTTGCAAAATAAACCTCTAAGGAAGAATGGAAAAAATAAGGTTTGAAGATGTTTAGGAATAAGTATTATGAATAAGCTGAAAAATGTTTTGAATAATCATAGGATGAATTATTATAAATAAAAGCAAGAGCATTCAAATTTGCAACAGAAGGAAATACACTTATATAAAAATATTCCTAATATTCTTCTAGTACTATGAAAAAGAAGGAAAAAAAATAGCTTTTAGCATAAACAAAATAAGAATAGAAATAAAAGTTTACTGAATCAGCTTAACTTTTCTTAAAATTACAGAATTACAAATAAGCAGCTTAATGTTATTATTCTGGTGAAATGTATTAGGAAGCATTAACCATTTATGTTGAATAGTAAATGTTTAATGAGGCTGGAGAAGCAGCTTATAAATGTGAAAAGTATTCTGAATCAGCTGAATATTTCTTGAAATCTCATGATTTTATAAGAGCAGTAGATGCTTACGAAAAAGCTGAGTCTTATGATGATATATTTAAAGTACTTCATTAATTAAGAGATAATATACCAGTTGAAACTAGATCAGCTTTTCTAAAGAAATATTTGCCAATTGTTTTAAATAAGATGACAAATTAGATTGGATAACTTGAATAAGTTTAGGAATAGCAAACAAAAAATCAAGAAAAGAAACCACTTGTTATAGAGGAAAGTTCTGATGAAGAAGAAGATGATGAAGATGAATAAGAAGTAATTAAACCTTAATCAGAATAGATTAAAAATGAAGAGGTAAATGAATAATAATAATAATAATAATAATAATAATAATAATAATAATAATAATAATAATAATAATAATAATAATAATAATAATAATAATAATAATAATAATAATAATAATAATAATAATAATAATAATAATAATAATAATAATAATAATAATAATAATAATAATAATAATAATAATAATAATAATAATAATAATAATAATAATAATAATAATAATAATAATAATAATAATAATAATAATAATAATAATAATAATAATAATAATAATAATAATAATAATAATAATAATAATAATAATAATAATAATAATAATAATAATAATAATAATAATAATAATAATAATAATAATAATAATAATAATAATAATAATAATAATAATAATAATAATAATAATAATAATAATAATAATAATAATAATAATAATAATAATAATAATAATAATAATAATAATAATAATAATAATAATAATAATAATAATAATAATAATAATAATAATAATAATAATAATAATAATAATAATAATAATAATAATAATAATAATAATAATAATAATAATAATAATAATAATAATAATAATAATAATAATAATAATAATAATAATAATAATAATAATAATAATAATAATAATAATAATAATAAATACTTTAATAAAGTGAAGAATAATAATAAGAAAAAATTATTGAGTTAAGTAGTTTATTAATAAAATCACTTCCTGATTAATCATAACCATCTATTTTAGTTAAATAAGAAAGTATGAATAATAATTCTGAAGATTCTTAATCATTTTCTGTATAAAATACTGAAAGCTTTTAGGTTGAATAGATTAAAGATTAAAATAGTAAGATAATAAGTATTGCAGAATCAGAATCATTTTAAGTAGAAAAAACACTAAATGAGGAAGATTAGGAGGAATAAAATTTTGAACATTTATCACACTTTGATCCAGAAGATTAATGGTTAAAAAATGATAATAAATCAATTATTGAATCTATTGCATCCAAAAAAAGTGAACAATCAGATTTTTCTGCTTTTTCATATGCTTAAATTTATACTAATCCAAATATTTAATTTGTAAAAACTAAAACTGATATCTTTATTTAAGATAAAATAATGTAATAAATAATAAAGTATATTTCAATGTTTTCAGATGAATTCAAATATTAATTATATAATTAAAGAAGTAAATCTGCATAATTAAGTAATAAATAGATTGATTAACATGAATTTGATTATATGGTTGATTTCATCTTAGATTTAGATTTGGTTGATATCTCCTTTATTTATTTGGTTTTAGATATTTTAGAATAATTCAAAAATTACAAATTATGCATTTTTGTTTGTAATAGATACAAATTAGCTGATCAATTAGGTAGATATTTAGTATCAATTGCAACCACTTATTCACCAATTGCATTACAATCAGCTAGTTTAAATGTTTAATATTTAATTAATGGAAAATAAAGATAAGCCTAAATTGATAAAGGTTTAGTTGCAGCATTTGCAGTTCATAATGTTTTTGAAAATATTAATCCAGAATTTATAACATTAAAATTTAATGATACTAAACTTACACCATAAAATTCATTGGGTTTAGAATGTTATTCTTAATTACTTTTATTAGGATTTTGGAAAAAGACTGCTTATTAAATGGATGTTTAAAATTCATTATTAGTTTGTAAATTATTTATGGATTTCAAAAATTGGAGATTTATTTATTATAGCAATTTAACACATTAAGTTACTAATAAAATTGTAGAAAATGAACAAAATGATAGAGATTTAGCATAGATCTTATAAACAACATTAATATTAATATAAAAGAAGCTTGATATTTGTTTCTCAACAATGGTAAGAGGAGTTGATATGTTAATATTTTCTTATCCAAAAGATTAATAAGAGATGGATTTTGCAATCATTACTTTAGAGTAATATTATAGTGAATTAATTACACAACTTGTTTTAAATCAAAAGGCTCCCCAAGCTTTATTTTATAGAGCTAATACTTTAGATACTCAAAAAACTATTAAAATTGAAATAAATCCAAAGTAGAATCTACCTAAAATGTATTCATTGAGTGAAGAAGTACTAAATTGTTTAATAAATAAAATAGAAGTTCCTGAAGATATTTTAAATAAAATGTCTGATATTGTACTTGATTACAAGAATTTACATGATGATTTAGAAATTTATCAATCTGTATTCCTACTTTTATTTTATTTCTAATATGTTGTACATAATTAAGGATAAGTTAAAACACCATCTTGGATCACTTCATTAGATGTTAAAACATATTCTAAATTAATTAGATCTTTTAGATTTATTAATAAAGTATTGAATACAAATGAAGATTGTTTATAAAGGTTATAAAAGATATTTACTAGAAGTGTATTATTTTACTTTAAAATAAGATAACCAGATAATGTTGCTTTACTCAAACCATATTGTAATTCATTAATAATTCATCGATCATCTGTTATAATATAGAGTTTAATTGAAAATAGACATAGTTTATAATTAAAAGGAAATAAAATTGTTTTAGATGATTATTATTTTGTAGATATTGATTTTGAATTCATTAGTGCCCCAAGATCTTCTGTGATGTATTTGATCACTAAAAAATTAAGCAATGAATTAAGTTCTGTCAATTTTTTAAGAAAAAATATTTTTATAGAATATCATTTTGATCAATTGTATCCACATGAATATGAGGATCATTTTGAAAATTTGAGTATCTATCTTTATAACAAGTAAAAGTTAACTTATTCACTTAATAAAACTTAATAATTAAGAGAAAACACTAATTTATCAACAGTAGATGATTGGATTAAGAAGGAATAATAATAAATATATCAAAAAATATCAGAAGACTTTAAAATGAAACATGGATTTTAATTTGAAAAAATAGAGGATTATATTGATGTTAAATTCTTGTTTGAGAAGCATAAAGGTCCATTTAATCAATAAATTTATCTTTTGAAAAATCCTTATTTAAAATGTTTATCATCAGAATCTAGACATTATATAACAAATTGGGCTTTAAAAAAGATTAATAAATAGTTCAATGATTCTTAAACATTCCATTGTGCAATGGTAAAATTTATTCTCTTATTAAATTATGCTGATAATAATCACATCACTTATTAATACTTAAATCATAAAATTGAATAAGGATAATGTGATAAATATGAACCTTATCTTTAATATTTAGAATGTTTAATATGTAAAAAGTTTAATGTTATATCTGATGCAACAGAACTTTACTTTTCCTACCAAGAAGTAAGATAGGATTTAATTACTCCAGATGAATAATATTGTCAATTAACATATTTATTTATAAATAATTTAGTTGGATATTTACTAAGAACTAAGAATAATTGTCAAATCAAAATTCCAAATAGATACTTTATTTATTTTGATAAGATTATTTAAGAAAATGAATAGTCATATTTATATGAAACCAACTTTCATCCTGTTTAAAATTAGAATGCACTAGCAAAAATAATAGAATAATTGGCAGAATTATAAAGAAATTTACCTTCAATTTACAGTTTTAAAATAATGTTGCTAATCTACACATTAGTACTAAACTTAAATGATGTTAAAGTAAATGTAATAAATAGTATTAATTAAATCATCAATGATCTAACTATTTAAGAGGAAGTAGATTAATATAATTAAATTATGAAAGCAGTCAATTTACCTTAAAAATAAAGAGCAGATGTTCTAACTATTAATTCAAATGCTATCAAATTATTCTTTGCATTAGATGTTAGATTGTACTCATTAAATGTTGTAAATAAATTAACAGATTAAACTATTGAACCTGCATATTAAAGTTGTTTAGATGAATGGTCAAATTTATAAAAGAAAAGTGAAAATTTAGAAAAGTAAACAAAGAAAATAATTGCTGCATTCAAGGAAAAGAAGAAAGTAGAAAAATTCTTTAAACCTTATTAATTTGGATTAGGTGAGTATTAATTGCCAAGGAAACTAAAGACATCCAAATATGTTGATATAATTAATGAATTTTCAAGAGTCAGAAAAATCTTATTATCTACATTTTACTCAATGTTATTGACAAATTCAATTGATTTCCACTTTATTTCTTAAAAATTGAAACATCTTGAACAAAAAGAAGATGAATTCTATAGTTTATGGAGAAAATACTATTCTAAAAAGATGGTTAAATAAGAATTCATTGATAATTATGATGAATAATATAAGAATGTTTCAATAATAATTGATACCTTATTGGAATGGCAAAGAAACAATGTGACATTTGAATAAAATGCTAATAAATTACTTGAAAGAAATAGAAAATTGTTAGCCTTAAAATGGATGAATAATAAAGCAGGTCTTGCATTATAAAAGATTCAAAAGAGAAAAAAGGGATTAAAGAGATAAAAGTTATAAGAATAGAAGAAATTATTTATGAAACTATTCTGAAATAATAATTATTTATATATAATAATTACATAAAATTAACAAACATAATGATAATTAAATTATTTCATTGTCTTCTAGATTGTTCAAATTAAGGATTTTTTCTTTGATTCATTATTCCAAAAAAGCTTTTGTTCATACTTTATTTGATATTAATTTCTCTAGCTTTCACTTCATCTAAATATTTGATCTGGGGATCGAAATTACCAAATTTTCTAAGTTCTGCTCTAACATCCTTTATTTGAGGTTTAGAGAGGTCTCTTGTTAATAAAATATCTGTTACGCTCTAATAGTAAAAGAACATCCTTTAAGACTTCATCATTTTGTTTTCCATCAAATGGTTTGATGAATATACCATTGTCTTAATATTAGTACATTCTCTCTGGATCAGAATCAAGTACTATAACTCTATTAAGTGGACGATTAATATATTTCAAATCTCTAATATATCTTCCTTTTTCAAACACCATTGATTCTCTACCAAAAGCACCTGCAAATATCTATCTTGTAGGATCCAATTTTTAAGTAATTTGTTATGTAAACTGCATTATAATTATATTATTACCATGGTTTCATCATCACTCAAAATTACAACTTCATACATTTTAGGTAATTTTTCAAGAAATCTCTATAAACCATTTCTTCTTTTAATTTCTCCTCTAATTATTCTATTTTCAATATATACCCAACACCAAAAACATAATCCATATGTAATAGAGTACCTGATATATTAAGTACCAATGTCTTAGGTATTTCATATCCAAATGGTAATTCAGGGATGTCAGGTAATAATTTATCAATTGCTGGTTTAGTCATAAACTAAAGATATAATTAACTGTTACATCATAAAATGCTTAATATTGATCTTAGCAATATTTGGCAGCATCATTAATGTGCTTTTAATAGCCTACACATAAATTAGTATTTTACCCAATTCCTATGTTGGATCAGTTTTATAATTATTTAGATATAAATTATAGCCAAACAATGCTGATGTTGTCCACCAAAATATCCTTGAAAACAATCTAAAGTATGAAAATGCTTTCTCTTTATTCTCCAATGTTGGATTAGCCTCTTCTGCTTCTATAGTTCTCTCATCCCATTCATCCTACTACTCATTTTGTTTTTATTGTTATTAACTAAACTTATATCTTGGGAAACGTAGTAGAGTTAATGATCTAATTGAATATTTGCTTAGCATCCGTAATTAAAATATAAAATTTAAAATAAATATATGTTCAATTTTATCCACTTTATTTGATATTCTGATATTATTATAAATACCATAAAGTGATTAATCAACATTAAAAATCTTAAACTTATATAATATTCTACTTCTATTTGTATACATTCAATATAATGTTCAACTTTTTCTTTATGATATTAAATTATGAATCACTCCTAAATTTTAAATATATATCTAATCAATAATCTTATTAATTAACAAAAATAATTGAATATTAATATATCATAATAAGTTTAAAATAACAATTATATATTACTAAATGTTTATTCTCATTTTTTATTTGGTTTTTTACCTTACTTTTTAAGTTCTGCCAATTTTTCTGCCTAAAAGTTTGGATTACCTGAAGCCTCATCAAGCATATCATCTGCAGCACTTGTATCTATTCCTTCAATATTTAATTATTAAATTTGATCAACACATTTCTATAATGTATCAATATCAAAATTTTAAAGGGCTGTATTAATTTTTTCTTGAATAATTGCTATCTTCCAATTATTGATTACTTATTTTGCAGCACTCACTAGAATAGGATCTAATTGAGAAGGATCAGCAATTAATTTTTCAACATCCTCTGGATTTCCTACTTTTTCTTATTTACATAACTATTATTATAAATGAAAAAAATTACATCAAATAACTATTGTTCTTTTTTCATTAATTATGTTAGATCTTATTTAATAGAATCTCTTTATTAATATATTTCTGCAAGTTCTTATTTGTATGATGACCTATAAGATTAGAATTCATTAATTAAGATTTCTTTATTATCCCTATAATTTTTATATTTAATAAATACTTTTATAAAAGCTTGATTTCCTCTCTCATTTAAAGATTTCTTTAGATAATTCCAGATATTTCTTCTTTGCCCATCAAAATTCCTTCTAAAATTTCTCTTTTTTATACATCACTTCTGACATTAATTAATCCAGCATGTCTAGCATAATGATCCATTATTCTATCTTATTCTAAATGCTATAAAAATTAAGTAATTGCTTCATTAACATGATTTTCTGATTTAGGTATTTATCTTTATTAAGGAACTATATCTACAGGTGCCTCAACTTTAGTCTATTTACCCACTTTTTTATCATCTTTTTTTGGACCTTTTTTTTAAGCTGCTTACTTAGCTTCTTCTTCTCTTTACTTTTTAGTCATTCTAGGTGCATTTACAATTGCTTATTCCTCAGGTGTTAGTTCTTCTTTTAATGTAATTAAATATTTAGTTCGAGATTTTTTAGCATTAGCAGCTCTTCCTGGTTCTTTGTCTTCCCAAGATTTTTTTATAGCTTTTTCTTTGTCTTCTTTTGTTGTATCTCTTACAAGTGCAACAGTATCTGATGCAAATATAGTAGTGAACCAATATAAATTATCAGTCTCTTCTGATTTAATTTTAGCTTCTGGCCATTCTCTAAGATCAAAAGATGCTTAAATTACATAATTTTCATCTTTAGGTAATGTAATATTTGAGAGTGTGACTGAATTAATTCCATAGTTATATACAATCAAATCATCTCCATGATATAATTCTAAACGAATAAGTCTTTCTCCTTTCATTTCAGATTCAACTATTTCTAATTCTTAAGCTCCTCCTTTTGTTTATTTACCTTTTGCTACTTATTATTATTATTAAGCTTATTATCCTTCTGTTAATCTAACATAAATGCTAGCTTATGCTTCATTGGCAAATATTCTTTCCCTAAAAATAGTACCATATTTAGTTGGAACATATTTATCATAATAACGAGCAGGCTCTACATTCTCTAATTATGTAAAAGTAAATTCTTAATTGATTAAGAAATCCAATTCGAAGGTGCCTTCTTATGTATTGTATTAAGGAGTTCCTTCTAAAATAAAGTAGTAGGTAGTTTAACTTCTGAGCATCATTCTTTAAGTACCATTAATGATGGATTCACTTTCAAATAAATTCTTATGAACTCCTTCAATTGTAGTGAGCATTAAATTATTATCAGGAGGAGGTATTTCACATAATTTAACTTTAAGGAATTTTAATAATTAATTATCTGTTGTACTTTTCAATCTATAAACAAATGAACCATTATCTTTGTTAGAATTCAAGAAAACTTTGAATCTAAAATACACATAGTATTTATTGGCTTCACATGATGGGTAATCTATTTAGAAGGATTATTTCTGATAATTTTCATAATCAATTAAATAATCGAATACACTTTAAGTATTGATTTTATTATTAGATGCAAACCATATAGTGAAATTGAGTGGTGAATATATATTCATTTTGAATATATGATTTTTATTATCTAATAATAGCATTTATGAACTAACACATTAATTTAATAATTTGTAATCTAAAATTGACTCATATGTTTCTAAATCAAATCGTTATAACATAGAATATGGTCTAATTTATTCATTAAGATCTTTATCTTGAGAATATTTTGGTTAAAATCCATATAGAAATGCAACTTAAGCATTATCATCAGAATCTTGATCTCTTTAAACAATAATCATTTCAATATTATCATAATTAGCAATATCATTATCTGGATTGCTTTAAATTTGTAAAATTTGTAAATTATATCTCTTCGGATCATAAGCTATTTAAATGTAATCAAAAAGACTCAAAAATTCTTTTTCATGTACCCAAAACCCTCCTTCTCCTCTATTAAATGGTTCTTAAGCATTATTAACAGAAGAGAAATCTTCTAAAGGTTTCACAGTAAAACTATCATCAGTGTTCTTCATATTTGCTGAAACAACAGATTTATCATCTCCTTTAATTTCTGGGATATCATAATTTGGAGGTTTATTCAATTTATTAGCTATACATTTTTTAGCTATATATATTTCATCAGCTGCAAGTGGACTGAAAACAATTACTGGATCTTTACCTTAAACATCACTTTTTAATCTTAAGTATCTATGTTTAACTGGTTATTAACTAATTAAAGAAATCCTTTTTTTATCATCATCTTGTAATTTTTCTTTAATTTCTTTTTTTCTTCTTCTTAATTCTAGTTTTTCTTCTTTTGTCATTTTATTCATAGGTGTTTTGCATAAATCAAAATATTCTTATCTCAATCTTAATTCTCTATCACTCCTCTTTTGTGCATAAACCATATTAAAACCATTCTCATTCTAAAATTATTCTACAATTGAATATGAGAAACAAGTATTAAGATTTGTGTTACCTGGTGGTATTGATGGTCGAGGAATAGAATAAGATCTACTCAAACTTTCAAAAGAGAATCCTCTTTGACTTTTTCTAAACCTTTAAATTTATTGTTCATCTTCATCTTATTATATTTCTTCTTATTATTCATCTTATTCTTCTTATTAAATTTATTAATGTTATGAAGGTGAACTATTTTTATTTCTGGCAATTTCATAATTATCATATTCTTTTTTTGGATTTCTTAATAATTCTAATAGATATTCTTTCTTAGATCTATTATTTGTATTTAAATTAGATTGATTTTTATAACTATATGTAGATACAAACACATCTTTTTAGACATAATGATTATTATTCATCATATTGTCAATTACACCCCAACCACTAATAGTTTTCAAATCAATAGTTTCAGTTAATAATCCCATTAAAGAATACATTACAAATCCATCTCCAACTAAACTACCTTTACTTTGATAATCCCATAATTATAATATTGCTTTACTTATAATCATAGGCCATAATTGATTCTTATCAACACTTTGAGGCAATAATGCTTTACCATCAAATGTTGTAGGCATATGATCAGAAACTTATATTTTTCTCTCCTTTCCCATAAAATATAACTTGACTATATATTTACCATTTGGATTATATATTGGTGCTCCATCTTTTTATGGATATATCTTGCTTGATAATGATTTTTGAGTAAAACAATCTTTAATATCTCTATCCTTAATCTGTTATAATTATGATGCAATCCAACGAGAATTAGGTGGTAATGTATCATTACAAATTAAATCACTTAATCTTACATCAGATGTCATCTTTGGATTTTCATCAAATACTTCCTCTGCTTATTTTTTATTACCCTTTTTATTTTTTTATTAAGCTGCTTATTTTTCTAAAAATTCTTTTCTTCTTAATTCTACTTCTTCAGGTGTTTCCATTCTCTCATAACTCTCACAAATAGTCAATTAATGTTCAACTTCCTTTTCCATAAAATGTATTTTTTCAATTGTTTCAAGTCTAGTTGAATAATAATCATCATTCATATTATATCTATTTTCTCTCATTTCCATATAAGGTGGTTCATGTTCAGATTCTCTAACATAAATTATATATTTACTATTGCCATCTTTATCTTAAAAAATTCTTGGGTCTTCTCCAAAATGGAACATATTTGTCAGTTTCAAAATTGCACTTTGTAAGTTAAGCCTCACCCTATAGAAGATTTAAGGCTTAAACAACTTCATCACCTGGCCAATCCTCAGGGTCAGGAAATGGATGATATTCTTTTACATTTAACAATTATATAAACCTTGCATACTCTATTTGTTAATTTGTTCTGGTGCTTTAAGTGGTTTTGGATCTCTAGGTGGATTCTTAACACTCTATGGTATCACATCCTTTAATGGTGTGCCAACTCTAAATAATTATCTACCCTTTTGATCCTTTGTTGTTTTAGGAGGCATAGAAAATAATTAAATAAATAATAATACTATATATCATGTTTCCATACATATTGGCTCTCTGTTTAAGTCTCTGCATATAATTTGTTAATGGTGTTTCTGATAACATAGAGGTTATAACTTCATGTTGGCTTATAACAGTATAAGACAATCAAAAATTCAAGGTATTATATATCCTATATTATTTTTTAGACTTTTGATCATGTAGTTGATTCAGTGGCTAAGCGTTATTAACAAAATGATAAAGATAAGATTGTTCATGACATAAGAATATATATGATAAAAAAGTGTTTTGCTACTCTTCCTCTTGCTGATAGTAAATAAGTAATTATACTTGTTTAACACGCGTTTTTTAGATAATCAAAGATTTTGAAGCTGGATTATCATTTCATGTCACATATAGAGAAATAGTAAAAGGCTTCGATTACACTCATTATATTAAAGATCTTAAAAACAAGGACTTAATCCCAAATCCATAATTGGATGACACAATTTCTAGTATTGTCAAAACTCTTGAAACTGAATTTCTTAAAGATACTTAAAGTGAGATCCAATCTACAGTTCCTCCCATTGGTGTATTTGGAATGAATTTTAATTACTTAATTGTGTTTCCAATTCTTGGAGGAGTCTTTTTGACATATTTTTTGATTAAAGCATTCAGAACTTTATAAACAACTCAGAAAAAAAAGAAGTGAATTGTAATTAGATATTTTAATATTTAAATAAATGAGTAAAAAGAATACTAAGCGTAAATAAAACAACAAGATAGAGAAGGATGACGATTATAGTGACATCTTTGAGGAAATCTAACCAATTATTAAAAAAAAATCAAAAGAGCAACAATAAACAAATTAAATACCCTTTGAGTCCATTCGCAATCAAGAATAAGCCAATCTCATTCGATGTCCAATTGAATCAATCAATATTGAATAGGTTGATTAATCCCACTAATAATTTAGATTCTATAAGACATTTTGTATGAGTCTTCCAAAGAGTCCTAATACTCTAAAACTCTTAAGTAAATCCTTCTAATGGGATAGAGAGAATTGAAAGACAAATAAAAATATTACTAATTTAAATGGTAATCATTAGGACACTCTAACATCAATCGTTAGGAATATCAAAGATAAGAATAAATGCTAAAAGAATAATAATCTAAAGAAATTGCTGAAATTCAAAATAATGTTATAGCTGAATTAGGAAGAAAGCGTGTAAAAGGATTTTAATAAAGAGAAGATATCTTAGATGAATTTAGAATTAATTTTATGAAGAAAAGACATCTTACACCAGATGGACCTGTCATGGAGGAATTCTAATTTTATGTTGATCCTGAAGAGGCTAATCGTTTAAAAAGAGATTAAATATAATTGTTGGAAAAATTAATGGAAGAGTCGCATCTGATTCCAGAAAATCACCCTCCTGAATTAAAGAGATACTTTAGTTAACCAGAAAATATAGGACATCAAACACGTTATCTATAAAGAACTTAAAGCAATTATATATAAAGGTATTATTTATATATTATATTAGTAATAATGATCAACATTAGAGTGATGTTTAAAGATTATAAATATTTCCAAAATTGTAGATTGATAAAATCATTAAGGAAAAAATGGAAAATATGACACCTAAGAAAATTGAAGTAAGTGTTTCTAAAATAACCCAAGCTTGAAGGAACTGCTAAAACTTGATGAGTAAGATATTCAAGTCATTCCCAGAAATGTTAGAGTTATGCTTTTGGATTCTAAATCTGATGAATTATACACAGATAAGGATTTTTAATTAGATTAAGCTGAAAGATACATAGAAGTATTTAATTAATTAAAAGTATCATTATTATTTTTTATGTATAATTATAGAATCAAAATTTTTATGAATTGGATTTAGATAAGATGTTGGAACTTACAATTTATATTGTGAATAATACTCATTATCAACAAAAATTTAAGTTATCTGAAGATAGAAAATAAGTTACACCTAGAGAATTGCTGAATTATATTGAAAAATTATATAGATAATGAAAATGAATTATTAATTTTTGCCAAATAAAACTCAAATCATCAATAAATTATTAACATTTCCGGTATAGTCTAGTGGTTAGGATATCAGGTTTTCACCCTGGGGACCCGGGTTCAATCCCCGGTATCGGAAAAATTTTTTATTTCCTTTTTTGTATTAACTTTTACTTGAATCAAATTATTCAATAAAATTAAATGATTCCAACAAGTATTGTAGTATGTGGAGGTGGAAATGGCTCTCATGCAACTGTGGCATCTGCAGGTCGTTTTGAAAACATTTAAGTTAATGTATTTACCAGAAAACCTCAAGATTGGAAACAAGAAATTGTGGGTTTGACAAAAGGAAGTCCATGGGAATCACTTGGAAATTTTGTTGGTATGACCTTATATGTTGAATCATCAAGGAAAAATTAATAAGGTTTCTAATAACCCTTAGGATTTTGTTGGAGCAAAATTATGGATCATAGGAGGACCTGCTCATGTTCATCATGAAATATTATAGAAAATTGCTCCATTTGTAACAAAGGATTCATTTGTTGTAATTAAAATAACAATATAATCAAGGGTACATTATATGCATAAGGTGGATTTGAATGGATGTGTAGGAGCGTTTTTGGTGATAGAATCAGAACCGATAATATCACTTACTTTGGTCTTTATAATATTCCTTGGCTTTGCAAAATTTTTAAATATGGAGAATCTGTAAGAATAATTGGACCAAAAACTAAACTTTAATGTGCACTCTCAAATTTAAGCAGAAAAGAAGAACTCTTTTTATTATTGGAAAACATGTTTTAAATTCCTGTACTATAAGCACCCAATTTTTTGACTTTAACCTTAACTCCTAGCAATTAAATCATTCATCCTGCTAGAGTATATGCTGTATTTAGAGTATGATAGTTATGTTTATTTTTAGAATTGGGATGGCAAATAAGTTTTTCAATCTAGTGAAGTACCTACATTTTATGAAGATTTTGATGATTTTAGTGCCTATATGCTCCAAATTTTGGATGATGAAATCTAAGCTATCAAAAGAGAGATTCTCAAAAGATATCCTCATTTTAATTTAGATCTAATTATACCAATTAAGGAAAGAATTATTTAATAATATGGTGATTAAGTTAAAGATAAATCTAATTTGAAAACTGTATTTAGAACTAATGCTGGATATGCTACTATTTAAATACCTACTAAACCAGTTTAGGGAGGTGTTTAATTAAATACTGAAGCAAGAATCTTTTGGGAAGATATTCCTTATGGATTATGTATACTTAAAGTAATTATATCATAATATTCAATATTAGGATCTATCAGAAATGCTTGGTCTTTAAACACCTGGTACTGATAAAATGATTGAATGGCATTAAAAATTTATGAATAAGGAATATATTCAGAATTCAAGATTAAATAGAAGTCTATTAAAAGAAACAGGAGCTCCAACTAAATACGGATTGAATACAATAGAAAAAGTATTGGGTATTTAGGAGGTTTCCTAATAAATTCCCAAATTGTGAAGTTTATAAGTAGTCTAATAATAAACATAAATATTAATTAATTCTATTTATATTACTAATAGGTTTATTACTCTAAAAGCAATATTTTATGAAATAATCGACATAAGGGTGAAGAAGAGAAATATTTTGAAAGTTTTTTGTAAAATAAAATAGAATCCAAATTCTTGATTTTTTTCATTTTAGTCCTTTTATTCCTTTTAGAAATTTATATAATGAAAGAGCAGTTCAACTAAATTTTAAAAGATCTATAGTAAATGGTTAATCTTGGCAGTCTGACATACCATAAAAAGTTATATATAAAAATAATTATAATGATATAATAAAATATTAGTAATAAATCTATGTAAAATGATAATCAAAAAATTGATATTTAAATTAAGATTTTAACTATTCATAATAAAATTAATCAAGGATTAACTCATCAAAATTTATCAGTTTTGCTAATTAAAATATAAATTTAATTTAAAGAAAGTAATAATATTTATCTTGAATGAAAGGTATGCAGAATTAATCAGGAAAATCTACAGAAACAGGGTTTACAGAGAACAAAGTAAAGTTCTAACATAAATCATTTTAAGATGCACATTTAAAAATTTTATCTAATCTTGAATCTTCTATTATAGGAAAATCAATCATAGTTGAAGCATAAAGAATAATTAAAGTTTTGGATCAATTAATTTAAGACATAGAATATTGTCTATATTTAGATACTGATTTTATTACTCGGTTTTAAATAAGTAAATTTTAAAAAGATGAAAAACTTTAACTCACTGAAGATACTATTAAAATATTATAAAAATAAGCAGATCTTGAATAAAAATTTAAGCTTTATGCAAATTTAAATACAGCAATTAGTTAAGGAGAAGAAATTGAAGAATCAAAAAGAGTTGAATCAGAAAGGTTAGAACATTTACTTTAAGAAAACTTCAAGAATTTACTTAGAAGGATGTAGCATAACCCAAAAGAATTTGAAATATTAAAAAGTATGAAAAAAAATCTAAATATCGAACTAAGTGACTATTTGCATGGGGTCAAATGCTTAAGGATCCTAATTCTTAAATAATTGAGTATTACATAAGCAGAAAAGAACATTTAAATTTAATAGTTTTAAAACATTTAATCAAAGGTATATTTCACATTTAAATTAAGATAGAGGAATAAGAAAAGACAAAACTATATTTAGAATAAGATTTATTTAAATTAAAGTAATAAAACTCTGTAAATATTGAAGAGATGAAGTAATAGATAGAGAAATTAAAATAAGAGCTACAAATTTTGAAAATTCAAAAATAGTAAAATGCTGATTCCATGAAGAATTAAATAAAATCTCAATACGAGAAACTTGATAAGAATTAACAAACAAAAATAGATTAATTATAAACAGAACTATAGGTTTTGAGATCAAGATTCATTAAATTAAGAGATGAAAATACTTAAGAGGAAATTAAACTAAAGAGACTTAAGTAAATACAAGATTAAGGTTAAATTGATGGAGTATAAAATTATGATTTGATGATGGAAGAATCAACAACAAAATTAAATTAATTATAACAAGATCGCTCGAAAATAGAATAATAATTAAGAGATAGAAAATCATATTTTTTAATAGTAGATGCTCAAAAAAGATAGGAGAAAGATTTAGAAGAAAAGTTTAATAGAATCAAAGATGCTCATTATATTGAAAAAGAGAAAAAAACAGAGGCAGCAAAACACATTTAGGGTTTTTTTAAATAATATTAAAGTATCATTTCATTTTTATTTTAGCTTTAACTAAAAAGCCAAATAAACCAAGGCAGCAATGATTCAATAAATATATATATTTACAAATATTTAAAATAAATTCTAACTTTATTTTTAATTAATTTTGTTATTAATTTTTAATGATTGAATTATAATTTATATAATTTGTAATTTCAAATATGATGGTAATACAGATTAAAATAATTTAAAAATAAAGAAATAAGAAGAATAAATTTGCTATAAAAACTAATAGATGAAAAACAAAATATAAATTCATAATGTTTAAAAATAAGAATATTAAGAGTGCTAAATTTCACAATAATTTTTATTAAATCAAAATTATTGTATATCAAATATTAATTTATCTATCACGATAAAGTTTTTCTTTGTAGTTGTTAATTGAATTCCATTATTATTCACAAATTTTTAAAGACTATTGTTGTGACTCAATTATGTATAATATTCTCTTTAAAACAATTTTCTATCAAGAATGCTTCTATTAATAGGACCTAAAGGTTCACTATCTCTTTTAACATGTCCCCACAAGTGTTTATTTTTGATTAAAACATCCTTCACTTTTATGGGATTAAATATCAATTCTTTAGGTTCTACTAATTTGTTTAATTCAAACTCTTCTTCACTATCAGTATCAATCTTTCCTAAACTTTACTATTGCTTTATCTTAAAATCAAATAGTTTTTTTGCTTAGATTCTAATTTGATCTGTATTTGACAGCTACTCACCTTCCATAAATTTTTCATGAAAGGCTTTGGCTAATTGAGATTCTTGTTTGTAGTAATAGATCTTGCCAATCAATTCATAAGCATTTAATTCATATTCATATTCTTTGAAACATAATGCATATTTAAGGAATTTCTTGCTATAATTTAATGATCTTCTTAGATCACCTTCTAAAAGATAAAGTTCTGCTAGAAATTTATATGCAATCATTTTATATTTAAATGACCTATTGCCATTACAAAAGACTAAAAATTTTTACCAAACTTAGATTGCTTTTTGGAATAAATTATTAATTTGTAATACAAAAGCAAATGCAAAGACCCCAATATTATATAAATTGCCTATCCTTGTTTATTTTAAGTATCTCTTGATTAGTTATTATATTATACTTTAAAATAAATGAGAATCTCTCCTCAATATCAGCAGGATCAGAATAATCAATTTGTTAAATTAATTTAACAGCTTATTATCTTCTGTTGATATAGGGGGAATTATCATCATCAAGAAGTTTAAACATTCTCTTTTCATCCTTTAAAAAATCATAGTCGTCTTAGAAGACCCACGGTTTCTTTTTTTTTGAGATAGAGGGTAGACTGATTTAAGAGATGCTTCTAATACTCACCATAGTTGATTCATCATTTTTTTATTAGGTTCTAGAACCTTTAACGTTTGGAGAACAACAGTAGATACTAAATTTCATTAAAAAATATAACAATAATAATAAATAAATTATTTAAAGAAATTCTAATACCAATTTTAGATGAACATAACATTAGTTTATAAAACATTACTATTCTAATTGTTTATTTAAATAAAGATGCGAATTTAGTAATATTTATTAAAGCAAACACTTTAAATTTTAAATTCATTCTTATTAAACTAGTTTTCCTTTTTCCCACACACCAACAATCTCCATCCCATCAGCTTCAATTAAAACTCCTTTTCCATGTTATTTCCCATTATGCCATGCTCCTTTGTATGTTTTCCCATCTGCATAGAAGAAAACTCCATAACCTTCCTTCTTATCCTCTTTATAATCACCTTCATATTTATTGCCATTAACCCAAATAAACGTACCTTTTCCATACATTTAATTCTTAACCCACTCTCCAGTATAAACTTAACCGTCTGGCCATTTGTAGGTGCCAAATCCATCAATTTAATCTTTGAAATAATTTCCTTCATAACAATTTCCATTAGACCAAATATATTTTCCTTTACCATGTTTCATTCCTCCCTAATATTAACCTGAATATGTATCTCCTGATACCCATTTTTCTGTTCCTTAACCATCTTTTTCATCATCTTTCCATTCTCCTTCATAAATATTACCTTCTGAATCAACATTTTTACCAAATCCAAATTATAAATCATCAAGCCAATCTCCTTCCTGAAATAATAGGATTATTAATCAATACATAATAGGAGCCATCAGAACGAATTAACCTTCCTTTTCCATTAGCTCCATGATTTAACCAATATCCTTCATAATAAGTACCATCTGGCCAATATTAACGCCCCTTGCCTTATTTTTATTTATTTCTCCATTGCCCTACATATATAATACCTGTATTAATGAATTACTAGTTTTTATTGTAAGTATAATTACATGAGGTGGTAAAGAGATACAATCATTAAATTTTTTATTTAAGTCAGGATCATATTAAAAGGGAGGGAGAGATTTTAATACTTTGGCTACGTTTTGGTTTGTTATATCTGGTTCTTTGACTTATATAGCTATATCTGAATCTGGAGCATCGTTATTTTTAAAAAGATAACTATCTGACTCTTATTAGAGAAAGCGATGTTTTAATGGTTCAACTTTAGTTAGTTCGTTCTTGCTAGTCATTGACTTATCATTTAAATCAGATCTTGGTGAAGTAAACTAAATTAAGGTCTGCATTTACCCCACTATTTAAAAGAGGTTTGGAGGAGTTTTCTTTGATTTATATCTGGTTAGTTTGTTATTAAGGCTATTGTGATTCTGAAGCTCGACGTTACGTGTTTTAATGTGATGACAAATTTGTGCTTTATGATTATCGAGATTATATTTGTCGCTATTATTGTTATCGTTGAGGATGTGGTTACTTTTTAATACATGCTGAACCCATTCTAAATTTTAATTTATATATATTTATAGTATTTTAACTAAATATCATCTGATATACTGATTCTCATCCCTGGCTTAACTTTATTACATCCTTGATTGATTCATTCTGGATTATTGCATAATGGCTATATATTCTAAACTAATAATATACATTATGTTTTGCTATTCTTGTCTAGTCTAGTAATTTCTTATGTTTATTGGCTTTCTAATTCTTTTCTCACATTTTGATATTTTTACAGTAACCTAAAATATAATCAACAAAAATCACTTTTCTAATTCTTAAGATCGAATTTTTCTTTATTCTTCTTATCCACTTAATATTCTTTAAGTCAAAGCATTTAATTCATTGATTTATTTCTATCTTAATTATGTTATTAAATTTCTTATCTTCTATTATCTACAGGATGTCCATTTCTCATATTCATCTCTTTCTTATCCTTAAATTCTAGATTGTAATACATGAGCTTCCAAATAACTAAATATATAATAATTTATAAATACTTCTCTTATTTAGCTAATTATTCTTCAGTTTTTCTCAAAGCTAAAAGCTCAGCTGAATCCTTGGGTTTTACTGGAAGAGAATTCTCTAATTCTTCAGAAAATTATCTTAATTCATCTTCATGTCTTTAAAGGGTTTATTCCTTCACTTTTTGAGCTTCGTTATCAAACTCTATCATCTTTTAATCCCAAAATTAATTAAATTAATTGAATTCTTCAAGATGTGCTTTCTCAATTTCTTATTTCTCTGTGCAATGTCTATCTTTGACACCTCCTTTATTTTTTATTTCTAATTCTTTCTTTAATTCTGCCAATCTTTTTTTAGCCTGATCTGCTTCTAAATATTTACCAGCTTTTTCACAACTCTTTTAATGATCATATAATATTTGACTACTCTCAATATTATTTAATACATATATTCTTCTAAATCTCCTGATTATGTTGGAAGATTAAATGTGCCTTTTCTTGATGAAGTAGGTCTTTAAAATTAACTCATTATTGCAGAAAATTAGATTTTTAATATTAACGTTAAGAATTAATTTTTGCATTTATATACTCATACAAATTATAAATTAATTGCATTTAATTAATAATATTTATTAGAATTTCTAATGGAAAAAGTTAATAAAGCATGGAATTTTTTTGTGTAAAATTTATCTTTTAAATCTAATCCTGAGTAAGTAAAGGTATCTTCAGAGACTGTTTAAAAAGAAGATATTAATAGTAGCATAGATTGTGCATTAGGTTTTAGCAATAGTTTATTACATAATAATAGTAGTTCTTCTGGAATGTTATCAAGCAGCTCCAGTTAATATCCAATAGTAATTAATTTTATTATCCTTGCCAAAATTTGCTCTTAGTTTTTACCAAAATTTTCAAGTATATAGAAGGATAATGAGCGAAAACCTATTATTATACCTTATTAAGATGATCATAAATAATTATTCAAGGAAAAGAACATAAAAAATGTGTACTAATGCAAGAGAGAGAATAAATATAGTCTTAAACAATATCCTATGGCAAAGTTAATTACTGAACATACTGACACAATTATTTGTTCAGATAATACATGTATGTTAGCATCTTTCCATGAAAATATGCATAGAGTTGATTAAGGAATATATAAGAAAGGTTAAGCATCCTAAGTGTACGTAGAATGTTACGAATATTTGCCAACAAAGTAGATCTAATTCAGTGATGCTCAAGACATAATAGATGAGCTTAAGAAAGAAAGATATGAACTATTTAATAATAATTGTTAGCATAGTTCTAATAAAATAATTCAAAAATTAGATCTTAAATTTAATGACTCAATAAATTTAGAGAGATTATGAGTTTACTTTGAATATTCAAATCTACATTAAGATATGATATTCTAATTATTGTTCTTTTTAATAATCATTTAATAAATTCTAGAATATTAAAATTAAAATAAATAATTGTAAATAAATTTCATCTTCAGACTCAGACTCATAGTGTATTAATAATTTTTTAAGAACTCCTATGACATAGTCAGATACTAAATTTACTTAATTTAATAAAATAGAGTTAGAATATTGTGAAAAGAAAAAGAGGATTGCAAAATTGTAAAATTGCTGTTTGAAACTTTGCATTCATGTTCGATTAATTTAAAATAAGATTATTGATTAAAAAGAAATTAGTATTCCTATATTTTGTGATATTTGGGGAGTTGTTTTAGTTTATGCTTGAAAAACAGATAAACATAAATTAAAGAATTTGATTATTGATGATATTTAAATAAGCAATCATTTATTTTGTTTGAAACAACCTGATTGGGAAAATAAGAAAGTTAATCCTTGAAATATTCTAATATAAAAAGGATTTGAAGAAATTATAATAACTTCTATTTAAAGTGTGATAATATTAAAGAAGTAAATTGATATTAGAATGATTATTTGATAAAATTGTGGATTAAATCGAATATCTAAAATTAGATTTCAATTCTTTAATATATATTTTGGATTAATTTTTTAAATATTATTACTTATAATATTTTTAATTAACATATTCACAAGTAAATGAATAATTAGCCTTCAAAATGGCCTTATCGTTTTATTCTATAATGAAATATCATAAAAATCCAATTTGAATTAAGAATCTAAAATAATTTAATTAATTTAATGATGAGCAATTCCAAAAATAATTAAATTAATTACTATTAAGGGTTCATTCTTTTGATGTTGTTAGATAAGTTATCATTACAAATTAATTTATTTTCTATTGCAACTAATTAATATTTATTTCTCAAAAATGGGTTAAACTTGTACAATGAACACATGTTGTAAGAAGGAAGAGGTTTAAACTATAAGAAATTCAGGATTATCTCTAGAAATCAAAATTAAAAAGTCAAAACATTCTCAATAAATAAATAAAGAATAGGAAAAAGTAGAGGATAAAAAATAAAAAAAGAAAAGTGATACTGTTTCTGATTTAATGATTTCTTCACAACATAGCAAGGTGTCTATAAAGTAAATTGAAATGAATCTTCCAATTCAAAATTAAGATGCGAACTAAAATCCTCTAATACAAAAGAGTATGGCAATTAATGAGAGAATTAAGCTTCCAGTAAAAATGTAAAATTTATATAGCTAATATTCTTACCAAATGGTTCATCATATGAAGGGGAGTGGTTTCAAGGAAAAAGAGATGGATATGGTAAATAATCTTGGCCAGATGGATCAATTTATGAAGGGGAATGGAAAGATGATAAATCTTGTGGAAAAGTAAATTGAAAATTAATTCAATAGGGAAAACTAATTCACGCTGATGGAGATGTTTATGATGGCGATTGGATTGATGATGCTGCTAATGGATTAGGAATCTATATTCATGTAAATGGAGCAAAATATCAAGGAGAGGTATAGGTTTTAACACATTAGTAAGTGGTTAAATGATAGTTAACATGGAAGAGGTATAGAGACTTGGCCAGATGGAGCTAGATATGAAGGAGATTATTAATTTGGTAAAAAGCATGGCAAAGGGAAATTAAATTTTGCTGATGGTTCTTGTTATCAAGGTATATTTAGCATTTACATTTTAGGGGAATTTTATAATAATGAAATTCAAGGATTTGGAAATTATTAATGGACAGATGGAAGAGTATATGTTGGATAATGGATGAAGAATAAAATGCATGGTAAAGGAGAAATAAAGTGGCCAGATGGAAGATAATATAAAGGAGTATTAAACTTTAAATAAATTAGGAATACTAAAACGATAAGAAACATGGTAAAGGAGTGTTTCTTTGGGAAGATGGAAGAAAATATATTGGTATATGGTAGGGAGGTAAATAGTAAGGGGTTGGAATTTATTATTCTACTGATAATGTTATGAGAATTGGAGAATGGGTAGAAGGGAAAAGAGTTAAATGGTATGATAAAGAAGAAATACATGAATTAGAAAGAAAAGGTATTATAGAGGAACTGTAAAATTAATGATTATATATATTTATATTTAACTACATTACTCATTTGAACTTATTTAATAAAGTTTATATGTCAATACTCTTCCTATCAGTAGGATCAAAAATTTATTCTTTATTTTATTTGTATTTTTTGGCAGCTTTTAAGGGATTTCCTGCAAAAGCTTCTTCTAATCCAACTAATTCTGAGGTGGGATCGGGCTTGTTGTATAAAACTTAATTCTTTACAGTAAATGTTTATTGAACCTGGGCAGTTTATGGTCGCTTTAATTTTGACTTTTCAAGAGGCTTTTATTTGATCGATAAACTCAATATTCTATTTTCATCAGGTTCTTATAATAAATCTTTATCTAATTAATATTTGACTTTTTCTTCTAGATCCTTTAATTCCTCTACTTTTATTAGCTAAAAATGAGTAAATAAAAATACATCAAATTTAGAATCCATCATTTCTGCTATATCATAAAGCTATTTAATTTGGCTTGTCTCTGAAATAATTTAAGATTCTGTTGGTATATCATTATCATCAATATAAATCTCAGTAGCTGGTAATTTTTTATAAAGTTTATCCCTTAATTAATCATCTCTGATTAATGGGTTTGAACTAATGATTAATTATTGTAAATTTAAAGATTCTAAATAATCAATTTAGAATTCATCAGCTAATTCATTACCTTCAATATCCAAAATGGATATCTTTTCATGAAAAGCTAAAGGACTTATGTCTTTGATATTATTAAATGAACAATATAATTCTAAAAGATTTGGCATACTCATAATTCCTAATATTGTATAACTATTATAGTTGTACCAGAAATATCAGTTAATTTTGAATTGCTAATCCAAAGAACTTGTAAGTTATTCAATTTAGTCCCTAATAATCTTAAAGATTCTATCTAAGAATTATTCAATTTAAGTTCTTGTAAATTTGATAAGTATTCTCCTAACATATATAATGAATCATTCATAGTATTAAATCTAAATTAAATGGATGTAATTTAATCAAACTAACTCTAAAATTTAGAGAAATATTTGTACTTCATTTTTTTTTGTAATTTCTTATAAAGTATCTATATCCATAATATCATATATCATATCATCAATTTTTTTTTTAGCAATTTAAAATTAAAATACTGGTTCTGATATTTGAGATTCTTAATTTTTTATTAGAGATATTTTCTTTGTTTCTATATCTTAATCTTTTTTTATTTCAATTTTTTTTCCTTGAGATGTCAATGAAGATCTTCTTAATATTGAAGGTTTAGACACTAAAGAATTATTGAGACTTTATTCCTAATTCTGTGTGATAGACTTATCTTCATCTTATTGTTACTATTTGGTAGATGATAACCTTTTTAATGCAAATATTGGAGGTTTTTATTCTTTAGTTTCTATTGATAATTGTTCTGTATTTTTTTATAATTTTTTTATCATTAAAGGCCTTGTAGGTTATGCAGATGTAATTCTGTTAGTTATAATTGATTGTTTTAGTTAAGAAATCTTACTTTATTCTAATAATTTAGAAGTATTAATAGATGAATGAGGTTTAGATGAATTAGGTGTAGTTGTCTCTTTATAGAAATTTGATGTAGCAGTAGACATTGCATCAAATTTACTTTTCTTCATGTTTTCTTGTCTATCACCAACTTGCCTTACCCTAAAATTTCCCTTATAATCATCACTGATGAATTCTTCTGGAGCAACTTTTCTATTTTTCTCTTCTTGATATTTTTGAACAAAACTCTGTGCCAAAGACTCTTCTAATCTATCTAATAATTTTTAGTTTAATTTCATTCAAATTTTATTATTTACATTAACAAGTTTCATTTATATAATTATTTTATTAACTGACACACATGAATTAATTATCAACAAACAAAGGAAATGTCTTTGATGAAAATGCTATGACAGATGAAAAAGGGAAGATTAAATCATAAACTTCATAAGTTTATGTATCATCAAATGAGCAACCAACACTTTTAAGTTAGAATTTTGTATATGATGGATTCAATACTCCAAAAGTATGAAATAAATACTATTTAGATTCCCTGCTTATATCATAAAGGAAATATTTTAACCAATTTTTGCTCATGTATTCAATGTTTACTTCCATTATGTCCACAATGTGTAGAAGAGCATATCATAAAACATAGGGATGAAAAGACTCAAAATAAAATTGAATGCTTAGAGAATGTCTTAAATACTGTATATAAAGATGTTGTTCAAGAAAGTTTGAATATTATTATAATTTAATTAGCTAATTTCTTTGCAAAGAGTTATTTAGATTTGGAAAACAACGTTGTTAGAATGGCTGGTGCTAATAATATTACAATCGATAAATTAAATAAAATATAAGAACGTATAATTAAAGTTGTTGAACAATTCTTTAAGTCTTTAATTAATGATGTAGAAAATAAACAAAAAAAGAACTAATAAAATCAAGAAAAGGATGCAGATTAGCTTAAACAATTGGTATCATTTATAATTGATCTTTAGGTAAAAGAAAGATGGTCATCTCATATTACTTTTCTGGAAACTTTGAATTCTGTAAATAGTATGACTTCAGTAATATAATATTTTGGAACAACTTTACTTGAAGACAATTAAACATATTTCAATATCTTGGATGAATATTCAAACAGATTTGAATAAGTTTCATCAGATATTATTTTCTATTAAGAAAAAGCGTAATTTAAATTAATAATATTTAGAATAGAAATTGCTGCTCATCTAAGTCATATAATCAAAATTAGACATAATGATGTACCAGAATTCATTAAAATCCACACTCTACCAAATCCAAAATTATAAGATGCCTTTCCTCTCCGTTCTAAAGCACCTAGTCATATCAAGCCTTCATAACCCTTATATCCATCTATCTAATAGTCACCATTCACTCCACCTTAACATGTGATTACAGGAGCCACAAGAATACTTGACAGTGGAACATTTTACACCGACAAACGTTATACAGACTCATTAAATAGGCTACCATAGTATTAAATGAGATGATGAAATTTTTATATGAAACATAAGACCATACTTATTTACATCTAATTAATAATTAATTATTGGTTATAATATTCATTTCTAATTAATTTATGAAGAAAAATGTTGCAAGTTCTAGTACTCCAAATTCTAAAAAGAATTCGGCTAAATATTTTTAATAGGATTAATTCTAATAATAACCATAAATAAGTTAATTCATTTCTATAGAAGATTAATCTCAAAGTGATTAGCTTAAAGTAAAAAGTAATTTAATTAAAATAGAATGATGAATCCTTAATTTCCAATGATTTAACTTAAGCTTGCAGCACTAATTTAGTCTTATAAGAAAATCAAGATTATAGGGATAATTAAATGGAATTTATTAATAATGATGATGATGTGAAAATAAATGCAGATTTAAATATATTAAATTCTAGTGACACAGAAAAATTCAATCAAATTAACCATCAAATTGATAATAATCTAATCAATGAGATTTCATAAAATGAATCAATTGGCTTGCAAAATTAAAATCCAGATTAATATTAAAATCTATAATAAGAAAGTATTTAAAATAATTATAAAAAGAAAGTCATTATTTTAATCTTATTGAAAACTAAGATTAAATTCAACAGATTAATAAAGAAAGACATTAATATAGTAATAAAAAATAAATTACTATTTAAATAAATGATGACGAAATTGCTAATTATAAATCAGAAATTGAATAGGGATAATAAATAAATTCTGAACTCTCTTTGAATCTTCTAGAGGATTAAACAATTAATTTAGTATAATAATAAGATATAGAAGGTAGTTTAGAGGATGATCAAGATTAGCAATTAATCCATCTAGAAGATAATATTGAAAATAACTTTAATATGTAAACTTTAAAGATTGTAGAAAAATGGGAAGATATTACAGTTGTGAATTGTGAAGAAATAAAGGAAAATACCTACCAGGAATTAATTGAAGAGCATTGTAAAACTGATAAAATAGAATAATTACAATAAATAGTGACGGGATCTTCATAATAAGGTGAATAAATAAATATATTGGGCTGTGAAATCAAAAATGATATTTAAGAAGTAGAAAATAAATAACAATAAAGTGAAATAAAGATTAAATATTCTGAAAATAATTTTGATGGGCTAATACAAGATAATAACAGAAGAGAGTCTAATAAAAAATATGAAATAAATTAAAAATTAGATTAAATTGATGAATCAAATAATGAAGAGATATCATAAGAAATTGTAAAAGCAAAAACTGATGAATAATGTATGAATTAAGATAATAACTATTAAAGTAAACTTGATAATGAATCTCAGAGTTTCGAAAGAGGTACGGTTGTAACTGGATATTGTACAATAGAATCTAAATAATTTTTAGCTCAAATATAGATGTCTTTAGGATAAGATAAAATAAATCAAAAATAAGAATTTTAAATGAAGATCGCAGGATTAAATTCTATATTAAAAGAAAGTTTGTTATAATATGTTTTAGATTAAAAATAAAATAATTAATCTAAAGATGAATAAGATAATAAATGTGTAAATCATTAAAATAGTTAACTAATAGATGAATAATTAAATAAATATGAAGATTAAAAATATAGTAAAAATGATGATCATTTGAATAGTTAACATAAAGAGGAATAATAAAACTTAGATGAAGATTAATAAAATAGTTAAAATGATCATTTGAATAGTTAACATAAAGATGAATAATAAAATTAAAATGAAGATTAATAAAATAGTTAAAATGGTGAATTAAATAGTTAACATAAAGATGAATAATAAAACTTAGATGAAGATTAATAAAATAGTTAAAATGGTGATAAATTAAATAGTTAACATAAAAATGAATAATAAAATTAAGATGAGGATTAATAAAATAGTTAAAATGATGATCATTTGAATAGTTAACATAAAGATGAATAATAAAACTTAGATGAAGATTAATAAAATAGTTAAAATGGTGATAAATTAAATAGTTAACATAAAAATGAATAATAAAATTAAGATGAGGATTAATAAAATAGTTAAAATGATGATCATTTGAATAGTTAACATAAAGATGAATAATAAAACTTAGATGAAGATTAATAAAATAGTTAAAATGGTGATAAATTAAATAGTTAACATAAAAATGAATAATAAAATTAAGATGAGGATTAATAAAATAGTTAAAATGATGATCATTTGAATAGTTAACATAAAGATGAATAATAAAACTTAGATGAAGATTAATAAAATAGTTAAAATGGTGATAAATTAAATAGTTAACATAAAAATGAATAATAAAATTAAGATGAGGATTAATAAAATAGTTAAAATGATGATCATTTGAATAGTTAACATAAAGATGAATAATAAAACTTAGATGAAGATTAATAAAATAGTTAAAATGGTGATAAATTAAATAGTTAACATAAAAATGAATAATAAAATTAAGATGAGGATTAATAAAATAGTTAAAATGATGATCATTTGAATAGTTAACATAAAGATGAATAATAAAACTTAGATGAAGATTAATAAAATAGTTAAAATGGTGATAAATTAAATAGTTAACATTAAAATGAATAATAAAATTAAGATGAGGATTAATAAAATAGTTAAAATGATGATCATTTGAATAGTTAACATAAAGATGAATAATAAAACTTAGATGAAGATTAATAAAATAGTTAAAATGGTGATAAATTAAATAGTTAACATTAAAATGAATAATAAAATTAAGATGAGGATTAATAAAATAGTTAAAATGATGATCATTTGAATAGTTAACATAAAGATGAATAATAAAACTTAGATGAAGATTAATAAAATAGTTAAAATGGTGATAAATTAAATAGTTAACATTAAAATGAATAATAAAATTAAGATGAGGATTAATAAAATAGTTAAAATGATGATCATTTGAATAGTTAACATAAAGATGAATAATAAAACTTAGATGAAGATTAATAAAATAGTTAAAATGGTGATAAATTAAATAGTTAACATTAAAATGAATAATAAAATTAAGATGAGGATTAATAAAATAGTTAAAATGATGATCATTTGAATAGTTAACATAAAGATGAATAATAAAACTTAGATGAAGATTAATAAAATAGTTAAAATGGTGATAAATTAAATAGTTAACATTAAAATGAATAATAAAATTAAGATGAGGATTAATAAAATAGTTAAAATGATGATCATTTGAATAGTTAACATAAAGATGAATAATAAAACTTAGATGAAGATTAATAAAATAGTTAAAATGGTGATAAATTAAATAGTTAACATTAAAATGAATAATAAAATTAAGATGAGGATTAATAAAATAGTTAAAATGATGATCATTTGAATAGTTAACATAAAGATGAATAATAAAACTTAGATGAAGATTAATAAAATAGTTAAAATGGTGATAAATTAAATAGTTAACATTAAAATGAATAATAAAATTAAGATGAGGATTAATAAAATAGTTAAAATGATGATCATTTGAATAGTTAACATAAAGATGAATAATAAAACTTAGATGAAGATTAATAAAATAGTTAAAATGGTGATAAATTAAATAGTTAACATTAAAATGAATAATAAAATTAAGATGAGGATTAATAAAATAGTTAAAATGATGATCATTTGAATAGTTAACATAAAGATGAATAATAAAACTTAGATGAAGATTAATAAAATAGTTAAAATGGTGATAAATTAAATAGTTAACATTAAAATGAATAATAAAATTAAGATGAGGATTAATAAAATAGTTAAAATGATGATCATTTGAATAGTTAACATAAAGATGAATAATAAAACTTAGATGAAGATTAATAAAATAGTTAAAATGACGATTATTTGAATAATTAACATTAAGATGAATATACCTATTTCAACGAAGACATTTAACTTTGTCCAAAACCAAAGCCATAAACTAATTTAGTACAAGCAAAATACACAAGTTCCGGTTTATTGTTATTAAAAAAGGAACATGTTAAATAGTTCCAAAGTGTTAGTTTTAATGATAAGACAATATTACATAAATAAAGTTAAATTAATATTATACAAAAAGATGAACTAATTTTAAGAGAAAATTATAATTTTAATCATTTTTAAGAATAATCAAATGATGTAGAACCAAATTTATCCAAAGTAAATGAATTATAATCATTTGATAATTTATAATTCAATAGTGAATAACGTAATATTTCAAATTAAACAGATTTATATTAATAAGATTAAGAATCTATAAGTGAAATTTAAATTTCATAATCATTTTTACATAAATTTTCATTAAATACATAGAATTAAGAGAAAGAGGAATAAAATAGTGATTAAATTATAAATTTTAATGGGAATGAAAGAATATATGATAAGATCGATGATTCATAATTAGATAAATAAACAAGGTTCATAAATGAAAATCAAAATATCTAATATTGCAATTAGAAATTAAATTAATTCGAACTTTTCTCATTAAAAACATTTGATTAAGAAAGCTAAGAAGAAGTAGGAAAAAAAAATTAAGAAAATAATAATCTTTTAGAATAACAAATTTACATACATAAAGAGGTATTAGGAGAGATATGTGAATAGCTATAGTAAACTAAAATATAGGATCTAGGGAGTGAGAATGCATAAGAATTTGATTTAAATAATAATGATATTTAATAATAAGTGAACTTAGAGGATATCGAAGTAAACAAATAAGGTATCTTCTAAGAGGATGTTTACTCTAAGCTCTAGCAACAGAAACTGGAAAACTAGAATAATTAAGAGTAACATTAAGAACTAACTTAATGTGAAGAAGATTAAGGATTTTGTAATAAAGAAATAATCGAAGTAGAGAATAACCAAAAATTAGAATAAAACGTAGTAATGCTCAACTTAAATTGCAATGATGAAGAAATGGAATAAATATAATAATAAGCTAATAATGTTTTTTAACCATAAATTAATAATTTTTCTTAATAAAACGAAAAAATGGATTAGGACATCAACTAGACTGAAGATCATTAGATATACTCTAATTCTTAAGAAAATGAAGAGGGAACACTTAATAAAAATTAATAAGATTCAGAACATACAAATGACATAATTAATAATCAGTATGAATCAAGCCAAAAAAAATAATCCATTAAATTGATTGATCATTCTGAACAACATCAAGACTTTTAGGAAGAGGAAAATCTTTTAAAACCATAGTAACACAGAGAAAAATAAGGAATTGAGGGTCAGAATAGAACATTTACTTCTCAAAAAAAAATTAGTTCATAAAGAGAAAATTTCTTTCTTTCTCAAACAAAAATAAAAAATTAGGAGGATTCTTTAAATTAAAATCAATTTAATAGTAGCTTATCATAAAATCTAAAAGAATATAATTCTTCAAAAAGTAACGATCATTATAACTTTGATTTGGGTCATGGGGAATTAAATAGGGATAATTATTTAAAAGAAAACGCAGATGATTTACAAGAGTAAAGAAAATAAAAAATAAGAGACTTAGAATAGTAAATCGAATGGGCTGAAAGAGAAATAGAAGAGAAAGATGAAGAAATTAATTAAAATAAAGAAATGATTGAAAATTTTGAAAATTTTGTTTTGGGCAATACTAATCCTGAAGAATTCGAGAAAATTATATTGTCTGAGAGTAATTTTGAAACAGAAAATTTATTGATTAATCATCTAATTAATAAACTAAGATAATTTATGTAGGAATTTTCAAATTCAATTATTGATTTAATAAATAGATTTGATGGTAAAACAGAATTAGAAAAAGATGAAGAATAAGAATAAGAAGAATAAGAAAAAATAAAATTGATTACAAATGAATTTAAGAAATTTAAACAAAAAAAATAATAAAAAAAAGAAATAGATGATAATAAAAATTAAATTATTATTCATATAGGTGAAAATAATGAGAAAATAGTCAATGATGAATTAAATATACTTATATCAAGTATAATTGGATAAACAAAGTTATTAAGGGATATATTGTAAAAAAATTGTTGTCTTCTCATTAAATTTAATTGCGAAGTGTATAATGGTTTATAAGGAATGTCTAAAAATATAAAATAACTTGAATAAATAAAAAGTTTAACTAATTCAGTTAAATAAACAACATAACACTACTAATCTATAATTAATGAATAAGTAGATTTATAATAAGCGAAAGATGACAATAATCATATATTACTGTTAGATTTGTTGAAATAACTAATAAATAAACAAGAATAGGCATTTTAGTTTTAATAATTATTTACAAAATATTTATCTGAAAGAATAGATCTTGTTCATTAAAGTGAAGAAAATCTAAGGGAAGACATGGCAAAAAGATTATAAACTTTCAATTGATATTAAATTATTAATATTTTTTTACAAATAAAACTATATAATTCATAATCTTAGTAAATATTAACTATGCAAAGTTTTTATTTATAAATTTTTTTATATGGATTTCTATATTGAATTAATTTATTTAATTAATTATTAAATTTCTCATATGCTATATAGTCAAGACTTGAAAAATAAGGCATCTTCTGTTATATCTAATACAAATTTAGGATGGCAACAAACTGGAATAATTTGTGATTGTCTTTAAGATCGATATGAGATTGAGATGAAATATTCGAAAGCAATTGAAAAATTGGCAACTAAATTAGCTCCTATTAATGAATTCTTCAGTGCTTCTTTTGGAATCAGAGCATAATTATCATCTTAATTCGCTGAAGAAATAAAAGGAGAAATAGATATAATGAAATAATTGATAGTTTAATAGAAAGCAACATAATATTTAGATTATGTCAAATTGTGGGACAGCTAATTATAATCAATTAAATCAAATCTTAAAGCTGCAGAAGGATATCTCAAAAATAAAAAAAGAGAATATGAAATTGAGGGAACTTTTGAACTTGTATATTCAGCCTGTTAACCAGATAAACTTGAAAAATAGAAAAATAAGTATTAATAGATTCAATTTTAGAGCTGCTGCATGTAAGAAAGAGTATCAATAAGCAAAAGGGAACTATTTAGAGTTAAAATCAGAAATGGAACAAGTTTTGAAAGAATAAGAAGCTGAGGCTACTTTAGATTAACTTTAACAATTAAGTTTATAAAGACTTAATGCAATAAAGGATTGTATATTAAAAATATTTGTATACGAGTCTTCTATTGCGAAAAATCACTTATATGATTTAGAGAAGATGTCTGATGTAATTTTTGTAAATATTTATATAAGAGACTGCATGATCAAGATTAAAACTTATTTATAGAAGAATTCATCAAAAAAACAAAGTAATAGGAAACTAATCCAATTGAATTAGAATCCTTTCTTACTAAATTACTTGATAGTTAAGGCTAATAATAAATATATACAACTAATATCTATCCTATAGGACTAGAAAAAACAGAAGAGTAAATTTAATAAGAAACAAAAGAAATTTAAGATTAACCTTAAAAATAAGAAGAATTTTTGAATTTTTTATCTCAAAAATTCAATTCTAGTTCATTTCAATTAACTCTTCAGGAATTTATTTAATGTACTAATATTTCAATTGGGATATTGGATTATGTAATGATAATATTTTATAAATTTAGTGTTATGAAAATAAAAATGCCATTTTGGCTTAATAGTTACTCTAATTTAGTTTTGGACTATTTACTAAGGATACTTAAACAAGATATATGTAAGACATGCTTGTAAATCATCAAATATGGTAACATCGTGATTATTGGGAAGCCGTTATAATAAATTAAATATCTAAGATAAAAAAAGGAACAAAAGAAAACATTAATACAAGCATTTTAAGTATATTAACTTAAGTAGCATAACATATGTTAATGTTTAAATTATCACCAGATTTAGTTAGGGATATAGTTTAAAAGTTTTCTTAATTTTTTAAATTGAACAAAGAAATAGCAGATGATCTCATAGTAAAATATTAATTAATCTAAATTAGTAAGCAATTAACAGTTAAGTTTGAGATATTATTCGTGTATTAAATCTTATTATCATAAATAAAATAATATATTCTTAATAGATTATATGTTTGTTTTGATTACTAAATATTTTTGATAGAAATTAAAATATTTGTTTTCAAGTAATTTTTTCAATTCTATTTGTCAAAATTCTAAGAAGAAAAATGAGTTTATGTAATCAATTTTATATAGATTGATTGTGAGATAACATATTTGACTCAAAAATTAAGTTAAGTATTTAAAAATTATATGAATGGAAAATATATAAAAATGAAAAGAAATTTGAAATCAAAATCAGTAATCCACTTTAATTGTTCCTTCATTAGTTTAAATAGTATTGTTTATTGGTTAGACTTCTTTTTTATAATTCTAAGTCTTATTTTTTATTTGATATTGGTTTGGAGTTGATTATTGTAACTTTCGAAGGATTGTAGTTAGTGATTAATCAAAATTTTGTGTAGACAATGCTCCATATTAATTATATTTGAGTGGCTTTTATTATTTAATTTCATCAAATATGGAATTAACATTAAGAATTTGAGAATTAAGTTTTTACAATTGCTGAGTGAGATTAGTTAACATATATTGTGAATTATTTGATTAGGATTCTTATTGAATTTTATTATTGAGTTATTGTTTTAGTAATTTGATTTAGTCTTTGTGAATAGTCTTGGTTAGTCTGAATTTTTAAATGTTATGGGTGGCCATGAATATGGAATTTTTAGTTTTTTCTATTTTAATTAAAATGTAATTTGTGTTCATTTCTAGATTTGAAACAAATTAAATACATCAGATTTAATAAGTATATTTGTGCTGGAATTAAACAATATAGTTTATGAGATATTGATAAATAGAATTAGAAAGTTATGTTAAATATAATTTCTGATCACAAAGTTAATAACTATAAAATGATGATTATTACATTTATTAAATGGAAAATAATATAGTCTAATTGATATAACTTAAGTCTTATTTTTGAGAATTATTATGAATGAATTTAATTTTTTTAATAAGATAGAATATTGATAATAAAGAGAAGAAGTAAGTAGTGATAAGTTTAATTACAAAAATTGATTACATATATTTAATTGACAAAAAGAAATGTTTGTCGACTTATGGTTAAATTTCTGTTGTGCAAGAAGGCCGAAACAGGAAGCACAAGATCAGCCTATAAGCTTAAAGGAAGATTCTAACAAACCAATACTTGATACAGGGTAAGCATATGTACCATCACCTGTTGAGCAGAAAGCTCTACAGTCTACATCTTAAGAGTTACGGCAGAAGATATAGGAAGCTTAAGAGAGGCGGCAGTAATAGTAGTAACCGCAATAGCAGAACCACTTCCAGAATATGATAAATAAGGGAGCAGTAAAAACATCAATTGAAATGGAAGGTATGTTGACAATTATTATTAAGAGTGGAACCTGTTGAAGGATTTCTCTCATTATCTGATAATAAATCCAATAAAATGGCTAGCTGGGAAGCATTAGAACTCTCAAGATAAAATGATGTTTTAGGATAACTAGCTCAGTTCTCAATCTTAGCTAAATCAGTTTCCTCTAATAATGGTCCATATTAAGGAAGTAATCCAGGAAGTTAGCAGGGGTCTGATTAATAAATAATGTCTGGACCTTATCCATAGTAAGATATCATTAAGAAATCATTAGGTAAAATATTCAAACTCTTGCTTAAACTACATAATTGGATGTAATAGAGGAGTACCCAAAAAAATCAATGATAAAGTAATAATAAATCTCTATACATTATTAGATCATAAAGCTAAATATCGCTTGAAACCGGAAAAATTGAGAAAAAACGAATCCAAAAAGATAAAAAACAACAAAAGGATAAAGCAAATAAAGGATCAGCAAATGATAACTCTATAAGAAAAGAAGTTAGTCATGCAAAACTTTGGGATAAGAATGAAGATGCTATTTTAAGACAGGCCTACATAAATTTTAATGGAAATTGGAGAAAGATAGCAGAATAGTTGCCAGGAAGAAATATGAATTAATGTTCATAAAGATGGAGAAGATTGAATCCATAAGAAGTATATCTTATTATTTATATTAAGAATAATAAGAAGAAATGGACTTTTGATGATGATTAAAAAATTACTCAACTTGTCTAAAAATACGATAAAAATTGGGCAGAAATAGCAAAACATCTACCAGGTAAAAGTGGAAAGCAAATAAGAGAAAGATATCTCAATAAATTAGATCCTTCAATTAATTCATCTGCTTGGACTAAAGAAGAAGATGATATTATTTTGAAGGTTTATAAAGAACATGGTGCTAAGTGGAGTATCGCTTCAAAATAATTGAAAGGAAGACCAGTAAGCATATATTTTTATTAATCAGGAAAATACTGTTAAAAACAGATTTTACTCTTACATTAGAAGAGTCTTTTTGGGTCAGTAGAACCCATATTCAGTCGTTTTAAATAATGGTGACGTTAATGGACATGAAAATACATTGTCCCAAGATAGTGAATCCATTAAATAAGCTTTATCAATGGACTAAACTCCTTCAGTAATAATTTTTAACATATTTAGTTCACTGCTTCTTCCTACTTAAGTTCTTTTATGGATGATGACTATATGGAAGATGAAGATGAACCAAATGAATAAGAAGATTAGTTTAAAATTTGATATTATTTTTATAATGGGAAATTAATGTAACCATGTTGAAATCAATGACAATGAGTTGAAATCTGTACAAATTGAAGATGAGTCTGACTCATTCTTGGTCTACAAGTTTGATCCAAAACTCCATTTTCCTAATATATCTGATCTTAGAAAGCTTCAATCTCTCGATTCATTAAACAGTACAAAATCACAATTTCATGACACAGTCAAAAAAGTTCCTTTTAATGTTAAATTACATCGCAAAAGAACATTGAATTATGAAAGTATCCATGATTCACAAGCCTAATCACCAACAAATTTAGTATCTGAATATTTTGAATACCCAAACGGTGTTTATTAAGGTACATTAGTTGATGGGAAAAGAGAAGGATAAGGTTAGTTTTTTTATCATGATGGATCATACTTTAAAGGGAGTTGGAAAAATGATATGGCAAATGGTTTAGGAAAAATAAAGTTTTAAGAAGGGGAATTATATGAGGGAGAGTTCAAAAATGATTAACAACATGGTTTTGGAAAGTACATATCAAATTAATTGAAATATGAAGGTTAATGGAAGGAAAATCTACCTTCTGGACATGGAATTGAGATTTATAACAAATATTATATTTATGAAGGAGAGTTTTAAAATGGATTGAAGCATGGTAAAGGGAAAATATTATGGTATAAAGATGATTCAAGATATGAGGGAGAGTTTGATGAAAATTAAATAAGTGGATAAGGTATTTACTATTTTGGAGATGGTGAGATTTATGAAGGGGAATTTAAGGATGGAAAGATGCATGGATATGGAAAGTTAGTATGGCCAAATGGAAAAATGTATGAAGGAAATTATTATATGGGGAGAAAGCAAGGATTTGGAAAGTTTACTTCATCTGATAAAGAATATACTGGAGAATGGTATGATGGAGTGTATCATGGGTATGGTAAATTAGAAACGAAAGATAAAGTGATAGAGGGATATTGGGAAAATGGAGTTTTTTCAAAATGAATTTTCCATATTTACTTTTTATATTATTTAATGATAATTGGGGGATTTTAAAAAAACTTGACAGTTTTGTATTCTACATTAATGATCAAGATTATAATCTATTGATGAATAAGGATTGAAATTGATTCTTTGTAGGAATCAAATGTTTTGAATGCAGATAATTTCTGCACATATTAATGAAATATAAATTAAAAACGGATGAAACGAATTGTATTGTTAACATATTTGTGCATATACACATTTGCTACTGATTCTGTTAAAGATTTCGAATTCTTGACTCAAAGTGATTATGGGAAAAAAGTATTAAAAGAATAATAGCTAGTTCTGAAATCTAGTTCAAGTATTTTATATAAATAATTATCAAGACCCTGTCGATTTGATAATTAATTTAAATCATTTTGAATCTGAGCTTGTAATGGATAGTGAAAAGACAATGAAAGAGTATTAGACTGTATATACAAGCAGTATGAATTTTCAAAATTTATAAAATAGATATTGAGAGAAAATAAGCATTGAAATAAAAGATCTTTTTATCAAAATATTAATTATAGAATGTTGGTGAAGAACTTACAATTGTAACAAAAGAAAAAGAATTTTCAGAAAAAATATATGAAGAAAGAAAAAGATTATTAACAGAAGAGAATAAATTTGTACCATAAATGCAAGCTATTCGTAATGATGAAGTATGTTTAAAATAAATTATATAATAGATTGATAAACTCTAAAATTTAAAAAAGGAAATTAATCAAACTTCCAAAGTCATTAATTAATTTATATAACACTTTTAAGGATTAGCTCATTTCTTATCAAAGAAACCAGATTTAAATGAATCACCAGCATTCTTAGCTAATAATAAATAGAATGATGAATTAAATAAATTTAAATCAATGTGCAATGATATTAGAAATGATTTAGATACTGTTGTTATTGATAATCCTTATACTTTAGTGTTATGTATATATATTATTTAATGTTCAAAGTTTCATTAAAGCCATTATTGGCTACTGAAAATGCTCATTTGATTGAAGAAGTTCCTTAATTATTAAAGACATTATTACTTGCTTTAGAATCAAGTTCTGAAGAAATTGAAGCTGTTAGTAATGAGAGATAAGAATTATTTAATATTGAAAAAAATGAACTTAAAAAAGATGTTGATAAAAGATCGGCTGAAGTATTAAATCATAATTTAATTTAATATAGTGTGATTAAATTAAATAAATATTTGAAAGATCTTCAATTGATTTAGAAAAGTTAACAAATTAATAAAGTGATTTGAAAAAAAAGATTACTTAATTATAGACAGAATAAGAATAATTATAATCTGATATGGAAGGATAATAAGTATAAATATTATTTTATCAAATAGAGAGAATATAGAAATAAATTAAAGAATAATTTAGCCAACTTAGGTTTGATTAGGAAAATTAAGTACTTGTTAAGTTAAAACAATAAAGGTTATTTGCAATTCATTAAAAATCAGAAATGATGAGCATATATATTTGTTTTAATCTATATATTTACATCATAATAAAATATCAAGTTTATTTTAAACATAAATATATATATCACTCATTTTAGGATAAAATATCCAAGAATATTTTTGACTATTTTATATATAATTTATGATTTATAATATTTAATATTTTTGTGATTCATGAGCCATAATAGATGAAATTGAAATTGAATGCATATTGTCATTTTTATCAAGCACTTATTAATACGGATTAATTATATTGTTATAAAGTGTGCGTTTATGTGGCAAATGGATATATTTAATAACAAATGGAAATAATTGAAACCTATAATAATTCAAAGTAATTGATAGGAGGATCATATAATTAAAACGAACTTGTGATTGCTTAATGGGGTGGAAATATCTTATTTAAGAGAAAAAACGAAGAAGATGTTAAAATTAACACCTTTTGTGTCGGTAATAAATAAATTGATTATTTAGGTCTTATTAAGATCACAGGTGATAAATATTTATGCTTTACTAGCAAAAATCATTTATTACAAATAAATGAAGATAGAAAGATTGAATAAATAGATTAACAAGATAGTCCCTATTTTGTTTGCGATTTTTATTTGAAAACTTGTCTATTCATGCATAATACAATTTAATAATAACGATTTTTATGTCTTTGGAATATGTTGACGTAATAGAAATCCAAATATGAACACATCAGCAGCATTACAAGTGTAATGGCTGCTGATGACGGTATTTGGCTAGGAGATAAAGATGGATATTTGAATTTCTTAACTTATAAATTAAAACTTCAAAAACGAGTTAGAAGTATATAAATCTTATTATATCATAGTATTTTCAAACGAAATCTCCAAAATTTAAATAATGAACAAGAAAATATATTGTGTTTCATAAAGGGAACTTAAACTATTTTTTCAAGATTAAATTGTCTCAATCTCTACTTTCGATAATGAAATTAGCTGTATTGGTGCATTCAAAAATAAATTGATATTAGGGACAACAAATGGATAGTTAATGATATAAGAAAATTAGAAGATTTTTGCATAACATCAAGTACATGCTAATTCCATTACGAGTATCTCTGTTAATGGTAATCAAATTGTAACGACAAGCAGTGATCGCACTGCTAAAATCATTCAATTAAAATGAGAATGATATATATATATAGATATATTGAAAAAATTAAGAATAAATATATATTGAATGCTGATATTCTTATAGATAATTTAATATTTATCAAAAGTTGAGAGATTTGAAATAACATATGATAATTTTTAAGAATATATTTATAAAAATTTATTCTTATCTTTTTTTAATTAATAAATGAGTTAAATACCATAATAAGATGAAGAAGGCTAAAAGTTATTAGGTAATGAGAATGCACACGAATAATATCCATAAATTCAAAGATTTTCATCAAGTTCAAATTGGGCTGGATATGATAATCCAATACAAAAACCAGATTAATCAGGTCCATCTAAATTCGATGCTATAGTAATTTTGATTCTATTATTAATGATTGGATTATCTGGATTTGGATTGTTAAAACATTACAATGGTAATGAATGATGGTTCTATGCATTAGTTGTGATACCTGATAAACCAATAGAAAATGATGTACGTGTTACTCCATAATTAGTTCATCCAAAAGAATCAGTAGTTTAAGATGTTTTTAATAAAATAAGTGAAGGACTTTAAAATTTAGGTTAAGAAAAGGTTGAAAAGTAAATACCAAAAGAAGATGAATAAACTTTAGATGAAGTATTAGATAATTATTTATCTAAAATTGAATAATATACTGATATACGTACAGATTGGATAGATGATGATGATATCTAAATTAATAATAACAATAATGATACAATAAATAGATAAGCATAAATTGAATAATAATTGGAATAATAATTAAATATTGTTGATGATTTAGAAGAATTAATTATATCATAAGAAGCAGAAATATAAATAATTAAACCAGTCTTTTCAAAGAATATTTATACATATAAAGAATTATAAAATGGATTAAAGATTTTATATATCTAATCTACAACTGAAGGAATTAATTTTGTAGTATCCTTAAATGTTGGTAGAATGAATGATCCTGAAGAATATCCAGGATTGACTGAATTAATGTTTAGATCTCTATAAACTAATTTTTAAATTGATGTTCATGAATAATATACTTTTTTAAGAATCTAATTAAACCTATTAGAAGAATTAAATGCAAAATTAAAAGAATTATTTATTATATTTACTTAACCAATGTTTATTGATATTGTTAAAAATGCTAAAGAAATCTATGATTCAATGATGAATGAATCTAAATCTGCTCATTTTTAATATGTATCTCAATTTTTAAATTCATTAACAAATTTAAAAGAATTATCAATTTTATCTGTTGAATAAGATTAAATATAATAATTTTATAATTAACATATCTCTTCAGATTCTATTACTTTTGTATTTAAAAGTCAAGAAGAATATGAAAATATTTAATCAAGATTATTATAATCTGATTTAATGAAATTGAAAAATTTACATAAATATCATGATCCAATATATGAAAATAACTATCCATAAGGTAGATAAATTCTTAAATTTAAAAGTGATACAGATCTATTATAAATATTATCAATAAATGATGAATTGAGTTGTTAAAGATTTTTATCATATTTATTACCAAAACCATTTATTGGTTCAATCTAAGATAATTAATTATCTATCACATTAGATATAGATATTAATAATGCTTTAAATACTATTAATAAATTTATATCATTTCTTAACTTCTTATAATAAGCAGATGAAACTTAATTAACATATTTATATTCCTAAATGTTGGCTACTGAAGAATTATTGTTTAATACAAAATATTAAGATGATTTAACCTAAATTAGTTAAAATCTATTCAAAGATCCAATATATGGATTAAAAGGAGAAGAAAGTTTTCCTATTTTTGATAAAGATGAATTTGATTAATATTTAACTAATTTATAGAATAATTTTATCATTTTGATAGGTAGTGATAACTTTTAATATGATCCAAATCATAAATCAATAAATGATGATTCTATATTTATTGTAGATGCTGTATTAAATAAACTTCATTAAGAATTTTAATATGATTTAAAACCTGTAACAAAATAATTTGATGAAACTAATTAATATTAATTTTAATTACCTCCATTAAGTACATTTTTACCTGAGAATTTGGCATTAGTGTCTGTTTGTCAAGAACCAATATAATACAATACATAAGAATAAAGTTAAACATAATTAGATGATATAATTAATTCTGTAAAAGATGGGAAATATGATGGATCATAAATAATTAAATTTGAAACTATTGAATTTAAATGTGAATTTCCTATGCCTAATTTAACAAATAATTGTATTGAATAAGAAAAAGCTGCATAAATGTCTTTAGTACCATTCTAAATATAAAGTAATGTATGGTGGAAACCAAGTAGATTAGGTGCTATGGTGTTTACTGGATTATTTATAGAAAAACCAGAATCTTCTTTAGTAGAAGGGAAAACTATGTTAAAATTATTGTAAAAATTTTACACTGAATTATCAAAAAAGTAATTTTAATAAGAAATTCTATTTGGTTATGAATTAACTTTTAAGGAAACTATAAATGGACTTAATATATAAATGTTAAGTTATTCTGAGAAATAATCAGAATTTTAAGATAAAGTATTTGATTTAATGAGTACAGATGATGAACAATTATTTATTTATGTCAAAGATTTGTTAAACTAAGATATTAAAAGATTTCATGATCAAAAATTATCATTATTAAGTTAATAATATTATTTGCCAAAGATTTTACTTAGACCTGTTAGTTCTCCTTAAGAAATAATAGATCAATTAATTAAAATAGATTATCAAAAATTTTAAATGTTTTAAGCAGAATTATTAGCTAGTAAAATTTAAATACTCAATTTGGGAAATATATTACCTAGTGATAGTGTATTTGAAGATTCTTAAGAAATGTACATTACTAGAACATTAAATTTAAAAGGATAAAATCTAAAATATAAAGTTAAAAGGGAATCAAATATAGATAATATGTCTTCTGTCTTAAATTATTATTAAACTGGTTTGAAGAATTTAGAAAATACTGCTAAATTATATTTTTATGCTGATTTCTTATAAGTATATGCAAATAATTATTTTCCTATGGCATAATAAGTTATGATTAAAAGAAAGCCATTAGGATGTGCTGATGGTCTTTAAATATATTTATAGGGAGTAAATCCTTAAAAAGGAAAAGAATAAATAGATCAATTTTTAAAATAGGCTAACATTTATTTAAATACATTATTAGATGAAGAAATCTTAGATTAAAAATCTTAAACAATAAATAAATTATCAAATGAAATTAAATTTAAAACTCTTTAAGAAGAAGGATAATTTATTTGGGATAAAATAGTAAATAAAAATTATGCTTTTACAGAAATCTAAGATGTAATAAGATATTTAGATGAAGCCTTTCCTTAAAAATTAAAAGAGTGTCAAAATTTAACAATGTAAGGTTCAATTAGTGTTTAAGTTTATGGAACATAAGAATAAATAGATGGTGATGATGGAATTCAATAAGTAGAAGAATTGATTGGCTAGGATGTATATGAATGTTTCTTTTAATTATGAATGATTTAGTTTTATGTATTTACCTAAATTTGTACATTAACAAAAAGGATTTTCACATATTTTTAATGATATACTATAAATTATATTCAAATCATGTTATCTTAATTAGGAACCATAATCTCTGCATTTCCATAATCTCCAATTAATGGGACCATACTTTTATTAAAATAAGATCTAGCTGCCATTGATTAATTGTCTTTAACAGGCAAACTAAGCATATTTTTATCTGCAATATTTGTAACAATGAAATTATTTGTATTTGTATTTTAATTTAATTGCATTTATTCTTCCTCTTCTTCATTTTCTAATAGATTCTTTTTTCTAAATGTATTCCTTTTATTTATAAGATTTAGATGTTTAATTTAATATTATTTTCTATATTCTGAAGCATTGCTTACAGCTATAGTTTATAATTCCCAATTAATTTTTTCTTATGGAGGAACTGAATGATGAAATTAACTATGTTAATCTGATTTATCTGATTGAATTTTAGAAGATTCTTATGATATATTATCTTATTCTTCTGATTGATTCATATCTGGTCCACCTTGTTAAATTATTTTTTATTATTATTCAACAACAATTTCTTCCTATTATGGAGCTGTTTAAATAAATTTAGCTAAAGCTTACATTTCCATACTAAGATTTAGACTACTATTTTTGAGATGTTCTAAATATTCTGGAATGAAATCAGTTGTTTTCATTTCTATAACTTTATAATTGCTGGATTCATTTTTCCTTTCAAGAACTGCCTTGATATAATTATTCTATAGATTTTCTAGTATAACTAATTTATCATCAAGTGTTTATTCTCCAAAACGAATACTTAGAAATCTTACATCATCAAAGAATTGTAATACACTACTAAAATAGTATTCTACATTTTAAATATTATTTTTAATGAATTCTTCTCTATATTCCATAACTTTATAGAGATCTTTTACAAATTATTAAAATGATAAAGTTTTCAGAAATTACAAGAAAAAGAGTTAATCTTAATTTTCAAAAGAATTTAAAAATTTCTTATAATCAAACATAACAATCTTTTTCTCTGATTTCTAATTTGATGTATCAGTACTAAAATACTTATATATATCATTTAACATAAGCAATTTAACATTATAAAATGCTTATCTATATTTCATTATTCCTTCTTCAAAAATTTCCTATTTTATTATATATATTTTTACATTCTCATAAAATTTAAGATCTGCAAATACAGTATTCATTTTTCGAATGAAATAATTTTAATATTATTTTGGACATTTTGGATCATCTGATCTTGATAGAATACGACCATCATCAATATCATAAATAACTCTTTTTAATTCTTTTGGTAATGGTTTTTCAGACTAATTTAAATTAATTAAATTACTATTTCATATAAATTTCTATCTAAACCAATAATATAGGGTAATTGAGATTTATGAAAATCAAATGATCCAGGTCTTAGAAATGGAATAAATAGACCACGCCATTACAAAGGAGCAAGTAACTCTACTAATGATTGACAAAATAATGTTATTCCTGCAGGTTTACGAGATACAATTATAATTTGATATTCAAGCATCATGTATAAAAGTAATTTATACAAATTAAAGATTGGTTAATTGAAAATTAAAACATCAAAAAGATTATTTGACAATTTAAAAATAGAAAAATGAGTTGTTAAATGTGAGTTGGAGACATAATAATTCATCCAGATCTCAGAACTGCTGAACTTTAACCTATACTCTACGCTTGCTAATTATTGATATATAAATACTTATCTTATACTATTGGACATTAAGTCAATGCTGTTCTAATATAAAAATCATAGAGTTTGATTTCTTCAATCTAATATTCTTATTAACCTCTTTTTATAGTTATTATTTTATCTCTTTCCCTATTTTATGAAAGACGTAATTTTTAGATTTTAAGTAATTGCATTACAAAACTTCTTTAAGGAATGAATGCAGGAAAACGAGATATTACACAGAAAGCCTTAGGTACAAATACTTACATTAATTTATCATTTGGTGGCATAATTATGAACATCTTTTCATAAAAGCAAGCAGATGTACAATAAAACTTGATGTGCTATTTAAAATCATTGATAACAAAGTAATTGATCTCATTTGTAGATGCTTAAACATCATCTTCCTTAAAATATTCTTCTATTTTATTAAATCTACTATCGCCTTCTTTTATTGTTTTTACTCCCAAAGGAAAGCACCACTAAATGATAATAATTTTTATGAATCTTACCAAAGCAATGTCTGCTAAAACATGATTCATCTTTCGTTCCACTGGATTAGGAAATATTGTAAGAATAGCAAGATCTTTCTTATTTGCAGTAGTACATGATTAAAGTATCACATCTACAAATAGGTTCATTATTTATGATTACCTTAATCATTAGTCTTGATCCCTGTTGTCACAAAGAATTCAAATAGGTTGCCTAATTTCTCCATTAAATTTTAATAATAATGAATATAAATGGGAATTAAAAAACAATTGAGTCAATTTAAAGAAAATATAATTATTTATAAAGATTATAATGTTTACAATTAATAATTAGATTATTATTTCATATCAATTCTTTTTAAAATCACAGCTGCTTATTGAAAATAATTAATTTTTCAATTGATTTTACAAGTTAAAACTAATTTCTAATCAACTAGTTTATTATTATATTAATTGGCGCCTAAATATATATATATAATATTAATATATATTCATATATAGTATGGCAAACCTATTTGATGAAGAATAAGGTTAATACTTAAGAATGAATGCTCTCAAATATCTAGAGAAACCACCAGAAATTTAAAGAGAAGATGATCCATTTATTACTAATGGCTCTTTGGCAATTACATATATTCTAGTGGAAACAGTGGAATAATATAAAGCAGATTAAGGATTAAAGTTTTAACCCAGTTATGTTCATCAAGTATTTAGATCTACTAATGAAATATATGGATATAAGGATCTTAAAATTACCATTCATGTAACAGCACTTGGATTGAAGCCTTACATTAAAGTAAATTCGTTCAAAATATTTTACTATAGATATCTTATAGCGAGCAAACTGAAGATGCTGATGACTTAAATGAGAGTTTCAATAAAGTATATGAAGCTGGTTTCCTTTCTAGTGAAGAATAGTTCATTTAAGCACTTGAAGAAGAATAAAATCAAGAGCCTTTAGGAGATTTAATTGAAGAATATGGAGATTTTAAAATATATAAATGTTAAATGGCAATTACAAATGGGTTTGTTTAATTCAAACCTTTTTTATAAGCATTTCTTTTAGTTTTAATTGATGGAGTATAATATCCAGGGGATGAAAATGAATGGGTTTATTTAACATTATATGAAAAATGTGTATTTATAGGATTGACAACTGTTTTTAAGTTTAATATTGGATGGAATAAATAGAGACATCGTTTAAGTTAAATGCTATTCTTACCATAATATCAAAGAAAAGGTCATGGGAGTAGAATGCTAAAAACTGTATATAAATTAGGATTGGAAGATGATAAGTGTTTATAGATTACATTAGAAGATCCATCTGAAGATTTTTAAGTGATGAGAGATATTACTGACTCTAAAATCTTGCATGAACATTTTAAAGATATTCTCCCAAATAAAGTAATAAATAAATATATACTAGATAATTAATTCAATATAAGAAATAGGAGATATGCCAAAAGATAAATTATTTGAAATTATGAAGAAAACAAAACTACATGCTTATTAAATAAAGCGTGCCTATTCAATTTATTAGTATGCTTTTGTGAACAAGTAATTTATACTATTAAAAAATTATAAGAAAGTCTTCTAAATTGATGACAGAATTTGCTAGATATTTACTTAAAGAACATTAAAAACCGTATATAAGAAAAAAGAACATTTTAGTACGATTTGAGGATGGTAGTTCATTGGATCCTAAATAAATGCATCTTCTTGAATTGAAAGAAAAGGAAGATAGGAATATTATTGCTGAAGAAAGTTTAGGAGATGAATTATGTTTATTTGAACTTATTGCTACAAAATTAAGAAAGGACAAAGTAATTTGAAATTATATTTATGTTTATTTTTATGAATTTAATAAAAGATTTTAAAGAGTAGATTATAGACTTTAAAAATTAAAGAGATTATAGTAATATTTATAATAAAAATTATCATTAATTATAAAAATAATTAAATCAATGAGTTTTATGTAACACTTTGTTTCTCAATAAGTTCCAGAATGGTCAAATGCTTATTTGAATTATCAATTCTTAAAAGAAGTCTTAGATCCTTTTAAAAGAGTCACTAATTCTCTACCCATCCTTAATTTAACCATTAAACTTATCAAAGATTAAAATTTAGATGCTAATATTCCATAAGAAATATAAACTAAATTATAGCTATTAGACGAAGAATTTATTCAACTATTCTAAGATGAAACTAATAAATGCAATTAATTTTATAATATTTAAGTTAAAATATTGTAATATCAATATGAAAAAATGATAGATTCTGAAGATGACTTAGAAAGAATAAACAATTTAGAAATTCTTTATAAAAAAGGTTAACTCCTTAAATCATTCAAAAATTCTAATATTGAAGCTTCAAATAGAATTTTATAATTATATCATCAATATACAAGTTTTATTGATAATTCAGAAAGTCATATGAATCATTACTTTAAGAATTTATAATTTGTCAATGATACCTCATTAAATAAAATAATTAAAAATATTAAAGCAATCTATTTAATAAATGGATGGGATGGTAATGAATTAATAAAGTTAAAACAATCATATGCAATATAACATAAACTATAATATATTGGATTTCTTGGTGGAATCATTATTTTTCTTATTTTATCTTTCATTTATTAAAGAATAGATCTTAATTATTTGAGCATTTCAGAAGACTATTCAACATATTTATTATTTATAACTATGGCAATTCCGTTATTTTATTTATGGTTTTTTTCTACTTAATTGTAGATATTTAAAAAAACATACATTAATTATTGGGTAATCTTTAAGATAGATTATATAAGAGATTCAATATCTAAATTTTATTATTTAGCTGCTGTCATAACAATAATCTTCTTATTAATAGTTAATTATGGATTGATTTCTGAATTGTAATTTTATGCAATAAGCAATCATTTAATTTATTATCACATATTTAGTTTTGTTGATTTCGATCCAATATATGCATTATTTATATTATGGATATTCTTAATACTATTTATGATAAATCCATTTAGGATTTTTGGATATCAAGCCAGAAAATATTTTTGGATTTTACAAATTAAAACATTAGGAGGCTTATATTTAAGTAAAGAGATATTATGGAATGTTGAATAAATGGTATTAATTTAATTATTCTGTAGGTGAGTTGTAGTCAGTTTTTTAGATTGTTTTCATATACAATTCACTATTATTTTTGTTATTTTTAAAATTAAACCTAATTTACAGAATTCAATTATTTAACTTAAAGTGTTCTTATTGTACCATTTATTTATGGTTTCTATTATTCTATTAGAGTTTATATTAAAGATAAAAAATCTTATCTCAATTTAATAAAATTTACATCAATGTTCACATTAATGGTAATTTGTTAAATCAATATTTTATTAACTTATCTACCCAATTATATTCTAAATATTCTAATCATTATTTGTGGTTTTATTGTATCCTATGTTGATATTAAATATGATTGGGATTTATTAAATAAATTATCATAAAATTGTAAAATAATTATCTTAATATATTAGGTCTTTTAAGATAAATTTTGGGTTATAATAAAAATTTTTATTACTTCTCAATATTCTTTAATATTTTTGGAAGAATCTGTCTATTTTACCAACTTTGTATTATCATCTAAAATAAAAACCTATTACTAATTCTGTGTATCATAGAATCCATTCGTTGTAAGTTATTATACAATATTTATTTATAGTATTTGTATGGAATTTAATAGCGATAGAAAAAGAACATGTAATTAATATAGGAGAATTTAAAGCTGTTGCTGATATCTTTATTGAAAAAGATAATATTCTTATGGTATTAATAAATAAATTCAATGATGTTAGGATGAATTAGAAAAGTTTTTGTATGATTTGAACAACCAAAACATTTTAAAAGGATCATATAAAAAAAAAGCCTATTCCTTAAATTTAATGATTTAAAAGTTAGAATCAAATGTAGAATAAAAATGAAATTAAATGTGAATATATCATATTTATTTTTTATCATTATCCTAAAGCTTTATAACATTTAACAATTAATATGTAATGCAATAACAACCTTACTTCTTTTTTAATTAAATTAAAAATAAGATATCTAATAAGATATTCTTAAATATTGAAATCGAAAAATTGCTTCATTTGAATTATAATCATTTATATTTCTCTCCCTTACCCCCTACATTTTATTCTGTAATTATAGGATCTTATATTTATTACTCCAAAGAATCTGAAACATTCTCTTAAATTTATTCAAATCTTTATGAAACTGAAAATTAATGAAGTTCTTATTTATTTTTAGAATATTAATCAGCTTCATACTAATTTTTTACTATCTAATATTTAATATTTACTGTTATTTTATTAAATCATGTTTTACAAACCTGTATTATCATTAAATTTCGATGAGAATAAATGGTTCTTATGAGATGACAATTTATTAGAATCCTACAATTTTCTTTTTTTCCTAATACCATCATCTAAGTTAAAATAAAAATCTTATTAATTGGTTTCTGTTTTAAGAGAATTCTTATTATTCTTTTTTCTATCATTTGACATGGAATCTATATTAAATTATTATTTTTCATTCTTTTTTATATAAACTTGTTTGAGATCCTATATTGATGGCAATGATTTTGTGGATAATTTCATTTTTTAATTTTATGAATTATCTTAATTTTGTTCTTTTAGTGTAGGAATTAGAAATAAGGAGGCTGTTAGAACACCTACTCCAAAACCAATTAAAATCTTTGTATTAAAAAATTACTCTAACCAATTCATTGGCAATAAACTTAATTAATAATAAAATTAATTCTAAAATACAAACATTCTAAACGAATAGCATTATTAATTAAAATACAAGCAATAATTAGAATCAATTAAAAATAGCATATTTCTAAGCCCAGTCCTTTGCCTTTTTTTCGAATTCAAAATTCAATTCTAACTTCTTTTTTAAATAAAGAGAAGTTGCTTCTGGAAAAAATGAATTATCTGCATCTGGCTATTTTAATAGTTATTTTATGTTCATCAAAACTAAATCTTGACAAATTCTTACTTGTGTATATTGTATAATCACTCCTCCAATCATCCTTTAGGATACTTAAGTAAATATAACCTAAAATATTGATGTTTGGATGGAAAATTTTATTCATGAATGTGACCTATGGAGGAATTTAAGGATATTCATTCGAGAACTAAAAATTAAGGAAAAATAGGTAAGATTTATAGGGTGAATCATCCGGACCTTTGATGCATATTTGTATTTAATAATTTCCTATTTCATATATATCTACAATGAAATCGTCACCATTATGCTTATATTTGTTTATTTCCTCTGAATCCTTTTTTATTCTTTCCTTAGCCATATTTCCCGATATTTAATAAAAAAATTATTGTGAAATCTGCTGTAATTTTTATATAATAAATAATTTTATATTACAGAGTGTATTGTATAATTCTTTGTTCCTGTTTCATATTTCTATTTATCAATATACAATTATTTGTTCTAAGGAATTGTTTAGAAAAATCTACAACATTCTTATAGAGATATTGATTTTTTTGGGATAGTAGGCAATAGGCAAAAATTGTTATTAGATAAATAATCTGAGAGTAAATTCATGACTATCTGATCATCTATCCATATAGCATTTAAATTTTAACAGCTTAGAAGTTTTTTAGTATTATTAAATAGGTTTTTGTAAAAATATATTTAAAAGTATTTTTATCTCATAGTTAATAATTTTCAAAATTATCTATTTGAAATCAAGAAAATAAGTAAATTATTTTTTTTTGAATTAAAATAGTCTAATTTTCAATGAAGTAGTCCTTTTTTATTACTGAATATATGTTTTTTGGTGTATTAAAATTTTTTAAGTTAAAATAATTTTAATTATTATTATAAATTGAATTAATGGATATTGATGTTGTTTATAATAGCATTCAATATACTATTTAAATTATATGTATTTTATATATTTTCTTATTGAAATTGGCTAGATTATATTATATTTTTTCTATTATCAGGATTAATTGTATCATATTTTTGGATAATCTATTTTTAATTTTTTCTATCCAATTTAAAAATGATTAGACAAAAAGAAAAGTTCAAAAGAAGTATGATTTAAATTAATATATTATATAAATAGTGTGAAAACATTTTTCAAAATTGATAATTCAAAATATTTGATCATGAAATGAAATTCAAATAACTTTAATTTCTAAAGTTGGAAAAAATGTTAAAAGAATTTCTTTAAGCAAATTTTAGTTTAGAGGTTTATTCATAAAATAATCCATTCCATTTTCATAGCATTTTTATTTAGTTAAGAGGTCGGATAATCCTGTTATAGCTATACAATAAACCTTTTTAATTTCTTCTGTTTTCATTTAAGTTTTAATAATTTTGATTGTTTGAAATCCATCCATTATAGGCATATTTATATCCAAAAATATTAGTAAATAATATTAATTATGACAATGTTAGCAAGGATTTTCCTTTTTATTTTTAATTAAAGCAATAGAATCTTAACCATTAAATGCATGGTCGCATTTTACTCCATATTGTTGCATAATTAATTTTAAACAACTTATATTGTAATATTCATCATCAACAATCATAGCTCTAGAGCAACACTCACTTTATAAACAATATTCTAACCTATCTTTATTTTATTTTGTTGAAAATAATGGTAAAAATTGAATATTATTTTTATGTGATTCACTCTAAACATCACTTTCAATTTCATCTTCAAAATGATGAACAACAGAAAAGGATTTAGTTTCTTTTCTCTTTTTTTTGAATGATAATTTTTGGGAAGATAACTTTTAAGATATAACATGAGATTATTATCCTAGTGGTCCTTCTATATATGAATTTTATGATATCAATTTGATAGATTATGACCCTTAAGAATTTTCTATTAAAGCCTTTTAATTAGAAATAAAGATTTCCTAAATATCATTGGGCAATTCAAAATAAAATTATGAACCTATCAACAATCTTTTAAACTTAATAGGTACTCCTCTATTTAGTTATTTGACAATCATATTAGAAATAACTAATCCCATACCAGAACCAACTTAACTATCTGAAACTTTAATAAATTCATCTTAATCCAACAAATAATTGAGATTATGTTCATCTTCTTCACTCAAACCAATACCAGTATCTTCGATTGATAAAATAAATCTATCTGCATTATTATAAATATTAACTCTTATTTATCCTGATAAAGTGAATTTAACTGAATTTTATAACAACTAAAAATAAATTTATTCAAATCTTTCTTTATCAGTAATTAAAAATCCATTTTTTAAATGATATTAAACAGATAATTCTATTCCTTTACTTTGAAGGGGTTCTTCAAATAAAGAATTAATAAATTCAACTGTTTAGATGATATGCATCTCTTCTAATTTAAGCTGAAATATTTTTAATCCCAAATGAGTAAAATCTCTAACATTATTAATAATTAAATTAAATTAAACACTATTTATTAAAATAGGATAAATATAAGTTGTTTTAATCTATTCTGAAATTCCCTAATCTTCAGCAGCTAAATTGCTAAATGTCATTAGAGAATTTAGACTAGTTCCAAGTTCATGAGATAATTATTTACACATATCAAAAAACAATTATTTTCTAACTTTACTTTATTTTCTTTAATATTTTTATGGAACATCCAAAAATAAAAACTAAATCAATGTTTCACTTTTACTATTTTTAACCTATTCAATTAACAAAACTGTATCTCTAAAATCAAAAGTGTCATTATCTTCAATTGAAAAATAATATATGTTTGATAATTCTTCATAATAATCAGAGAGAAAATCTGATATTTTAATTTTATGTGTAATATCATTATATTTGTANAATGATGAACAACAGAAAAGGATTTAGTTTCTTTTCTCTTTTTTTTGAATGATAATTTTTGGGAAGATAACTTTTAAGATATAACATGAGATTATTATCCTAGTGGTCCTTCTATATATGAATTTTATGATATCAATTTGATAGATTATGACCCTTAAGAATTTTCTATTAAAGCCTTTTAATTAGAAATAAAGATTTCCTAAATATCATTGGGCAATTCAAAATAAAATTATGAACCTATCAACAATCTTTTAAACTTAATAGGTACTCCTCTATTTAGTTATTTGACAATCATATTAGAAATAACTAATCCCATACCAGAACCAACTTAACTATCTGAAACTTTAATAAATTCATCTTAATCCAACAAATAATTGAGATTATGTTCATCTTCTTCACTCAAACCAATACCAGTATCTTCGATTGATAAAATAAATCTATCTGCATTATTATAAATATTAACTCTTATTTATCCTGATAAAGTGAATTTAACTGAATTTTATAACAACTAAAAATAAATTTATTCAAATCTTTCTTTATCAGTAATTAAAAATCCATTTTTTAAATGATATTAAACAGATAATTCTATTCCTTTACTTTGAAGGGGTTCTTCAAATAAAGAATTAATAAATTCAACTGTTTAGATGATATGCATCTCTTCTAATTTAAGCTGAAATATTTTTAATCCCAAATGAGTAAAATCTCTAACATTATTAATAATTAAATTAAATTAAACACTATTTATTAAAATAGGATAAATATAAGTTGTTTTAATCTATTCTGAAATTCCCTAATCTTCAGCAGCTAAATTGCTAAATGTCATTAGAGAATTTAGACTAGTTCCAAGTTCATGAGATAATTATTTACACATATCAAAAAACAATTATTTTCTAACTTTACTTTATTTTCTTTAATATTTTTATGGAACATCCAAAAATAAAAACTAAATCAATGTTTCACTTTTACTATTTTTAACCTATTCAATTAACAAAACTGTATCTCTAAAATCAAAAGTGTCATTATCTTCAATTGAAAAATAATATATGTTTGATAATTCTTCATAATAATCAGAGAGAAAATCTGATATTTTAATTTTATGTGTAATATCATTATATTTGTATAATAATGATAATTAAAAAAATTATTCTTAAATTATAACATCTCTTTTCTGCTGTTCATTCTCAAATACTTTTTTTAAATAATCTTCCAGCCTTATTGTGGATTCAAAAACATCCATTTTAGTATTAAATGTTAGTTTCTTAGTTGAAAATCGATCATATAAATTAAATGGAGCCTTTGGACTTTTTACTGAAGGTAGTTCAAATTGAAATGTTTACCCTAACTTTTACTAATTTGTTGTAGTATTAAGTGTACTATTTGGTTAATGGTATTAGGATCTTTTAGCATTTTTATCTAAAATTAAGGAGAGGTGTTTGGCATCTAAAACTACTAAAATTATATCAAGGCAGAATATAAAGTAGCTATCAGTTGTTACAGTGATGTAATTAAAAGTATTAATGCAAATTAAGAAAAAGGCATAATAAGACAAACTTCTTTGCTAGATGCTTTGTTCTTTTGAAAAATGAAATTGAATTATTAGATGAACATTTAATGAGATGGAAATATTTTCTTAAGTAGAACTCCAAACCGATATCCCTTTGATTACATAACCCATATAAAACAGAATTATTTATGTGAAATTTGAGAATCTATGTTAAAAGGAGGAAATCCCTTATAAAGTGCTTCCAAGTATAAAACTAAGAAAATATATTACTAATAATGAGGAAGTTTCCTCTATCTCTTAATAATTGTGATACCCCAACTATAGAAAATAATTTCAGCCAATACTACAAGGTCTTCAGAAAATCTCAATACTTCTTTATATTTCATTTATTAAATTAACTTAAAGTTTTGTATTCTAAATTAACTTCATTAGTGAGTTTTAATAAGACCATACTTGAAAAGATTAATATTTTGAATTTCAAATAAATTTTAAATACATAAATCGTTTTACTCTAATCAAAATTCTTATAACTCACTCTAATTATCTAGTTTATAGTTTCTTTTGGAACTAATTCTCAATTGAGTTTTCATCTGCAAAAAATGTGAATTGAGGAGAAACTAATTTCGAGGATTTTTGAGAAGGCATTGCCTAAAACGTCTAAAAGTTTGAGAAAAATGATCTTTTATCTCCAGGATCATTATCTTAATTTGGTTCTGAATCAGATGATTAACTCAAACTAATAAATTTTGAGGCAAAATCATTTCGAAATGTTAATTACCTTGTGCTTTAACAATTATATTAGTTGCTAACACTATTGTGTCTTGCCTCATATTATTCTTTAGAATGAGTTAATTAAATTTCACTTTAGATTTCCTTTTCATTCGAAGATTTTTAACCTTGTTTACATATAGAACCCATTCTCAAACTATAAGAACTTAATAATTTTTATTTTTTATAATGATTTATATATAGAAATGCCAATTTTTGATAATAATATTACTACTTAAGGTACTAATTCAATATATTGTAAATGAATATTAATGAGACGATTCAAGATTAATATCAAAATTGAAAAATATTTGGTATCCCCAATTTGGAATTTACATAAAATAAAATTCAGTTGATTTATCTATTCAACGAAAGACTTATTAAATTATTTAGTTTATATTATAATTAAATGACGACACTTTCATATCTAAACTTTGACTTTAATGATATAAATGAGAACAAGGGCTGTAAGCTCTAAATTTTGAATAATGAAGAGTTATTATGTATAATAGTGTATTATTTTCTAAATTTATATATTATTGTTAAAATGCATACATGTTATTACTCATGCTTTCCAAAGCAAGAAATACAATTCTTTGTGTTAATAAAAGATGTATTTCTTTGTTTAATGAATCACATGACTTCCAAAATTCCTTCCAACAATACAATTCCATCCAAATTAATCAAATTTATCAAATTCATATTTAATATGATGAGCTATTTATTTTTCTGTTCTAAATTGTTGCATTGCTGAATATGTAATTTCGGTCACTTTTTTTATAAAGTCCTCATCCATATCTGTGGCTTTTATTTACAGTTTCATTTATTCCATTTGATAATTTAGAAAAATAATAATAATAATAATATTCAATTTTATTATAATAAAATCATTCTTATGGCTGCATTTATTGAAGTTAAGTAATAGCCATAAGGGCCATAATTAATTTGATTGGTATTAATAAAATGTTCAATGAAATACAGATGAACTTATAAATCAAAAAGCTAAGATTTGATTATTATGTACATATATATTGAGATAAGATCAGCCGATTCAATTTGAAAATCATATTCGCAACCATATATATTGTAGAAATGTTTAATCTATTTAATAATCTTCTCTAAACAATAGATTAAGGCTTTGAGTTTTTATTAAGGAGATTATTTCTCTTTTATTTAAGCTAAAAGTTTAAAGCATTTATGATAAGGAATTCCATCTCTATAATTAATTTCACAATTCGAATATTTTTTTAGTAAATACGAATGCGTAGATTTATTAAGTCTATATTTCACATTAATCTCATAGAAGTCTATTTCATGATTGTAACACTTTTCTATATTGGTTTTTAATTTATCAATATCTTTTCTGAGGTATTCCAAAATCATATCATAAATGATTTAATATGTAATTTCTTTTTAAAACAACATAGAATAAATAGCAGTTAACATAGTTTCTCTATTGAATAGATCGGTAACAGGCCCTGTAGACATTTAAGTTTTTTCAATTGAATAGTAATTTTAAATACAAGATTGAAACACTCTTGAAAATTCTTTTAAATCTGTAACAGCATGATCTAATTGCTTAGAACAACGATCCATATTATATTGTCTTTTAAATGAATCAATAAAAAAATGTAGAATCACATTTAGTTGATGATCCTAATTGCTTATCTATTGCTTTAACAATTTAATCATGTCTACATAGTATGATAATTGAGAAATCAGTAATTAGTCTTCTTTGTCAAAGCTTTCACTAATTTGTTTTTTCTCAATTATTTATAAGGACACAGATGCTTCTTATTTATTCAAAATAGTATTAGTTTGAATTTCTAGTTATTATATGGTTAAATCTGTGTTTAAAATTAATTGCTTGATAGATGTTTCTGAACTCTGCTTAATTGATAAATTTGGATTGCTAGAATAACTTTGACTTTTTCGCGAATTTTTAAGAAACTAACCTAAGAATATTTTAGATATCATACTCTTGTACTATTGATTGGCTGATTAAAATTAGATTATATAGCCTTCAATTGGTTGAGATTTTAATCCACTATAAATTTATGATAAAAAATATTTTGCCCATTTACATCGATCTTTTATTGATTCACATTCCCTTTGGAGATGCTTTTTCCAATCGACTCCCTATTATATCATATTTGATATTACAGCAAATTCATTATCATTCGATTAACAGGATACACAAGCAAATTTTATTGGTGAAGAGTGTTGAGTTCCCATTAGAAAATATTAAATAATAATCAGTATTTATTGATATGAAAACAATTATAAATATTTTCTTTTCATTCAAAGATTCAAGCTTAATACAATAATCATTTGTTAATATAACTCATTGATTAGAACTAAATAAAATAATTCATAAATCTAAGTTTTTAAAACAAATTTAATATTACAAATCGTATTGTGCTAGACTTTAATAATTGATTAAATAAACAAATATATCATTATAATTAACTAAAGTAAAGATTTTTCCATTATCAAATTATTATAGTTAATTATAGTTAAAATCTTTTCCTAACCTATTTATTTTGTAATTGCGAGTGATTTTAAACTATTAAAGGAAATTTTTTAACTAAATATATTTAAAATTAATATATGAATAAATCTAATTGAACTATTAAAATCATTAATAAATAGCATTAATTGATTTTGGAGATGAAGAAGGTATTTATTAAAAAAGAAGAGAAAAGTCTGAGAGTAAAAACTCCAAAAAAAATTAATATATAATATAAACTAGAATGAGAAATAGTAACCCTATTATTAATTAAAATATCATTTGGATCAGTTCTACTATAAACTACCTTAAAAATAAAAATCTGTTAAGATAAAATTATTAAGATCTATTCCGCATGAGCTAGAAGCTAACTTAGATTCTGCTTATGGCTATATTAAATAATTTTAAGATAGGTTATTTAAAAGGGGAAGAAATTTTAGAATATATGGCAAATACTTTGACATTCATAAAATTGTATTTATTTAAAGTTTAGGACTTTTTTGATTAAAGATGTATATTAGATGATCAATTAAAATTAAGAAGAAATAAATTTGAATTGATACAGGCATATGCTGAATGTATTGGTTTAATGAAAGATTTTATAATAAGGAAAAAATTAATGTATGAATTAGAAATTAGAGAAAATTATGCCAACATAATTACAAGCGGTAAAAAAGGATTCTATTAAGTTATGTTATATTTATTAATAAGCAATTAAATATACCCTGCAGGAAAGAGTTACAGAAGAAGTTAAAAAAAAAATTATTCTTAATATTTAGGAATTATTGATGAAGTTTAATCCTAAAACTTTGATGATGATATCAATATATTAGAAGTTAATATAAATGATAGTGGATAAGGATTTATGAGAATGAGTTTGTAACTCTAAGAAAAAAGGTATTCCTTATAATCATTAGATCAGTTACATATTGCTGATGGAGATGAAAAGGTTTCAAAATATTCAATTCGAATTGGAATGGGATTGTAGATTAATTGACAATATCTAATTTACTTTTACTTTTTGTTGAATCAATAAAAAATTGTGACTCTTAATTTTATCTTCACTAAGAAGAAAAATCTTCAATTTAAAAGTCCGAATAATTAACAACACCTTTACCAATGATTGCAGTTACAACTTTTTGTAGCATCTCTGATTAAGAAAAAGTAATAATAAAGATTCTGACCAAATCATTATTAAGTCAGTAAAAAAAAATCAAGACTTTGTTCGAAAATCTAAATCTATAATTTTAGAACATTTATATGAATAAAAATATATAATAGTAAATCAAGATGATGGTTTTTTTAATAATTTTCTATTTTACATTTAGGAAGATCTTCGTTACGCTTATTCCAATAGATTCAGCAATCATAATCCTGTTTCATCTTCTTTTTATCAATCTTTTGAGGCAATTCCTAATGTATCAACAATATTTTTTAATTATTCATTTTTATATCTTATTGATTATAAGTCTCACTCATAATGTATTGCAATTCTTCATACTTGGTTTTCAACTTATTATATTTTTTTCAGTAGCCTCATCTAATTCTATATATTAAAATTCTAAACTCTAGGCATATTCGATTTATTTTTTGTAAAATTGATTCAAGTCATTATGGTATTAGTTTCTTAGCTCCAGCTCTTTTTACTCAATTTCTTCATTTAACATTTGCTCTTTATAAGCTAAATTATATTTCATCTAATCCATTACTTATTGTAATTGTTGATATTTTTATTTTTACTAAAATCTTTCTAAATGCATTTGCACCACTCTAATCTATTTTTCCTTTTTCAATGTTTGTTATCAAAGTCGAATTACCTTTTCTACTCCTTTAATCTTTTTCTTAGAATTTCGAAATTACTTCTTTCTACATCCAATTAATCAACCTCTGTTGTATCTGATTAGTCAGCTAGATTTTCTTTTAAATCTTCATCTCTAACTCAAATTACTATTTTAATGAAAAATTTTTTCTTAGAAAACTACCTCTCTATCTCTTGATTCATTTTATACTTTATTTCATTTTATTTCACGCTAATAATTTGCTAGAGCTTTTATTATTATTTGATGATTTAACATTTTTGCATCATATTCTCTTTATCTTTCAGTGCCTAAAACAATGTCATCTTCAAATCGATAAATCATTAAATTTAACAGTAAAAAAATTAAAAAATCAGTCCTAAAATAAATAATTCTTTAATGTTTCCCTTTTAATATCCAAATAAGACAATTATTATAAACAAAATAAATAAAATAAAGAAAGTTATATATTCTTCCATTATTTTCTTTTTTGGAGATAAAATAATACAATTACTTTGATTAATTAAGTATTCTAGATAAATTTTATCTTTTTCCAACCTTCTTGTTATATGCATTTTTAAACTGAACTTCTTAAATTTATTAAGTACAAAAGTACTCTATTTAGAGACTTATTTCTATAATTCTTTAAATTGTAATTTATTTCTTAGTTTTTCTTTAACCTAATTAATTTACTTGAATTAAGAATCAAGTTCTCTGATTTCTTATTTAAATCTTGAATAATTTAATCATATTCTATTTATTTTTCTTTCAATAGTCTATCCTTTCAGCTAGCTTGATAGAGCATTATTCTAGTCTTTATCTAATTTTTCTCTATCTTTTTCTATATTTCCTCAATGACCTACATATTATCTCATATACTCATCTTATAACCTGACAACATTTCTCTCATCTTTTCTCTGTTTCCAATATAATTTTAAAGTTTCATTCAAAATTTTTATTACCTTGATTTAAATTGAAAATTTGAGTTTTGAAATTTTCATAATTAAACCTCTGAATTTTCCTATTACATTTTATTCATTTTGAATAATTTTACTTCAGGTGGCTTCTAAGTTTCTGAAATTCAATTTTTATTTTTCAAAGTTCTATTCCCTGACCCTCTAAATATATTATTCCTATTCTCTTATAACTCCATTTCTCATATAAATGTTTTCTTATCTCATCTCATTCTCTTATTTTATAATTCGAAGCCAGTGTAATTTGAAACTCTAATTCTTACATTTTTTTTTTTGTTTCTTCATCTAATTTAACTTAAAAATTTGCAATATTTATCGATTATCATTTAGAATTGTAACTCTAAAGATAATCTCTTAAATAATCATCTTACTATGTATGCTATTCTTAGAAGGCTTGGATAACCTTAATCCCACAATGTAAAGGCTAGCATGATTATAAAAAAATAGGAATTTTTGCTATGCTTTTAAGAAAATTCTTCCCTTTAAATTATAATTCAACATAAAATATAACTAACTTCTTAATTTACTAAATTATTTTAATTAAATATAAATAATATTTTACTTATAAATTCATCAATATAATCAATATAAGCAAAAAATTTAATAATAAGGATTATTATTAGAAAAGAAAGATAGTTTTTTATAGAAGAATTAGAGAATTTATAGTCCTTATTTCGAAAGTCCTTTAGGATCAATAGTTTAATGTTTATACATAAATTAATTTGATGAAAGATATGAAATTTGTGTTTTAGTGTCAAAATTGAAGATTAAATAGAAAAATGTTCTTTAAATTTCGAAAGAAAGTTTACATGACACAAGATGCTTTCAAAACCAACTAAACGACTGAATTTGGAAGTAATACAGGAAGTTTTAAATAGAACATTCATTAATCTGGTAATATACACAAATGGAATAGAATCTTATTGTATTAAGGATTATTATAATTTAAAAATTTCTACAGTTGTTTTTTATAAATCATTTTTATTAAGAAAAGTCTGTAAGGATATTTTTGATTATTTCAAGCTGATTTTGAAAAATTGGGATATGATTAATTCATCGATTTAATGAATAATAACTCTCGATTTCATGGCTTAATTACGTACCCAAAATACACTACTTACCATAATTGACTTAGGTATTAAGATTATTTATTTTAAAACAATAGAAATCATTTAAAAGAATGAAAAACAACGAAGCTAATCTCACTGAATAAAAATATACTGAAAAATAGGAGCTTGAAATACTAAAAATTAATAATAACTTCTAAAAAGAAAAAAGTGAGTAATATTTATATATATTTTATATCCTTATCTAATCCTAAATATTAATTAACAGCTAATTCAATATTCTACAAAAGAATTGTGAGATTTTGTAATATATTATTAAATTAATATGGAAAATTTATTTTGTTAAGTTCATCCTGATATTCCATTTTTCGATTTGAAAAAATACCACTAAGTTAAATTAATCGCATCTTCCAATAATAGGGTATACCTATATAAATTTTTGAATTAAGCTGTTGCTGTTAAAGAGGTTATATTTCAATAATTGTGTATTAATTAATAAAATTTAGAGAAAATGAACAAATAGAAAAACTAAAAAAACAATATCAAATATAGAAAGGATATAACGAAACAATCATATAAATATATGGAATGGCTATGCAACAATAATAAAGATTTTCAGGGAAATTTTAAACAAGTATACATAATAATTAATCGGTAGTCATATTCATTTGTATGGAATATATGAAATATTGCTTGTAAGATCATATTGAATTGATTAGAAATTAATAGTTGCCCATCAATAAAAATTCTTTTTCAAATTTATTAAAATCTACGGTTCAAACTCATGCTTTTTTATAATCTATTCATTTGTGTCATGGTGATATAAAGCCATAAAATATCTTGATTAATGACAGAATTAATCCGACACAATTTAAGACTTGTGATTTTGACAATATGATTTAGCTTGTTAATGCTAAATTATAGCCTTGCATAATTTCAACAAAATAATATCATGCACCAGAAATCCAATAAGCCATAAAGGAGGGTTTGGAGTCATTTAATTATAATCCTTACAAAGCACAAGTATATAGTTTGGGTCTCTGCTTGATTTAAATGCACCCTTAAATAGATTTTTTTTAAATTAATCATATCACTTTTATGCTTATTGAATAAGTTTATGGTACATAAATTCAGACATTGATTTCAAAAATGTTAGATCCAATAAATTATAACAGACCTGATTTTTTTGAAGCGCTGTAATATTTGAATAGGAATTCAATAGCAAATTTATCTACAGAATAACTAGAGTATCAAGGAAATGATATATTAAAAAGTTAAAATTCATATTTTAGGAACACCCCAGATATGTTTGATACTTTGAGAAGAGAATCAAAATATCCAAACTAATTATGCGACAGTGTTGATACAACTTCAGATTTTCTAATTTAGGGTTAAGTAAATTTGTCAAGTGAAGAAAATAACAACTTATATGATGTCCAAGTATCAACTAAAACTGGAATAAGTAAACAATAAAACTAAATTAGGTAGTAATAAGAATCAGAAATAATGCTGTTCATCAAAATATATAAATAAGACCAATATTTTGATTTTTTGTTCAATTTTACTTTTACTAGTATTGTTTATCCTTTTATTAAAGTTTCAAATATGATATATATAGTTTATGTTAATAAAATAATTATGAAAATTTATCATTACAAAATGATGTGTTTAGCTTTAAATATTTTTAATTTTTATTAATAAATTCTTTAATTAATCTATAATATATGATAAGTTCTATTTTATAGAATATTTTGCAATTCTTTAATTAACATTGTTTGCAGGTCATCATTAACTTTGATAAATTTTTATTTAAAACTCAAAAATAACCAACAGAAAGAAGTCACAAAATTTGATAAATTAAATATCTTGAATCTATATCAAATATTAAACATCCATTTAAACTAATTAAATTAAATATATATATAAAAGCAATTACTCATTTTTAACCTTCAATTAATAAGAATAATAAATGGAACCTTAAGCTTGTCTCTCTTTCTACTTTTAATATTAAAGTCGGGGTGTCTGTAGCATCATCTTATAATTTGAGTAAGGATTTGCTACCAAAAGTGGCCCACTCTGTACAAATTTACAGAGCTGATCATCGTATATGGCTCCATATACTATAAACTCACCTCACTTTAGTAATCTTTAATATTTACTTCAAGAATATTATTGAAAAATAAAGCAAGTAGCATATTATTATAATCAGTTACTTCAATACAGAAGGATCTATCTTTCTTTTATAATAGGTCTATGAGAATAGAAATTGAGTCTTGCCACTGAAATTAAATATTTTTGATTGGATTACTAGATTTGCAACTGCTAGAGTGACTAACAAAGTCAATTTTTTTTTAGATGGAGATGAGGCAATTAGCAATGCTTAAGTCATCATTAGAATTAGATGGACAGATATCATGAGATGTTTTCCCTTATGAAGGAAATTCAGTTTTAGTATATTAATTTGCAATTTTGATTTCGAATGTAGTGTTAGCCGAAAAATATGTTTTTAAACTACTGCAAAATTTGGGATTTATGATTAAGGGTTGATTATTTATGTGACTACAATATATAAAACATTATTTATCATTTATTTTTACTTAATTTTTGTTCTTTAATATTGAAAAAGTCTTAGAAAAATAGATCTTTATAAATACTTGCTAAATTTGTAATTTCTTATTCTTTTGTAGAAAATTTCACTATTATACATAAATTTTTTTTTTATAAGACCACTTTCATACCATTTGAAGTATCTAAGACTAAGTTTTCAAATTCTACACTCAGCTTAATCAGCTTTATAGTTTTGCCACTGACTTCTAAACTTAACCCGAATCTGTCTTGACTCATTTTTCATCGAACTAAAAAAAGGTAAGTTGTAGAATAACGTCTAAACCTAGAGAATATTTTTCAGAAAAATAATAGAGATGATGAGTAAAGCTTCAATCCTATTTCTATCGATTGGCAGCTTTAAAGATAGGTTTACAAGTAATATAAAATTATTAGAAACTTCCAAATCATAAAGACAAAGCAGCTTAATACCATTAAGATAAAAATGGTTTAGATACAATTCTGAATACTTTAAAATTTGATAAATACAGAAAAAGAATTCTCTCCTTATATAAATAGGATCTTAAAAAGATTTAAGGAATAGAGGAAGATTTTACATATTAAGACCTTCCTAAAAATTCTTATTTAAGTTTAGTAAAGAAAAGAAGCCTTCTAAGAATTTTCTTTTGATTTAGTTGAATTAAGACACCTGAAATATATGAATGAGAATTTAAAGATTCAAATAGACATTGAAATGGTTATTCATTTGGGGCTACCTTGTTAAGGTTATTTCAGACCTATGTTCCTTAGACATTTCTTAAAACATTTTGAATCGCACTTTTTGGGAACTTTTTATACTATTTTTAGTAAGAAGATTAATACTGCTTAAATTGATTTTCAATACTAACTTGGAGGTAAATACTATTGATGCTTTTATTAAAAAACTTAAACATTCAAAGGTATTAAAGTAAAAGTATCGTAGGAGATAAAAGACATTTAATATACTAAGAACTGATAGAAGATAGAAATATCTTTTCTTTCACGATGAATTGTATACACTAAAAGGAATGTACAAATGTTACACATATCTTATTCAATCGAGAAAAGTAATGTCTTCTTTTAAATGATGTTCACAAAAGCTCCTTTTATGTTTAAAATTTATTTTAATTAGCTAATGGAGAATTAAAAGAAGAATAAGATTATAGAAAAATAATTCAATTTATTGAAAAAAAATGAAATTATTTTTATGCTATGATGTATTTATTACCTTAAGTTAATAAGTTCATGGGTAGTAGAACAATTTTTGGATTGGGTATAAGAATTAAATTTTTAAAGCTCATATTGAGAAGTCAATTTACATTTTTATGCTATAACTGTCTAAATTAAATAGGATTTTACCTGATTAGCACTTAACTTAATTATAGAATTCTTATATCAAACAACATTAAGGTTAGATTCCACTATTGTTTAAAAATTTCAAAGAAAATGAGATACTTATTTTGACCAAAACTTTATTGACTGCCTATCAAGAAAATTTTAAGATATATTTTTCTTCTAATCATGTCAAGAATGAATTTTGATAATCGTTTGACTACAGAACCTCAGCTCTCTAGGTCAACTATGGTATAATTTAGATAGACTTCCATTAAAAATGATAATTGAAGAAGAAATTAATGTGCTGTAATATTATACTTGCTGAAGTTAAAGAGTAATCAATATTTTGTTAAGTTTTGATTTTTACCCAAATCAAATTACAAAAATGAATGTCTACCAATTTAAGTTTACCTTGATATATATATATAAGTAAGCTTAGAAGAAATTCATAAAATTCTACTAGAAAAGGATTTTTGGTTATGTTGATGACCATATTATTATGGATTTACAAGTAAGGGAAAATATGGAATTAATCGTATTTATTAGGCAAGAATTTAATGATAAATGTGCTTGAATTGAATAACAGAACTAAAGGTTATGCCTAAAAGAAAAGAGTTGTGGTGGATTTAGTATAGATTTTGTAATTTATCAATATATCAATTAATTTATTTAAGTGAATCTTTCTAAATTTTAGTGATTGAAAAAATTATTATTTATAAGTTTGGAAATTTATTTGGCAGAATCAGTGAATGAATTTAACTCTATCCGTCTTTGGAATGTCAAAACAGGATACTAANAACTTGGAGGTAAATACTATTGATGCTTTTATTAAAAAACTTAAACATTCAAAGGTATTAAAGTAAAAGTATCGTAGGAGATAAAAGACATTTAATATACTAAGAACTGATAGAAGATAGAAATATCTTTTCTTTCACGATGAATTGTATACACTAAAAGGAATGTACAAATGTTACACATATCTTATTCAATCGAGAAAAGTAATGTCTTCTTTTAAATGATGTTCACAAAAGCTCCTTTTATGTTTAAAATTTATTTTAATTAGCTAATGGAGAATTAAAAGAAGAATAAGATTATAGAAAAATAATTCAATTTATTGAAAAAAAATGAAATTATTTTTATGCTATGATGTATTTATTACCTTAAGTTAATAAGTTCATGGGTAGTAGAACAATTTTTGGATTGGGTATAAGAATTAAATTTTTAAAGCTCATATTGAGAAGTCAATTTACATTTTTATGCTATAACTGTCTAAATTAAATAGGATTTTACCTGATTAGCACTTAACTTAATTATAGAATTCTTATATCAAACAACATTAAGGTTAGATTCCACTATTGTTTAAAAATTTCAAAGAAAATGAGATACTTATTTTGACCAAAACTTTATTGACTGCCTATCAAGAAAATTTTAAGATATATTTTTCTTCTAATCATGTCAAGAATGAATTTTGATAATCGTTTGACTACAGAACCTCAGCTCTCTAGGTCAACTATGGTATAATTTAGATAGACTTCCATTAAAAATGATAATTGAAGAAGAAATTAATGTGCTGTAATATTATACTTGCTGAAGTTAAAGAGTAATCAATATTTTGTTAAGTTTTGATTTTTACCCAAATCAAATTACAAAAATGAATGTCTACCAATTTAAGTTTACCTTGATATATATATATAAGTAAGCTTAGAAGAAATTCATAAAATTCTACTAGAAAAGGATTTTTGGTTATGTTGATGACCATATTATTATGGATTTACAAGTAAGGGAAAATATGGAATTAATCGTATTTATTAGGCAAGAATTTAATGATAAATGTGCTTGAATTGAATAACAGAACTAAAGGTTATGCCTAAAAGAAAAGAGTTGTGGTGGATTTAGTATAGATTTTGTAATTTATCAATATATCAATTAATTTATTTAAGTGAATCTTTCTAAATTTTAGTGATTGAAAAAATTATTATTTATAAGTTTGGAAATTTATTTGGCAGAATCAGTGAATGAATTTAACTCTATCCGTCTTTGGAATGTCAAAACAGGATACTAAAAAGCCAAATTAGATGGTCATAGTGATTATGTTAGATCAGTCTGTTTCTCACCTGATGGAAATACATTAGCTTCTGGTAGTGATGATAACTCTATCCGTCTATGGGATGTCAAAACAGGATAATAAAAA